CGTTTAATGAACTATAAACCGCTTACGATAACCCAAACCAATGTAGGTAAAGGAGGGATCTCACACGATCTCGTCCTCAATCTAGCAAATATGGATCAAATTGATATCATCACGATCCAGGAGCCATATATATACAAAGATACCTCAAGAAAAATCACCAAAACTCACCCCTCCTACGAAATCTTCACTCCATTAGACGATTGGAAGGAAAACCCTCGTGTCCTCACCTATATCAGAAAAGAAATAGGAATTCAGATCAACCAGATCAGACCGATAATCTCCAGAGATCTAATATTTATACAATTAATATCTACAAATAATACAATATTTACCATTATAAATATTTACAACGCTCCAACACAATGCACAGATGGCAATCAAGCCATCAAGGCACTCTTTGAACTCCAAAACTTCCCAAACAACGCCATCCTACTAGGCGACTTCAACCTCCACCACCCCAACTGGAATCCCCTCCATCCATCCCCTTCAACGCTAGCCGAACCCTTTGTAGAATGGTCAAACTCCCGGAATCTACACCTCATCTCCCCAATCGGAACTCCTACTCACTCAAAGGGAAACGTCTTGGACCTCACCTTCCTCTCAGGGCCCTATACAGCGTATACCGCCCTCGCTGAACAACTAGAGTGCACCTCAGATCACAGCACCCTAAAAACCTACCTTCACTGGAATTACCGAAGCCAAAAGCCTGCAAAGAAACTCAAGCTAAATACATTGAATGAAACGCTCTTTAAAGACCTACTAGAAACTAATCTCACCAACATTGCAGCTATCCCCAGGACACCCTCTCTAAGAGACCTAGATCAAGCCGCATTATCCCTTACACAAGCCCTTACAAAAGCCTATACAGGATCTGCAAGAAGATCCATAAACGGGCCCCTTCAACAACCTTGGTGGAACAAGGACTGTATAAAGGCTGTGTATAAACATAGAATCATCAATACACCTACATCCAAACGCTCTCTTCGGAAAACAGTCCGAAAAGCAAAACACACCTTCTATATTACGAAAGTGGATAAAGTAGAAGATATAAACGATGTATATCGAATGGCCAAATGGCATCAATCCACAGGAATATACCGTACCCCCCCTTTAGCAGATCTATCAAAACAAACCATTGCAAATACTATCGAAGAGAAAAGAGAAACCTTCGCCAACAACCTACTGACAAACCTAGCCGAGGTTGACGACATCCCGTTCGATACCCCTACAGCCCCAAGCAGATCTATCACCTTCCCTGATATAGCTATACAAGATATAGAGCTGGCCATTTTAAAAGCAGGGAACACAGCACCTGGCGCAGACGAAATCCCAACAAAAATCCTACAAGTCGCATGGCTACAGATAAAAGAAGTAACCCTATCCCTTTTCAAAGGCTGTCTACACCTAGGACACCACCCAAAATGCTTCCGATTAGCTACCATCGTAATCATCCCTAAACCCAACAAGTCAGATTATACCAACCCAAGATCATACCGACCAATTGCCTTGCTCTCGGTCCTAGGCAAAGGCCTCGAAAGACTCATTGCGAAGAAGGTATCATGGCTTGCTCTAAACTACCAAGTCCTAGCGAACCAGCAGCTCGGAGCTCTACCCTTGCGATCCTCAGTGGACCTCACCACTTGCGTTACACACGACATTGAGGCATCCTTAAAACAAGGGGTTAAAGACCACCCTGCTCACAATGGATGTAAAAGGTGCTTTTGACGCAGTGCTACCAGGAAGACTAGTGAATCGCCTTCGGGAACAAGGATGGCCAAACAACCTGGTTAGATGGGTTCAGTCCTTCGCCACTAATCGATCCATCAAGATCCGACTAGACGGCGAGACTGGCCCGGAAACAAAGCTAGAATGCGGTCTTCCTCAAGGTTCACCGATCTCCCCGATCCTGTTCATGCTCTACATCGCGCCTCTCTTCTGGATGGGCAAACCACAGAGCAGATTCGGATATGCAGACGATATCGCGATACTAGCGACATCAAACTCACTACAGACAAACTGCGATTCTCTAAAAATGGATATGCAAGAAACTCTCGAATGGGGAAAAACCGAAGGTATCACTTTTGACCCCAAGAAATCTGAGCTTATACACTTCTATAAAGGACACCGAACACTAACGGATACCCCTGCAATACACACCGGATCTATGAATATAGAGGTCAAACCTGGCCCGCTCAAATGGCTCGGAGTCCACTTCGATAGGAAACTATGCTTCAAACCACATGTCCAGATCCTCGCAGCCAAAGCCCTCAAGGGAGCCAACGCACTGAGATCCCTCAGCAATACACACCGAGGGATACCCCCATATCTCACCAGGAAAGTGGCTGAAGCCTGCATACTCAAAAAGTGCTATTTCGCCTCGGAAACGTGGTGGCCAGGCCGAACCAGAACAAAGAAGAATGCCCTAAACAACCCGATCTCGATCTCAAATGTAGTGGACAGCCATCTAAGCTTACTCAACAAAGTGGTAATCACCTGTACAAGGGCAATCCTCCCAGTATACAAAACCACAAACACAGCAGTACTCTACGAGGAAGCCAAACTCAGACCATCCGAGATCGAGCTAAACCTGATTTCACAATTATATGCGGCACGAACCACCAGACTAGACCTTTACCATCCTCTCAGGATCAGAGCAGAGAACATAACCAAAGCCAGAGAATATAACCGCACCCCAGATACAAGATTCGCAAGGCTCATCACAGCATTACCGGAGACTGAACACATAAACCCCTTGGCCTTCCCACCCTGGGAAATCAGAGAGTCGAGGGCAGAGGCCGAGGCCCGCATCAATGGTCCGATGGGCAGAACGAAGGCACAAGCAGCCGAAGACTTCAAAGCCTTCCACGCCAAGATCCCAAGAAGCGATATACAAATCTTCTCGGATGGCTCAAAAAGTGAAAGCAAGGATGGCGCAACTGGGGGCGGATTCGTAATCTCACAATTCGATATTCAGATAGCACACCATTCTTTCTCATTAGGCACAAATGCAGAAGTGTTCGATGCAGAAGCCACAGCCGCAGTAGCAGGGGCAGCAAAAGCCCTCACTCTAGCATCAACCAAACTGGCCACAGATCTCTGGATCTTCTTAGACAACCACGAGGCTGCTCTCCGATTAGGATCCCACTTCAATGGTTCCTCACAGAGAGTCTTTGAAGACTTTCTGAAGCTCACACAAGCTTGGGCTGTTAGACCAAGGCTCCCACACACCTCCCCCGGGAAAATCCGCGTCCGATGGGTCCCAGGGCACCTGGATATCCCTGGCAACGAAATAGCTGACAAAGCCGCTAAGGAAGGAACAAAACTCCCCTTTCCCCTCAACCCGATCTGTACGCTAGCATCCCTAAAAAGAATGATCAGAACAAGGGCCAACAAAGCAGACGAACAATTATGGAATACAGTCAGCCCACAATACTACAAAGATCTCCAATTCAACCACACTTCTAATACAGACACCCTCTCTCTGAAGAGAGCCACACTCCACCATATTCTCGCTATCAGATCACAGCATGGCGACTTCGCAGCATACCATGAACGCTTCAATCACACTACAGCCCACGTCCATTGCTCGTGCGGTAAAAGGAAAACTCCATTACACTTTTTCTTTTGCAAAAAAGGAAAAGCCTTCAAAGCGCTCACAAAGAGCCCCCCCTCCGAAGCTATCCCCTGGCTTCTAAGCAATCCCACCGGTATAGCCAAACTAGCCGAATGGCTAGAATACACCAAATTCTACACAAAAATCTGCCCGTGGCACACAGGTGCAAGATAAAAAAAAAAAAAAAAAAGAACTTTCTTTCTTTCATTAGATTCAAACAGAGTTAATAAGTCTCTAAAGGTGCTTTTCCTCCCTCTTCTTTCCTCTCTTTCATCTTTCCCTTTTCTTTCATTAAAAAAAAAAAAAAAAAACAAGTATGCATACGAACAATCTAAACAAGTACGAGGAGACAGGGAGAGAGATCAAGAGGTAGTGATCTAGTGGACGAGGATGACCACAATTACAACCCCAAAAGGCCTACCGGCCCAAACCCCCCCTGCGAAGGCAATCATGTAAACCCTGCCCTAGCCCCCTTTAAATTGTATAAAAATACTCCCCCTAGCTAGCTAGTAAACCACTCAGAGGCTTCTCCTCTGAGCGTCATTTGTCCAAAACTGGAATAGATGGCTAAGGTTATCACGCGCCAAGGCGCGTGGGCCTACGGCCTATGACGATAAACACAATCAATCAATCAATCGCTACTCTTGTTTTCCTTCTTCTTTTCTCCTTAGCTTAGTATTTTCTAATACAAGATACTTTACCCAGTATTCTTGAGTGTGACAGTAATACAATCAGACAATTGAGAATAGGCTATGGCAATTATATGTAGTAATGAAGAGGGTGAAACTCTACCTCCATTTCTGATAGTTCAAGGATAAGTTCATCTTTCTAATTGTGTGACCAAAAGGGTGTTTATAGACCAGCAATTGTATTTAACTTAGAATCTACAGGTGAAGAGCACCTGTAGATGGGGATAGCTACTCTATATATACACAAATGAATGGCCTAGCCGCAATGGCTAGGCAAAAAGAAGTCGTATTTATTCCTCCAATGATCTTACTTTACCGATAACCATTGATACCTAGTACTTGTCCGGATCTGATCCTCAGGTCACCTAAATCGCATACTAATCTCGAGTAATCGTATCATGTGTGGACATGGTTAATGTACCTGAGGTTTCTTATATAATAAAGGTGGGAGGAAAGCAGGGATTTCCGTCACACCGAAATAAATCTAATCGGGAAGGTGGGGCAATTAATCTTTGCCAATTCTTGGGGTTAACTTGAATCAATTACAACTTCATCTATTATTGATTTTTGATTATAAAATTAAGGATAATGATAATTCTATATAGCTAGATATTAGTTATTAGGTTTCTGTATTTTTAGCAGGTGTGAAAAAAATGTTCTGAGAGATAGGTAATTGTGTCCGAAATAAATCTAATCGGGAAAGGCAGTATGATAATCGGCAATATCTGACTTCTTACCAAATCAGATCCACAACACCACGAATCCTACCTTTGATCGACCATAACTTCTGTACCAACGTCTTGATGATAGAATAATTATCATCATTGTAATCCTCAAATCAAGGCAAATCGAATGATGTCAAAAAAAATCAAAACAATTTTTGCACCCTGGGCTAACCTTCACCCTATATTCAGTCTTCATGGAGGGGCTAATATAAGGACTTAGATATAGTTGATCCATGTTTATCTTTTAGTTTCTATTTCCTTTTCGATTATTTAAGGAAAGCTGTTTAATTGTGTTGATAACAATACTTGATATAATGTAGCAATAATGGTATCTTTTATTAGCCCAGAACTATCGTCGATGTAGTGTGGAAAATTGTACAGCACTTTACTAATGATTATCTTCGGATTGATACGAGTTTGTATCGCAAGATATCAAGAAAAATTAACATGGGTTGATCCCCAAGCTACACAATAGCCCATGAGTGGAGCGGAATAGCTTCGTTACTCTTCAAAGCAGCTTATCTGTAGCACATTCTATCTCGAGATGTTTCTGGTTATTTGAAGAATCCTATCTCGTGAAGTTCTAGCACCTTTAAACACCACGACTTCGCAGCTACAGTGGAGGTTTAGAGAGTGCAAGCTTCACATTAGATATACTTAATAGCTTGATGTGTAAAAGCGAAATTACTCAGAATCAATTTCTATCTACAAAATCTTCGACGGTTTTGGCTGCGCACTGGCCGTCTAAACTCAATTTTTTTAAGGGACATGGAAAGAAACTGTTAAGAGCGCCACGAGCTTTAGCGAGCCATTGAAGTTCTCGCTTAAACGGATGACTTTCCTGCAAACATCCTCCTCGTCATCATGATTTTCTATCATTCACCCCAGTAGGCTCAACAGAGGTTGCTCGCTGAGAGGAAGTTCCGATGGGGCTTTGGCCACGTCTAAATTGAATGGTACAATCGTGGTATCCGACGACGTGCGAGGTTGTTTCTTATGAGCAAACAACTCATCTAGATATTTCAACCACAAAGGTGTAGAAGCTGCGATTGTCGCAGAGTGATCCAGTCCCGGATATCTCATCAAATATGCAACATTGCCTGCATTCACGGTTGCCTGGAATGACTCTAAGGTATTTTGAGGGAGAACTGAAGTATCGTTCCAGCCCTGAATGATCAATATTGGCCTCGAAGCTGGATCGCCTTGTGCTGGGGCGTTCATATCCTGGAATATTTTGAAAAGTTCATCAGTCGCAGGTGTTCCATTAGCGGCTGCAAACTGGTCCCGTGGCAAGTCTAGGGAGAGGCCCATAAAAGAGAAAGTACATGACTGCATCATATTGGCCAACTCCACCCGCCTTCTCATCTCATAGGCGAACCATGGCGACGTGTAATTGGGAAAGAATGCTTTGAGGCCGTAAACAACCTGGCCAAGTTCGGCAGTAACGACAAATTGATGGAAATCAGGACGAGGGATTATGCGTTCGAAGGTCTCGACCGCCATGTCAAAAACCTTGGATGCGGGAGATATGGCAACTGTTCCAAGATATCCAGAGGTATGACTTTGTACAAGAGGATGCTCCGATAGCTTCCACACGGCGCCACCACCTTGAGAATGTCCTACACTCGCCCAGTCTTTTGTGAACACACCAGGAAATGCTTTCCGAGCTGCCTGAACGGAATAGAATACATCATTGGCATGAGCCGTAAAAGCAGTGTATTTGTGTAAGGTATAGTTGTTTCCGAGACCGGCGTAATCGGTGGCTACAACAGCATAGCCATTGTACATCAATGGAACCCAGCTATTATAATCATAAAGACTTGGGGAAGATGAGGGCGCGCATCCTCGATGAACACCAATTGTACCGTGGGCGAAGGCGATAAGGGGAAACTGGCTCCCATAGGCTGGTGAGGCAAAAGGAAATGCTATAAAGCCACTCGATGGTACGATAGTACCATCTAAGTCTATAGAAGTATACTGGAATCGAAAAGTTGCAATGCCATCGGGTATTTTCAGGACAGAGCTATCGACAGGCTGTACTTTTAGAAGATCGCCTGGAGCAGAGGAAGAGAAATTGTTTGCTGTGCTGTAGAAATCAAAGTCGAATTCTGTACCGGAGATTTCGAGGTCGGCAACATTAGATTCGGATAGGATTGCTTGACAGGACACATTGCATCCATATGATTGGAGCTCAACTGTACTGATATTGAAGTTTGTTGCTTGGCCGGTTGCTGATCTCGCTGGTAATGCCAGATATAGAAATGAAAGAATTGTAATGACGAGCATGATGGTAGAGCGAGTATATGCAGCTTGATAAAGATGGTGATTGGAAGAAGACGAGAAAAGAGTGTATTTATATATACTAAAAGGTTTAACAGGCAACAAGACGGGTATCCTCAGATCGGAACCTACGGATATTAAGTTCACGTAGCACTTTCGTTGAAACCTAATTAATAATAGTTAATGCTAAATGATGTAAGTATTTATGAGAATGATCCATAAATCCAAAAAGGATATTGCATGACCTACGAAACTCAATTTCCTTAAGATCTATCTAACTTCTCTTAGCGTAGAACGAGCCTTCCTACTGGCGACAGAAATATAGGAGTCCACTTACAAGGCCAGCTCGTACACCATTTGAAGTGGATCGGTACGAACGAGAACCGTAGTTCAGCCGTCGTATGGATATCGTAGGAACATTAGCCGAGTCTACGCATGTGCTGCACTTCAGGAAGGTTTGCAAGGCAATGGCCGTCTTAATGATCTAAGGTTCGGCATCGAATGGGTCTTTATACACAGTCGGATCTTAGTTGCTGCAGTAACGCAGGCATTTATGAATCAACTTCTGAGATTGATTTTGCGATATCATACTGTGAGCTAAACGGGGTCGTCCATTTCCTCTTCGGCTTCGTTTAGGAGTGGAGTATCAGGTACGACAAAATCGTTTAGTGATTCTTGGGAATTTAGAGATGACGAAAAGTGGAATATCTGAGAAAGAGGGATTCTGGAAGACATTGTGAACGTAGATGTGAGTGACTCACTTGATTTTTGGGTCTCCTGATGCGGGACACCAAGGCTTATTTAATTTTACAAGTATAAAAGACTATATAAGACGAGGAAGCTCGTGGATGCTGCTTCGAGCAACCCTTTTAGGAGAGCAAATAAACTCCTCTGGAAACCAGTCGCTAACTACTCCGTCTGGTTTCCAAATCTGCCCATTAGAATTGACACGTTCACGACCAAGAACCTGAAGAGCAACAGCCACCCCGCTTAGCCAGGTGGTAACCATGCCCGCACCATTGAAACCTGCTGCTATCCACTCTGCTGGCGCAGTATCTGTATCCACAGTGATCTGGTTGTTTCCTGCGTTCACAGCGCGCTTGGTTAGACTCGGCGAAAGTCTTCCAACGAGAGGCATGAAATCACAAGTCAGTCCCATCACACCGGTCCACATACTTTTGACGACAGAGCCATCAGCATCCTCTCCCCAAAAGCTGGAGCGGAAGGATACCGGAAGTACACCTGCAAGATAAGATCCGATGGGTTGCTCAATCTTATCATCGTCCCATTGACCAACTTCATTTAAGCCGGTGCCATCCATATGAACTGATCCACCTCCGGTCATAATCTCAGCCCCAAAACCATCCGCAGCATCGGGCTTTCCAGGCCGCTGCGAGATGTATTCATAGTCTCGGCTACCAACGATAGACCAAGAGATCGTACCGTTGTAGTGAGGAAAGGACTTTCCTGGTCTTTGAGCAGACATATGTCCACGCAAAGGAAAAAGTTTTCCAACCAACCCGGGCACCAAGTTTGCGGCGAAGGCTTCTGTTGCATGGACGACATGTGCGGCTGTGATGTTACCCCGTGAGGTGTTCAGAAGGAAAGGGCTGTCTGAGTTGCTCGTAATTTGGATTGCTTGCACCATGGTTCCTGTCTCGATAGAAAACTCCTCTGGAAATTTTGATAGCAGAGCCGCATATATAGCAGTGACAAATCGATACGGCCACAACGCGCCACTGGTGTAGGTAATCGCTCCATAGAACTGACTGCTGAAGCCGAATCGCTGCGGTTATTTAGAAAGTGCTCTTCATTGGAGATTTTGCAGGAGGCTTACCTTCTGGACCGTCTTTCCATCTAGAATTTCAATTCCTCTGGCAAGCTCAGGCAGATCTTCTCGCAGGACCCTTAGCATCTCAGTGGCCTCTTTCATCCTCTCCGCATCAGTGAAAGCATCCACTGTCGTAACGTCTCGTGCTTCACCTTCTTCCAACCCTTCTTCTCTTGATAGGTTGAGGAGGAAGGGTCTATGCCTCAAATAAAATTCCAATATCTTTTGCGCGCTTGCGGCTCCGAACCTATTCTTGTATCTTTTGTACTCATAGAAAGGGGTCACCTTGATATGTCCTCCATTCCTGCCCGTTGCACCGCTGCATATTGTCCTCCCCTCTAAAATAACTACTTTTATTGGTCTCCCAATAGCCAGACATTCATTCAGGATGGTATATGCGACACTGGCTCCGGTCATACCAGACCCAATGATCACAATGTCTGCACGTTGAGCTAGTTCCTCAGACTGAATATTTACAAGTTCAGGATGTAAAGGCTGCTGTTGCCAAAAAGAGCTTGTAGGATTTGCGTGGGGCAATTTTGCTTGAGTGATGCGACCAAGCAGCGAAGAGGCGGCCTTGTTGCTCTCAGTAATGATGGCGATGAGGCCCAAGATGCCGAAATAGCCGTCTCGCAAGAGTGAGAAGACACCGCCCATGATTGTATGTGCTGCGTATTCAGCAACAAGAAGATTGTTAAGGGGAGCGGCAGAAGTAGTTGCCGAAGTGATAGCACATGTACTGGCAGTAACGTGGCAGAAAGTTAACTTTTCTGACCTATGGGAGCCTCTCTCGAGGCTGTTGCTCGGACTGGCGCTTTGATAGATTCTGTCATCTGCGCTAAGCCAATCATACCGTTTTGCGCGCATGCCAAGGCTAGGCAGTTTAAGACAGGGGACAACTGATATAGATCCACCTGAGGATATGAGTCACAAAGGCCAATTCTCTTCATCCAACCCAAACAACCACGAGGGTGGATGCGTCAAGCCGCATCAATCATACTACTGTATTCCCCTAAAATCTTACCACGAGCGTCTGGCGAGGGCCACAAATATTCCAGGAAGCTGGCACAAGCTCTTGCAACATATATATCAACCCTGTTTGTATCAGGGAAATTACCTGCCATCACCTTCCTAGCGATCGAGTATGACTGCCTTCTGTCGTAGTTGTCAATGATAGTTTTGACCCAGTTTTCGTATTTCCCTTACGAGCCATGTAACTTCTTCTTTCCCGGTTCCGCCAATCGAGCCAGCCTCATTTGTGTTAGCATGCAATAGGACCAAGTATGCTTGGTGGATGGATGGAACTCGATGTGATTATCTCATTTATACATACAAGGAGTACAGAGAGTATGTGGCCAGCATGAGATGCTGACCGTTATACAGCCCTGTCAGTCCCTCCAGTGTTACGAAAATGTTTCCAGATATATGGTAGGTAATTTGTATTCATTCGCGAGTTTAAATTAATTCACCGTTCGTCTTGCTCTCTCCATTTTACAGTCGTCCATAAGCGTGCGTGTATATCCACATCCAGAAGCATTCTCTATGCTAGCCAACTTTTGATCCAGGAAAATGACCTCGGCTTCCCTTTCCGCAATCGATCGTAGCACCGAAACAGGCCAGCAGTAGAACCTGCCTAACGGTGTCGAAGTGTCGACCATCGCGACCGCCAAAATACCATCTTGAAGTAGAGTTCGAAGTGCGGCTGGACTGACTTGTGCTTCGAAAGCGCAGTTGAGGAGAATCTTGGCCGCAACAATGTACAGCTGAGTGGAAAATGTGTAGTTCTGCGCCCCAATCTCGTCATTACGATTATTAGTGGGCGGGATGCTCCTATGAGTCATGTCCAGGTCATTGAGCTGCTGCCAGAAAGACCCGAAACTTGCAGTAGAGGGCTTGGACCGGCACAGGATAGCAATCTGTAGGATAAGCTCAAATACGGCAAAAGGAACACCCAGAGTTGGAGAAACAGACCACACGGTCGAGTCAGGAAATGGAATGGCTTCGCACGTGCCCTTCAGCTCGCGAATAAGGCCCAGATGAGACTCGAGGATGCTGTAGTCCGAAGAAAGCAGGATATGGGCAGAGTGATAGAGGATCGATTCGGCGCAGAGCCGCTCAAATCCAACCTGAGAACTGGTCTGAGCAACTTTTTTATGCTGCCGACGAGTTTTGAACAAGTGAATAGCGGTGAGAAGATGTTGCTCGCCGGCATTTGGAAGGCCGTCTAACCTCCATCTCTATTGTGGTATCAACAAAATTTTGGATTCCCCCCTGGCAGGATTCAACAAAGGCATGTGCGTACTCACTTCTATCAAATCAAACAGGATCACAGTTCCGAGTATCCAATCCTCGGTACCGTCCACAACGCCTTCCGAGATCATTTGCCGTACTCCACGGATGGCCTTATTGTAGTATTCGAGGGCAATATTTCTGTACCTTGGCTGTGTCATCGAGAGATGCATCGCGGCTGACGCTGCTGTTGCAATCGAAAGCGTTGGGTACGTCGATAACCATGAGAACTGATACGAGTAATCCAAGTATCCAGGGTGTGCATACTTGTGAGTTGTGCTTGGTATGACCTCACGCTGATAATATACGAGCATGAGATAATGATCATCTTCCGAAGGACTTTTGATAGGGTTGGGGTAGTAGTTCGAATGTCGTGGCTTTCCATCAGTTTGACAGAGTACACTCAACCATTTCGGCTTAGGAAGATCAGAAAGCGTGTCACTTGACGTAGTATACGAGGATGACGATGCTGTATTATCGAATGGCTTGTGCATTTCATAACCATTGCTGCATTGTCTGAAGGGTGTCTCTCCCCAGCAGCAATCAACCTTATTCCGAGTGCAATTCATGCAACGTGGCTTGCTTTCATCACATTTCTTCCGCCGCTGCCTGCCTGAACAATGAATGAGCATTAAGCACGCTAAAATAAATGCAGAAGGGTGAATAGAAGCACATACATGTCAAACACCCGGTTTTCGTTCTCAGCCTCGGCAGTGGCCGCGATCGTCGCTGTATCTTCTTAGCAGCCTCGCCAGATGGCCGCGCAATGCGGATGAACATGGACTGGGACCGACAGTTGGAAATTGGATAGTTTAGGCTGTTATAGAGCTGACTTCGTATGAAACTCACAAGCGATCGTGGCTATGGTGATGGAGGTCCGTCATACACTATATAGCTCGGGGTATGTGAGTTTCCAATATCTGGAAGTCTAGGGCAAGGTGTAGAGGACGGCCCTCGCGTCAACCCGTAATTCGTAGCGTCACCTTTGGTACTGGTATCGTTATTGTAAGGTTAAGTTAGCAAATGTGTGTGTGTGGTTTTCACTTAATGTAGAAGCAGGTGCAAGATGAAGGTGGAGATGGAACAGCGGCGGGCCTTATGAAACAACCGCTGGAATGGAAAAAGGACAATGGCTGGTATGGGCCACCGTGGATCGGTAGATCGGGAAATAATTGGCCAGATAAAAGAAGGATCATTATGATAGGTGCGATAAGTTCAAACACTCTGCTTCGCCAAGAATCTCTAACGTGTCTGATTATGCGTATTTACCGACTACAAGTGTCCAAACTGCGCAGTATTGGAGGCCTATAGCGGCTGATTAGGCAGCTGGAACCGTGTATAAAATAACCAACCAACCAACCAACCAATCCTTGGCATTGTGCGATATAAAATCACGTGACAGATGTTGTATGATAGTAAACAAGCTAGCCAGGCTACTAAGGCCTTTTTAAATCTACATCGAAGAAAGCCGTAAATAAGCGATGACGATTATGTCTAATTGATATACTGGCGTATAGAATTTCCAACTAAAGAGAGAAGACAGAAGAGAAGCAGAAACTCTCTCCTGAAATACTAGTTAAGCCTATGTACACACATGATTGTATGTTACATGATTAGCATGTGAGGTTCTCAACTGTCACAGTGTCAAATGCATAAGTCAATAAAAAACGGAATTCGGAATACCGTTGATACCCAATAATCTAGCTATCATTGGCTATTGATATAGAAAGGATTGACTTTGAGTGGTTGAAAGTAATGCCGGATTTTAGAAAGTGTTGTAACGATATGGTACCAGTGTGTTATGTGTAGACCCACTGCTTGGCAGAATAGGATATCCATACTTTCATCTTGTAGTTTAGTTTTTTTCCTTCCTTCTTTCTTCAGCTTTATTATTATTATTCTATTAATGTCCTGTATCAGTCTATGACTATGTAGGACGGCTAGCATCCTATAGATATTAGCAGTTGGAGAAATAGCCTTTATGTCTATGTATAAGTGAGGAGTTTTGGTGAAATATGGATTGTAAGTGGGTGGTTTTCAAATAATAATTGGAGGATCTATACCTCATCCAATATGTCGAAAATGCGGATTCAAGATCCTAATCAAGACATTGCGTCTGCAAGACCTATCTCCATCTTCCTTTTCAATCCCATCCAAAATTTCTACAAAAGCAATATCCCCCTTCATTCTTTGCAAAGTTATGTCCTGCAGCGGTTTACCTGCTTCCATATCGAATATCTGAACCTAACAAACAGCGAGGCATTGCCTCCAAAGGGGCCCAACCCTAAGGTAGTGCATACATTCCTCGCCAAGTCCACGTCCGACACTTCATAAGCTCAAGGAGGTGTCGGTCCCTAAGTTTCCAAATAAAAGGTTGTTGCTTAAGTTAAAAAATCGGAAGACAGTGCGGTACGCCTATTGATTGATTGAATTAACGTCTACATTGAATCTAAGACTATTTAAGACAATTAGAAATTATATAAATAATTAACAAATAACGTGGTTTATCAGGACCCTGTACATATCAGGACCCTGTACACTTTTACCTCAATTGTCCACATTCCATTGAAATTGTTGGTACGAGAAGGATACGGAAGACGTAGCACCCACGGATTACGTAGGTCCTGTATGTCTAATTGTATTCTGTCTAAAGAGCTAGCTACATATTGAAAGTAGTAAGTCTTATATAGACTTACTAAAAGAGCTAGTCTCTTTCGCGTTCGCTTAGTTCTTTATTACAGTAGTAATTGAATTGAAGTCATTCACTTCGTTCACACAGAAATAAAATTACAACAATACTATAAATTAGAATTAAATTACATACAATTCAAAGATCAATTAATGCTAGATCGAACTGACAAGTTCGTGCATTATATGAAGCACTACCACATTTGCTACATCGTCGTATAGTAGCTTGCCTCCTTGCTGAAGAATCACCATTTGTAAATTCGTCGCGTCGTATCTGATCTTCTACATTCTCTTATTCTAATATATCATGCCCATCTTCTACTGAAAGTGCTTCTCCTTTTCGTATTAAAGCTTTTCTAGCTCTCCGGTGTTTACTAAGTGCTTCATTTGCTTTGCGGAGACTATGAACCTCAGCAGCTAAAAGCGTATTCGCATGAGTTAGGAGCTCTGTATCCTTAGCTAAAGCTGCAACTGTTTTAAATATTGGAGTAGATGAGCTCTCTTGATGCCGAGCAATATAACTTTTCATTAAAGTAGATTGAGAAAGAGCTTCAGTTGGATTGTGAGGTGTTTGAGATTGCTATATATCAGGATCGGCTGATATTGATCTATTTGATGGAGTTCTTATTCGAATATCTAGTTTTGAAAGTACAATTTCCGGATTAAATGGGATTAGCCCAGCTCCGCGGAACCCAGCTTTACCATTTGATATAGGTATTGCTTCAATATATACAGCTTTGAAGGCTTGAAAGAACTCGGTTTTGGTAATATGAGTGATATGCGCCTTGATAAAGTTCTTGATTTGTCAACTATATGAATACTTTAAAGAACCAAAACAATCGATATCGAGTGATTGAGTTAAATGCGAAGAATGAGATAGTAAACTAAGTAATATAATGTTGTGTTCCTCGCAGTATTCTTGAAATGCTGGCGATTTATGACTTTCATGCCCATCAAGCACTAGCATTCGATATCTACCCACTTTCCTACTTTCAGTATGTTTGTTGAAGTGCTTAATCCATTCAAGACCTATCTCATTATCTGTCCATCCATTGATAGTAAGTTTAATAAGCCAATCGTATAGTAAATCACCCTCGGTATACCAATTTGAAAGATGGTATTCGCCTTTTACTATCAAAAACGGAGGTATATTGTGACCTTCTCCATCAACACAAATAATCGCTGTAGCCCATTCTCGATTGCCTGGTTGTATAGCTTTGCTTTTTCCACATCGATCAGCTTTAGTAACTACTATATGTGGTGATATTTGTCCCATCATAAAGCCTGTCTCATCGAAGTTGTAGAAATCGCAGTCCAGAATACCATATTTGGCCCGCATATTCGATACCAATCGAAACCATCTTTCAATAAGCTCTGAATCTTCGCAGAGAGCTCTTTGAAAGTCATAAACGCGATTAAAACGCGTCTTTAATTCTGTATGTCGTTTCACAAAACGATGAGCCCAGAGCTTTCCAACCTTCTTCGCACCCCGCGTTTCGAGTATATAATTCGCCATATCTTCCACATCACTTATTCGAGGACTAAACCCTCTTTCATCCATATCCAATATATATTGAAGAAGCGATTTCTCCTCCAATTCTGTCATTTTATGATTTGCTGGTCGACGTTCAGTAAGAGGCAGAATTCCATTCATTCTAGAGGTAAGGGTAGTATGAGGTATATTATAGAGTTTTGCAGCTTTCCGAATACTCAAATTTTGAGATGTACGAATAGCCTCAATAGCTAAATTGATTCGAGCTTCTTTTGAAGTAGTTTGCATAATTAAATATTGATAAATCGCGTGTTGAAGTTGAAAGGTGATAATTGAGGTAAAAGTGTACAGGGTCTTGATATGTACAGGGTCCTGATAAACCACGTTACATTAACCATGTCCACACATGATACGATTGCTCGGGATTAGTATACGATTTAGGTGACCTGAGGATCAGATCCGGACAAGTACTAGGTATCAATGGTTATCGGTAAAGTAAGATCATTGGAGGAATAAATATGACTTCTTTTTGCCTAGCCATTGAGGCTAGGCCATTCATTTGTGTATATATAGAGTAGCTATCCCCATCTACAGGTGCTCTTCACCTGTAGATTCTAAGTTAAATACAATTGCTAGTCTATAAACACCCTTTTGGTCACAACTATCACACTCAAGAATACTGGGTAGAGTATCTTGTATTAGAAAATACTAAGCTAAGGAGAAAAGAAGAAGGAAAACAAGAGTAGCGAGTTTTCCTGTGATTAAATACAAACGGGGCATGCCACGTAACCCGAAGGTGTGAGGCGTCACATATACAAATCCTATACAAGTTGAAAATCATAATTTCAACTTTTAATTTCTTGATCAATAAAATCACAAAAAATCTGAATTTTTCAGAATTTACTATTGTATAAGTAATAAATATATGATTCAATTTTTTTTTAAATTATATCAATAAATAAGAAAGTTATAAAAATCGATTTTCGTTATTTTTGATGTAAAAGGTGTTACGAGGTTTGCCGTCTAGATCACGTGGAAGTGCTCTAGGCTCTCGAGGTGGTTTATAACTAGGCGTCAAGCAGGGACTTAAATAATGACAACAATGATATGCAACTCGTAACTAATAGTAGAGTATACTAAATGATTGATCTTGAGCACGAAGCTCTACAATAAGGAAACTCTTTCCAGTTATATAGATCTTCGTATTATACATTTGATTGCCCTCTATCGTCCTATTAAGGTGGGAATATTTCCCATTATAGTGGGATTCCTAGGCTCGGTGGGAATCCTTGATTATGTGCTTTCGATCAGATTCGATGTCTATGCTTGCTTAGGGTGGGGAGACCATATAAGTCAATTGCCATATAGTTTAGTATGTGAATCTACTTGCTTTTCCACGTGGTCCAAGCTCGTATGGACAGATCAGCTGTTATTTCGTAACAGGTACTAGACTTACAGTGGAGAAATCATATGAGGATGAACTGGCCAATGTGAAAGAAAAGAATCGATCACTCAGAGAAAAAGCACAAAAGCTCAAGGAGGAAATGAAACAATACATCCCTCCGGGACGAGTCCTCATCCCTCCAGACCGAATCTCCTAATTCCTTCATTCATTCTCCCTCAACAATTTACTCCTCTCCTGTCACATTTGAAGATGCCATACCAGAATTCTCGACTCCCCGCAATAAAACAAAACAGACTAAGCCATTAGATTCCGCTGATAGACTCGCTGTTTATTCTTCTTGGACGTCGCCCGAAGTAACATATCAATCACAAAGAATGAAATCAGAAAGGGACACAAAAGTGGATGACACAATCACATCATCTCAAACAATCACACCGTCTCAAGCAACAAATTCAACTTAGACACCAACGGTCAATCGAAGAATTGGTAAATTCCGTCCAGTCTTTAACCTCAAGAGAAAGACACAACATGAACCGGCCGAATTTCGAGGCCGGGAAGAAAAGAAAAGAGACAGAAGAAGGAAAAGGAGAAGATGACATCTACAGATAGTCGTACCGAATGATTTAAAATTCTCTTCCGCATTAGATTGGTCAGAGTAATTAAGACAACCATCTTGGAGTGACTTGGAGTGGTTTAGAACAGGAGGATGAAGAATGATGAATCTGGTATCGGTGTTCAGAGGATTTTAAGTGGGGCAATCATCATCCACCATGTACAGAACTAGCATTCGAGAGAGGGCAGATGAGTGAGGAAATCTTGAGTGAATTAAATATTCTCAATGATGAAGCGATAAGAGTCAAGGAACAAGAGGCAAAGGATATCCTGTATTGTTAATACATATCAGCGTGAGAGACCTTGTGATAAACTCTCGAATCTATGACCGATGTCGAATCTTCAGGAACTCAGACAACGTGCAGCAATTTTTCAAACCAGATTGATCTGAGCATTTTTGAAGGGTGTTTGAAATACTTGGGCTTGGTTCCTACATTTAAGGCAACCATCAATGATATCAGTAACGCCATGATGACTTCCCATGAGAGAATTGTTGAATTGGGAAGAAATAACACAGCACAAAAGATTTTATCAATCCACTATACTTATGGACTTTGATATGTTGAAGGAGATGGGAAGAAAAAGGGGAGCTTAATGATAGCTAATCATCATTCAAGGATCACCAGCACCGAAAAGAAAGGTATCGAATAAACCAGACTCCAGTCAAAGGAATTAACTCCTGGATCCCTTCTTCTTACTATGCTCCTCTACGTCAAACTTTGATGAGACCAAATCCTTCTAGCCACACCTTAGATAATCGGAAAGCCTCTTTGTATGTCCCTAGCTTGGACAATGAGAAAGCCTAACGCAGTCAATCGTGAGCATGTTTTCTGACCCGTAAACAAATCGATTCTTCATGTTCTGGTTAGAGAATATAATCAAAATTTGCTCTTTGAACAGATTGGTTAAAGCAAGTTCATGCTTTATTGTTGGGGACCCAACTTATATCTTGTAGTTGGCTTTGCATAATGTCATCCTCATGAAGAAGATGGGGAATTCATTGGACTGGGTGATTCTCCAGCTCATATAATTCTACTAATGTTAATGGAATTAATAGAAAGTCCTATATTTACATTGATTGCGAAAATCATTTCAAGCTCATTAATCCCCTTCGACAGTTGAGAGGGGATATGTTCATGGACATTGTTAGACTCAGATCTCTATGAATCGATTGTCAAGTTCATCCTCTGACATCCTGGGAACTCGGTCTTCATATCATCTCACAAACAAAACAAAATTGCTGTGATTTGAACTTGTTTTAGAGGTAAATAGTTGGGTCATTGGAAACATATATGGATACGAGGGGAGGATGATTTCGCGTTTTCAGAATGGTTTTGAGATGGAAGTGATGGAGACTTTGCATGATGGAGGGATATTAGAGGTCGAAGCAAGAGGAAAATGCCCAAAGAGTTGGTGCTTGTATAAGACGGAAATGAATGATGAAGATTACTTAGAGTACGTTTACTTGAATCATAAAAATGTATACAGGAAGCGATTGACTTATATCGCACGAGAGGTGGATATGATATGGATTGATTTAACAAAGGGTTACGATCTTTGAGTGAAGGCGGGGTTATGATCACTTTTGCATTTCAAAAACAATTGATTCTCATTTCTAGTGTTCAAACTGAAGCCTGAATTTTGTAAAGTCAAGTAGAAACCTTTCATTCAAACTTATTAGGTTTCCAGGACCACAGATATTCAATTCTTAAAGACCAACAGAGCGATGGTTATCAGCATCACAAGACCAATGGTTTTACTTGTCGGGGTAACCTTAATCTTCTTTCTTGCCTCTTCTGATTCTCCTTCGGACTTTCGCTTCTTGTCGTTTTTTTGGGAACTGATGCAGGATCGATTGCAGCTTTATTTGAATCTTCCATGATAACATCTTCGGGTGCATCTGATGGTTCCAACTTTGATGAAGTATCTTGCTCACCATCTTTCTCCAACTCTTTGGGTTCAATCATCTAATCATCACCATCCCCGCCAGCTTCATTGGGTTCCTTCATTTCCTCCTCGACGACGGGCGGATCTAGAAGTCGTGTAACATTTCCCACTCCATCAGTGATAATTGCACCGGATACAATTTGAATTATTGAAACCAATGAGCGTTTAAAATCCATTGTTAAAGTACAAAAAAGTCTTACAATTTCCACCGGCCTTAGCTTGATCCAATCCTCTGAAAAAGTGTCTCAGTCTCATCAATTCTTCACCCAACTTGTTCTGACCTTGCCATTCTGATATAGGTGTCTTGGCGGTAGCTTTGACAGTCTTTATACCCGATGCCCAAACTCGATCATCTCTAGCTTCTATCAAAACTTTACTGCCAGTAGATATGAGCTCATTTCTAATATCCGCATTATGGTTAAACTTGAAATAGAGTGCGTCAGCCATGACATGTCTAGAGATCTGGTCCCATCTGGCAACGGGCAAATCTTTGATGGCGTTACCCAACTTCTTGGCTTCTAGACCGCTCCTAGTATGGGCAATCTGCATAAACTTTGACCTGTCCTTGACAACCCATGCTTTTACAGCCTGAAAGTATCTATTAATGATGTTAGCATAGAAGCAAAAAAAGGTACATAGAAGCTACTCACGCCTCTGCACAGGTGTAAGTAATCCCCTGATCATCCTTAAACTGCTCCATATAGAAGTTGCTCAAGTAGTTCTATGGGTCGCCAGGTTTATGCCCAGAGAACAACACTGTATTTTTTGGCACTTTATCACCTCCTGCGTACCACACCGTAACCGAATCCTTATTGGGAGCCATTACCTTTTCAAAAGTCTAGTTAGCGACGTGCATTCGTTGACGAACGTGAAGATTGTGGACGTACGTTTGCAGAGAGGATTTGAAGTAAATGGTGTGTGTCTTGAAAAGCCTAACTCTAATGTCAAATATTAGTAGGAGAGATAAAAGTAGTTTTTGCTAGCTTACCGAAGAGGGGGAGGGGGCGGGGGATAGGGTGTTGACCTCCTGGGATCTTGGCAGCATATGCATATATAGTGCATATGCATATAAGGAGCAAACAAAACTCAACTTTTAATTTATTCTTTCCTTTTTGGTATACTGTTTGTTTGCTTTCAATATTTTGATTTCAAAGCACTTTAATTCCGAAGGCCGAATACCTAACCTATTCCTTCATTTTTTTCAATATATACTCGCAGCTTAACTGCTCAGCTAGAAAATCTGTGTGAACGAAGTGAATGACTTCAATTCAATTACTACTGTAATAAAGAACTAAGCGAACGCGAAAGAGACTAGCTCTTTTAGTAAGTCTATATAAGACTTACTACTTTCAATATGTAGCTAGCTCCTTAGACAGAATACAATTAGACATACAGGACCTACGTAATCCGTGGGTGCTACGTCTTCCGTATCCTTCTCGTACCAACAAAATCAATCAATTCAATCTGATGCTCTTTCTAGTCTCAAGAAACCCAACACATCTCTTGGCATAGTGCAATGAAAATCTCATTTAGCATATTGAGAGGCGCGTATATTAAGAACTTCCTTTGCATTTGTATCATATATATTAGAAATCATACAAGCGAACATGGTGAAATCTCATACCAAGGAGCGATAATTAAAAGCAAGGATATCTTTCCTCATTCTTCTTCCTACGCATAATCTTTTAGTATTATATTTCTTGAGTACATATAAAACAGGGCTTGCTATTTGTGAAGAGGATTCTCTGATCCATCTTTTCTTTAATGCTTCGTCGATGTATTCCCTAAGCGTCCTTAGTTCAGGCTCCGACATCTGATAGATTGGCCCGAATGGAGGCGTCTTGCCTTCCTGCAATACTATCTCGTGGTCCCATGGCTTGTGTTCTGGTAAAGCCTCATGGCCCTTTCTTTATTCGAATAGTTTCTTGTACTTCTGGTATTGTCCCGGTATTGGTGCTTCTTCCTGTTTCTTTACAAGGGTGTTTTCAAGCACTTCTTCTGCTTATTCCTCATTTGTACAGGAGGTCACCTTCCTTCACCGTTAATGGAGGACCCTATACTGGGCGCCCTAAGTCGATAGAATTGTTCGCCTTCAATTCTCCATCGCGTGTGTACAGCCTCGCAGGCTCTAGCGCATCTCGTAGATTGCTTTTGTTTGGAAAGCATACAGCTTCTGTAGACCAATCGAGTTTGGAGTTGTGTGCCTTCAACTAGGTTATTCCTTAAATGATCTGTTGATTCCCTAATAGAATAATATCAAACTGGATAACCTTCTTATGCGAAACTATACTTATCCATACTAGGAGAGTCTCACTAGAAATTTTGCCGTTTAATCCGGCTAGTTGTCCGCCTATTAGCTGGAATTTATAGGGTCTCTGTTTCGTCTAGAGATGTACCCTAAGTACTTCACAGTTCCTGGTGCAATAAAATTTACCGTAGCTCCTGAACCGATTATAGCACAAATTTGTCGTCCATTTATCTTGGCATCGCAGTAAATCTGTCCTGCTTGCCCCATAATGTTTAATTGTTGGTTTGGACCAATTTGGTCAATTTGGTCAATTTGGTAATTTGGTTAATTTGGTAATTTGGTTAATTTGGTCAATTTGGTTAATTTGGTCAATTAGGTCAATTTGGTCAATTGGAGCCTTGCTTGGCTCGCTTTCTCTTAGGTAAGCGGCGTTGCGACCCTTCCTGATTCTGTCATCAAGTATGTCCTTCCATTTTGTATTATAACAATTGCTAGCTACTACCTTGAGTAGGCGGCCTATCTTGGGGGGTGGTAGTATGATCTGAGCGTTGATTCGGTATTCATCTCCCGTCTTTCAGCATAGAAAAAGGTCGCGATTTTGTAACGATCTGGTACTCTCTAGGCAACTGATGCCTTAGGCTCATTGGTTGGTATATTGTAGGTTAAGGATATATCACTGAGTATTCACTCAGAGGTGAAGTCGTTACTAGATCAGGTAGAATGTAGGTAAACTAATTGACAACTAAGTTGAGCATGAAGCTCCTAAGCTATGAAACTAATTAGAATATATACCGTTCTGTTTACTATGCCAATTGCTCCGGCTCACCTGGCTCATTGACTGATCACATGACCGCTGTGAAAGGGAACGATTATAAACTGGCTGTTATCCAATGAAATCCTCCCAAGGATTCTCCTATGATTATTTAATCACTGAGCCTAAGGTCCCTTGATCATATATCCATATGATTCGTGACAGATTTCTGTCGTCCGTAATGGGGTGGTGATAGCAAACCTCCCAGATTTCTCCTTTCACCGGTCCTTCCAAGTGCTTGTGACTGGTTCTCTCAGCAAACGAGTTGTTAGTGGTAACCCTGTACCACAGAATCTGATATTCATCGATGAACTTCACCTCGTAGGATTCGCCTTCTTCCGCGTCGGTCACGCTGGCGTCCTCGTCCATCGTTCCCTCGTTGGTATCTGCGAACTTCCAGATACGACGGTTCCATGCGTCTATCTCACGGATAGTCCATAGTTCTCCGAGATTAGGGCTTCGGTCAAGCCATTCGAGGTTCTCTTCTACCTCTGGTTCTTCTTCGATATAAGCCGGCGGTTGCTTTGTAGGGAGCTCGGTTGTGCTGACTGCTCATAATTGAGGGATAAAGGTGGCATTAAGTTGGCCCTTGTCGAACTTCTTGTTGAAGCCTCCTCTTCCTGGTGTCTTATCGCTCTGACAATCCCTTGCTTGATGGCCTGCCTTGTTACACTTGAAGCAAAGCTTTTCCTTGCGCCTTCGTTCTACCTCTTCCTTATGTAGTTTATTCCTGAATGTCGCGTTCAATTGTATTGAATCCTCGTAGGACTGTTTGTTGTCTCGAGGTCTTCCCCCATTCTTGCGGTATTTCCCACGATCTCGGTTGCCGTGGAAGTTGGAAGATCGGCGTTCTTTTTGGTATTCGTAAAGCATTTCGTCCATCTTAACAGATTCCTCGATTAACTTATTCAGGTCTTCTCAAGTGCAATTTCGATCCAATTGTAACCTAACTTCTGCCTTGAGCCCTTTCCGATAGTGGCTCATTGTTGCGTTTTCTTCCCAACCAGTGGTACCTATGTACCTTCTGAATTTGTTGACCTCCTGGGATCTTGGCAGCATATGCATATATAGTACATATGCATATAAGGAGCAAACAAAACTCAACTTTTAATTCATTCTTTCCTTTTTGGTATACTGTTTGTTTGCTTTCAATATTTTGATTTCAAAGCACTTTAATTCCGAAGGCTGAATACCTAACCTTATTCCTTCATTTTTTGAATATATACTCGCAGCTTAACTGCTTAGCTAGAGAATCAATCAATTCAATCTGATACTCTTTCTAGTCTCAAGAAACCCAACAGTTATGAGCCCGGTGCTGACTTTCAATTAAACATCCTGCACAATACTTGATTCACATATACCGAAACTCTACGATACCTTCAAGTTTCACTCTTTTAAGAATTACCTTACGTAGTGTGGTTTCTATAAAACCCAAACCTCGATAATTCTGACTTTATTTCTTCAATATGACTACAGGCGATAATTCAACTAAAATCATCCTTTCCTCACCAGAGGATTGGAATAGTTGGATTCGAAATGTTCAGCGTATTGCAGAATCCGGCGGCATCAAATGCTGGGTATACCTTGATCCCACTACAACAGTTGTACCTATACCAGAGTTGCTAGATGAACCAGAGCTACCCACAGTTGATGAAAATGCTTCTGAGGCTGTTATTGATAGGGCTTTAAAGCAATATCAGATGCAACTAGAGAACTATCGTATCAAGAATACCAAATACGAGAAAATCAACAAGGCCATTTCAGAGGTTCTCAAGTACATACTTTCATCAATCAACCGCAATTGCGAAAAGTTTATTAGTACCACCAGTATCACAGCACCTCAAGTGCTTGCTGATTTACGCAAAAGGCTAGCACCAACTGATCGTGCGAGAGAGCTTACCGTCGTAGCACGATACAATTGTGTAAAGCAACCCTACAAATCCAATCAGGATATTTATGAATGGTTGAACGAATGGGAACTCATCTACACTGAGGCTAAAACTCTCAATCTGCCAGACGTCGATCGAAATCGAGCTGCGTTCGACTTTTCTACAGCCCTTATGAATCACAGCTCCTCTTGGGCAACTTCAACTCTGTTGGAGATCACCAAAAAGCTCAAGAATCAGCCTGAAGAAACGATTGATGTGTACGATTTAATCGAAGACTTTCGAAACTACACTCGACTCACACAGGCATCAACTACTTCAACCTCTTCTACGTCATTTGCAACCTATAAGGATGGGAATAAAGATAAAAAGGAAGGAGAGAGAACCTGTCTATGTGGCAAGAAACATCTATATGAAAAATGCTACTATCTATATTCGGATAATCGACCAAGGAACTGGAAACCAATCGATGCCGATATTGAATACTTCAAGAAGTTCTGGGGAAGGCAATCAACAAAACGAAGGAACTGGTTTGTTCGTAGACATGAAGGAACTAAAGAACTTCTCAAGCTAGCAAATCTCTCTTGGGATCCAGCATGGAAGGAAACATTGACTAATCCTTCAGAATCTGGAAAAGAGAAAGATAAGGATCTTGGGGCTTTTCTCACTAAACAAAGTCCTACCTACAACAATGCTAGCATCCTTCACAAATGGCTAATTGATAGCGGTTCCGATACCCATGTCACCAACTCTCTACACAACTTTGTTCTTGAAGAGTTTGGAAAGCCATCCGATATGATAAGCGCTGGAAGGGACCGATTCCAAATTGAAGCATTCGGTACTATCACTATGTTGATCAATACACCAACTGGGCCAGGGCAAATAACCTTAAAAAGAGTGGCGTACATCCCAGGGTTTCTTACAAACCTAGTCTCTCTAGCTTTACTCTCAAAGAAAGGTGTACATTGGAACACTGAACACCCAGATGTCCTTACAAAAGAAGGCATTGCATTTATTACTCTGAAGCAAACAGGAGACCATTGGACCCTCGATCCTATTATCCCTTCTCAGCATGCTTCGTTTGCCACCAAAAACCACACCAAATCAATATGCCGAAAGGTTACAACAACAGAGTTACATGATCTTCTAGGCCATCCTTCTCTCGAAGCCCTTCAGCACCTAGAATCAGCAACTACTGATATCATTATCGACAAAACGATTTCGACACCTTCCTTCTCTACCTGCAAAGTTTGTAATCTCTCGAAGGCTCAACAGATTATATCTCGTAATCCAAGGAAGGAGATGCCAGAGAACGGCCATGTCGGAGATCGATTGGCATGGGATCTGTTCGAGATGGATGAGGCTTATAATAATACCCGATATATCAGCCACTTCTGGTGTACGACACACAAAATACAATGGGTGTATGTTCTAACTAGGAAAACAGAGATGATCGATATTATGGATACTCAATTCTCTCTGATACAAACACAATTCGGCTCAAAGGTCCGATTCATACGCCTCGACGGTGAAACTACGTTAGGGGGCGACTTCAAGAGGATCACAGACAAACGTGGCATCATTGTCGAACGCACTCCACCAGATACACCAGCACAGAATGGCGCTGCAGAGAATGCTGGTAAAATGCTCATGGTCAGAGCAAGAGCCCTCCTCCTTTCAGCAAACCTACCACAAAACCTTTGGCCAGAAGCAATTAAAACAGCCGGTTATCTTGAAAACCGTACTCCAAAAAGAGCTCTTCAATGGAAAACACCATTTGAAAGTGCTACTGGCAATAAACCTTCGCTAGCACATCTACATCCATATGGGTGCTTGGCATATGTGCTCAACAAGCAGATTCCAAGACGTGCGAAGATGCAACCTCGTGCAAAACTGGGCTATCTTGTAGGGTATGATTCAACGAATATCTTCAGGATCTGGCTCCCTTCCATAAATCGCATCATTCGAAGTAGGGATGTCAAATTTGATGAAACCCGGTATTATCGACCAGAAGATATAGATATTGGCTTTCTTATTAAGGATCAACTTCGGGATACTGCAGCTATTCACGAAAAGAGGGCAGAAGAGATAGAAATATCGAATCTGTTGAGTGAAGAATCAGATGAGAGTATTGGTGATATAATTGTAGTTGAAGGGCCATGGAACTTACAACACAATCGCTTAAACGAGCGACCAACGAATGAAAGCTCTTCAAACAAGACGGATGATGGTATTCCAACCAATGAGGGGGTTCCTCAAACTAACCCTCAATTGCCAACGCCTAGAGCAACCTTATCACCAGAAGCACTTACAAGACAATCTACTGGAGATGTTCCTATACCATCATTACCGGAGTCAGAACTCTCATCTTCCCCATCATCATCGTTAAGTCAACATGATATCATCACTACAACATCATCTCATAATACAGCACCTTTGGCAGAGCAAATACGTGCCGATATCGACGTATCCCATATAATTCAGGGTTCTAGACGTTCACAAAGGAAAGAACATCATGCTGCAGCACTTTCATCACTTCCTCAACTATCCAGCTACTTTGCAGCATTTGCTATCGGAAGGTCTAAATTACGAACTCCTAGATTACATCAAAATGATCTACCACCTCCACCTCGATTTTATCATGAGCTAGTACATACATTGCAATACCTTGAGAATACCAAATTCTATGCTATCATGTTCGATGGGAAGAAAGCAACAACTACCAGGAACTTTCAAATCTGGAGTGACGCCTCCCATGCTGACGATATCGATACAAGAGTTTCTTCAATGGGATATTGCCTCATACTCTTTGGAGGTTTGATCCACTTCAAAAGCACTAAGCTGAAGTCGGTGACTACTTCCAGCACACACTCTGAAATACTGGCTCTTTCCGTTACTGCTCGAGAGCTTATGTGGTGGATACGCTTCTTTAAGAATGTTGGTTTAGATCTCGAAGAAAAGGCTTCAATTTTCTGTGATAATCGCCAAACCATTCGACTTCTTCAGCATAGTACTCCTAGACTTGTTACAAAACTCCGGCATGTTGATATACACTCCTGTTGGCTTCGCCAGGAAGTGCAAGCAGGAAGGCTACAAGTCGAATGGGTTCCAACTACTGAAATGGTTGCAGATGGTTTCACTAAACCTCTACCACCACAGAAACACACTCATTTTATCAATCTTTTGGGAATGGTTGACATTCGGTCTCAGGTTCAGGAATAACCTCATTATTAACTAACTCGGTAATCCCTGAGGGGGCGTGTTGACCTCCTGGGATCTTGGCAGCATATGCATATATAGTACATATGCATATAAGGAGCAAACAAAACTCAACTTTTAATTCATTCTTTCCTTTTTGGTATACTGTTTGTTTGCTTTCAATATTTTGATTTCAAAGCACTTTAATTCCGAAGGCTGAATACCTAACCTTATTCCTTCATTTTTTGAATATATACTCGCAGCTTAACTGCTTAGCTAGAGAATCAATCAATTCAATCTGATACTCTTTCTAGTCTCAAGAAACCCAACAGAATTCCACAGCGTACTTGACTGCTGACATGTTTGCTTGAGGCCATAGATCTTGGACTCAGCGCCACGCAATTCATTGATATTCCCGAATACTCGCCGTATTCTTTCTTAAACCCTTCGAATTTCCCAAGAGTGGTCTGAGTGAGATACAATCGTTTCTTAGGCTCGCTCAAGTTGGTGAAGTAATTCTTGAGGTAAGGTTGGATCCACTTAGCGGCTTCTCCTCTAAGGTAGAAGGCAGCCCAGACGCTTTTGTCGGCGTCATGGTTGAACTTATCCTGATTGAATTGGAAGTAGATCTCAAGTTGAAGCAAGAAGGTTTCTAGCTCTTGTCGGTTGCCTGTAAATCGGTCTGACATGGCGACTTTGAGAGTCTCAGTGACGGTAATCTCCTTGGGGTCTTCGATACCTCCCATGGCGATGTCTCCGTCCTTGTCGGTGCTTTCGGGAGTGACCTGGCTGGTCGTGGCGGGGTTGCTAGGCTGTGGTGTCTTGGAAGACATGATGTCGTTACTATCGAGTCGGTACTTGAAGCAGTAATGGTGCTCAAAGTGTTACGAGGGTAGCCGTCTAGATCACGTGGAAGTGCTCTAGGCTCTCGAAGTAGGTTTATAACTAGCCGTCAAGCAGGGACTTAAGTAACAACAGTAATGATATGCTATTCGTAACTAATGGTAGAGTATACTAAGTGATTGATCTTGAGTACGAAGCTCTACAGTAAAGAAATCCATTCCGATTATATAGATCTTTGTGTTCTGGCTCTAGTGGCTCTAATTAGATTACGTAGAGCCAGTCACATGACTATGCTGATCCCGTGATTTAGTCATGTGATGCGGAATATGTTACCCGATGTAACACAACGTGCATTCCCTGTTGAGCTGAATGCTGGAGATGAGTAAGAAGGGCATAACTCCTTCATATCGTCGTGCTAGATCGGGTCGTCCCGTACCTTAGCAGCCAAAGCTTTAAGATCACACCACCTATCAGGTATTTCAGCTTTAGATCTATCTTTTATACTTAGTAGTCAATGCTCTGATAATGATATGAGTGATATTGCTGTCATCCATTTAAATCAAATAATAGAGGTCAGTCCGGTTCGCCAGTTTTCAAATCAGTGATGCGGACTTGTCCAAGAATGGCGCAAAGTAAAACTGCTCCAGACCTCGAATTGCAAGGAATCTCATAGCGGCTACAACATATCAGATCTCGTCTTATCAAGAACCTTCTTCCAAGCTTGATCCACTTTGGAAAGCGTTCATTTGCCAAATGAAAGACTGACGTAATATAAAGTGGAGAACATTGTCGAAACTCACCTAACCCAGCCCGTATTGAACCATAACCCCACTATTTATCCTAGACTATAGGAAGGCTTTGTCCAGACAGAGTTCTGTACTGGGATAGTGCTTTTGGGTATTATAATCATATTTAAGGAAAAGGGAAATGCAACTATACAAGCCGTTCATACACCTTCATCTTTTTTTCCAAGGCCGAAGGTCCTCAATAGACCCTTGCTAGAATTATATAAGCTGATCTTTGCTATTGGAACAGCATCCAAATTTAGAATAGAGTGAGGAAGGTCCTAATTGGCCTTGACAAAACAGGAAATGTCCAAAATAGTATATTCCCCAACACTTGTAAATTACTCCTTTCGATTTTTCCTATAATAAGTCTTTTACTAAAGATCAGTCTTTTCATATTCTTCAATCTCCTAATATAAATGTAAATTTCCCTCATTATAGAAAAAACAGTTAGTTTATTACTCAGTGGCTGCATCACAGAGAAAGTAATAATGCTATTGGTAAAGAACCTAGAGCAGAAACATACCAAACAAGCGCTGATTTCATTTGGCTTTCAGAGACCATTGTTAAAGCAAAACATTGATGAGCATCCGAAGTGGCAAGAGGTTCACATGGAGGTGGAAGAGATATGGTTTCGATTGGGCGATACTGTTAAGAAATGGAATGAACGGGTTGAAGTTGAGTTGGGTGTAGGTAGATGGGTTGAATAAGGAGTGTTTTGGAAACGAGATTGCTTGATGGAATTAAAAGAGCAAGTTGAGTGTTACGTAGTAACAGTCAACCTGTCCATATGAGCTCAGACCCCGTGGAAAAGCAAACCGATTCACATACAAAATTGTATGGTAATCGGTTCGTAGGATCTCCCCACCCTTAGCAAGCTTGGACATATAGTCTGATCAAAGTCACGTGATGGACCCTGCATATTCAGGGATACAAATCGTATGTCCATACGAATCGAAGGTCCACAAACTCTCAGGATCCAAGAGATCCAATGGAGGACGAAGGTCTATATAATCAGGATGGTTTCCTTTGGTGTAGAGCTTCGTGCTCAAGATTTAGTATACTCTACTATTAACGTCCGTCCCTGCGTAGCGAGACGCACCCCATCACGAGACAAATCACAGGTACTTCGAACTCAAGCGGCTCTAAATCCATGAAAGTATCAAATAATTTATATATTATCATTCTATATGTCTTGAATGCTTCTCTGGAATACTTCTAGCTTCTTGCTTCCGAAAATTTTCATCGTATTGTCGCCGTTCGTCTGAATCATGGATAGGCTCTTTAACACAATTAGGACCTCTCCACCCGCATTACTATTATTAAGATCTTTTTTCATTTTGAACTTGTATAACGACTGGATATGAACTTTCACGTCTTATCGCAATGCTGAGAAGTAAGTGCAAGTTTGGTGATGGGCTAGAGCATGCTATTTCATATGGCGTTGTCGCAGAGATGATACTTTTCCGACGAAGTAATTGAGGATATTAGTCAGCGATGGTGTAGTTCTAGCAATTTCTGTAAAAAATTTAATGAAGTCTGTGGCTGCTAAACACATGGTAATAGCGCTTGTGGCTTGATACAATCTCACCGAAGAATCCCGCTTCCCCGGTAATCTATAAATAGAGCAAAAAGTGGCTTGTGCGGAAATAGTCTACAACCTTAGATGTGTTCATAATTGTTCCGACCTTTTGATCCCACCTATAGCACCCCATTGCTTTTTGACTTTAAAGAAACCAGTGTTTTAACAACAAAAAGCAAAGTTCTCTCAGAATCCAGTTTGTATTGAACAAGGTCTCTATAAAATGAAGTATTCTTCCCAATTTTTATTTTTTTGCCTCAGACATATAAGTGGTTAATCAGATTACGCTACGACACAGCCTCATTAGCAGCGTTTGCGACGACGATTGTATGTCTTTCTTATACCCAATTCTTTAACATCTCAATCTTTAAACTTTTTAATCTTCAAAATCTAGACCTTCAAATCGAAGTGTTTACGAAAATTTGTCGAATCAGCGATACAAGTTGTATTTGTTACAATAACGCTTGCGAACCTCCAGTATATCTTTTATACATCTCTTGCAACGCAAACCTGACAGCGAGATCGTTTTTTGCGAACCGACTAGCGGCGAAGTCCCTCCTTACACTATACTATCGCATACATGGGGACCAAATGATGAGAAAGTTACCTTTGAGGATATCCTAAATAGTATTAGCGAGGTCAAGCCTGACTATGAGAAAATCCGATCCTGTGGAGAACAGGCTAGACAAGATGGACTAGAATACTTCTGGATCGATACTTATTATATCAACAAGAGCGATGATGCTGAACTCTCACAATCTATCAACTCTATATTTCGTTGGTATTGCAATGCAGTCCAATGTTATATTTATTTGTTGAATATCTCTAAATATTCCATTAGTAATAATTATAAATGTATTCCGCAACTATAGGAATCGGATTTATAAAAGAATAAATGGTTCACTTGAGGCTAAACACTTCCAAAGCTTCTTGCCCCAGTATCGATCGAGTTTTTTTTTCGGGAATGTGGATGGTTTGGTAATAAAGGTTCTCTAATAATCCAAATTGATAAGATAACTAATATTCCTTGTATAACGTTTGAGGGACAATCGTTGTTTCGATTTAGCGTCGAAGAGTAATTGCAGTGGATACAACACCGTCAGACTACACTGGCAGAAAATAAAGTGTATTCCTTATTAGGCATTTTCGATATCTATATACTTCCTATCTATAGCGAGGGATTTATATGTGTATATAATCAGCTTCTAGACAAGTTCTACAAGATGCAGAAATGTATCCAAGACTTACGTCTTTCCGATCCGCATAACAACAAAAAGCGTATTGAAGAAATGAAAGGCGATATACTATAGGGCTCATACAATTGGATCTTGGAAAACTCCGATTTCCGACAATGGCGCAACGATCAGCAGAGCCGGCTACTTTGGATCAAGGGCAATCCTGGCAAGGGCAAGACGATGCTCCTTTGCGGAGTTATCAATGAACTAGAGAAGTCTGGGGCTAAGCCGGTTCTTTTATCTTACTTCTTTTGCCAGGCTACCGACTCCCGAATCAACTATGCTACAGCCGTCTTATAGAGTCTGATCTATTTGCTTGTTGATCAACAGCCGTCTTTCATTTCGCATTGTAAGGGTTAGAACCCATGTGGATGTTCGGGCCACAGCCCTCGCTGAGCACTGACTTCTATGCTGTTCTCCATATTTCTAGAATCATCTACAGTCCTTTCTCTCTATTATATATATGGAGACACTTTCATGTACATAGTCCTCATGCACTTCTTAACAGATGTACCTGAACCTATGCCTTTGAGTTATTCGAGGTCTAGCCTCTCACATGTCCGAACAATATTTGAAAAGGATATTCCGTTTTGGATTAAGCAGAAGCCTATAGTAGAATCATATTGGAATGCGATGCTACAAACACTTGAAGGCTATACAAGCTACGTTCACTTAGTCGCTTTTTCGCTTGATGGCAAGCAGGTCGTATCTGGATCTTGGGATAATACAGTACGGCTTTGGGATACAGCGACAGGGCAACAAATTCAGCCAACACTTGAAGGCCATACAAGAATCGTTTACTCAGTCGCTTTTTCGCCGATGTTAAGCAGGTCATATCTGATTTGGATAATCCAATATTGCTATATACTTTAACTGTATCAGATGATTGGATTACTAGAAATAGTACAAATATTCTTTGGCTACCATCTGATTATCGCACAACAGTTACTGCTATTCATTGTGATTCTGTTGTTTTAGCACAACCCTCTGGGAGAACTTTTTTTGAATTTCCATATAGATCAGAATTCATGTAATACAGGTTGCTCTGACAGTCGGTCATGCGATATTGTAGGATCTACAGTAGATTCTACTATAGCTGGCACAACATCGAAGGGCGCTACAACATCTATTCTATACCCTTTAGCTAGTTTGTTCAGTCTATGTATAATTCAATAGAAACCAGATAACGTCCATCCCTGCGTAGCGAGACACCCTGTGTGCCGAGACAGACTAACGAAATTGAATGACTTTTGAGATAAATATATTGCTACATTAAGAGAAATAGTGTGAAGAACATATTACGAAGTCTGAATATGAACATTTTTTAGTGTTGTTGGTTTCAAAGAGATAACTACTCTATTTATCTGATAATTAGGTAAAGTTATATTATTCTCTTTCTACTAAGGATCAATCTCTAGTTCATTTGTCTGCCATTCAAGTAATATTGCACGGGAAGACAATGTATTAGGGTGATTAGTACCTATAATCCTAGTCAGTAATAATACACATTCTTCCATAAGCTTAAGGGCCTCTTTATCTCGGCCAAGTCCCTTCCATGTGAGGGCAAGATTATTCATGCTGATCAGCGTGTCTGGATGCTCCTGCCCTAACACCCTCTTTCTCGTCTCCATCACTTGCACCTCCAAGTCTTCGGCCTCCTTCCAACGTCCCTGATTCTGGTATGTCGAAGCCAAGTTGGCCATGCTGGTCAGCGTGTTTGGATGCTCCTGCCCTAACACCCTCAAACTCGTCTCCATCACTTGCACCTCCAAGTCTTCGGCCTCCTTCCAGCGTCCTTGATTCCAAAATGTCGAAGCCAAGTTGGCCATGCTGGTCAGCGTGTCTGGATGCTCCTGCCCTAACACCCTCAAACTCGTCTCCATCACTTGCACCTCCAAGTCTTCGGCCTTCTTCCAGCGTCCTTGATTCCGGTATGTCGAAGCCAAGTTGGCCATGCTGATCAGCGTGGAAGGATGCTCCTGCCCTAACACCCTCAAACTCGTCTCCATCACTTGCACCCCCAAGTCTTCGGCCTCCTTCCAGCGTCCCTGATTCCAAAATGTCGAAGCCAAGTTGGCCATGCTGGTCAGCGTGTCTGGATGCTCCTGCCCTAACACCCTCAAACTCGTCTCCATCACTTGCACCTCCAAGTCTTCGGCCTTCTTCCAGCGTCCTTGATTCCGGTATGTCGAAGCCAAGTTGGCCATGCTGGTCAGCGTGGAAGGATGCTCCTGCCCTAACACCCTCAAACTCGTCTCCATCACTTGCACCTCCAAGTCTTCGGCCCTCTTCCAGCGTCCTTGATTCCGGTATGTCGAAGCCAAGTTGGCCATGCTGGTCAGCGTGTCTGGATGCTCCTGCCCTAACACCCTCAAACTCGTCTCCATCACTTGCACCCCCAAGTCTTCGGCCTCCTTCCAGCGTCCCTGATTCCAAAATGTCGAAGCCAAGTTGGCCATGCTGGTCAGCGTGTCTGGATGCTCCTGCCCTAACACCCTCTTTCTCGTCTCCATCACTTGCACCTCCAAGTCTTCGGCCCTCTTCCAGCGTCCTTGATTCCGGTATGTCGAAGCCAAGTTGGCCATGCTGGTCAGCGTGTCTGGATGCTCCTGCCCTAACACCCTCAAACTCGTCTCCATCACTTGCACCCCCAAGTCTTCGGCCTCCTTCCAGCGTCCCTGATTCCAAAATGTCGAAGCCAAGTTGGCCATGCTGGTCAGCGTGTCTGGATGCTCCTGCCCTAACACCCTCTTTCTCGTCTCCATCACTTGCACCTCCAAGTCTTCGGCCTCCTTCCAGCGTCCCTGATTCCAAAATGTCGAAGCCAAGTTGGCCATGCTGGTCAGTGTGGAAGGATGCTCCTGTCCGAAAACACTCTTGTGCCTCTCCATTACTTCCACAAACGGTACCTCAGCCTCATTATATCGTCCATCACTAAGGAGACACGCCCCAAATCTCCGCGACAGAGCAATCCGGGTTTCCCCATCTTTGCCAGCTTCATCAGACATTAGCGCATAACATACATGTGGCAAATACGTCCTCCATGTAGTTCTATTTTGGTGGTCATCGTTTGGGAATACTTCCTCTAATCGTATAATCGCCCTTTCGGTCCATTGGGTGATCAGATCATTTTGCTGAAGCCAATTTCTCGTTGCGAGATGCACTAGTCGGTGAAGATCAAGAGCTTGGTCTGCCACTCGCTTAATAATAAACGAGTAAGCGTCAAGTGTCCCAATTGCATCTATCTCCTTTTTTCGAGACCTTCCTGCCGGAAGAAGAGACTGGGGAATATCCTTGGGGTCTATACATGCCATAAACGATAGGTAGTCGGCTGCAAGAGGGTCCCGATACCGTATCTGTTCAAACGAGATGAGCCATGTTGTAGCCACAGGGTTTTTTATATTATCGTATCTCCCGTCGTCTTCAAACTCCTCGCTAAGGAGATCAATAACATCCTCTTCTTGCTCTGCAAGGAGGGATAGATAATCCGCGAACGCAATCCCATTCTCGTTAATATATGCTGCTGCCTGAACAATAGCAAGTGGAAGGTATGTGAGCTCTTTTAGTAGGGCCGTTGTATCTGGTCTATTGTTAACCAGATCTGGATCAACTAAACACTTCTGGAGCAGCTGTATCGCTACGTCTTCGCCCATCTCTGGTACCTCTACGATATTTTGGTGTGCAAGCTTAACGGCAGTCTTTCTGTCGCGCGTTGTGAAGACGATACATCCTTGCTCACTTCGTGGGAGGCAGTCGATTAGACGGCCAGATCCTGACCTAGATACAGTGATCCACATATTGACATCGTCAGCATTATCGAAAACTAAGAGCCACCGACCTACGCTTTCTTTGCTCAGATAATTTTGCACGAGTTTCTTTGCATCAGCCTTATCCTCGTCCGAGCCAGGGATCTTGAGTTGGCGGGCAACTTCTCGATATGCTTGATGAAGACTTTCCGTATTGGTTGCGGGTATCCAGATCACTAAGCAATCCTTATATCTATCCCTTATTCGATAGACAAGTTCAAGCAACAACTGGGTCTTGCCTATTCCCCCGAGCCCTGTGATGGCAACTTTTGTCATTCGACCTCCTGTAAATAGTTTTGCTTCCACCTCGGTAAGCTGTGTTCCACGACCGATAAAGTTGAGATTTCTGCCGAATGGGACAATAAATGAAGCGGTATTATCTATAAAATAGTGTTTAGTATAGTCAAATCAGGTTAGATCTGCCATACCTTTAAGATCTTTCGGCTCGCTCTCGTTAGTGGAGAACAACTTGACGGTCATTTCGAGCCTTTTCAGTGCGACCTCCTTTCCCTCGCCATAGATTAGTGGCATAGACACCTCGCAGAGGCCTAACAGGCAGTAAGCCAGGTCTTCTTCTTCGGTTGTCTGGCGTTGTGCTACCCATCTTTTCCGCTCAGCGATACTAAAATCAGAGAAAGGATCCCCTCGCAGAGCCTGAAATGGAATTCGGGTAATCTCATAAATTGGTTTTTCGAGTGACCTTTTGTCACCAAGTAGCTTGCGCTCTTGAGAGAAGAATTCGACTTCCGCTGGAGCAATAAGTTCTTGAAGTGTCCAGCCTCTAGTAAACCATCTACTACTCCGAAAGGCTACTTCCCACGTGCTCTGGTTTGCTTGGACATATACGTCATCGCCAGGGGTCGATACATCCGTGAGATATACATAGCATTTCTTCGCATTTCGATACCAGCGGAACATAGAATTAATAGCCTCCGAAAGCTCAGTAAGATTCGACTTGTCAATACAACAAGTGTCCACCCAGAAATATCGAAGGCCATCTTTAGCCGCTTGTTCTCCACAAAACTTGATCTTTTCGTAGCCAGACTTGCTTTTCCCAGTACCACTTATTAGATCTTTATATGTGACCTCTTGATCTGTCCAAGTATGTGAAAGGATTGCGTAGGGAAGGGTATCATGGGTGGCAACATGGATCAGGCTGAATTCGCCCGGGCTTTTCATCTCTAAAAGACGCATAATTGCGAACGGCTAGGAATTTCGCGTGTCTAAGGAAGTTGACGTGAGATCAAAATCACAATTTTAGACCAGAATGGAGTGTAGGATAAGATTATCCAACGTCAAGAAATCACAATTCTATATCAGGATGAAGTGTAGGATGAAATTATTGAATGTAGAGTAGCCCTTCGCGCGGTGGGGATGCCTGTAGCATGTGATGCATTTCGTGGCACAGCGTAATTGGAGCCTGCCTTCGAATTGTGGCTTAAGCAATCCATAGTCACAATGCCACAATTTAGACGTTGAGATTCAGTACAGCAAATGATTATTAGAGTGCATAATTTAGAGCATATAAAAATTTGATTACAGTAACAAATAAATCATAACAATATTAACTGGAAGGATGTTTTGAGCTATATTGGTTGAGGAAGAATGCACTTTAGTAATCTGGTGATGTTTATTTTTAGAACTGCTTACTAAGCAATATTTAACTTGTGACGATGCCGTGTAAGCGACCCGCAAGCTATGAGTACACGTGACTAGAATATGATCTATTTTATGTATTTAAGCACTTAAGGCCTTTCGATCCTCTTTCTTCTATAGTATTAAATTCTAAGGATTTTACTAAGTCATATAAAGCTCTATTTATCATATAACTCAGTTAAACATTATATGCTATAGTAAACCTGTGACTGATTATCAAGGCTTATTTCGCCTAGTAGATTATTACGACCAGTACAGAACATATGACCATGGGGACCTTAGGCTTAGAGATTGGACGACCAATTACAGTAGAGCCATATGCTTAGGGTCACAGGACCTGGAGGAGCGGTTGGATTCTGAGCGCTCCTAGGGCTCCTGGAGCGGACAGATCCTAAGGGCTCCTCGGGTTCCCGAGAACGAAGGTCTATATAGTCAGATGGATTTCCTTAGTATATAGAAGCTTCGTGCTCAACTCAAATCTTCATTATATTTAGTAACTCAACTTACTCCGATAGTTACCAATTGTATTGTAGAAGCTTACTAAGCTATCAGCCGATTTTGGCCGAGCTGCTGCTCAGTGCTGGTAAAGATGAAAAGCGACACTGATTTCACTTCTGATGAACAGTATAATATCCTTTACACCATGCTTTCACTTATGCCTCAACAGTATCCTCACAGCTTATCACTTTGCTATAGAACGATAAGCCTCTTCGATATTCAGCCCTGGAACCAAGGGGAATCCCGCCTCTGCAGAGGTGGACAGATCGCCAACGAATTCTATGATGACCTGATGACGGAATCATAAGGGTTGCAAAAGTGCCAAAAGGAGCATGGTATCAGCGCGCCTGACCGCGATGACCTAGCAAAGACGTTGAGAGCAGCTCAAACAATGACAACATGGCAAGACAGTGGTGTGCTCGGCATGCTCGGCGACAAGAGGCAACATTACCCAAGATAATATAACAAGGGCACAACGACAGCGGGCATAATAATGGGCATAATGATGGCAAGCAACGGCCATTGCAGGGCATAACGGCAGAATCATGACATCAAAGGCTGCTACAACCCATTATATCAGAAACAAATGCAGATTAATATCAACTCTACTTTATAGCAACAAGTCTCGAAGCCAGCACGAGCTTGCCTCAACCAAGGATCAAGTCTATCAACTCTATTATTATATTGTACAGCAATCTCTTCCTCTGCTAATACATCCGTGCCACTGGGGCTCTCCATGTTTCTGGCATAATCTCATCTTCCGCGATTGGTATCCCGCTTATCTGTACTATTGAGACTGTCACTGATGCTCGCATCACCTTATTGGCCGGCTCAGGCGGATCTTGCGCAGCGTTCTTGTGTTTCCGACTATGCTTCGCCGTATCTATGTCCTCTTCACCTACCTCTGGCTTACCCTTGCATTTCCGACCGCGTTTTTCCTTGCCTTTGGCTGCTTGGGTAGACTCTTTTACAGCATGCTTTGCTTGTGCTTCCTCAAGGTCCTCATAGCTCATAACCTTCGCCTTTCCTAGCACCAACGACCTCGTCGATCGTCGAACCTTAGCTTCGTTGTTAATTGTGGTCAGAAATTGAATTTGGTCAATTTGCAGGATGCTCTTAGCAGAGGATTTTTGGAAAGCTTTAGTATATTTCTGCAAGTGCCTTGCCAGGTTCTGTTTGCTCGTTTCATTCATCGTATGAGCATCGTGTTGGATAATCAGGTTCTGCAGTGAAATAAAGGCTTGTGCTGAAACTGGCGTCACAGGCGTTTGTGGTTCTATATCTTGCCAACAAGACGCTACCTTCACCTCATCGGCTTTTGGCATAGCTGGTTCAGCTAAAGGGGCAGGTATACTTCTGAGCACCCTATCTGGATTGAACGGGAACAAATCACTTGTAGCGAAACCAATCTTGATATTCTTTAGCATGAACGCTCTTTCCTTTACGGGGCTATATAAAAAAATGAAGTGCTCCTTGCTGATCATATTTACATCTTTTTGTTCAAGTCGATCAATCTGGTTGCAATAAACTGCCTTGAGTGGAGCAAACACTACTACATCACAAGACTAGAGTTTGTGGAAGGTATAAAAGAAGAGACAGTATAAAAGAATATTGTTCTCGAAACAGAACTCTAAGATTTCGAGGGTCTCGTATATTCCAAAGCTATCGCAGATCAAAATACGTGGTTTCTTATTAGCTTGTTTTTTAATTTCGAAATCAAATATACACTTGAACCACTCTAAGCTAATCTTAGAATCAATATATCCAGAATCGGAGCACACATATTGCCATTTAGAAATAAAAAACATAATCCAATTGCTTCAATAAATACTCACTAACCAGATAATCATAGGGTTTAGATACCTACCATCACTACTAATACATTCAATCACAATCACAATGGTATACTTGATTCATGTGCCTCTATAATCTCGTATATTGTACTTATTTACAAGGACTTTGATAAAGCTTGGTATAGATAGCATCACTCCAGTCTCATCCATATTATACACATTTTCGGCTAAAACAGCCGGATCTTGTAACACATCTTTTATCACCTCAAACCAATATATAATCTTATAAGTATTTTTCTTGTAACAATTCCAGTCCAATACTTTAACTCTTCATATTGTGAATTCTGAATAATGTTTTTCTAAAGCTTTTATCCAATTCCAACCAAAAGGCTTGAAGAATCTATCAGTGGTAAACTGATAATAGATAACTCTAAAGGTTATAAAAGAAATAAACTTTATTCGTATCAATTACCCAAAATTGTATATTTGTAGCAAATACTTAACAATAATATTTTCTTCATATAATTTGAAATACTATTAGCCTCGCACCTTTTCTTTCATCGAGAGTCTTCCACAAACACAATAATGGAATATAAAATATAGGATGTTACCATGATCTGCAAGAGTATGGTATAATCTAGGCATGCCAGGAGGTATGCCTCGTGCCAGGACTTGACTAGCTCTGTCCATATTATTTATAGAAGGAGACGAGAGACGGTGCTGCCACCTGCTGATAGAATGTTCTAGAAACCTGTATTTACGCCATACACATGGCTACTATACACTACACATGCCAAGACCTGAGAATCGTGGCTAAGTAAAATATAGTGAGATCGGGAGTGAACTTAGTAAATTTATAACTCGGCTAATGTATATTACTAAGCACCAAAATATGAGGCCGTCTCCTCACATCGGAGTAACTCCCGGACTACATTATTTTCCTCTTTAAGTATCTTCAAAACTTGGAGCTATGTTCTTTGGATATAGAACCTTTCCCCAAGTGCTCCGAATTTAAAAAAAACTCTAATAGTTGCGATCAAGCAAAGGGGAACAGCCGAAACGGAGATTGGTGGCGTCATTGAAACGATCGATAGTATAATCAATTGAACTGTTTTTCTTGTCTGTTTAGTGGTATCCCTAGAGAGAAATAGCTAAAGAAAATATTATATTGAGAGAAACTCTATAGACTTGCTAAGAAAAAAGTTATGATTCCAAAATTACAGATTTGTCTCGTTACGGGGTGCGTCTCGCTACGCAGGGACGGACGTTAGTTACGAATTCCATATCATCATTGTTGTGACGGAAATCCCTGCTTTCCTCCCACCCTTATTATATAAGAAACCTCAGGTACATTAACCATGTCCACACATGATACGATTACTCGAGATTAGTATACGATTTAGGTGACCTGAGGATCAGATCCGGACAAGTACTAGGTATCAATGGTTATCGGTAAAGTAAGATCATTGGAGGAATAAATATGACTTCTTTTTGCCTAGCCATTACGGCTAGGCCATTCATTTGTGTATATATAGAGTAGCTATCCCCATCTACAGGTGCTCTTCACCTGTAGATTCTAAGTTAAATACAATTGCTGGTCTATAAACACCCTTTTGGTCACAATACCCGCCCTGTCAAAGACACGACGTTTCACAGTCCTTAATTCCATCCAGCCCGCAATTGACCATGGAAAGTGTAGTCCCTCGCACAGCCATATTTATTTTTCATTGACTCGACCTTGCTCGAGCCTACTCTTTGATTGTCTAGACAAGCATAACTACTTTTGCCTGGGCGCTTTAGCTAGGTACTAAGACAGGGATTGCCAAGTTACCAAATTACCAAATCCCCAGATTCACAAACTACCTTCAGGCCTCACTCACACTTAAAGTGCAGAATTCCTACCCCAAAAGTAAAACAACTTTCTTGCTAGATTGCGTAGCCAAAGCAGGTCATTATGGAAGACAGCAATGTAGAGCAGCTGAATGAGAACTCGGCAGCAGTGCACATTTCTGTTTTTTGTGTAAGTTGAGAGGGATTTGAGGGAGAGGGATTGAGGGAGAGGGGTGTGAGGGAGAGGGGTGTGAGGGAGAGGGGTGGGGGGAGGCGGGAAAAGGTTGAGATGGTAGGTATCGTGAAATGCCAAAAAGTTTCAAATTTGACTTTGCTTGCAACATTAGTAGAATGCTTTCCCCAAATTGCAAGATAGAAGATGGCAGGCACTTATACATATACCAACTTTCACCACAGGTACATCACATAATCAAACAAGTGCATTATTTGTGGAAAGACTTTATTTTGATTCAAAGTAATTTGACCATCCATCCCATCCCATATTTCTTCCTCCATCAGTCATGTAAAGCAGACTTCTTTCTGCCTGCCTGTCAGCTTAAATGCCAACTTTTGGTCCTCAGTCTCAGCCTGAATGGACAGGAGCACTTCCGAATGCCATCAGCGTTATTGAGAACAAGCACCAACTCTTCCTTTAAATTTTTTGTTTTAGAAGAGAAATGCCTATTCTACGTTGTGCCACTGTCGTATATCGAATCGATCGTAAAAAGACGCCCACTCGCAGATGATGGGAAAAATGAAAAAGTAAGAGTAAAGCCTTCAATTCAAGCTCTCAAAATGATATCCTTCCATGCCATGTGTCATTGTGAAACAAAACACATTAAGAAGGTCGAGAATATGAATCCCACTTTTATCTATCTAGAAACGCAGCAAAATGCAAAGTAAAGACAACGAAGATATTTGCAAGGTCTTCCATGGCGGAGGATTTTATGACCCGTCGAAATGCTAGAAGCGGGATCAGAATGTTTTTGGAGAACATAACCGTCATAATGCGTACTTTGAAAAACCCAGGTAAAAGCATTCCTACCCCGCTTTTCCAGGTAAAAAAAAAAAGCATCATGACCGGTACGCCGTAAGTGGTTGACATCTCATGTAATCTGCCTAGTCGCCTTTAATCTAAAATGGGTATCGAGACGAGGCGACAGACAATCATAAACAAAAGACAGGTTCTATCGTATGCCGATCAATGGTTGAGACCACGTGTAAAGTCGGGTCTATCGCTTAATGCAAAAGAAGACTTCAATCGTGGATACCGCCACCGGAAAATCGAAAAAGCGCAGAATAATTCGATGCAGAGCAAATCTGAAGCTGAGCTGTAAGGAAAAGTCGAAAGAAAAAAAAAGAAAACGTGTTGATATCAATGAGGGGTAAAAAGACCATTAATATCCGTGAGACGCCTCTGTCCAAGATCTAAACAGTACCGAAATCGAAATGAGAATTCGAAATAGGGACGAGAAGCGTTTTTCAGTGATGTTTTACCACCAGCTTTGGCCACCACCAGCAGACTAAGAAGAGGAGTTAGTGATTGTCGTAGAGAGCTAGAAATAAAGTGATGATAAGGGTTTAACTTACTGGATTGCCATAGGCCCCACCGCCACCACCGTAGCCACCACCACCATATTGTCCTGGTGGAGGTCCGTAGCTAGCTGGAGCAGGTGGGCCACCAAATCCACCACCACCACCATATCCACCAGAGGCTGGAGGTCCACCAAATCCACCACCTCCATTGAAACCGCCACCTCCTCCACCACCAAACTTACGAAAATCACGGTTTGCACCACCACCACGTCCACGACCACCTGATCGACCTCCTCGACCACCACCGAAACCAGCACCTTCACGAGCAATGTTCTCGAGGAAAGCTGGGATCTCTTGGTTAGCCTCCTTCAAAAGTTCGATGAGATCACGAACGACACCGCGGTTTCCACGGTTGAAGAATGCGGTGGAGATACCAGTGTTACCAGCACGACCTGTACGACCAATACGATGAACATAATCATCAATATCGGTAGGAAGATCGTAGTTGACAACGTGAGTAACGTTAGGGATGTCCAAACCTCTGGCTGCGACAGCAGTTGCAACGAGGATTGGGCATCGGCCGTTTCTGAACATCTCAAGAGCACGTTCACGCTCACGTTGAGTACGATCACCGTGAATGGAAGTGGCAGGGAAGTTTTGGTTGATCAAGAAGTCCGACAAGGAATCGGCCATGCGCTTAGTTTCAACGAAGATGAGTGTAAGACCAGCACCGTGAGTGTGGAGAATGTCCAAGAGGACAGAACGTTTGTCAATGTCCTCAACGTATTCAACCTTCTGGGTGATGTTCTCAGAGGTAGAACCAACACGACCAACAGACAAGAAGACGTAATCCTTCAAGAAATCACGGGCGAGCATTTGAATATCGCGGGGGAAGGTGGCTGAAAACATGAGAGTTTGACGGTTTTGAACACCTGGCATATCTTCACCCTCGACAATTCGTCGAATCTGTGGTTCGAAACCCATGTCCAACATACGATCAGCCTCATCGAGAACCAAGTACTTGATGTTTTGGAGGGAGATACGGCCACGCTCAATCAAATCGACAAGACGACCTGGGGTAGCAACGAGAAGATCACAACCGCGCTCCATTTGACGGAGTTGGGAACCAATATCAGCACCACCATAAACAACACAAGGGCGAACCCAAGATCTGTAGGCGAATTTGCGTGATTCATCGAAAATTTGGGAAACAAGCTCACGAGTGGGAGCGAGGATCAAAGAGGTTGGGTATGCCTTTCTAGTGCGTCCAAAGCTTCCTGCAGCATTGGCTGGAATGGGAGATGGACCGGTTTGAAATGCTTGAGACAAGATGGGGAACAAAAAACCACCAGTCTTTCCTGAACCAGTCTGGGCACAAGCCATCAAATCACGGCCACCCATAACAATTGGAATAGAGTATTTCTGAACAGGGGTTGGGACTTTGTAATGTGCCAACTCAATGTTCTTGATGAGATGGTCATCGAGTGGAGGGTTGGTGAATTTGAGAACTGGCTCAGGAACATCTTGACCAGATGCTTCAACTGGGATGTCATCGTATTTCTCAAAGTTGATACCGGTTTGTTGCTTGGTTGGGTCATCTGCAATACCGAAGAGCTCACGTTCTAAACGAGCATTTGCAGGACCAGCAATGTGTTTTCCATCTCGCCATTGTCCATCTCCACCACCACGAGCTTGGCCAGCACCACCACCAGCACCACCAGCACCACCGGCGCTACCAGGCCCACCAGCTCCTGCCGCAGGGTTACCATAAGCGTTCTTGTTGAAGGATGGAGGGCCAGATGGGTTCCAGTTATTCCCACCTCGTGGCGCACCATTTCCGCGTGGGGTGAAGTCGGGAGCGTTAGCCCAAGAATCGCCTCCAGCTGGACGTGGACCATTAGCGTATCCGTTGCTAAAAGAGGAAAGTGTTAGTATATCGATCATTACAAAGCTATGCTAGCGAAGGTCCAATAACTCACCCTTGAGGAGCCCAAGCACTGCCATTCAAGTTTGCTGGTGGACCGGCTGGAGCAGGGCCACCCATCTTGCCTCGCATGTGGGGAGGAATATATGAGCGTGGTTCACCACCGTTGAGGTTGAGACCATTCATGTTGAGTTGATCCGCCATATTGAATAGAATCTAGAAGATGGTACTTTGTTATTCGTAATATTGATGTATCGGTTGAAGAGGTTTCTTCGTGATTCGGTCGTGGTATTATCGAACAAATTAGGTGACTTTGGAAAGTCGTCTTGTAAATTTGAAACCTCGTGTGAAAAGACAGTGAGATCGTAATCAGAGACCGTAAGAAGATCTTAAAATTGAAGATGAAAATCTAAAAAACCGAAACTCAATCGAAACGATTCAAAAGAAAAATCTTCCGGGATAGTTTGCTTCCGTTCGTCTTTATAATAAGAAGAGTAAGGAAATGTGAATGTTGACACAATCGTAAAACTCTTTTACGTCGTTTTGATGGTCTTCGAAAGAAACTCTCAAAGACAGAAACAAGAAAAGAGAAAGAATTGATGAGGAGAGTGAGGGGAGTTTTGATTTTTGGGTTTTTTTTTTAAGAGGAAGAGGGTTTGGAAAGAAGAGAGGAGAATTTTGTAGATTTGGATTTTACCCAAGTTTGTACGGGGAGCAATAAATAAAGCTGATTGAATCGTGTTGAAGGCAAAAAATTCAAAAATGACTTTAACCGAATGCAGTTAGAAAGTACAGTAAGATTTAACGCTAATCTTTTACTGACATCAAGTTGTCCCCTTCCATCCAAGGTTTTTAATTTTAGTTGTGCCTAGGCAGGTACTTGGGTCTAAGCCTTGGACTAAATGTATAGAACGGTGTATATGTTCTTGCTACTTTACATATCCAGCCGTCTACTACCTTCTCAAGTAACATCCTCATGACACTTTCAGAGTTCATCGGGGTTATCATTATATAAAGTCATGACTAGCTAGGTAGAGAGAGGTACAACAAATACATTGATATATACCTAGTGACCTCCCTATACCTCCCTAAGTATATTCTCTATACCTAACCCCCTACTGGTATCAAATACTAGTCTTAACATTCTAGTCTATGTTATATCTGTCTAATGCCTACTTTATTCCCAAACTTATTTTTCTTTCTTCTCTTTCCTTTCTCATCATCTATCCGCCTTAGTCCGATGTTCACCCGAAAGATCCTGAATGACGTCGCATATTTACTACCTAGTAGGTGTGTTTCAGTTTGAGCATCTCGGGCGACTATACTCACATTTCAGGCAGAAAACGGTTTTGAAGCTCTTACTAGGTATGAGGAGAAGCTATTGAATATGAGCCTCTAGATAGGTAATACCATCACATAACCTCATAACAGCGACCTAGAACTTATGAAATCGCCTTGTAAATATCACAAGCCTCTTAACACCTATCTTCTTGACACACACAGTTCTTTGAATCTCCCCAAATTCGAACACCCTCTCTACAACCCCCAAATATATTTCCATATGAGCCTTTTCGACGGAGTGAAAAGAAGCATCGATAAAGTAAAGAACCAGCCAGCCCTAGGTTATCGACAGACATATCAGAGGACCATGAATGAGAGACTCATCTAAAACTTCTGACGGCAGAAGAAAACCAAATTGATTCATCGTGAAATATACTGGATACCATATTTCCACATCATGTCTTGGAGAATTCATCTTATTATTGGGAAGCATCAACCTCGAATATTGTATTTGATGACTACGTGTTTGTGTTATCAAAGATCATTCGTTCTAGTAGCATGCAGCGATACATGAGTGATGGGAAAGGGGAGAAGGTGTGGAGAAACATCTTACCCAACGCCTACATGATTTCAAGCGAATGGGTAGATTGAGCCGCATCTGCGCAGTCTTTCGAATGTGTCTTGATTATGAAGGTAGTCGCAATGTCAGCGGCTGCCACACCCATGGGATGGCCAGCGGAGCGTCATTCAAAAGCATTGACAATTCTAGAGTATGTCCTTGGATCGAATCACCGCCCATCTCCTCAGAAATAATCAAGATAGGTATCGCCATTTGATGCCATTTGATGCCACGCTAATATACACCCATGCCTTGGTTCATAATTTATCTCCTGTCATAAAAGGCCTCTCATGCCCATTCATCCTCAAAATGATCCCTTAAGGACAATCAATTCTCGCACTGTCATCATAATCAAGTTCCTTGATCCCCTCCTTCGTGATAACCTTCACAGTCATGCCCTTGAAATCAATCGGCAACCTCCTCTTCAACTCATCCGTACACATCCTCAAAACTTTCATTCCTTGTTCAAAATCAATATCTGGATGATGATGTTTATCGAGAATCGATAAGCAGTAATATTGTGCGTAGCCATGAGCTGCATATGGGAGGGGTGCAAGTGATGCCAGGTAGTCGAGCCAATATAGGCTGGGCTTGTCGGTGATTGGATCAACACCGCCGAGAAGAAGGTTGACGTTGTATGGTTTGCGAGAGCGGAGGGATTGTGCTAATTCACCACGGACAAAGTGGGCGACGGCAGATGGGGAGAGGTCAATGTTGTTGCGCATGGAGTAAAGTTGAGCGTTGGCTTGAATGTATTCTGCGAATTGAACTGTGAAGCGCCAATGTTAGCATTATGTTGTGCTACACGAAATTTGGACAGTTACTTGTATCTCCAGCCTCTCCAGAAAATGCCATCAAAGTGTGTTGGTTTAAAGTTCTTGTCTTGTCATCGGAAGCTTTGAGAATAGTTGCACCTCTCATAGCAGCTTTTGAGGCCGCAATGAGGGTAAAGTCTTTGCCAGTTATTCCAAGTAAGACCTCCCTAAGAGATCATGACATGCATTAGTAGATTTTCGCATGAAGATTGCAATGTTCACACTTACATGCTGATGTTGTTCTAAAGTTGAATGATGAAGCTTCAGATTGTTATAACTAGGGAAGTATTGAGACTTTGGAGCTCCAACGCGTGTAGCTCTGGCTGCCTCATCCAATCCGGCGCTAGTAGACTTATGACTTAGCGCCAAAAAGCTTAAAAGGCTACCATTTCTGAGGATTGAACTCATCGATTGATTAAATTTTCAATTTGATCATTCATTTTTCTGGTTCAAATATATTAAAATGATACTCATACGTAGAAGTACCTAATTTCAACAAATTTGTCTCTTGTCTCAACTATTTAGTAGGTCTGTAGATATATCTATGATCTCAGGTTTAGAGATGTGTCACGTGTGAACGTCTCCGTTCTGGATCCACCAAATCCCTGTCTCGAAATTCTGCGGCAGAATAATTCCCCAAAAAAATTATTTCGATAAGACAGACATTTTCAACCTCTCCCACTACGAGCTTCTTTTTCCACAACCACTCCAACTATGTCCTCTTTCTTTACAGTACCCAATGCTCAAAAGAAGAGGAAACGCAATGACGCCCCAGAAATACCCAAGAAAAGATTAGCAGCCCCGTCGAGAACCCCAGCAAAACAATCAAAACCTGCGAAAAGACCCCAAAGAGATGAGTCGATTTCCGGGAGCGATTCCGAGAGTGAGGGAGGTCAATTGGATGATAATGTCGCAGAAAGTTCCTCGGAAGATGATCTAGCGCGAGACGGAGAGGAGGAAACTGCGGCAGAGCGCAGGCTGAGACTTGCGGAAAGATATTTACAGAATATTCGGGAAGAGGTAGCAGATGATGGTGTTGGATTTGATGCCGAGGACATTGATCGAGATCTAATCGCCGAGCGTTTGGAAGAAGATGTTGCGGAGTCGAAAGGAAAGATATACAAAACATTGGCAGACGAATTAGAATTTGGGGAAGCATCGAGTTGTCATTTTAAGAAGGATTCGCATTCGTTCACAGGTGTAGCTACATGCGTGCCGCATGTGTACACTGTGACCAAGGATATGTGGCTGGTCAAATGGAGGATTCAGGATTTACCACGGGACCAATATCCTCAAAAGAAGGGCAAAAAGAAGAGTAAAAAGCCACCACCACCGCCCAAGAAAAAGCCTACCTTGGTAGCTTCAGTGCGAGGAGACCAACGAAAGTCAAAAGTAACATCTTACATGGGACATACCGACGCCATCATTAGTGTGGCTGCATCGCAGGACGGTAAATTCGTTGTAACTGGTGGAGTGGACCGTAAGATCATTGTTTGGAATGCAGAAACCTTGCGACCCATTCGAGTCTTTTCTCAACATCGAGACGCCGTCACAGGCTTAGCATTCAGAAGAGGCACAAATCAATTATACTCCAGTTCTAGGGATCGAACAATCAAAATATGGAGTTTGGATGAAGGTGCATATGTCGAAACGTTGTTTGGTCATCAGGATGAAGTCGTGGACATTGCTTCTCTTGCACAAGAACGTTGCATATCAGTTGGCGCTCGAGATCGTACGGCCCGTTTGTGGAAAGTGGTTGAGGAAACACAACTTGTTTTCCGTGGTGGTGGGAGCGAGAAGAAATCTCGTCACAAAAATAACCCGAACGATCTCCGTACTCTCGAGGGCAGTATCGATCGTATTGCTATGGTTGATGAGGATATGTTTATTACCGGCGGTGACAATGGATCGCTCTCTTTATGGACTATCCACAAGAAAAAGCCAATTTACACATTAACTCTTGCCCACGGAGCAGATGAACCGATAAAACCCGAAGAAGCGTCCGCTGAGACAGACCTCGCCAAAAGGGTGGTGCCCCGCCCCTCACCCCGCTGGATCACCGCCCTAACCACGATCCCGTACTCTGACGTCGTGCTAAGTGGCAGCTGGGATGGCGTAGTCCGAGCCTGGAGAGTAAGCCACGATAGAAAAAGCCTCGAACCCATAGGTCCCGTCGGTCGAATCTCTGATGCCACTATGGAAGGAACGGATGCAGGTGTACATGAATCTCAAGCACCAGCGCGCGGCATCATAAACGATTTATCGGTTTTTGAACGCGGCGACAGGGGGAAGGATGGTGTATGCATCGTCGCAGCAGTAGGAAAAGCTCATCGTTTGGGTAACTGGCAAAAGACGCCAGCAGGGAGGAATGGAGCAGTGGTATTTGAAGTCTCGAGGAAACAGATTACTAATAATGTAAATGGCCATGCCGATGAAGATACGGGGAAGGCATAAACCTGCATGTGATTGTTTGTGTGCAATTTATAGCTGGAGATTAATTGGCTCGGAGGAGTTTTGTGATACAAAAGGATGGATGCATGATATCTTCATTTGTCCTTAGGTTTCCCTTGCTTGTATGTATGAAAATAGGGTATATATACCGCTCAATAATGAGTTAGCTTCTAGCTCTTGAGATTCTTGATCTAAATGTGTATGTGACTGTTGTTTTGCGTTTGGTGCCCATGTTTGTATTTTGAGAATGTGAACATGCTTGTACTAGTAATGTTTTCCCCTCTCCTGAACTCATTTCACTAACCGAGCACTATCAAATCATCCGCTCTTATGCCTGGCTAGTTTGTCTACTTAAAACGCAAACATTGAAAATGAGGGATCAATTAGAAGACTTGTCCTCTTCTGGGCATCACGTTCTGTCAAGAGTCATCGGTGGCAAGGCAAGGAATTGATCAAGCAGATTTGTACTTCACACATGACAAATTTTAATTACTCCCTAACTTTGACATTCAAATTTCCTGGTATCATTCCTAACTATAATTTACAACACGCTTATCTCGCATCTAACATCTCTTCTTACCACTTCATGCTCAATCGGCATCTATCCACTTGCTCAGTTTTTTCGTAGCCTAAGAACAACTGGTCGATCTAGTCCTACGAGGAAAGTCGAGAGAGTGTTTGGAGATGTGCATAATAAATCTGGAGCCGAATCATTATCTCAGCCTTGTCGGGGGAGTATCGAAATGGACTTTGGGGTCCCACTAAATAGCCTTCCCCTTCCCCTTCCCCGCAACTTCCCTCCTCTTTTCCCAAACCTGCAAGTAACTCTCTCCCAAATGCAAGAATTCTCTCTGACCTCCTTCCACAAACAAATCTTGTACTACCTTCCACTCTCCGGTCGCTTTATCTCTTAACTGCACCTTCCAGCTCCTCTTTTCCGATTCTCCCTCTACACTATCTTCTCGCCCCCTAACTGCTTCATGTACTATGTTTGCAACTAAATCGTACCATATCGGCTCACCAGGTCTAGCATGTTTCATATCAGGTTCAATATATGGTGACATATCTAAATTGCGCGCGTCGAAAGTGACGATGGTAGGATTGCGTTCATCGACGAATTTGTTATGAGAAAAGCGTTTTATGTGGAAGAGGAGGAAGGGCGGAAGTGGGTGAAGCAATCGATAACGTTTGCGCATGTTGAGATGCTCTTGGGCTTTCAGACCATCGTATTTTGCGAGTATACTGGTCAAAGGGATTTGGGGAATGATATTTCGTTCTAATTCATCTTGAAACAACGGCGCTGCGGGTAAATCTAACGTCAGTAGCATAAATCTACTAACATCTGTCTTGACATCTGCATCTTCAAACCGTAATCGATCACCAGCGTCGGCTTTGGCGGTGATAGCTTGAGATTCGACTTTCAGTTTCCCTTGGAATATCTTTTGGATTACTGAAGAGCCGGGTTTGGTTTTCGACCCTCCAAGTGCGAGATGTAGGTTGTTAAGGAACCAAGAGAGAAAATCGACGGGGTCGGATTGGGTGGTTAGATTGAACTTCTTATTGGATTTGAGGGAGATTTCTTGGAGAAGTTCGTGAGGAGAGACGTGAGATTTGAAGGCCCTTGGATTCCATATTTTTCGAAACAGGATCGACACACGTTTTATGAGTTCCGGTTTATTACGAAAGTCCTCCAACAGAAAAAAATTTCGAAGTGGTGGTACATGGGAAAGTGCTTGTATTATTACATTGAAATAGTCGTTGTCTTTGATGTTGTTCATGCCGACAAAACCTGGTATATATTCTTTGCCAGACAGAGTCCACGAGGTTTTAGCTTCTCGATCCATAGCCATGACCTGCTCTTTTGTGTATGTAGGATCAGACACAAACTTTATGTCATCCAAGCTCTTATTTTTGACCTCGTAACCTTCTGGCAGAACATAGACTTTTTGTGTTTGCATGTTGATGAATACGTGGTGCCCTACTTCAAGAGCATGGAAATATGCATGAGACTTTGTTCCTCGTCCCTGATAGTACTTTCCACACACTAGACAAGCGTATACATTGATGTTTGAGAGGGAAATGGAGCAAAGCTTCTCGAAATCGAAATCGAGTACACTGCGGTTTATGGTATCGAGGTATAGATCATCATAGCCTTCCATTGGAGCCTTTTCTCGAGGAACCACAACTTTCAACTCTTCATCCTCAACTTCAAGGTCTTCCATTCCATTTTTTAAATCCTCCTCATCTTCGATGTGCACCGGCCTAGGCTCTACCGTCCTCTGTCGCTTGGGGGTGGGTTCTGTTTCTGGGTGCGCTCCATTAATCGAATTCTCCTCGTCAGTCTTCGGAACGGCGGTCGCGGAGTCGTCATCGCGTTCTTTGCGCTTTCTGGTCGAGATATCCATATCCGTGGCACTTGGCATGTTGATCCGAGAGGTAAAGTTATTTGGTTATAGGAATATTTCAAGGCATTTGGGGATGGAAGTGAACCTCGCTTGTTATTTATTTGCAGCCTTGCGCTAAATTTTGGGCCTGGTGGGCTTGAAGACACAGCTTCAGGGGCACGAGCCACACTATATGTCCATCATCACTTTGAACAATACTCGAGTAGTTTCACTCAAAACAAGAGCATGAGAAATTGTTATCTACCCCCTTTTATAGCCTCATGAATAGCGAAATGAAGCATTTTTCTTATAGAATTCATTGTACATACCATCAATGTCAAGGTCATTTGGGAATAGTTAGCAACATCTTGAATTAGCACTAAGGTTAAGACTTCATTCCTTGCGATTGAGTTCAAGTGAGCTAGAGCTAGCACAAAACCTCTTAGATCATGATCAATAGTCATTTAGAGAACCCTCTTTCCTAGAAAAGGTGCTATCATTATCTTCAATTAAACTTTTTTGAATAGTCCTTTCAGAAAGCCCTTGTCGGCAGGGTAAAAGGTATGGCAGTTGTCATGGTATTTCATTGAATTGAACATTTGAACCATCTAGATTTTAAGGCAGTACAAGGCGTCAATGTTTAAAGTATAACATCTACGAGGTACTTATCTAATCATCAAGCCATAGAAAAATGGAAGTCATCATATTGTGCCAGCATCTCACGTTGGTCACTTTGAACGTACCATTACACTCGGAAATTGAGATGCGAAGATTGCATAAATTCCAAACACCTATCCTCTTCTCATGGCTTAGAAAGATATGAGCACCTGCCTACTGTAGATTTCTTTTCTGAATGCATCCGGATGGTTAGAAGACAGCGGTAGGTTATCACTCCGTTCTAAATAGATGAGGGAATTTTTCTGCTTTTTCGTCTGCTAAGTACTTGGCGTGGGGGTTACATGACATGACTCTGTAGACTTTCGGCAGGTCAACAAACACCAGTGGCGTAGGTCTAGCGATGGTAATTGAAAGTAACTTGCGGCGATAATTCATTTTTAGGGCTGAGATTATGGTTGCGGACTGCATCACTAGCGTTGTACCCGAATAGAGTGATTAGCAACATTTAGTTCCGATTTCTGAGAGGATTTGTGACAGGCAGTTGTATAAAAACGATAAAGTTTCTACAAATACCCAGAGATAGATGGTCAAATAATGAGGGGCCCTGAGATCTTTGCCGTGCAGTGCCAAGAAGTATAGTCTATAGAATGGTAACCAATCTTTTTGGTTTGTGCAACCATAAAGCTAGAGCGCCACAGTGCCATCAAGGCAGGGAGCTGCTAATTTAGAAAGCTCCTGCGTTGAAGGAGAAGCCAGAGATGATCGAAAATAGGATAACTATGGGGGAACGAAGAGAACGAAACCCTGGAAGAATCTTCAAGTGATTATTTTTTGTCACTCATGATTTGAGGATGAAAGCCTCAATCCCCAAACTCCTGCCTCACCTCCACCTTCACTACAACCCTTTGAGTCGAATATCTTCTATGAAGACCTAAATCATTCTTATGTTTAAACCGAGCCTGTTACCTTTAAGATGTCAATTCATTCTCAATCACATTACTAGAATACATTCCGCAGCTTATGTACAATGAAGCTAGATTAATTTGAAGCTGAACCCAGGAGAGACGACGATTGCTTTCAAAATATCAACGCATCTCGATATATAATACTACCAGTGAACGTCATCTAGTACTATACTACTGTTATGGATACGCATATAAGTCCGGAGGTTGTCCCTGGTAGCAAGGAGGGTTGGTTAAAAGACCAAACAAACATTAAACGTTAAGCGAATATATCGTCTAATCTCGCAACATTGTCATTTACATTGAAGATATTGTCATCTGAAGGTTATCGTCGCACGCCAGTTCATCTTACATAAAATAAAACAAATGAGTCACGGCTGCCGTATTTAAAAGTGGTTGTTGTAGAAATGAAATTGTCTAAGCCCCCAGCCAGAAAACATTCACTACGCGATAATGGCAACATTGAGCAAGTTTTTACCTACAGCTTTACCAATTATGCCATACTGAAACGTTGAACCCCAAATTATTCACCTTCATCCCACTAGCATGCAGTACCATGATTTGATTCTGTATACTTATTAAAGAGTCCCGCTCTTCAACGACTCCATCGATCTTACAACCCCAAATAATTCAATAACAAGACCCAACTTGACAAATACAAAATTTTCCCAATTCTTTTGCTACTTCACAACATATTCAAAGCTTTCTGAAGTTATTAGAACCGTGTTAAGAGAATCATCTTGGTACCGATCAACCTTGTTGCCGTTGCGAGTGAGTCTTTCGATCTATCCATCGATAGTTGCACAATATTCATCACAGACTTTGCTAATTAATCACATCAAGAGACTGCATTACATACAATACCATAGCCTTTCCATACTTGGCATACATTTTGATTGCCAAACACATTGTACATCAGTACGAACGTCAAGAGTAAGTTTCCTTGTTTTGTTCACAGTCCTACACTATTTATTGCGCACTTGGCTAATCAATTTTATGAATAGAGAACAAGATGCCCAAGAATATGGACAATTTCGTACCAAGTACGCCACCAGCTCTTTTCATTCCAAAGAAGAAAGAAACTCCGCCTAAACTCTCGTTGAGCGACATGCTTGCCGCCAAAGAAGCTGCGAAATCATCTCCCAAACAATCTGTCGCAGTTTCTGAGATGTCAGGAACTGCTAATACCTATGGTATTTTATTGAATCCCAGTGTTATCTGATCTTGGGCTAATTATTCAAGTATTTGGTGCTGCTAGTAATGCTCGTTCACCTAACGCCTTTCGGCTTGGAGCAACAGCAAATTCTCCAATGCCTACGACAACTATGGCTCTCGATGTCGAAAAGACGCGCAAGCTTGAGAAGGAAATCAAACGACTCACTCACAAGCGGGATGAGTCTTTGAAGGAGTTGAAACGAGAGAGAGCTATTAGTGCAAAGACAATTGCAGACCTCACAGTGGTAATCCAAACTGCTGAAGCCAACAGTACACAGATAATCGCAGACTTAAACACGGCAATTAACATTGTTGTGGAAGAGAAAAATGAGTTTGAAAGGAACTATATGACCGTCTTTGACGCTCTCAGCCAAGCAAATGACACGGCAGATGAGGCAAATTATCATGCCGATCAATGCGATGACAAGGTCAAACGCTTAGAGAGGGAAAAATCGAACCAAAACACCATTAACCGACGCTTGAACGAGTTGATAAAAGATCTGAGGGCCAAGGTTGGCGGCTTTGAGGACGTGATAGAAGTGAAGTTGGATGAAATTCAGGTAGCAGAGACAGAAGTCAGAGTCAAGACTGAAGAGTTAAAGGTGTCTCAAGGCGAACTCGAAGCCGTGAAGCTAGAAGCTTCCAGAATTTCCTTGAATCATGAGCAGAACGATGCAGGTGATCGTCTCAAAGCTCTTGAAGGGGAGCATCAAGAACTCGTCAATAAACTCCAAGGGTTGGGAGACGAGAAGGCAAAGTTGATGCTTGAGGGTCAGACTATATTGAATGAGCGAGACCAGCTCAAACTTCAGCTCAACGATGCTGCTGTCAAAGTCAATACCCTGCAGCAAGATCTCGTTAGAGTTCAGACTGAAATCACGCAAGCTCAGCCTCGTATTTGGGAACTTCAGCGGACAGCAGACAGAGCTACTGCCTTGCATATCGAGAACAAGTCACTCGGGAAAAAACTTGAGCAAGCCAATTGTGACCTTGCACAAATAAAACTTAACCATGCACAAGCTATCGAAGCTAAAGATCAGATTATCTCCGACAGCAACCACGCTCTTCTCGATTCGAATCCCAAAGATACTTCCAACGTGCAGAGCGAGCTCCATAAATCAATTGAGGAACTTCAAGCCCAGAATCTCATTCAGGCGACTGCTCATCAGAACGAGATCGCTGTATTTGAAGCGAAGATTATTGAGTTGTCTGAAGGTCATGAAGCAAAGTTACTTTCTCTGCGGGATTCCTATGAATCCATTGTCACTAACAAAGAGGAGACGATTGCTCAAGCGAAAGCACAAGCTGGGTCTGCTGATAAAGATGTCGCTTCTCTCAAATTCGATCTTTCGAAGGCCAGGGGATCTGCTGATGTTCTTCAAATGAAACTCTACACACTCCAAGGCGATCTCGGTACTTCCCACAAAGTTGTGCTTTCTCTTCAAGGTGAAGCAAAACATATGCGGAATGAATTCAATGTCCTTAAAGACGAAATGACCTCGACGCGAAATCTCCTCGAAAACGTCAGCCAGAAGACGGAGTCAGTGAATAAGCAGTTGGCGGAAAAGAAAGAAGAGCTTGAGGCAGAGAAGAGTGCTCACGAGGCTACGAAAGCCATACACGCTGCACCTGTCGATCAACTTGCCAAAGAGAAACACAGCTCAAATTCTGTCGTTACTGCTAGTACCAGACAGCGAATGACTGTTACCCGTCGTACCGCCTTCCACCCAATTGGACCCCCAGTTATCGATGAAGAGGAACCTGAATTCATGAATGAGGATTCTCTTTTGCCAGTTCTTCCAGCCAAAATTACGGGCTGCAGGGGTGTAGTACCAGCGCTGATTCCTCGTTTTGATTTTGAGGATGAAAAGTTATTTTCACCCAGTCCTGAGGAACGTCTCGAGTATGCTAGGTTTGTAATCAGGGAATTTACTCACCTAGAAATTTCGAAGTTTCAATCTATGAATAGCGTACCTGTTGACGTCACCATTTCTGATTCTGTTACCGATTCTGTTCTCAAGGTAGAAGAGCCTATAGTCAAGGGTGATCTAACACAGGCGACTGAGGAGGAAAAGCAGAATGCAGAAGCTCCTATAACCTCATCAGTGGTTGTTATGGCAGCAGCTCCTAGGAAGAAGCATGTCAGAACTCCATCTGCAATTTCCCGATTTTCGCTGGTCCTCTTCTTCCTCTTCGTTATCTCGTTCATCGCCATGACCACAAAGGTGGCTCCTACCAAGAGAGGACCAGTTTTGTCGATTGGAATGAGCAGTGCCATAGCCAAAACTACGACACCGCTTATTTCCACGACTATTTCTACAGATCCCATAGTGGCTACGGTGACTATCGTGGTCACAGTCTCTGTAGAAGAGCCAAAGTCGACGGAACTGGTCGCTCCCGTCTCTTGGGACAAAGTCTCTTTACAAGTACTTTATCCTACCAGAATATTGCGACTCGGTGAACATATCCTAGAGAGTACCTTCCATTATTGGAAGACTCTCGAGGTTCGGATCCTCCGAGTCGTCAATATTTTCCGCCGTGGTGATTAAATCATGGAGCTTTTGGCAAGTTTTTACTGTGCCACCATGCGTGCTTTAATAAGTCGTTGGTGCAGTCCAAAAAGTTCCGTCGATCTGATCTAAGCGCTGGTTATTCTTTTGGTATCATTGTACTTGTTAATTGACAAGCCCCAACGTTCTCTGCTCCCTTTAAGGCTGAGAAGTGGTCCACGGTGTTACTTGACAATTCCTACTGCCGGGTCGCACTCGCAATACGCTCCTACCTGGCGCCTAGGTATACCCACACTTCTTCTGGAACGACAAGGCAACAAGATGGTACACAATGCTTTCATTTTCCACTTCTATTTTGCGAACTTCAATCCATGTACTACTCCAAATCAGTACACAACAAATTCTGCCATACTCGTCAACTTCACTTGACTTTAATTTTTTCCATTTCGATTGTTTATCACCATATATTTTTCCGAACTTCTCCAAAGCCTCATTTCGACCCCAACATACTACTTCCTATTATTCACATTGCGTTGAAAGGAGTAGTAGGCCTAGAAATGAATACAAGCATGGGGGCATGGAGCACGACAGGAACATAAATATTGGTGATGAGCAATCGAATTGTGGGAAGCATTCGAGTTTGTTGACTATGACAGTAAGTTAGCGATAGAGTGGAGAAGTTCAAGTATGAAGGCCGTTCCACCACTTTGAAAGCCTCGTTCCTGGGAGACTTGGACCAACTTTGTCAAGAAAACGCTTTCTTTCTCCTGAGGGCTTTAGACTCCGCGATGTCCGCCTTTGGCCTGGTTCAACCATTCGCACTTCTTTCCCACAACTTCTGTTGTGAATTAAAAACATAACACCATTTACCACCTATGAGACACCACATCCAGTGTCGTTCGATGTACGTCGTCGTGGGATAACCTGGTATATACTATCAAAGTTGCACGTCGCCCTTCGCTGGCTGCTGAGATGTGCAGGGGTGGTTGAGTTTTCTAGCTTTCGATTTTACTGGCCTAGTCAGCTCTGCTGTCTTCAGAGGGAGTGTCGCTACCTTTTCACTTACGAGACACCGCATTGACCCCTCTTCGAGGTCACTATTTCCAGCAAATTCTGGGTGTTGGAATGAATTCAGGCCACCTAGAAAGAAGGAGGAGGTGATTACATGATTTAATCCGGGAGTGTGTTCATCTGGAGGAGCTACAAGAAATTTCCTCAACTTAAAGCCGATAAAAATGCCACTGGTGTTTCTCGTGAGAGATCCCACTCATCCAAGGTTTGCTACTCTTGGAAGCAGGAATAATCCATACTGAGCACCTCTAAAGCCAACGCCATGGCATTTGCCTTCAAGACCGCGTCCTAAAGCCCACAGCCAACAGCCACTTGAGAAATATGTCACCTCCTCGGATACCATCACCTTCTTACTAGCTTTTTTGATGAACCATCGGCACTTCATTGATTTGCCAACACAAGAATTTTCGGAGTACTCTGGAGCCTCCTGATACACCTCATTCTGGTGCGCACCTAAGGTCTGACCGTTCTGCAGCGTCCTCAACACGATCCAAACGCAACACTCGGTTCTCAAAGGAAACCGAAAGATCATGCGCACTTCCTCGAAATCATTCAGTACAACCCTTTCAACAGCATGGGAATCATCCACGTACGATATGCCTTGCATAGAACTGGCACAAATCATCCTTAGAAGATGGACGCATCTTTAATAAGAGATTTGTGCAACTTCTTTGTAAGGTATTCCCTCCATGACTCTTTTGCTTAACTCCTTACCTATACAACATCCTACAAATTAATTGCGAGGCACCTTCCAACCCTTATTTAGACTCCATTATCAACTTCAACAACTCTCAAATTCGTTCTTCCAAACTACCTCATAGCATTATTTCGACCCCACCTACTCTTCCATGCATTTGGAAGGAAGAGTAGGCCTAGAAATAAACACACTGACGGGGGCATGAGCACGACAGAAGAACGAAAATATTTGATAGTTGCAAGTGGATATATACAAGGACTTATAGGTTGGATGGAATACTTGAATGGGAGCGCAGTCTCATGGATGAGGAAGAGCTTTTGGGCTATGATTTCAGGATTTCTGAACCTTCTCCGAAATGGACATTAACAGATGCGGGTCATGAAACGGATGTACTCGCGCGCAAAATTCATTCCCTTTGGCAAGGAATTACTTTACAACTGTGTGAACGAAGTGAATGGCTTCAATTCAATTACTACTGTAATAAAGAACTAAGCGAACGCGAAAGAGACTAGCTCTTTTAGTAAGTCTATATAAGACTTATTACTTTCAATATGTAGCTAGCTCTTTAGACAGAATACAATTAGACATACAGGACCTACGTAATCCGTGGGTGCTACGTCTTCCGTATCCTTCTCGTACCAACAACAACCTTTGTTCTACCAACAGGACACTTTAACACGACGAAGGAAATGGGAAATTAGACGCCCACTTCCGAAGGGCTGAACGATGCAGAGCAGTCTCCCATAGGAAACATCAATGGAGGCGAGTGGCAAAGAATATTTGTTGGCAAGGATTATTCTTATGCACTAGCAGCATTCGCGACAATGAAAGAATTACGGTGAAAAACGTGGAACGTAGATACTCCCTTTGGCAAGGAGGTACTCTCATACACTAGTTTCTTCTGCTTTAAAGATTCACAAAAGTGGAAGTAGGGTTGCAAAAAGATGCTCCCTTTGGCAAAGACGCACTCTTTATGCACTGTACTTCCACGGATATATGACAGTTTAGGGAGTAATGGAGGAGTTTTAGACTCCGCAGGAATGATTGTTTTAAACATGCAGTAACGAACGGTTACTGGCATTAGTTGGTGGTATGCGATGGAGTCATAGGTACAAGGAACACTTGGCAGAAGAATAAAGCTTTGCAAGTTGGACATTTTTGAAGTATGGATGGATTAGTCAACACAAAATGGTGTGAATCCTGGCGAGTAATAGCAGTTCTGCAGGTACCGGAGGGACTTTTTTCTGTTATTGCAAAAGTCGGATTTCTCTGGCTTGGGTTCAGTTTGTGCTGGAGTTTGCGATTTGTTTCCCTTGGTGTGATGTGAGAGTATTTAGTTTTCTTCGGCAGTCTTGAAAGATGATGTAGGACTACGACCTTGAGAGTAACCTTAGTGTTGAAGCTGCGAATCGCAGGACCCTAATGAGAATATCCTCGAGCATTTTAAAATGGACTTTGTGCTAGTGATGTATTGTTTTTCTAGTGATATTGATATTAATGGCAATTATAATATGCTTGTAATGTATTGATTCGTCATGGATATGAAATCGCTAGGATTCAGGTTTCTCCAATGACTCTAAGAATTATGTGAAAGTAACACCACCACCACCCACTTCACCGCTATCATTTCTATGGTCTGTTATGATTTGTCTCTTTCAGACTCCGAACGCTCACTTCCGAAAGCCCATGTAATAATGCTCATCATCGCACTGTAAGAATGCTACCCACGGGAGGAATAATTATAGCAAAAGACCGACCACCAAACAATTAACGGTCAGCCACTCTGCCTTCACAGTGAATTTCTCCTCAACTAGCACAGCTCTATCACTCCAGGTAATCCCCAGCTCAATTCCAACAATAAGAGATGCTCATATTATGCAACCATCAGACTATGCACCCTTTAACGTTTTTTGAGAAAGGTCAACGCTCCTGTAACCAAAATCTCCACTCCCGTCTTAAGGGTTGGTTGTATTACCGGCAAAAACAATGGACCATGATTGATTGGCACATCTTCCATCCTTCCCGTTTCCTGGGCTTTCCTAATGAGCTCAGGATCTGTACCACCAAAGAGCCAATAACACGAGGGAACTCCTTTTCCGCCCTCTTTGTTCGGTGCTTCTGATGCCAAAATCCCAAAATCTTCAGATCCTCCTAAAGGTGCGCAGTTTTGAATATGGTTTTCTCCAAACACTTGATCAAAACTATCTGAGAGCTTCTGGGTAATAGATTCATCATTTATCAAGAAAGGGAAATTGCTCGTCGGCTCAAAGAGGGGCTCTTTCGTAGCATTTGAAGCATCGCACTCCGCTTTTACGATTCTCTTGATCGATTTCAAAACTTTTTCCCTTGTTCCTGGGTTAAAGTTCCTCACATTTATCTTCAAGGCAGCTTCATCCGCAATGATATTTTCCGTCATTCCCGCGATGACGCTGCCTACTGTTATTACAGCCGCATCTTGCGGGTTTGCTTCTCTGCTGATGATCCCTTGCAATCGTACAATAATATTAGCGGCCATAAATACGGGGTCAATCGTCATATGAGGCTATGATGCATGACCACCCTTTCCATAAACCGTTAATCGAAAACTATCAGCTGCAGATCCAGCGATCCCTTTTCGTGTCCCCACTTGTCCTGCCACAACTGGCATGACATGTTGTCCTAAAACCACATCCGGAATGGGACATGCATGTCTTTCGGGGTCGTACAATCCATCATCTATCATAGCCCTTGCTCCCGCGCCTCGCTCCTCATTGGATTAAAATATTATCACCAATGTTTCTTGCCATTCGGATTTTGCCTTCCATAATGTTTCTGCAGCGGCTAGCATACATACTATATGCATATCGTGTCCACAAGCATGCATCACGTATTTTTCAATGCCATCTTCAATATCAACTTCCCGTTTGGTGCTAGCACATGGTAGACTAGTCAATTCCTTGACAGGCAATGCATCTGTATCAGCGCGAAGGAGAACTGTAAGTCCAGAGTCATTCTCCAGAATCCCAATCAGACCTCTGCCACCGATGTCAGTACGGACATCAAAGCCTATAAGATTTTCGAGAAATGTGGCTGCCATTCTAGCAGCCAAATCTTCTTGGAGTGACAATCCCGGGTTTTGGTGGAGATGTTTGTAGATAGTTTCATAGCGATGGAGGTCTGGTGTGTACTTTTTGAGAATAGTTGGAGTATCCATGGCTGCTTTTTTTTCCTTAGCATTCGAAAACCACAAGTCAAACGGTTTAATTGCACAATCCAAGTAAAGATCTATAAAGATTCTCAATGAATTTTAGTGACTAAATTGTTGTTGCGGAAAGTATAAAGATGGGTAGATGGGTTGATACAAGTAGAAAGCTCATTCGAGGTGGGGAAATTTGTTGATAAGCAAACATTCCGTCGTGAAGTGCGGGGTCTCGATGAATCTAGGAAACATGATTGGAAGGGGCTATTACCCTTCTTTCCCATATATCAAAGATACGGATAACCTTATTATTCCATTCTCCCTACATTAAAAAAACTTTCGAGGACTACGCATGCAGCTCTCCCTAAAGATAGTGCCACATGTTGTACATGAGGAAACCTGTAAGCGGAGAATTATCACCATGATTGTTTTATGAAGGAATGTATGAAGTGTATTCGCTAACTGATGCGAATAGGCTTTGATTCGTCATATACATCCCAATGTATGCCTGTTGCGGCCATCATCATCGTGTCTCACAAATAGTACGAAAACGTCTACTTGTGATTTAATCCTCCTGCGAGTAACAAACTTTGACCGGTTGCATATCCAGTCTTGGCAAACATCATAACTGCATTCGAACATTCTTCCGGAGTGCCCAACCGATGCAGTGGAATCATGTCAAGTAATCCAGGGGCAACATTGGCGTTGGGAATCATGCCTGTATTGCCAATCATCGCTGGAGCGACATCATTGACTGTAATCTTGTACTCGGCAAGATGAAGTGATAAATTCTTCATCATCGACGTGAGGCCACCTTTTGATGCAGCATAATCTATGCACGTGTCAGTTCGGCGTCGGAGAAATAATTCAAAAGGGGTCGTACGACAGCCATTGATCCCAGCCCCGTAGGCAGCTATACTCGAGATGAATATAATTCTCCCCCACTTCTGTGCCTTCATTCCTTCGACAACACCTTTAACCAACAAGAACGATGCTCTCAAGTTGATATTAAGCGTATATTCGAATTCCTCTAAAGGAATATCGGATATGTCAACTATTCTCTTACCATACCCCGCATTTGATACTAAGATATCTACATTCCGTCCATTATGGTCACGTTTAATTTCTTGAAAGAGACCAGATATCTGCTCCGGGGACCCCATATCGACTTGATGAATTGAGATGCGAAGATCTTTCCCAGAAGCTGTATGACGTAATTCATTCAGGAGGTTATCAATTGCGTCTTTGGATGTGGAATATGTGAGTGCGAGGTGAACGCCTTCTGCTACAAATGCACGAGCACAAGCTGATCCTATTCTGTTGTCTTTGTTATTGGGATTTCGAGAGTTGGGACGGTATTTTTTACCCTCCAGAGGCACCTGTGATCAGGGCAAGTCGATCTACCAGATTGTTCTCAGCCATTTTGTTCTGTGAATGTGTTGATGTGCAAGAAAGCTTATTGCGTGGAGTCTTGTTGGTGAATGAAAGTGCTGTTTTAAGCTCAATCGATGTGACACAAGAAGTAGCCTGCCCCGCATAGTGCGGAGCTTTTGATGGAGTGGTCGGTGTTTGACAGCATTAGCTCACCGGCTACTGCCATGTGGATCTGCGGAGAAGATCACGGGATAGCACGTGTTTAAAGTCGGATATAAAGCAGACATTTCGACATCACAGTGGTTTTGAGTAGAGAAGGAACAGAAACAGAGACGAATACAGAATCTGGAAGTGCTAAATCCATGTGAGCCCTTGGACTTTTACCTAACCGAGAACAAAGAAGAGAGATGGTCCGGTACATCTGCTTGGTGATTAATTACAGATAGCACACCAACTTTCATAGATCTTTGTAACCTTAATGGACAGAGTTAAAGTATGAACTATTTCATATTAGCAAAGACTAAGCAAATTGAATACCTCGAAATGGCAATTCCCAGTGAAGTTCATGTGGTGCATGTCTGTGAAGAACAATTTGATGTATTGATAATCTAAGCCTGCATGTATGTGGCTAGAGAACTTAGGTTACTTCAGCCTCTCACGCACGGGTGCTAACCGAGCCACCAGCCATACCAAGCCACTCGAGCCACCGAAGCCACTCAAATGTTTCTCTAGTTTCAAGTTTTGAAGATCATCGATGATGGTGCCTTCCCTTTTAATTTCAGCAAAGTAACAATTAGTGATCAACCTAAAATCCGTAGAATATATGTCTCCCTCGGCCTCCTTTTGGATTTACCTAGTACTTTATTGCATGAATGTAGGTTTTATTCTGTGCTACGATCTATCACTGCTGTGCCACTTCTTCTATAAAGTGTAAGGTAGTCTTAGGATACGTATAGCTACATAAGAATCGGAAAAGGTGATGGCAACGGAAACGGAAACGGAAACGATCATGATGATATACTCCGTACATTCTTTCTCTGTAATTAGACGTCTTACCTCCCTAGCTCATTTTTGTCCTCTTCCGAAATGATTGTCTATTGATATGAAAATCATTAGATAGTCTATCAACCAGGTATCTTACTCATCAGGTTCGATTGTGTACATCCTCGAATCATAGTCGAAAATAAAGCCTGTCATTAAACATTCATTACATAAAACTACACGAGCATCAATTTCCAAAGCACAAATCATATCAAACAAACCCACAGTCAGAGATTAAGAAGTCTCGGAAGGAAAGCTTGAAATACTTTTGTACATTCCGAGGGTCATAAGTGATGTGATAAAACAATGTCAAGGTTCTCGTGGGGAGGAAGCACTTGCTGAAAAGAAACATAGCGGCCATACATCATCGTACATCATAATACATTCCACACCTTCCATTGTTCTTTGACTTCTTCTTTCATCCTTTTTTAAGCTCAATCCTTTTACCCACACAAAATTAATTAGACAATGTCCGGATATAATGATCCAACTCATGGTACTGTTTCTCCTCAAATCACCGGCTCAACCAGTCATAATTCGGCTTATATCTCTCCACAAATAACTGGCATCACCAGCACTTCCACTTCAAATATTCAACAACCTCATCCTGATTTACCTCCACAATCACAACAATCTCAAGAACAATTCAAACCAGAAGTTTATCAAGGTATCGAAGTCGTCGCTCATAATCCAAACACAATGGCATCGCAAGAAATCCCACCTCAACAAGAGGGTTTCACGAATGAGAAGTTTCAACAAGCTCCCCCTCTTCAAGGTCAATATCAATCACCTACTCCTCAAGATCAATACCAAGCTCCACCGGGTCAAGAACAATATCCTCCTCAAGGACAATATACACCTCAAGCTCCACCACAAGCAAATATCAACCAAGGAAAAAATAACTATGCAACTGCTATGCCTATCCGCTCTCTTCAAACCGGTCCTACTCCCGTGGACTGTCCTATTTGCGGCGTAAGAGAAGTAACTTCGGTTGAACATCACAGTGGAATGACGACACAGTATGCATCTCCATTTCTCATCTCCATCCTGTACGTTATCCGTATGATATATACTAACCCCTCCCAGTCTCATCGCCATCCTCTGTTGTGCAGTTACCTGTCTTGGATGCATACCCTACCTTGTGTCGGGCCTCAAAGACGTCGAACATAAATGCGGTCACTGTGGTGCATTATTGGCCGTCTGGCACAGGAGTGGTAGATTAGAGGTTGTGGTACCTAATGCTTAAACAATTGTCGACATTTCTATTTCTCACCTTTCTGTTCTTTCTTTCTTTTTTTTTGGAAGAGCTGTAAGAAGATTACTTGTACTTTTAAAACTATTCATGGGCCGAGGAAGAGGATTACTACAAAAAGCCGATGGATGTTACGGCATTTCTTTCACTAATAGTGCATATTGGAGTGGGATTTTTGGCTGGTTTTCGATGGATGTTCAATGTGGGATGTAGGATGTGAAATGATACCCTCTTTTTCTCTTGCCTTGCTTTTTGGTCTAGCTATTTCAACATCCTTGAGCATATACGGAATTTAGATACCATGAGCTTAGGTATCTCAGGAAGCTTTCCGATATCTGAACCTAAATTTTGAGATCGGGCACAAGAATGTCTTTGAGGTTTATGGCCCATTGTGATTTTGTAATTCGCATTTCATGTAATCTTAGTGTTTGTCTGTCCATAATATACTTTAAATCCCCAATCCGTGCTCGACAGTAGAAAAACTCCCTGTATTTCGTATCATCGTTTTATGATAGTCCTAATGGCTCAGTTCCCATACCCATTCTCAAGAACTTCTATTCCAAATCCGCACCTTGTGAAAACCACGCGTCCAAGTCACCGATACTTCTCACGAGTGTTGTACTGAAGTTGAACAATCGCATATACCAATATCTCCTACAGCCAGCACGCACCAGGCAACTTTCAAGTAAGCTCTGCACACTATACGTATATATTGCGGGGGTTTCTCTCAGTGCGCAAAATATGGAACCTTGGGCGCATTTGAACAGCATGGTATTATATCATCAACAACATCACCATAAAACACATATTCATGTGATGATAAAGAACACATAGTTATGTGTCTAATGTATTATCTCGAGAAACCAAATACAAAGCATCCCTAGCAAGCCAACCACAATCACCGGTAATTTCCTTTCGAACACAAATTTCTTCTTGCGTTTCCAAAATGCCTTCGATCATGTCTTCCTGGTCGTGTTACTTGTTTAGTGGTGCTCGCCATCACTACCCAAAAGTTCTACTCCCATTTCGATAAAGATCTTAAGCCTTTCCCATGTACACGGTTCTTGCAGTTATGATGTTTTTTCTCCTAATCTAGAAGCACTTTTGTTCTTCCTCTTCTAAATATGGGCATTCTCGGTGTGAGCGGCGGCTGTTAGTGTTTAAGGTCGCGAGTTGTTCTCTATAGCGAGGGCAAAATTCGATTACGGTGGAGGTTGAGAAGCAGATGAGGTAGGTGTGGCAGGTGGGACAGAAGCGGTCGGAGCGGAAGGGGTTGCCGGGGGGGAAGGGGCGGAAGGGGTGGCAGGCGAGGCAGGTGAGGTTGGTAACCTTTCTTTCGGTGTACATTTTGAAATGTCCGGTGGTGCGAGATGCTGTAAAATGGTTTACGCGTGCCTGTCTATCGTGTATTGTGTTTGTGTTTGCGTTCTGGATGGATAGACGTAGGTATGCTTAAAGGTGGTTATCGATGAAGAAATATTGAGGATTAGAGCGAAACTTCTCCCTTTAAATACTCCGCCCGACCTTGCAAATCATTGAATCATAAGAAAAGTTTTGAATTACTTTGAGGACTTAATTACTCACCTCCGCGTCAACAGTCACTATTTTGCTGAAGAGAGGAGAGGTGTAAGAATAACAAAATATAACGGTTTTAAAAGGTTACGCATTACACTGTAGAAATCATTAAAAACTCATCCTATCCAAGCCATCCTACTCTAAGCAACTCAACATTTATGAATCACCAAGAAGTACATCAAACCCCATCCATAGCCCTTCATTCTCTACCTCGCATCTCTCTATGAGTCTGGGTCTCTGACTAACTATGACCGAGGCATCACTATTCACTTTTATATTCACGGGATATCCCGAAATACTAAACTGGAAAAAGGCAGAATCATAAGTATATCCAGCCGTGGAAATCGCATGACGGAGAATTTTCAGGCGCTACACATTCAGTCATGACTTTGGAAAATCATAAGATACTCTTTTAATATTACTAAAGTAGGGAAGCGATGACTGAAGGTCAGCAGCATCGATGACAAGCAGCAAATGGACAGTCCATTCATGCATCGTCTATTATTCCTGGAATCTTGCTAAACTATATGACTCCATGATATAATGAAAGAAAAACATGAAAATATGATGTGTAAATTAACCGCTTTGCGAATGTAAATGTATACCATGAATCAATTCATATTCAACAAGGACAGATACCTACTTCATGCCACTATGAAACCCCGTTACAATATCCAGATGGTATTCATGCGGTTATATGTCTTCCCCCAATGAATTCTCAACCTTGAATCTTTATCATTACTCGAGTACAAGAGCTATTGGTGGGGATGTCGAAATAGTTCATTTCATGGAGACGAGCCCGGTTGTACTATTACGGGTAGTTTCGTCACTCCATGTGTTCGTCCCATCAATAGGAAGCAACCACTACCAGATCCTTCTCGTGAACCAATACATTTCATGGATGAAATTTACGGGTAGAGTGAAGATCAGGCCTGTTTGATGTTCTTGATCAAGTTCCATTGAGCCGTGTGGTAGTTCAGATGAACAGCAATTAGCCGATCAAAATCGAGGGTGGGGTGGAACCGCGGCCACCATTAAGATGCCTGGTCATCTTCTATGCGTTGTTGCGCAGGAGTAAAGATGCACGACTTGGTTCATGAACGATACGTGTATAAATTTCATACGGTATGAAAAATTCGAAGGGTAAATCCATCATGGAGCCATAGAAATAAAGATAAGAGGTTCAATCGCTTTGGTTTCAAACTTTTGAAATCCGGACAATCAACTACTTTTGCGAACCATGAATTCCTAAAGGTTACTCAACAAGCGCAGCAATTGCTCCCAAACGATCGAGCGGCGTCTTTGGATCAATCCCACGAATCATTGAATTCCCTCGATATCTTCCATTAAAACAAGATGTGTGTAGAACAAGAAGTTCGTTGCACTGGCTGTAACGAATCAAGCACTAGCGTTTACATCTGTTCGAGGCTCAAGAGATGGCAGAGAAGTCACAAGAAGATAATCAGCCATAGACGATGTGGAGATTTCAGTATATCTCTGCCAAGAAAGCAAAGTAGTCTTGCTCACATGGATTGTCCCATTGTAAGTGAAACTTTTCAAACTGCCTAGTTGGATTGAAGTGATGAATTTGGAGTAGCAATACTGTTGCTATCAAGACTCATAGGGAGACAATGCTGACTTTGAGATTTTGCTAGCGACCTGAACAAGAGTATATCGATTATCATAATGAGGAAGCTTTCATGTATGATTACGCTCCTCGATGTCCTAGTCCTATACAGACATATCCGACATATCCGCCATATTCAGTGCCTTATCAATACTATCCTTCATGGTGTGTATGAATAGGAGGAGCTTGTGGAAAATACTTTTCTGCTCTTTCCATCAGGGTGAGAACAGCAATACCAGGGCCTTGAGGAGGTTTGCATGAAAGGAAAAGACACAACATCGGGTGTTGGCGATGTGGGAATGGTCGCATTGATTCCTGGTTTCGTTTTTGAGAGCTGGCTCTCTTCAATGATAGACAGGATATGGGACATGGTAAAATGGGTGGAATTTGTGCTGCATATGAAGTTATTGGTTGATACCCAAATGATCTGTACTTTTCTTTCTTGAAAAAAGTTACAATGGTCGTGGTGATGGAAAGATAATCAGGATTAGGAGAAAACGGGATTGGTGATGTGGTGATGGGATGGGGTAGGGGTAATGGGGTTCGGTTGGCGGTGGCTAGTACTCCGTAAGCCTGTGGTGTGGCCTTTGGAAGCACCGAGAGGCGAATCAAACCTTCTGGAAATCAATTCAATGACCATTAAAAGGTTGACGAGAAAAAGATAACATAATCTTACCTATAATAAACACAATGTCTTTGATGCTTATTTGAATTTCATAGTTTGAGTTATAAATTTACTTTATCTGATTTGAAATACGATGTAAATATATGGCCATTTTTGTCTGTTCTGGCCACATCGAAGGGAGCCGGTGAGCAAGCGTGGAATTAGGACAGTTTTAGCCAGATCATACATACACACATATATACTAGATCATTAATCAACTGTTAGATCATCGACGTTATTAGTTTATTATTCTTCTTCTTTGTCCTATTCCCCCAACTTTGTTCTGCTTTTCTTTTTTTAATATTAAATAAATAAAACGTTACGTACAAATAAAATTCGATCACCTCTTGTCTTTATCATTTGTATTACCATTCTCCGAGCTCAATTCTTAGACTCCAAAAGTTATCCGCAGTATTTGTGAATTGCTATTCTCGTCAAGCTCACATGCCTTCTTCCATAAATAAGCATCGGTGATGCCACTGCGATGCTTTAGAGGTTGTTGGCTGGGTTTCCCTTCCAGCAGTCATTCGATCACCATCTTCAACTCAAGATGCTCCATGTTACTCCTTTTCACATTATGTCTGGCTCTAGTCAATGCCATGACACCGACGCGCATTGCGGAGTTACGGAAGGAAACGGTCGAGATGTTCTATCATGGATTTGACAATTACATGGATATTGCATTCCCAGAAGATGAGGTTCGACCATTGCTTAAAGTACCAAAGATCTGTAGCTGATCTTTTCTTCTAGCTGAGGCCGGTATCCTGTACACCCCTCACCCGAGACGCCCAAAACCCCCGACATTTCGAACTAAACGATGCACTCGGAAACTATTCTCTCACTTTAATTGACAGTCTCTCGACTCTCGCAATTTTGGCATCCGCCCCTCCAGATAAAGAAGAAACCGGCGCAACAGCACTTGAGGATTTCCAACACGGGGTAGCTTCCCTAGTATTACAATATGGCGATGGGACAAGTGGAGCGTCCGGGGAAGGACTACGTGCTCGAGGTTTTGACCTGGACAGCAAGGTACAAATTTTTGAGACCGTCATCAGAGGTGTGGGCGGGCTATTGAGTGCTCATGAATTTGCCGTTGGAATTTTGCCAATAAATGGTTACAAACCACAAGCTAGCAGATCTAAATCGAGGAGCTCGAAGACACATGTACCTGAAATTTTGTGGCCCAATGGGTTTAAATATGATGGACAACTTTTGCGCCTAGCTCTGGACTTAGCTGAGCGACTTCTTCCCGCTTTTTACACCGCGACCGGTATGCCGTATCCAAGAGTCAATTTACGACATGGGATACCATTTTATGTGAATTCGCCTTTACATGAAGGATCTGATCTTGGTGACTTTATGGAGAGAGGCGTGCCTGAGATTACTGAAACATGTAGCGCAGGAGCAGGTAGTCTGGTGTTGGAGTTTACTACTTTGAGCCGCCTCACTGGAGATCCAAGATTTGAGCAACTGGCAAAGCGAGCGTTTTGGGCGGTATGGAATAGGCGAAGTAACATTGGACTCATTGGAGCAGGGATTGATGCAGAGAATGGTCAATGGATTGGGTCATATGCCGGGATAGGCGCCGGTACTGATAGTTTCTTTGAATACGCATTCAAGACCCACGTCCTGCTGTCTGGACATGGCACTCCCAATGTAACGACACATAGACATCAAAATCATGATTCATGGTTGGATCCAAACACAATCTATAACGAACTGAGTGCTGAAGAAAACTCACCAGAAGCTTTTCTTGCGGTGTGGCACGAAGCTCATACAGCAATCAGAAGACATCTATACAGTTCTACCCACCACCCACATTACGTTAATGTTCACCTTGTCACAGGCTCGCCTCAGGCATTCTGGATTGATAGTCTTGGAGCTTACTATCCTGGTTTACTGACGCTAGCTGGTGAGGTTGAGGAAGCGATCGAAACTAGTCTACTGTACACTGCATTATGGACGAGGTACGCAGCTCTTCCTGAAAGATGGTCAGTACGCGACGGACACATAGAGGGAGGACTAGGTTGGTGGCCTGGGCGTCCTGAGTTCATCGAATCGAATTACCACCTTTATCGAGCGACAAGAGATCCCTGGTATCTTCACGTTGGCGAGATGGTTTTGGAGGATATTAAACGGAGATGTTGGGCAACATGCGGTTGGTCAGGTTTACAAGATGTGCGTACCGGAGAAAAGAGTGATCGAATGGAAAGCTTCTTTCTTGGGGAAACAGCCAAATATCTTTATCTTCTTTTTGATCCAGATCATCCGATGAACGATCTTGATGCTGCTTACGTCTTCACGACTGAGGGACACCCTCTTGTCCTACCTCGAACGGACTCCGGGCCGCCCGTTGCATCCCGTGGGCCTATTGCTAAAAAAGCGGTACAATCAAATGTAGCTCTTCGAGATACTTGCCCTGTACCGCCACCACCACTGCCTTTTACCGTCTCCTCTACAGCTGCTAGGACGGATATATTCCATGCATCAAGTCTTATAGGTTTACACATGATTCCTAATCACCACACCACAATAGATAATGAGAATATCAAGGTCAACAATCACACATACTTCCCATGGACTTTGCCAACCTCAATGATGCCAGTTAATGGTACTTGCGATCGTCTTCCGATAAGTACTACTTTTACGATTGAATTTCCCAACAATAATGCTTTGAGCACCCAGTCGGTCAAAAATGGGTTTAACATTGTCTTTAACATTCCTCAAAGTCTTGATCGTACAATTGATGGCAGTATATTGGTCAAGAGTTTGTCTGGTCTGAAGATGGGCATGATACATGAAAGCCAATCGCGTTCTTCTGGAGTTAATGAAAAGGCCTTGGAATCGTGGAGAGTAGGTAGTATTGCGAACATACCTTTGGGAAGAGATGAGCAGGTATTGATACCGCGAGATGTGATAGGGGATCTGTCAGATCCTTCATTCTCACGCATAAGAAACCCAGTCATGCTTGACATAGTCATACAACTTGAGCAGGTTCATGATCAAAACCAAAATATATCGGAAAGTGTCGAAGAATACTTCGAGGAAGATCAATTATACGACGATACCCCCAACATTGCTTTGGAAGAATCAATTAGCAATGCAGGGCTAGCAGAATACAGAACCTTGTTAAATTCCCTCCTCCAACAAGTAACATCTGCCCTGCGCGATCCAGCCGCTACTCTACTTCCACAGCCCCAAGCTCCTCCCGCTTATACATATGTCACCCTTCCGGCTGTTCTACCCACAGGCAAAGGTGCTCATCTCCTTATCAATGCACCGGAAGCCCCAGATCTCTTGTCCGCCAAGACATCTTCCGCCACTCTTTCTTTCACGAGTATCTTCTTCGCTGATGAAGCTTGTAACGGGAGGCTGCCGGACGAAGCAGTTAAACAGCATCATGTTATAATTATGAAACGTGGCGGTTGTACTTTTTCGGAAAAGCTATCCAATATCCCCAGCTATACCCCCACATCTAAAGGCCTCAAGTTAGTCATCGTGGTTTCGGACGACATGGATGATATAGAACCTGGCGAGGAGAATATGGGAGGTCAAGGAGGCTCAGTGAACGGAGAGCGCAACCTGGTTAGACCATTATTGGATCAACCGCAACTAACTCCGAGCGGTCTTTTGAGACATCACCAGGTCAGCATGGTAATGATTGGAGGAGGTGACGAAGCCATCGAGGCTTTAATGAAGGCCAAGAGTATTGGTATCAGACGAAGATACCATGTAGAAAGCCAAGGACTATTGGTTAGCAATATTTTTGTAGTTTGATTCATATGGTATGGAAAATATATCATAAATTCATTATGGGATTTGGCGTTAGGATATGATATGATATTGGGCTAGGTTTGGCCGGAGCATCCAAGGAAAAACGAGAATATCACCTTTTCTTATAGCGCCTGGGTGTCACTTTCATGTTCACGATATGGGTGAGGAGTGATGGATAGCGGACTTGTTGTAAATGTCATGAATGCTTACTTTGTATATAAGTATGATTACATATACGTTTTCTTCAGCGTGCCTAAGTTTTAAGGGCTTCTTTCTGATGCTCAGTGAGACACTTTCATGTATACATTCAAGCCTCCAAATTCATAGGGAAATACATGAATATGCCCAAATCTTTAAATGGACAAAGCTAATGAATGGCATTGAACATTATTGTATTTGACGCTATTAATGGTGATCTGACTGATAGATGATGTATCATTCCATTTTGAAATCACAACCTATGATTAGAGCAACTGCAGGCAAGATTGACACTGAAGGCTAGCCATACTGTATTTATTATCAATGAATCATGGGAAATGTTTGACTAACAAAGAACATATATATAGCTAGGTAGTTTCCATATTACTATAACTACTGGTAAATAAACAAGTAAACAAACATACTCCTAGCTAAACCCTAAATTTATCTTCATTACACCAACAATTCTATCCACAATCCCTCATAACAACTCAATTCGCATCGACTATCTTTCCCCCTCACACCTCCTGAACGAAGATTCAATCGCCATCCCCCTTCCTTCCTGCCATCTGATGCACAACCTATCTAGAGCCGGGAGTCGGTGAACGTAATCCTACATTCCCTTTCCACTCTAACGATTTTCTCTTCGAGGGGAGTAAAGTTCTAAGATCTTACTTCGATTCAACAGTAATGAAATGCAAATTCAATATGGCATAGGAGCAGTAAACTTATTCGCTCGTTAATAGCCACCTGGGCCTAGTAATCGAAGCTATAGTCAACTCTAGTATTTTCCACAACTCACAACTTTACACAGCAAAAATCAGAAACAGGAGCATGGTATCCAATATAGATATCTAAAATTATTCTCCTGCAGGACCTCCTCGGGGTTGATTTTTTCCACCAAATCAACATCAACATCAACATCCATGATTCCTTACGGTGATTTATAGCCATGAAGCACTTCTTTTCTATTTTAGATGACGGAGATAGTATCTGGTGAGAAGGGCTCGTTAAGCTTCTTCGATAGTACTAGTCGAGTGAGAAGATGGAAAAGCTGATGGTTGAGGTCAAAGATTGAGCAGTCCACTAACATCAAAAGCGTAAACGACAACAAGACGGATAGACATCCCTCACGATTAAATCACAAAACTAGGACAACGAATAGTTATCTTAGAATAACAGAGTATACATCAAACATTTGTTCTAACAGCATCATTCTTGTATATCAGCCCAAAATTTGCCATCCGCAATGAAGAAATTTCTTTTGCGAGAATAGATACGTACATACAGGCACCGTACGAAAGGATTCAATGTTCCTATCCCATACTAGAGAATTCAAATACCATCCCATGGTCGGAAAATATACCCTTCAATCTTCAAAAGACAATTTTGATTTTACAAGTGGGAATTAGGCTATTTCACAGTTCAAATTTATTTTGAATGTTGAAAGTATTCGCTTGATTAAGTGAGGAAATATGCGTTCTCTCCTCTCCAACTCCAGAGCTTGATATCTAACACAGCTCTATCATCATATCATAGATTCACCTCCGATTCCATGATACATAAATTACTTGTACAATGCCAAATCGAACAATGCGACGGCCTTTCTGAAACGCCCCCTATGTTTAACATCAAACGCAGAAATATCAAGAATGCCAAGGGAACGCCATTGCTACTGAGTCAGTCTCGTAGCCTTTGAACAATAAATAATACTCTTATCAATTCCTCATCAAATTAGCAAACACTGTAATTTTCTCTATCTCGACATCAGGCCCACCAGCAGGTTTTACCGTACCCTTAGGAAGGGCCGCAATCAATTCAACTTCAATTTTGTTCACACCAGGAAGAAGACGAGCTTCGAATAGAGGCTGTCGAGGGTCCACTCCATGATTTGGTATGAGTGGTATAGCATGCAATCTAGTTACTCCAGACGTGACAAATATCTTGTACTGACGCTCGAGTAAAGCCTGAGCGATCGTTGGCTTGATTTGGAGGTAGTAATGCGTCGAGGGGAGATTGATCGTGATAGATTGTTGCGTCAATGTTGCAGACGGGGGTAGATCCATATGAAAATGACGAGAGACATTGAGGCGTGGATGAGTTGCAATGCTCAAGTTTGTGATCATAGCATGAGATGCATCTAGGTTTTGTAAGTTTTTATCTGAGCACAAAGTAGATCGTTACTCACTTTTTCCTGGAGCTCTAAATTTGGATTCTAGGGCTAGATTTGCAGGTTGATGGTTGAAAGATTGTGCATAACCACCCTGATTATATGAATTGTGATTAGACGCATTGGGTGTATGTGGTGGAAGCATGTTACTTGGAGCCGGGGTCGGCGTCGACACAGTTTGGCTGATCGGTCGTGGGGTTGATTGGATTAGTGCAGCAGGCGACTTGCGTAGGGCTTCCTCACTCTTTACCGGCACAGAATTTGAAAGGACTGGAGATGATGCAGAATTCGACATGCTCCTAGCTCTCTCTAACTGGCCCAAATTTGGAGCCGGTGTCGCAGTAGAGTGCGAACCACCAAACGGATTCCTACGTGTTTCGCTGTTGGAGGAGGTTGCGGAGTTCACAGTTCCGTTAGAACCATTGGTTAATGGAGCTGGTGAGTCCGCTGCTCTAGGTACTCCGACTCTCAGAGTAATTTTTGGACTAGGTTCAGGAGCCTTAACATTAATCTTGATCTTGGGGATTACAGGCTCAGGCACAGCCTTCTTAGCTTCTTCCAAAGTTTTCTTGAAAAAGTTCTGGAAAATGTTAATAAAGAGGCGATCAATGGGAAGCTCATTACATACCTCAAGGTCCTTTGCTAGATTAAAGATCTCACTGCCATCTTCATTATAGTGATATGCATTCTTCCATATCAAACTTGCATCTTCTTCAAGCGCAGCCCACGACTTGAAATCGCTAACACCCGTGGCATGTTTTCCTCCATGTGTTCCCTTGACTCGCTTTTGCAGATCCTTCAGACAATGTGGATTTGGAATTACATGATAATAATCTTTCAAACTGCGTGGTGGTAATGCTACGAACGGCTCAAATTCAAAGAATTCGTCCCTATTTCCATATTAGCTTAATTGAATAATGTAGGCCGCAGTACTTACGCAGGGTCTTCTTTATGCGCAAGGACGTCAGCTAGAATCTTCTCTTGCGCTTGTTGGAAAGTAAGTCCCACGAAGCTGACACCAGCATATTGAGAATCGGATATAGCAGGAGTGGTACTCTTGCGTGGTGCTCCGGGATTCTTTGGAGGCCGGCCTCTTCGCTTTGTGACTGGAACTGGTTCAGTCTTGAGTTCCTCCTCCAGGTCCTCGGGTTCTCCCTCTGCATCCGCATCGCTGTCTTCTTGCTCGATAGGTAAAGGTGCAGGCTCGATTGGCTTGGGCTCGACTGGTTTAGATACGACTGACTCGACGGGTGCAATTGGCGTAGGCTCGAGCTTCATACCAGGATTTGTCTTATACTCTGGATTATTGTCAGTCATAAATTTGACCACAGCCTTTCGTATTCGCTCAGCATCACGATGAATTATAGATTCTCGCTCATTGTAATCCTTAGCATTTTTTACTAAGCGTTTGAAGAAGCTCTCAAGCTCAGATAAAGTAGCAAAGTCATGATTGTCCAACTTTTCTTGAATAGTATCAAAGGCGATTGGCATCTTTGTCACCGCATAGTATGCGGCGAATTCTTTCCTATCGGGGAGGGTGAGGAAATTGGTTGCGAACGGTCGGCCTCTACAGAGAGATATCGCTATTAGCAGGGTGCAGATGGAGGAAGATGCATGAATTGCACATTCGGAGCGAGGGGTCAAAAAGGGTTGCGACTTTCAAAATGTGCGTACTGCGGGACCCCTCGGTCACATGCGAGATTGGTGAAGTAGCAGACCCTTCGCGAAGAGCAATCATTTGGAGGTAGGTGAACTCACTGTTTGTCCAGACCCGTTCTCAGTTGGTTCAAAAGTATCAATCCATAATAAGTTGTTGTTTCTGGTGTCTGACCTTGGCTTAGATCACCATTCTATTGAATGTCAGCCTCGATTTCTCGACCGTTTTCGCATTTCATAAAGAATGATGTAAATGAAGGGGAGGAAGAAGTGGTTGTGCGCCGGTTCACTTCCCTGCCACCAATGGAGACAAAGCTGGTAGGTAGGTATTTATTCTATTTAAACCTTTAAACCCCATGAACAATATCAATGCACCAAACTTTGTACCTTTATCTTTATCATTATCAAAAACAAAACAGGCGCAAACTTACAACAGGAAGCTTTCTCCTCTTCGCAGCGCGATCCGCATCATCTTGATCCGCAGTACTTCCGCCATTAACCTTCCTTTTGGGGTCCATTCTTATATCTTATTATCGTATTATACTGTGTCGTACCGTACCGGATTGGATTACAAGGCCCAGTACCTTTTCGCCGTGGTGTACTTGAATCAAAGTCTGTGAATTATTGCGCAATTCCGATTGATAATACGGACGCGTCAAAGCCGATATGCGCGTTCTGAAGCTTTTACAAACTTCGAAGTACTGATGGAGATGGAGATATGCAGGGGTTACGATCTTTTTGGGTTGGTTGCTAGGAATCCAGTCCCAAGTCCCAGATGCAACACACGACAAGGACAAGGATGGAGATACGATATTATACGAATACAATATCAAGTATCATAAAGAATTGAAAGAATTCGTTGGGTAATTATTGATGCTCGAGAAGTTACAAGGAAAGTTGCAATACGCATACGCTCTTGTATTTTCAACTCAACTCAATCAAAGTTATTGGTGCAGAGTTCCAACACTGAAGCGATAATACATATTAATGAATTGGACGCAGGTTGCTGTCACATGATCAATGGGCTCTGTTTTGCCTTAGGGCTGCAAGGCTAGAGCTGCAAGGCTGAACTCACTTGGAAGGCTGCATAGAGTTAGGTGCTTCACGGGTAAAAGGCTTTGACAAGGCTGGATTGGATTGACTGGACTGGAACTGGACTCCACTTGCCCAAACACTAAAAGTTGCTCGACTTTTTACTACGGCCTTCTTATTTGTTTACACTCCCCCAAGTCCACTTGGCTGCTAGGTACCTCGACTTTCGCAAACAAATCAACCCAGATTCACATTACAACACATAAAATTATTTGCAGTAATCTACAATTTGCTCGAGGAGAAGTCTTGTCTTCATTCAGTTACAATTACAGTCACAATTACAATCACTTTTCCATACCTCCATTTGTCTTTGGCACAGAGTTTCTACACCGCAAAAAGAAGCAAATCGAACCCAATCAACCGCTTGACGCCTTCCACATCGACCATCACATACATTTGCGCCGGCGCCATTTCTCTAACAGCCCTCGGTTCTAGTAATTTAAGATTTCACATACAATCGAACAATCAATCGACCTCGATTCATCAAATCAACCTCCGAACCAATTTTTGTCGCGTTCTTGCCCCACTCATACGCCGACGATTCCAAACACAACACGCGCGACCGCGTTAAGTCGTAGAATTCAGAACACAATGGCGGACATAGATTACAGTAGGAGAAACAAGTACGCGAGACCACTCTCGGAGGCCGAGAAGGAACGTTTAGATGAGTTCATTGATGCGATCCATTATTCAGCAAGGTCAGTACAAGTAACGGCACATCACATGCGCCTTGATTTCCGTCGCGCATACACTTACCTCTCCGTACAGATACTCCGACGATCAATATGAGTACCGACATGTCCAGCTACCAAAAGCCATGCTAAAAGTCATTCCAAAGGAATACCATGATCCCCAAACTGGTACTCTGAAGCTATTGTGGGAGGAAGAATGGAGGGCATTGGGAATAACACAGGTATGCAAAGGACAGTTGAACCCAAGATCGACACAACTAATCAAGTGCAAATAGAGTCTTGGCTGGGAGCATTATGAGGTACATGAGCCAGAACCACACATTCTTCTCTTCAAGTACGTTACGGGATATCCTCAAAATCTTCTAAACGCTAATGGTTTTATCTAGGAGATCAATTAATTATCAACCACCAACTCAGCAGCAATAGATATGTTGCATGTTTTTTAAACTCGACTTCCGCAAGTCTTTGATCCGGCATAACACCTTACACAAGAGGACATATGCTCTGACGATGTTACGTCTTATGTCTCTCCTAGGTTTCGCTTTATGGTTTCTCGATTATTAGTTTGATGTATTAGATCAGGATTAACTCACATCATCTCCACTGCTATATACTGGTCCTACTTCATCTTGGGAATTAACGATAGCGAGGCTTTTCAGGGCTGGTTGCGATGGATTTAGAAACTGTAGAAAGGCAGAAGAAGAAGCCAATTGGCAATGATGAACGTATGACGCATGGCAGGCTCAGCATAAGTATAAGCAGATGAGAGGACGTTTCAAGGTCACTTTGGGGGTGACTGTCCTCAGAGTAATGCCCTCATCGGAAGGCAAGGTTTACCAGAAAGAAAAAAACAATAAATCGTATTTACATCTCTGTTCTTTTCTAGTGTGATTATGTGATTATGTGATGGTGTATCTTTCGATGTGGGTAATTCGTCGTATGGTTCTTGAGGTTGATGACGCTTATTGGAAGTCTTGCCTGGAATGTTCTTGGACATGAAGTGATTGATTCTCACACGACCGTCTAGATTAAAGTTCTCCGGCAGCCGATCCTTTTGGAAGGTTGGGTGGAGGTGAGGGTGGAGTGGTGCAATTCTATAGTGACATTTGCAGTACATAGGTACTCCGTATCGTCGCTCAAAGCGGAAGAACATTGTGCCTATTGATAGCTGTAATATGATATGTCATAGCTACTACTAGTATACCAGCCCAGCATCAATACTGGTCCGGGCCGTTGAATGTTCCGGTAGATGTTCCATATGATGTTCCATAAGATGTCCATAAGAATGTTCCATGGCTGTTTCTAGTGGCATGGTTGTGGCATAGTGGCATTAACTCTAGGTCCCTTTCCAGATAAATGATGACAATCGGACCACTCAAATCACTCAAATCACTCATGCCACTCGAACCACCCATCTAAAATGGACAGATCGTATGCTTTCAAATCAACATCAACCTTTGTATAATTAAACCTAAATGTATCTTAATATTTAAAAATCAAACTTCTCAATTCTTTCACTTTGATTTCTTCATAGTCAATTTATTGAAAGGTTCTTTAATTGGCTATCTAGTAGCCTCTCTATCGGAATTGGTCATTGTTCTTCCATCTTGTAGAAACTATATTTATCTCGACCCTCCTTTCACAATTACAAGAATTAACAAAATAGGGCCTGAATACACCCCTTTCTAATCAATCCCCCCTATCATATATCCGAAAAAGTCACATATCCTACTTTGGGACTTCCGACGCTCTTTACCCGCACCCAAATGAAATTCATCTGAAGTACTAGACCAAAGGCCAAGTGTCAGTCTCATCATGAAGACCGCTGCTCGAGCATTCTACTTGGGTCTTTTCACTCTTTTGAGTACTTGCACTTCACATACAGAAGCTTCTGATTCCTCGTCCAAATCTAGAACGATTCAAAGTCCAGATGTTTGCGCGGTATGCTTTACTTTTATTTTATCAGGCATATGTGTCTAATGCCATCACCCAGATCTCCCCAAAAGCAATCGTGTCTGATGCTTGCACAACATACGCTACCCTCGATGACCTTAATCGAGAGATATCGCCTTCCCTAGATGATCTCACACAAACCACCGATTTCTTTGCATATTACCGGCTGAACTTGTACGGTAAGGAGTGTCCCTTCTGGAACGATGAGAATGGCATGTGTGGCAATATTGCCTGCGCCGTAAACACATTAGACAATGAAGAAGATATACCGCTGGTATGGAGGGCCGAGGAATTGGGAAAACTAGAAGGGCCCAAAGCTGGCCATCCCGGGAAGAAAGTACAACAAGAACGTCCAAAGAAACCCTTACAAGGCAAGCTCGGCGAAGATGTCGGGGAGAGTTGTGTGGTAGAATACGATGATGAGTGCGACGAGAGAGACTATTGTGTACCGGACGATGAAGGTGCCGGTTCGAAGGGAGACTATGTGAGCTTGGTAGACAACCCGGAAAGATTTACTGGATATACTGGTGAAGGGGCAAAGCAAGTTTGGGATGCCATATATCGAGAGAATTGCTTTTCGAAAGCATCCTTTCCTCACTCGGCATCTCTTGGACACTCCCCACTTTCTCTGAAAGAACCTGCGGCGAATGAACTTAAAACCGTTCTTAAACAACGTGGCCGTCAACACATTCTGGAAGAGCAACGAGAGCACTCCCCAAACCTCCCATTCGTAGCAGAAACTGGCTTCGAACTGGAAGACGAGTGTTTGGAGAAGCGTGTCTTTTATAGAGTCATTTCCGGCATGCACACCTCCATCAGCACACATCTTTGCTACGAGTATTTGAACCAAACCACTGGTCTATGGGGCTTAAATCTTCAGTGTTACAAGGACCGCTTACATGGCTTTCCAGAACGTGTCTCGAATCTCTACTTCAATTACGCTCTTGTTTTACGAGCCGTCACAAAACTCGGCCCCTCTCTCGAAGATTACACTTTTTGTTCAGGTGATCCGGCCCAAGATCAGCTTACCCAATCCAAGGTGCAGACCTTGATTTCAAAAGCATCGAAAGAACCACAAATCTTTGACGAAAGTTTAATGTTTGTCAATGGCGAGGGTCCAAGTCTGAAAGAAGACTTCCGCAATCGCTTCAGAAATGTTAGTCGAATCATGGATTGTGTTGGTTGTGATAAATGCCGGCTATGGGGGAAGGTTCAAACCGCGGGTTATGGAGCAGCGCTGAAAGTTTTATTCGAAACCGAGAACAAGTCGAAAGACGTTCCAACGTTGAAACGAACCGAACTCGTCGCTTTATTCAACACTTTGGGTCGCATTTCACATTCCCTCCGCGCTATCAACGAGTTCCGAACTTTGATTGAAGCCGAAGAGAACAAGCCTAAAGAGGCTGTTGAGTTAACAGATCGTGTTACGCAGCCACACAATGCCATTCAAGATCAACCTCGTGAAGATCCAATAGCAAAAGACTTTGCGGATTATGACGAGGAGACAAGATTGAAGCGTGAAATCCCTACTGCTTCGGATCTCATTTGGAAGGAATTAAGATTGACATGGAATGTAACCAAATATGTTATTTGGGGATGGGTCAGATTCCCCGTAACTATGTACGTACCCCCACAACTACTTACAGTTCTTAGCAGCAACGCTTACTGTATCTATAGGTGGGAAATTTTTGTGCTCGAAATCTCTAGATTTTGGGAATATTATATTGGTCTTCCAGTATCTCCTAGGCAGTGGACGATCGTACGCCCAAATTTTGATGAACTTTAGTTTGGAGATACAAAATTTATGGAGTTTATGGATAGTTTAGCAAGCATAGCATAGCGTATGGAGTTTTTTGTTATTCGACATTCCCTTGAGAGGAAACTTTGCATATATGGGTTATAAAAATGGTGGCTAGTTTGGCAGCATAGTAAATAGACTTAGTTACTGGTTACTGCTTAGAATTAGATGATACTTCTTTGATGGTCCGCTTTGCTCATATATAGGGGCATTTTGATTATGTATTTGGTGAGACCAATTTAAGGAATACAGAGGGGTGGGATGTTCGGTTTTGTTTTGTGTAGAAATGAGGGGTTGTTTTCAGTTGCATTTTACTATTTCTGGTTACTGGCCAATTGGTTTGGTTGTGATTCTAGCTATTTTGTATTGGTTGTTTATAAGGGATAGAAACTTTGCAATGCTCGAATTTTTGGTGAACAATAGATGTGCCATTTTCTATATGAAATACTAGAATTATATGAAAGCAGCATAAGACCTCCAAAATCATCACGTCTCCCATGCATTTGCAGTATTTCCTCCTGATGTATTGATCCCAAACTTTCCTTCACTAGTTCGTCCTAATCAATGAATGTCCCTAGGAAATATGACCTAGACAGTCACCAATATATGTATACCGATGTTATAAATCTCCTGTGATTTACCCCGAAAACCCTTCCAGGAATCGTCCTTTCGATGTTGCAAAGGAAATGAGACAATTAAATGTCTTCTATGTGATACTCTACAGAGTAAAAAAGAAGATCGAACTCGAATATAGAGTTTCTTCGCCTCTCACTCTTCAAACTCACATGGTTCCGAACCCTAGCCCTAAGATATTACTAGGGGAAGAAATGATCATCAAAAGAGGGTTTTATCGAATAGATATGAAAAGCAGTCAGATCAAACATAAAAGATGTATGAGTATTGACACAATTCGATGTTTCTATGTAGGCAGGTAGGTAGCTAGTACATACTAGTATGTCTTGCGATGATAGCCTGCAGAATTCTTTTTTCTCGCTGTTCCGTTATCACCCCGCTATCACGCTCACTATCACTCACTATCGGCAAATGATATGAATTTTAATAGGCAGGTCAACCATCAAATTTCGGCCATGCAATCAAATCTAAGTTCTGATGGTTCCACATTGCACCACTGAACTCACTAGACATTGGATGCTGGGAACGGGGAAAACATGGGAACAGGCCCTACAGTAGTTTAGTGCATAAATAAGCAAATTTGGAAAAATTTTTGCTTGTTGATTTTTGATCTCGAGGAAAATAAACAGAAAATTTCCATTGAAGAGGATCACGTGCTCTAGAGTGGGAGCGAGGCGACGAAACGCACGGACAAAATAATTTTAGCTTATGAAAAAAATCCCACTGGTTTTTGGGAATTTTATCTTTTCCCTCCCCGCCATTAAACTTCCAAAACTTCTTCTTATTTTCATCAATACCGTCTTCTTTGAAGTTTTTTCCCCCTCATACACCCTTCCTTCAACCTAATACATTCTTCAAAATGGCTGACGAAGTTTACGAGGGTGCCATTGGTATCGATCTTGGTAAGAGAACAATTTTTGAATTTTTGAAAGATTGTTGATGAGGGGCATACTTCTTCTCTTTGTCAACATCTCGAAATATTTCGCAATTCGTCTTGAATGTCAATAACGAACGCTAATTCATTTACCACCAATAGGTACCACCTACTCCTGTGTTGCCAACTATGAGGGAACCAATGTCGAGATCAGTACGTATTCCTCTTCTCCCGGGCATTTGATGTCGCAAATCGGGCTTCGACCTTCGAAATTTTATACTGATGGGTTTTACCAGTTGCCAACGAGCAAGGTAGCTTCACCACCCCATCTTTCGTTTCCTTCACCGACAAGGAGCGTTTGATTGGTGAGTCTGCAAAGAACAATGCTGCCATGAACCCAAAGAACACCATCTTCGATATCAAGTCAGTTTGCCGAATTTCGCGACGACAACAAGGTGCTAATGGATGCGCAGGCGTTTGATCGGAAGAAGATTCGATGACCCCCACACCACCAAGGTATTTACTTGATTCCTTCCTATTACGATTCTCAATGTCCGAAATTGTTGGACATTTCAACATGAATTCTATCTTTTCCCGGATAGCCTCTACCATAAGCAATCACTAACATGCATTTTAGGACATTCAATCATGGCCTTTCACCGTTGTTGATCAAGATGGATCTCCATTCGTCCAAGTTGAGTATCTCGGAGAGGAGAAGACTTTCTCCCCACAAGAGATCTCATCCATGGTCTTGACCAAGGCAAGTTTTTTTCACCCCACCCCTCGCTAACCGATGTGCTGACAATATTTGAACAACAGATGAAGGAAATTGCCGAAGTCAAACTGGGCAAGAAGGTCTCAAAGGCCGTCATCACTGTCCCAGCTTACTTCAACGACAACCAACGTCAAGCTACCAAGGATGCTGGTGCCATTGCCGGTCTTAACGTTCTCCGTATCATCAACGAGCCTACCGCTGCTGCCATTGCCTACGGTCTTGGTGCTGGAAAGTCCAACAAGGAGCGTAACGTTCTCATCTACGATCTCGGTGGTGGAACTTTCGATGTTTCCCTCCTCAACATCCAAGGTGGTGTCTTCACTGTCAAGGCTACCGCGGGTGACACCCATTTGGGTGGTCAAGATTTCGATACCAACTGGCTGGAGCACTTCAAGAAGGAGTTCACCAGAAAGACCAAGAAGGACATGTCCAACGACCCCCGTGCCCTCCGTCGTCTCAGAACTGCTTGCGAACGTGCTAAGAGAACCCTCTCCAACGGTGCCGCCACCAACGTTGAGATTGACTCCTTGTTCGATGGTGAGGACTTCAACGCTCAAATCACCCGTGCCAGATTCGAGGACCTTAACTCCAAGGCCTTCAGCGGTACTTTGGAGCCTGTTGCTCAAGTCCTCAAGGATGCCAACATTGACAAGAGCAAGGTTGACGAGATCGTCCTTGTCGGTGGTTCTACCCGTATCCCAAGAATTCAAAAGCTCTTGAGCGAATTCTTTGACGGAAAGAAGTTGGAGAAGAGTATCAACCCTGATGAGGCCGTCGCTTACGGTGCCGCTGTTCAAGCCGGTATCCTTTCAGGAAAGGCTACCTCTGCCGAGACCGCTGACCTCCTCCTTTTGGATGTCGTTCCTCTTTCTCTCGGTGTTGCCATGGAGGGTAACATCTTCGCCCCTGTTGTTACCAGAGGTCAAACTGTCCCAGTACGTAAACAATCGCAAACTTTGCTGTCCTTACACACGCAGTTCTGTTTCCACACTACAAGCTACACTTTCCTCGCTACCCAACTCCAAGCCCCAAATTTTCTTCCTCAAACAAATCGTTCCCATTTTCTAACACCACCTTTCTCCCTCATTTCACTGGAGAATAGCAATACTAACTCAATAATTTCAATAGACTATCAAGAAGAGAACCTTCACAACTGTCAGCGACAACCAACAAACCGTCCAATTCCCAGTCTTCCAAGGTGAGCGTGTCAACTGCGAGGACAACACCTCTCTCGGAGAGTTCACCCTTGCCCCAATTCCTCCAATGAAGGCAGGTGAGGCCGTTCTCGAGGTTGTCTTCGAGGTCGATGTCAACGGTATCTTGAAGGTTACCGCTACTGAGAAGACCTCCGGACGTAGTGCCAACATCACAATCTCCAACTCTGTTGGTAAACTCTCATCTTCCGAGATTGAGAAGATGGTTGCAGATGCTGCTGAGTTCAAGAGCAGTGACGATGCTTTCAGCAAGAGATTCGAGTCCAAACAACAACTCGAGTCATACATTTCAAGGGTCGAGGAAATTATCTCTGACCCAACTATGTCCATCAAGTTCAAGCGTGGTAACAAGGAGAAGATTGAGTCTGCTTTGAGTGATGCTATGGCTCAACTCGAGATTGAGGATTCTACTTCTGATGATTTGAAGAAGAAGGAGCTCGCATTGAAGAGAGCTGTCACCAAGGCCATGTCCACTCGTTAAGCAGGACTTGAGTTGTGTGGCGGGGAGGAACAAGGGAAGAGGTTATTGATGCATATGAGTTCATGACATGGATGATATGGACTGGACCGTCTGGTTACTGGCTCATTGGGTTTATAAAAAGTCACTATCCGGTATTTGCATGGTTTCTATCTGGCTATTTTATGGTCCTCACATTTCTTTCCTTTTGTCTACGGGCATAAAAAGAGCGTCTGTAGAACAAGGGTTGTTAATAAGAAAAAAATTCACAAATTGATTAAGATTAAAAACTTTATAAATTTTCCACTGCATATCTCTTTGTGCTGAAATTGTATTCATCTGGCATCTATCCACAGTGCTTGAAGCTATAATGTTGTAAGCTTTGTTAGTTTGTGAAATGTTAACTTTGGTCGCCGGTGCGATGACATCTTAAGACCATGGAAACTCACTAAACATGATTTGAATGTAAAGAAAAAGACAATCTAAACTTGCACAATGATCTTATTATATAATGGATATATAGATATATAGATACAGAGATACAGAGATAGCAGAAAGCTGATGGAGGAGAGTAGGATAATTGGTTTGAAGAGGCTTGTGGACATGCCCGAACACTTACTATACTTTGTGGCTTTAATCTTGTTTCTTTTTAAGGGCTCGTGTCTGAGTGACCTTACTGTAGTTCTTTTTAGTTGGGCTGCGGCTGATTTCCCTGGGAGGGGACTAGGGACGGGAGAAGGGGAGGGGAGGGGAGGGGGAAGCATGGTACACTTTCGACGACTTTATTAACTGAGTGTCTAGAAGCTTGAAGGAGTTTTGTGGATATATTTGCTGGAACGTGCATATCTAGATCTAAGCTCTGTAGGTTTCACTGGTGTAACCTTATACTTTTAAGTGATGCAGAAGATGAGATTCTCGTTCTCCGAATATTTGTCGTGGGTTGTTTTTAATGGATGCATTGAGGGTAGAATGGATGAGTCATTGTGAATGATATGTATGATGTGCTTGGAGTATTGATTTGGAGGTGATGTATTTGAAATATACGGACTGTTTAAAGGAAAAGAGGAAGGAAAAGGAGATGGGATGTGTGGTATGGTATATATGATGGGATTTGGGAGAGTGTTTTGATGGGCTAGGAGGAGGAGAGGGGAGGGTAGGTCAGGGGAAAACGGGGTAGATTGTGTGAATTACTGGTGTTGGTGAAGTGAAGTGATGGGGGGACGAGAGAGAGATGATAGGTCTCAGAGAATCGTTTCTGGGAAAAAGGGAAGGGCTGTGAGGGGTTCAAAATGCTTCTTTACTTTGCAGCTATGGAGGTGACGGTTCTTTGGGTAGGGAATCGGGGTCGGGGATGATATAGGTGAGGATTTGGATGATTTTGTCGAGAGATTGAACAGGCTTGACCAGAGTGATGAATGGACAACATTAGCATTGCAGAGATGTCAAGAACTAGTTTGAGTGATAGAAAGCTATGGATTTTTTGAACAAAGTCATACAAACTTATGGATGTAGCCTTACTGAAATATCGATCTAGCAACCGCAACTACCTAATATGTATCACACATACAGACGTCTGGTATGATGATGTAGGGTAAAAGGAGTAAAGTTACAATTAATAAACTATTGATAGACCTAGCAAGGCCCTATGAGAGTCCTCTTGCAACTTTGCAAAGGCATTAGATTTCCCCTTCCGAAATGTCCAAATTGTGAACATCAGAACCCATTAAAATAAAACATCATTCTCTCTTTCTTATAACTTCTAGAAAACATCAATGTAGTTATCATGAATATGTCAACTAGATAAACTCGCTTCTAACGTTCACCAGTTGACATAAAATACAAAACGCACGCTCCCATCCCCACTTAAACCTTCAACATGCGGATCCATCAAGGCTGAAATAATTTTCGAGATAGACGAGGCCTCAATTCCGCCTCGTCTTAAAATTCTCAATTCAATTCCAAATCCCATTCCCAATTCCTCATCACCTTCCTTTCAAAATGCCGCCTCGTATTTGTCTTCGTTCTGCTGAATCATTAAGACAGTCTTTAACAAGTCCCAATTCACGAAATGCTTCTCTTTTGGACTTACGACCCCTCCAATTGAGTAAACCCGCTCCAAAGATTTATGAAAATACCCCTCAGCATCGCTACCTCAGCAATACTTCTTCCCTCCAATTCAAAAATACCATTCCTCTCCTCAAGAAAAAAGACAAAAACAACAAATCATCATCTTCCGATTCCTCTGAAAATTCCTCTTCCTCTTCCTCTTCGACAGCAGAAGAAAATGATCCTTTTGATTTTTCCACTCTCCAAACCGGTATTGACAAGTCTCTTGAGAAGCTCAAGAATGATCTTGGGAAATTGAGGACAGGGGGTCGTTTTAATCCAGAGGTATTAGAGGGATTACGGGTGAAATTGGGAAAAGATGCAAAGGAAAGTTTTCGGTTAGGTGATTTGGCGCAGGTTTTACCGAAAGGGGGGAGGAGCGTCGTTGTGCTTGTTGGGGAAAAAGATGTATGTTCTTCATTCTCATTGCCTCCTTTCTAAAGGATCATTCCTCACATCTAAAATAAATCAACTAACACCTCTTCCAGCACATTAAACCCATCCTCTCCACCATTCAATCCTCTCCCACTCTATCCCTCCAACCTGTTCCCGATCCACAAAATCCACACGCGCTGAATATTCCCATACCACCTCCTACCAAAGAATCTCGTGATGCAGCGCTGCAAGCAGCTTCAAAAGCAGGAGAATTGGCTAGCAATGGGGTACGTAATGCGAGAGGAGCTATGCAGAAGAAGTTAAGGGCTATGGAAGTGAAGAAGACGGTTAGACCGGATGATTCGAAAAAGGCTCATAAGGAGATGGAGAAGGTGGTTGAGAAGGGGAATGGAGAGGTTAAGAAGCTGGTTGAGGCGGCGAGGAAGGGGATGGAACAGGCTTAGAGGGAGAGGAGATTAAAAATATAGACGCTAGAATTTTAAAGGCATGGAGTAGTTTAAAAAGTTGACTTGTTGGATGGTATATGATTGCCTCTGTATAATACCATTTTTATATTTTATAAATACACTATACAACACACTCAACTTATATTGTAGGTCCTTCGAATTTTGCTGTTGTTGCCTTACACCGGCGGTCTAAGCAGCAGGTAACATGCTCTGAATCTTCTCTTCCAACAACCTTGAGTCATCTTGTAAGAAAGTCTCGTTCTTCCCTGTGATCCTTTCAATCTCTACCAATAAACCTTCCTTCACGTCTCCCGGTTTCTTATACACACCTGCCACCATTTCCTTCAAAATTGCCTCCTTCTCCTCTTCCCTCAGTCCTTCAATCTTATAATCTTTATGAACCTTCCACCTAACCTCATCTCTCCATTCCTCCTTCCCGTCCTTCCACTTCTCTAATGTCTCCTTCTCCTCCCTACTCTCAAACACCGTTCCTAAGCCCCTCTCCACATTTGCCAAATGTCTTTCCGGCGGCGTTGGTACATCCCTCTGTCCTAGTGTACCACTCACTAACTGCATCTTATAAATTATCGACTCCTTCAACCCATTCGTACTTCCAGTAGTTGCTATAGCTGGTCCCCAACTCTCCAAATCATCCATCGATGTCACGGGATTATATGAAACCCATTCACCTCCCTCTTGACTATCCAAGTATTGTTGTTCCTCAACTGTATATGGAGGATCATATTCATCTAATTCCACATCCACAGGTTTTGGTCCCGTAACCCGGGGTCTTCTCATACCACCACGTCCTCGTTGAGCGCCTCCACCTCTTCCACCAGCAGGACTTGCTCCCGCACCTCCTCTTGCGGTTCTAGTTGGGGGTACATAGAGGGCGCCACCTCGTCCGCGATAATTGGGACTATGTCGGGTAGTTGGTCCTCGTCCCCGAGAGGGACTATCAATCATACGGCGGGACAAAACAAAAGATTGACCAGGGGGAGGGCGCGCTGCTAGCGAGCGAGCATCGATACCGCGAGAGGGCTGGGGCGCGAGCGAGGAAATATCGTTTACAGCATTGGAGCTGCGTTCTGCGCGTGTGGAACGTGATTGATCTGGTTCTTGTTAGTGTGTTATGTCATAACTTCTAATAAAAGCTCCAAGTCCCACGACAGCTTCCTAGTCATGAAGACCACAGAATATAATCCCCATAAACCTTCAAAGAGAGTACAGGATAGAAACCTACCATTCCCCTCCTCACTCCTCCTAATAGAACTACTAAAAGCCCTCAAACTTGCCTGAATCCCCTCGGAAACCCTCACCAAATCATGAGTCAAAGGTCTGCCACCTCCAATGGCCGATTGCACATGCCGCGTAAACATGATGTGCAAGAGTTCTTGTCAGATATCCAACCGTGCTTTTCCCCTCTATCAATTAATCTAGAGGTTCTGCGAAAATATTATTTATGCCTCAGGTATTCTTGCATGTGAATTGAGAAGCCAAAGCGTGAGGCTATTGATTCTATTCGCACGGTCCATCAAAGTAAACAAGGCAAAATAGTAGCCTTTCATAAAATCTTCAAAACACTTGCAAGTCTTGTTACAACAATATTTCTTACAAAGCTTTGAAAATTGCAAATCTGTGAAGAATTGTACTTTCCCAAAAGTCCCCTATTTGTATTTGCAGACAAATGTGCAATAGAGCTTAATATCCCTCCATTCTTAAGCCGCGAGTGGTTTGGAAATATCATTCTAATATCGACTTTACGAATATTGTTCTCGCATACATTTTACCATTTTCTACGAATAGAACATAGTTGGACATATTATTGCAAAGGGCAAGCAAGAAATTATAAATTTTACCACCAATTTCAAAATCCAACTTCGATCACCCAGCATCACCGACCACAAATCCTGACACACCCTCAAAATGCTTCGTCGCGCCCCAACAATAATTACTCTCACCACCGAAGATATAGCCAGCTACGAAGACTCACGGCAAGCTGAACGCGAGGAAGAAGAAGAAGCCCAGGCGATGGCTTCGGCGGCGCGCCGTAGGAAGGCAAAAGAGAGACAACATTATGGGAATGGAGGTGTCAGAGGGGATGGTTATAGGGATTTGCAGACGATGGCTACGCAGAGGAGAGTTGATGATGCGAGGGAGAGGGATGTAGGAAGAGGAGGGGAGATTGAGAGGAATGCGGAAAATGAGTTAAGTGGGGATGAGGAAAGGCAGATGGAGAGGGAGAGGGCGGAGAGAGAGGGGACGAGAGAGAGGGAGAGGAGTAGAGTGTTAGAGAGAGAAACGAGGGTACAAAGGAATAGGGAGGAGAGGTTAGGATTGGGAGCTGGGAATGGAGGTGGGTCGGGGAGATAATGTATAGGTTTTGGTTGGGGATTATTTTTCGGACATTTGATTTCATGGATACATCGAGGATAAGCCATAGATTGTGGGGATATTTGAATAGATGAATATGAATGCTGGAGTAGATTGGATTATATGGTAGGATATATGGAGACTATGGAGTTATAGGGGATCTACTACCACAGTTAACGAATAGGGAGCCGATAAACTTGTTTTGAAAAAGTATCTAACAAAAATTTATCATACACGCTTCAAAGAGAGCTGATTATATTTCCACTATCTTCCACTCAAGATGTCAATTGCATGCAGAGAGGTACAGGATATATGTTCCACCACATCTGGAAATTAATCAGGAGTCTGCTTTCTAATCAAAGAGATATCATGTCCGTCTCACATTAACTCTCTCTCAAACACCCACTACTATATCCACAAGCTCTCCCCTCCTCTCCGAGAATTACTACTTAAGCTTATTCATCCCTTCCTCAACCATGTCCGTAGCTCAAAGATAGCTGCTTTTACCAGACTTTTAGATTCTCCATCATTATCTCTCTTAAATGCTTTCCTATACATATTCATCGAGTAGGTCGTCTACTCACTCCCTTCTTCCTCCTTTCCTTATTCTCAATATCGCAACCAATTCCAATCATATATCCATCTATCTATCTCTCTGTCCCAATATTCAAGTCCCCCTAACATACCATCCACTTCAATATTGCCATTTCTATTCCCATTTCCGTCCGCATCCGCGTCACATGTATTAGATAAGACTCCTCACTCCTCATATCCCCGCTAAGTTTCAATATCCGCCTATCCTTCTATCCCCATCACCCATTAGACCAAACCCTTGAAATCTGTAACAATATATCAATCAATCCCGATTTGTCTCATTCACTCCCCTTAAGCTCGCTTAAAGTCCAATCCAAACAATCCCCCCTACGGGGAGATATGACCACATCTCACAATCCATCTTTCAATCCACCTTCCAATCTCCAAACCATCTAATCCCAATCTACTCTCAAAAAACGCAAAACATCAACCCTCAAAATCATCATCTAATACTCCTCATCTCATCTCATCTCATCCCATCTCATCTCATCCCATCTCATCTCATCTCATCTCATCTCATCTCATCTCATCTCATTGCATAGCCAAAAAAAAACCAAAAAAAAACCAAAAAAAAAAATACACCCCTAACCTTACTTCTCTCTACCTCCAATCATTCATACTCCACAATGAAAACACTCTCTTCGCCCCGCTACCCCCACCCAAACAAATTTAAATTTACCCATTAAATCCATCCATCCTCATCCTCCTCCTTCCATTAGTTTTGTAGGATAATCAGGGAAGGAAAGGGAGGAGAGGGGATATTCTTCTTAGGCTTACAAGACTTTAGATACACCAATCAAATACCGTAACTGTTATTACTTGAACAATAGCAAGGTGAGGTGAAGTGCTAACTTATACGTACCAATTTCCATTCATCGTCTAGGTGTCGAGTTGCGTCATCTATACATGGAAGGTAAATCAAATCTTTATTCTAGCACTTACAAAACTCACATCACATGAAATATAATGCATAAGAACCAAAAAAAGGAGACAATAAACTATCTGATTTTTGCATTCATTAACTACTTCGTTGCACTCGGCATTCACGATTCACTCCTCTCTCTTGGAGGATCTTCCAAGAACGTAAAAGCTCATGTTCTCTTTTCACGTCATGATAACATGCCTATGCGCGAAAAAAAAGTTCACACACAAACGCCCCAATTTTCTTCTTCCTTTTCCTAATGAACACCCCCTCAATAAAAAATTAATCCGGTTCTCCCCCCCCACCCAAATGCAAATTTGCTGAAAGATTATTGCCGAGACGCCTGTTCGCTAAATGCAGACCAGTTGATGCCGAAGAAAAAAGAAAAAAAGTTGAAAGAGATGATGACAGACGAAGGGATTTTCTTTCTCTGTTTCTATAAAGATAATAAAATCAAGAGAATGAAGGTTTAGGCTTAGGTTTAAAGTTAAGTTTGATGGTTGGTTTTTTAGGTACATCGCCAGGGGTAGGGGGTGCCGAAGGAAGATGTTGTGCCGAATCTGGTAAAGGTTTTCGGCCTTCAGGAAGGGGTTTTCGGATAGGTGCTGCGACGTGAGTTGAACTTGATGGCTTCTTGACATTTGATGATGTATGACCCGATGAACTAGAGGAGAAAGAAAGAGCAGGGCTAGCTCTGATCGGTTGTGTTAATGCAGGCGAAGGTTTTGAGGATGGCTTCGGTGATGGTTTCGGGGACGGCCGTCTCGGATTGGACATGGATGGAGATGAGGAAGGAGCTTTTGGCTTAGGATTACGAGGTGATGAGACAATCCGCTTTAACTTGGAAGCAGGAATCTTCAGTTTAACAATCAATGCTGGCTTTCTATCCTTGTGTGAACTGGAACTCTCAAATTGTTTCTTATCCTTGTGTAACGAATTAGAACTCTCTGCAATATCTGCCGGAAGAGGTCGTTTGGGTGGTTTCATATCTCCTGAAGAACCTGACAGTTTTACTAAGCCAGGGGGCTTTGATGTTCCTGCAGAGCTGTGTACTGAGCTAGAATGTTTAGTTGTCCCCAAAGAGCTAGATGTCTTAGGAGGTCCTGCAAATGGCCCTGAAGAGCTGGGATGTTTAGGCGTTGCAGCAGATGAACCTGAAAATCCTGGATGCTTAGGAACTCCAGTAGATTGGCCGCCAATCTTGAGCCCAGAAGATGAGCTGCCAAATTTAAGAGCAGGTGGATTAGCTGGCTTTGGAGCAGGCGAACTGCCGAGCTTTAGAGCAGATGAATTGCCTAGCTTTAGAGCAGGTGGATTAGCTGGCTTTGGAGCAGGTGAATTGCTAAGCTTCAGAGCAGGTGAATTGCTTAGCTTTAGAGCAGAAGAATTGCCAATCTTGAGCTTAAGAGGCATCGTTGGTCTCTCTGCTGATGGTCTTACAGAGGGTGCGACGACGGAGGGTGCGACGACGGTGGGTGACGGTACAGGTGGCTGAGGGGCAGCAAGGGCTTTGATCTTGCTTGGAACAATTCTTTCCACGATAGTTGTGCGAACTTTCTTGGTTTGTTTAAAGACCATTCGACCCTAGATAAAATTAGTATGAAAGCATCAACCCTAAAAATCTGGTATGACATACCTTCCCACGATGTTCAACTCTCCAATAACGAGGATACTTTAGCTTCAAATTCAAGGACTCTTTGGGATAACAAAACATGGTGCAGAGGTCAAGGAAATCCATTTGTTCTGCCACAGTAATCACAGGAGACAGGACAGCTTTCCACAAGGCATTTTTTAAATCAGTGTTTCCGCCGACTTCCAACTTCAGCGAAGCAAGAGCACCTATTATGTTACTCCGCTCTGCTTGCTCCTGCCGTGCACTCGTGGAAGCCTCTTCGATAATTAAGCCATCCTTGGCCACAGGAGCGGCAACTCGTTTAGTTTTGTATTCACCCAGTCCCAGGACTCCCAATCCATAATAAAACACTTTTGTCAGTTCACCTCGAACCCATGGCGACGGATCTGTACTCATAGCAGTCACGAGGAGACATGCCACAGCAGTATTTTTCAAGAATCCAAGGTCAGCAAGTGCCCAAGACGCTTTGATTCGTACATTAGGAGAACTTCCATCGTGAAGGTATTGAGCAAAGTCAAGTGCATCCACTGGTATGACACCTGCATTCATCAACTTCAGCTTACACTCTATGACTGTGATGGTATAGATATTCTGATAAGAATCTATCCACTCATCCATCCTACTGTATCTGTCAAGCTCCTCCAAAACGATATTCTTGAACTGCTGAGGCTCTTCAATTTCTTCGGCCTCGTCAAGTTGAAGTGCATCGTTATTGACTCCCTTTTCACCAGGAATCAAAGAGTCTGCTAGTGACTTCAAAAGGTTTGCAACCTTGAAGTTGTCCGAATAGTCATTGTTTCCATTGTCGTTGAAGCGAAGCTGGTCAAGTATGAACTGTCGCGCTCTTTTAGGGCAGAGAGAATCGTATAAGCTTCTGACCCTTGACATAGCCTCGGGAATTGCGCATTCAATCCAGTAAGCTTGTTTATCAGAGAAATCATTAGACCTTGGCATCTTTGTACCAGGGTAGCAAAAGAACTCTTGGAAAGCCTTTTCGAGGTGAGTAAGACCTATCCACTTTACATCTTTCTCTACAGCATGTTTAGCAAGGGACTTCGCAGCCATTGTCCTAATGCCATAGAAATAGCGCCGGTCCATCAAAGTTCTAATCAAGAATGTGGCAACGAGCGGATGCGGAGGAGCATTATCCAGGTACGCCATCGATTCATATTGAGCCGAGATATCGCGATCTTGCTGAAGTTGAGAAACATACATGTACGCCTCCATACCAGTGAATTTCTTATCGCATATCCATTCAAAGTCAGCATCAACACGAATCCATTCATACGACTCAGCTTCCATCTTGGCTTCGGTAGCTGGGTCCCAGTCCCGTAAGCCCCACTCTTGGATATCTTGCGGTGACTGGAGTACGTCCCCTAAGCAGTAAATAAGAGCATCGTCATGGTTTTCGGCATTGATATCCATGGCAATGCCTGCATTTGCACGTTCCTTCATACGCCTATTGCGCTTAAGCCGCTTGTATTTGGTGTTGTACGGAATTTCGATTCTTGATGTCTTCTCTCTGATCATAACTATGTGTTCATAGGGAGTACCATCAGCCTCGTGAATGCGAATGGTCAACGGTCCAGTAAATGTGTTCTGTGCCTTTGGTGCAATTACTCCAGCTGTCGATTCCTTGAAAGATCTGTAGAAGCCATCCTTGTGCAACTTAAGTTCTGTCTCAGAGTTCGCCTGGGTTTGTGTAATAGTCATTTCAACACACAGTCTCTTCTTGTTGAACTTTTGTGTGATAGTAAAGTGCGGGCATCCTGCGCCAAGAACCCACTGAGTGAAGAAGGAATCAGTATCTCTGTACTTGGTGATTTTCTCACAGCTTTTACGGAACCCTTCCGTCGAAATTGTAGAGTCCGCGCCTCCAGAAGCATTTGCGTTAACAATCATCTTAGAGATGACTCTTGAGATACCAGTACCTCCTTGTGCTTTCGCAATGCGCTTGTCCAGAATGAACAGAACGAGCGGTGCCTTCAACTCCATGAATTCTCGAAAGGTGTCACACACATCCACAATCTCACCAAGGGCATGTAGGGATGGTCTGTCAATATCCAACTTAACAAGCCGGTCCGTATTCAGTTTCTGACGGAACATAAATTCGTTATTCCCACAAAGGTTCTTCATGAATGTGTTTGTCATGAAATGGGAGATACCAACAATGAGCCACCTATCAGAACGTCGGTCTGGCACAATGCTAACACCAACATATTGGCTAGCTATAGCATGAACAAGTTTTCTGACGGTATCCATCTCTGGATCGATGATGTCTTCCGGAAATAAAAGTCGACTACTGCAAAGGGATAGCGATGCGGTGTGCTCCGTGTCGTTTACCTGGTCATCAACAAAAACAAATTTTGACTCTGAAAATGGGAAACTGCCCAAGGTGAGGACAAAGTGATCAATGGCGTGAGCCAATGGTGCGCAAGTATTCCTCAACTCTTCCGTTCTTCCAGGGAGGCAGTATCCATATATTGCAGTTGACTGTCCTTGTCCAAGTCGTTCTTCATCTTCGCCCTCTCGGTATTCTGACAAATCGACCTGCTCAAACGGACCAATGGCGAAACCTATGTGTGTTGCAGATATATCAGAAGTGCATTGAAATGATACGATCTTCTTAGAACTATCATCCAAATCAATCACTTCATCAACTTGTTCACCAGAGCAAATTACTGCCATCTCAAGCAGCTTCTCCTCGTCGCTGAGGAAAGCTTCTTCAATGTCCGTCTTCTCAGAAGTCCCATTGGTATGCCCATACTTGTGGCTGTGGTTATTTTGCCGACGCTTGAGTGCGTCTCCAAGAGTTCTCGAACATTTAATGGAAATATCCCACGAACATCTCATCGCTGAATCGTCGACACAAGGGAAGATACAGCATGCGACGCCTCGCTCCATAGAATGTTTGGTATAGACATGAGGGAACCTCACATCTCCTTCCTCAACCCCAACGAATTGTAAACCATCTCGAATTCGTGTGGTAACGAAAGGGATAGTAATAGTCAAGGGTTGAAATCTAGAAGCTTGCTCTGCAGCTGTTTTTGCAATAAAAGCGGGAACAGATACCGGACCTCCTTCAAGAGCGACAGAAGAGTTGCGGATTACAGTCGCACCACCAGCACGTTGCGTGACTGGTGTTGCTGCCTTATCCGAGAATGGATCAACTTCCTCAATCTTCACACTATCTGGCAAATCAATCTCTATTGTACCTGCTAGTTTGTTGTCCGAAGCCATAAACTTTATTCTGTCGCTTTGCATCTTATGCGATTCTGTATCCCATGAAAAGTAGTCGGGAACTTCCAGTTTCTTGTGGGGGTCTTCGTAGGAGAAAGACGCGATTCGACCGTTTACCAGAACCTGTTTTTGTGGAATAGAGCACTGTCGAGCATGAATATGTATTGTCTGCAGTTCCTTCATCTGTGGGAGAATTTGGATTTCGGTTTTGCCACGCAAGGTTTTTGTCGAGAAATCAATCTCAAGTTCAACCTTTTGATGTACTACTATGAAGCCATAGTCCGCAGGTTCTTCCATCGCAACAGGCGCAACTCCGCGGTCGTCGTGATTCAGTAATAACGCAGGCATTTTCGTAGATGTTCACCCAGTGTCGCGGAGTATTGTGGACTACAACTGATTATTTCAAATTGAATTGAATTGAACAAAGTGATCTGCTGGCGTGCGATTTACGCGGCTGAAATGCGCTGCCTGGTCTCCCGAAGGCGAGAGCCAGCAACAGACTAAAATTTATAGTACCAAGCTATTGCACTGCACATAAGTTGATTCCGCATCTACTAAATTTGGATACTTGTGCTGGAAAATAAGCAGCGTTTCGACAATACGATACACAGACAAAAGGTGTGGTCGCCCGTGAGTACTAGATGATGCCGAGAAACCGTAAAATCGTAGCTTGAAAGTTGATCGATTAAATAGTTGTTAAAGTTCTTGGGGCGAAGAGGGAAAGTGCTCGCTAAAATCGTGATTGTAGTAGAAACCGTAGAAAGATCGTAAGTTGTAGAAGCAGTGTTCGTGAAGAAAATGATCGTTATGGTAAATACCAGACTCAGGTAGGTAGCTATAGTGTCCCACCAGTGACCAAGGTATCAAACTAGCTTATGCGCACACAAGAAAATTTGAATAGAATGACTCGCGACTGTATGCGCATCAAATTACCTGAACTATAATACAGGAATGTCGAAATTTATGATTCTGGGGAAATGGCTTGTCGCAATTGTTGCGCCCTCGCCTTGATATCATTTGAGAGATGCTCTCGAGAAGCGCGAGACTGAAGGTAGCTTTGACGCGTTAGGCGCTGTGCAGATGCAGAGACAGGCTCCTGCTCCGCTTATTGTGGCACATCAAGCGTGATATTCGACCTCACATTTATTCCATGAGGTGTAAGTTAAATAACGCAACTTTTTGGGTCTGATCAATGACTTTCTTTTTTCAGGTCAATGAAGGTATTCACATAGAAGTTCATAATACCCCTGGGGATATGAAAGCCATGCGAGGTCACGAAGTGAATTAGACACCAGCCAGTACTGATATTGGTGAATCTTACAGTAGTGACGATGGGGTCATCTACTTGTAGAAACTCTTGTGTCTAGGAGGTAGATTCGATCCAAAATGTGACTCTCTTCGACTATAGTTTAACCCTCACCAAGATTATACCTTGATTTTATTTTCTAAATTCAAGTTTAAAATAAAGAAGAAAAGAAATGCTTTATAAGAATTTCAAAATTTACTACAAATTCCATAACAATTTGAAAATACCATAGTACTGAACTGATCAAGGGAGAGTAACATAAGCTGTAGGGTCAGAAGCATGATGTATCATGTTGTATGTACTTGTTAGTGCTCCTGTATTTGTATTGGTCTTGTTCGTTTATGGTATAGGATTTACTATGGTGCAAGTCTTTTAGCATCAGACGTTGCCCAATATGAGAAAGATGTGATGATAGATAATCTAAACTATCTATACTTGTGAACTTCCGGTTTTGCAATTTCAGTCAGATCAAAAGTATGGAGAGAACTAGAACCATCTCGAAGACAATAATATGATATTCATCTAAACGACCTTGCCTTCCAGGTAGTTAGAATGTAGTGTACAGAATTATACAATATAGTTAAACCCCCATGAAACTTCAACTCCCCGAGACCAATTCCCAGTGCTATGCATACCCAAACCTCCATATTGTACATCCGAGTCAACTGAAGCACTTTCAAATTGACGTTCGTCCCATACTCCCCAGCCTTGTATCCATCAGGAACTGCATCTTTAGTCTCTTGTGATTCTTCTGTCCCTTCTCTTCTTTCTTGCATGAGCTCTCAGTGTTTCCTCATCAAGAAAATCTTCTGGCAAGTCAAAGTCAGCCTCTTCTGGAAGTTCAGGGACTGGGTGTCCCCAGGCAGCAACGCTTCTACCACTACGTCGATGCTTTCCAAGTGCTGCATCACGTAGATATGGTTTGGCAAAGAATGACTTGAATTCTCTCTCCACAGTAGGTGCAACGGTAAGCACAGAGTTTGTTCTAGCTCTTCGTCTAGGAGCAGAGTTGGCGATTGCCTCATCATGCAATTGCCTCGCAGCAGAAGCATCAATATCACTGAGATCTGGAGGGTCGCCGTTACTTTCGAGATCATCCTCCGATTCTTCATCCTCATCGGACTCCGCCTCAGCTCTTGCTTGTGCTTCGGCTATCGCCCGTTCCCTTTTCAGCTTCCTTTGCTTCTCATCATCTTTCCAGATCCGAAACTTTTCAAGAATAGACTCGCACCCTTTTATAAAGTATTGGCGTGCTGATTCGAATTCCTTCTTCCTGCCCTCGGTGATACCACTAACCCCCAGTGTCTTCAACCAGTCTGGTCCTTGCAGACCTTCCATCAGTCGAATGACCGAATCTCTCTCGTGTTGTGCTCGACTCTTATCGGCGTTCCGCACAGCTTTTTCTTGACGTTCTGGTCGTTTGTGAAGCATCTTAAAGTGATCTTCAGATAGGGGATCCTCTTCGCAAACCACAGGAGTGAACAGAGAAAAGTCCACTCTATGAGTACCATGAAGATTGGTAAAGAGAGAGGATGGGTATTCTTTGACTGTATATTCATTCTTCTGCTCCTTCTTCTTGGGCGTACGCGGAGTTTTCGAGGAAGACTTGGAGCTATCGATGATAATAATTGGCATGTCGGCATCTAAGAAATCTAATAAGGAGAATAAGCTATAGTTCGAAGGCCGAATTTCATTGTAAAACTTACGTTCTTCTTTTGGAACATTTCCAATAATTTCGTCATATTCTGGGAAGTACGCGGACAATTCACTCTTGAATTTTGTCCCTTCCTGGGATCGAAGCTTCCGCCTTTCATCCTTCAGGTCGGACTTGTCAGCTTGCAGTAGCTTGTCCTGTAACCTATCCAACTCGTGCTTGATGCCATTGGCAACTTTACTGTGGTGTTTTGTAGGTTTTTGTTGTGGTTGTGGTTGTTGTTCATCTTTCTGGGATGGCGGATGTGCTGTTCGCACATCTGCTGGTGTTGCTATTTGTAGATGTTGCACGGAGTTCGCAGAATTCAGGTCGGGATTCGCGTTCGATTTGATAACGCCGGATCGTTTTCGTTGTGGAAGCGATTTTAATTTTGGAGGGGGGATCTCAATGGCGAGCTTTGTTTTCTTCGCTTTGGATAGTAGATGATCGTCGCTATCAGCAGATTCTCGTGCTCGTTTTCTGCCATTGACGTTGGACTGAGTATGCGTATGCGTATGCGAATGTGTATGTGTATGCGATCCAAAGGTATGGCTGACGCCTGAAGACATCGCGACTGTGTTTCTAGATGAAGTGGTGAGTGCTTGGAATTTTCTTAAGGATCTTCTGTTTAGAGACATTGAAATTTATGATGTTCGCAGATCATATTATTTGAATGAGAATGAACTTCAATGTCAACTGCGAATTAATCAATATGAGCCAGATCTTTTTTTGGTTTGTATGAAGGTGTAGTTGTAGTGTACTGGCAGTAGCAAGCGACCAATTCAACGTTTGGGACTTTCGCACGCGCAGGGAAGGTACGATGTGATTGCACGGAGTGTAGTAGGAATAATTATTTTCTTATTGATCGCGACAGTATTCATTTTTCTATTACCATATGCTGAGAATACGGCCAAGTTTAATTATATCATCTCAAAAAATAAAATAAAAAATTCAATTGTTCCATTCAGTTATCGAGGATTCACACGAGTATCGTCATTTACATCATTTTATGGGTAGCACAAAAGGGATTTGAGCTTACAGCTGCAATTGTAGGGTTAATTATTAGGGATTTATCCACGCCACTTGGGTAAAGACTTGGCTACAATACGCTAAAAACCGAACATCATCTCTAATAATTTACCTACTTAGTGTATAAACCTAGAGAGAGTACTGCCATATAAGAAATAGAACAATCGATTGCAATCTACAGAATCCATTACTTTGTAATACACCTTCTATCACAAATACCTCTCCGAATTCTATTATAATTAAACTTAATTTTTCATACTCGCGATGACAAATGTTCATGACCCCTTTCATACAGCCAGACTCGAGTCAGACTCGACATACAGATTAGAGTTGTGTTTGAACAATGCGATTGTTCTTGTCCCAGATAGCTTTGATAATCAAGAATATTATTGGTCTTATGTCTGATGATAGGCATTGTAGCCGCGAAATAATCAGCTTCTGAATTCAAACATTTAAGTAGAGCTCGCTCTATATGGATTTGAACCATCACGGGTAACGACACACTCTATCCCCTTTTTTTACCTGTCCTTTAATATTTTACAACATCCCCCTCGACCAAGAGTATCTTTTATTCATGCCGCCTGTAGTAATTAAGAAGGATTCATCCCTCTTTATCAGCTATCTATATTTCCTCTTTCGATCTGGCAGCCTCCCCTTGGAACCATAGTTGGCGCGCCAACTTTTGACCAAATATCCCTTCGCTTCCAGGTGTAGAGTGAGACCTCATTTCTCCTTACTGTATAAATTGCATTTAGCTCAATATTAGACTCCGTTGGCAACTGGGAATAACAAGCAAAACATCAGCCTTTCTGTTTTCAATTCTGCCTTCAGGATATCTGGATCCTCTTCTATCATGCGCTTGTATGTGGCTTGAGTATTGACCGCAGCTCTTTACGAAGTGGCTCTGCACCATGCAGCAGCTTTGTCCCGGGTTACTTAGGGATTATCTGCCTTGACTGCAGCATGATGAACAAATTCTTGCTCCTTGGTTCTCCGTTTGCGTTCGGCAGCGAAATCTTGAATTGTTCGGTAGAAGGCTCTGTATTCTCAGTAGTTCTGTCAATAAAAGCACTAAGATGGCCTACTCTGATATCAGAAAATTCGCGAGCTTGATAACAGCTGTCTCCATAAGACAATTATTATCGTTTCATTTAATTCCCCAGAGGAAAGAACGAAATATGGCTCTCAAAGTGAGAATAAAAGTCCCGTGGTTCCAGCCAGTTGTAAGCGCGGGGTGTAGGAAATCGAGGTTGAAAGTCTCTGTGCTTGAGAGTATAGCCATCATCCATAGTACGTTTAGCAAGATGAGGTTAATACAATTATGAGAATAATATGACCAGAATTGTTATTAAACAACTTTTCTAACGTCAGTGTCAGAACCGCAGTATATGAGTATGGGAGCGTCCTTTTTGACGAGAACGGATATTTAAACTGCCCAGAATTTTAAACTTTTGCTTGGGGGAGGCGGAAATCAGTTCAAAGAATGGAGGAACGAGGGTTGAAAACCCGACAAGGCCGCACAGCAAATAAATCGGACCAAATATGGCAGTTATGAGAGGACATGATGAGGGGTCCAAGTAAACTGGACTGCAAATGCAAAATGAGAGACTTTGATTTATTCAGCCGAATCTATGTACGGGAATATATTAATCTTTTGAAGCAGCTAAGTCATTTAGAATAGAATGTTCAAAAATTTGGAACATTAAAACTATTTGGATGTTTAATCGGTTCAAACACTGAAAAATTTCACATCTCAAGTCTGCTAGTCCAGACTGTTATAGACACTAGATCATCTGAGGATGCAGCAACTTCTCGCAGCTGGAAAGGACAAACAATTCCATATTAGCGAAGCTAGAATTTCAACGATTGTTGCGGTTCAAGGACTTAACGCTAAACCACAGAACACAATTGAACTTTCCCCTCCTATCCTACTTCAAGCTACAGCAACTTAGGATATAGTTAGTCCCTGTGCCTGACTGTAGACTAAATTTAAGATGTTACCATATCTTCCCGTTCTGTTGGTGAGAGATATTTGATAGGTTAAGATATTAGTTAGCGTGACCATATTTTCATGAATACTGATTACTTTCGAAATTTTACACTACCACGCGCCTAAGAAGATATATAATTATTTAGACATCCCTGATAGCAGGAATGGAAGGAAGACCAGCTAGGAACAACGGAACGGAGAAATGAATGGTCAAAGATGTGATTGGTTTCGTGCCATGAGAACTGAGGATTAAGATCTCTCATAAGCACTTCAAAGTAGTCACTAAATAGCGGTGGTATATCAATAAATCCCATTACCATATAACGTAATTTATCACCGAGTGGGCCATATCACCGAGTGGGCCACTTTCACCTCAATTCACACTCTTCATATTCAACACGCGTTTTATCAACCATTTATTATGCAATCTACAAATAAAGAAGCACGTTTACTCTTAGCTATCGAAGCTTTTCAAAAAGATAAAAAACTAAGCATTCGGAAGGCTGCTCAACTATATAATATACCTCGCACAACGATCAACCACAGAATGGATGGTTTAACTCCACATACAGAAACTCGAGCGAATTGCCATAAGATTACACAATTGGAAGAGAAAGTAATTGTTGAATACATACTTGATATGGATCGAAGAGGATTTCCACCTAAAATCAAGGGTGTAGAAGATATAGCGAATTATATTCTTGAATCAAGAAATGCGAAGAAAGTTGGAAAGCTCTGGGCTCATCGATTCGTAAAGCGTCATACAGAATTAAAGACATGTTTTAGTCGTGTTTATGATTTTCAAAGAGCTCTCTATGAAGACTTTAAGCTTCTTGAGGAGTGGTTTCGATTGGTATCGAATATACGAGCAAAATATGGTATTCTGGATTGCGATTTCTATAATTTCGACAAAACAGACTTTATGATGGGGATTATGAGTGCTGCAATGGTTGTAACTGATGCTGAACGACGAGGCAGAGGTAAAGCAGTACAACCAGGCAATCGAGAATGGGCTACAGCAATTATATATGGTAATAGGGAGGGTGAAACTATACCTCTATTTCTGGTAGTTCAAGGACAAATCCATCTTTCCAATTGGTACACCGAAACCGATTTTCCTACGGATTGGGCTATCAAACCTACTTCCAATGGATGGACGAATAATGAGACAGGATTAGAATGATTAAAGCATTTCGATAAACATACGATTCATCGAAGAAAGGGCAAATATCGAATGTTAGTATTAGATGGACACGAAAGTCATGAATCAATATCTTTTCAGTCATATTGCAAGGCAAATGATATTATATGTATAAGATTACCACCGCATTCAAGTCATTTAATTCAACCATTTGATGTTGGGTGTTTTAGTGTCCTAAAACGTTCGTATAATTGTCAAATTGATGGATTTATCAAAGCATATATCAATCATATCTCCAAGGTTGAATTCTTCATAGCTTTTAAAGCTGCATATCAAGAATCAATTACAGTTCAGAATATGAAAGCTGGGTTTCGAGGAGCTGGATTAATACCATTTAATCCCGAAGCTGTACTCTCAAAATTAGATATTCGAATTCATACACCTACTCCTCCTCCTTTCGATTTGGATCTTTGGATCTCTCAAACCCCTCACAATTCAACTAAAGCTCTTTCTCAATCAACTTTAGTAAAATCTCGAATATCTCGTCATCAATCAAGCTCTCCTACACCTATATTCAAAACTGTACTAGCTTTAGCTAAAGGTATAGAAAGATTGGCATATGAAAATACACTTTTAAGTGCAGAAAACTGTATACTTCGGAAGGCAAATGAGGCATTAAGCAAACATCGACGTACAAAAAAAACTCAATTACGGCAAGGAGGAGTACTTACTGGACAAGAAGCTATGGATATATTATCTCAGCAAGAGGTTGATATTCAGATTCAACGCGACGAGCGTCAAAATGGGGGGAATTCTAATGGGGAAGCATCTTCTAGTAGATGCTGTAGTAAGTGTGGAAAGCCAGGTCATAATTCAAGAACTTGTCAAATCAATATAATAGATCCTAGATTATTAGATTCCTAATAGTTTCAATCAATTGATTCAATTGTTGTTGAATAATATGTACTTGAAAGTGTAAATTGAGGTGAAAGTGGCCCACTCGGTGATATGGCCCACTCGGTGATATGGCCCACTCGGTGATAAATTACGTTATAAGAATAAAAAACTCAGCTTTCTCGTCCAATAAACCCTCATGAGTAATTATTTCGTCTAGCTGCGACATGCTAATATCAATATATAGCTTACCCGAGATCAGATAAGAAGATGTTCTTCCACGAATCTTGGGGTAATATTTTTATCTGTGGGGAGACCATGCATTGTTTCCGCAGTTAAATGTTATATCTTAAGACTAATTACATGCGAACTTGGAAACCATCAAAGAGATTGTTATTCTGAAAGGTTACGACTAAGTTCATAGAGACTTAAAGTAGGTCACCTCGTCGGATATTTTATATATGCATGCGTTTAAAGGTTCAAACTTTTGAACAAATCTGATATTCCTTCCGATTAGTGGACTTTTCCATGCTCTAGGTACTTTTCTTTTTCTCTGACTTAACTTTGAAGAATGGCAATTGAGAAGCTGGAATGTTGTGTATATATATATTTCATTCATTGCTAGTACCTAATCAAAGATTCTTGTTCTTGTAGAGTGAGTATGCAGATTATAAACATGTGCTTGCAAGGAGCTCGAGCTTCATGGATGGGATTACGTGTTTGGGGGAGGAGTATTTTGTGTAGGAGAAGAGGAAGGGGAAGGGGAATCTATGTTGTTTTTTCGTATAGGATGTCTAGATTGTAACTAAAGATTATATAACCTTAAATGGGCAGGAAGTTATACTGTGTAGATGGGATCTTGTGATTATCTGTCTGATTTGGGCTATGGATTTGAAGAGGTATGACCGAATGAACAGGAGAGATGCCTTGAATGCTAGGATTAAGTTTTACGTGGGTATACCTGGCGATGAGTTCACGAATTTCCCGTTTACTTCTGGTTGGTGAGAAGAGCTTATATCCAGGGAATCGGTTAAGACAGCTAAATGTTGTCGGTATGGGTGGCTCTTGGGTGAAACACGCCTCCTGCTCCTCTGTTAGAGAAATACCAGTTCTGCGAGAGCATGATATGGAATCCAATTGATGAGTTATTCCTTTATTTCATGTCTACCTTCTAGTACCTAGTACCTAGTAGGCAGATGATCAGGAAGTCAAAGGTAAACAATGATATTGTTCAGAAATTCGAATCTGTAGGAGCGGAGAATTATACAGTACGTAGAATAAAGTGGTAGATATGAAAGCGCATATAGACATCCGTCGGTTCAGGTTTAACGTCATCATTAGTAAGCAGTGGAAAAGACGAAACCAATTGCTAAACGGTTTTGAAACAATTCGGAAGATTTCGACACTGGTGATCAATTGATAAGTCGATAAGTAATAGGTAGAGAGTACTCCGTAGTTCACGATCAGCACTTTTATGGCTACCCGTTGATAACGGATAATGTGATTGTGGATTCAAGATAATGTAATGCATGTAAGTAGAAGCATAGATGCGAGTGTGAATATGAATATGAATGTAACCTCGACTCACTCCCGAGGAACTCAAAATACGATACCCATCACAAACGGATGAATCAAATCATTAAATGAATTATTTCCCAAGCCGCCCTTTGGCGCAAATTACGGTCAGTGGTAGGAGGTCTATGCAGCAAGCAACACACGATATCTCTTTCCCAAGGGTGTCGGTGGAAATTGAGAAAATTGCCGCAGGCCGAGACAACACGAGTCGGATATGGATATAGAAGTATAGAAGTAGGAACAGAGGTGGCAATAGGAATAGGAATCATTGATTTGTGATGTTTGAAAGGGTAGTGCGGTATACTACTGGTTAGCTGGACAGGTATGCGCCGGACATATACTTACCTAGGTACCTTACGCTTCTCTGTAGACAATACTATGTGTTGTGGTGAAGCATCCGGATATCTTCAAGTCCCGTAGGTACGAAATACTCGTAAACAAGTGATGATATGATGACCTTGGAACTTAGCGATAACAATGTTCCTACTCATTGTAAACGCATTGACTTTGAAACATGAAGAAAGTGTTATGAACTGAAGTTGAGGATTGTGAGACAAGGGACGAGGGGTCTTTGTTGCTTGTTACTTGTTACTTACTTACCTTATTGCTTGTTGACAAGAACTTCACCGATAAAGAAAAAGTTGGGGTTGGTGCTGTGACATCTTTGACCAAAAGTCCCTCTTCCCTACGGAGTAAATCACTTTCCCCTACAAACAACTTCACCCTTCACCATCTCTTTTCCTCTGTCTCTTCCACTTTTATTCCATTTCAACCTAAACTTCAGCCCCAAAGTTTTGCTATCCTTCCGCTCGTAATTATATCGAACTTGCTTTCTTTCGTTTCCCGTGTGTTATCATATCATATCGCATCACATCGCATCTTCTCTTCTTTCAGCACTCTCCACAAATTCACATCTCAGCCGCTTTCGGGTGTCCAAAAGTCAACAACATCCTCACATTTCTAAGCAAAACTTTCGAAATTCTGACATGACGAACGTCACCAGAGTGTATAAATAATTCATAAAAATCATTCTAAGCGGAAGCAGGCCTTCTGTTCTTACCTTCTTCTTTATATAATACTTATTATAATCTTATGTTTGTTCTCCATTATCCAATCTGATCGGTCAATCGATAAAGACCCTTGTCGAATGCTACCATCCTCGGTCGACACATGCAGCTGACGGAACCCATAGTGCATAGTGATACGAATCGCACCCATTAGTTCCGATACGAGATTGATACATAAGTCTATCTACGCGCCCAGCGGTTTGCAACTTTTGCAGTTGTGAACTGTAGATATGGCTCCAAAATATTTGAACGTCTCCGCCGCAGGCACAGGCTCGAAGAGTCCTGCGTCTCCAACCGCCCATATGGCCACAACGACTGTAAAAGTTGGTGGTATGACATGCGGGGCATGCACATCTGCAGTGGAATCAGGATTCAAAGGTGTCGATGGTGTCGGAAATGTATCAGTGAGCTTGGTAATGGAAAGAGCTGTGATTATTCACGACCCAGAAAGAGTACCGGCAGAGAAGATACAAGAAATTATCGAGGATCGTGGTTTCGATGCAGAAGTACTGGCTACAGATTTACCATCTCCAATGTTCAACAGAAATGAATTCATCGACGATGCAAGTGACATTTCCGACGACGAAGATACGAAGAATGCGCCCACAACTACAACAACGTTGGCCGTAGAGGGGATGACATGCGGGGCTTGCACATCAGCGGTAGAAGGGGGCTTCAAAGATGTGCCGGGTATCAAGAATTTCAGTATATCATTACTGTCAGAGAGGGCAGTGGTCGAACACGATGCCTCAGTACTGAGCGCCGAACAAATTTCAGAAATCATAGAAGATAGAGGGTTTGGGGCAACTATTATCGAATCAAATACAGCTACCACTCCTTCACGAGCTCGCAATTCGCGCCGGGACAGCTCTTCTAAGAAAGAAAAGGTCGCTACAACTACTATTGCTATTGAAGGAATGACTTGCGGTGCCTGCACATCTGCGGTGGAAGGTGGATTTAAGGATCTTGATGGTCTCATACAATTCAATGTCAGTTTACTGGCAGAACGGGCGGTAGTCATCCATGACCCCTCCAAACTACCTGCTGAAAAGATCGCCGAGATCATCGAAGATAGAGGGTTCGATGCCAAGATTGTATCCACACAATTAGGTTCCGGTCTGCATTCAGCAGCTACCACATCACAGTTCAAGTTATTTGGAGTAGCGTCTGCTGCTGATGCAACAGCTTTAGAGTCCAAACTTTTATCACTACCAGGTGTCAATTCTGCAACAGTCAGTCTTGCCAAAAGTCGGCTAACAATCTCTCATCAGCCAAATATCGCTGGGTTGCGAGCTTTAGTCGACCTCATCGAGTCTCAGGGTTACAATGCCTTGGTCGCCGACAATGATGACAACAATGCTCAGCTAGAGTCTCTTGCAAAAACTAAAGAAATCACCGAGTGGCGTACAGCTTTCAGGACCTCTCTGAGTTTTGCAATCCCAGTCTTTTTAATCAGCATGGTGTTTCCCATGCTTATACCATTTTTGGATTTTGGAAGCTATGTTGTCTTTTTCCCAGGATTATACCTCGGTGATATCATTTGTTTAGTCCTTACGATACCCGTTCAATTTGGCATTGGAAAGCGGTTTTACATTTCTGCATACAAGTCTATGAGGCATGGTTCACCTACGATGGATGTGCTAGTTGTTCTTGGGACTTCTGCCGCTTTCTTTTTTAGTGTTGCAGCTATGATCGTTTCTATTCTCCTTCCCCCGCACACTCGACCAAGCACTATTTTCGACACAAGCAGTATGCTTATTACTTTCATCACTTTGGGACGATTCCTTGAAAATCGAGCAAAGGGCCAAACCTCAAAAGCACTTTCTCGCCTCATGTCTTTGGCTCCTTCTATGGCAACTATTTATGCAGATCCAATTGCTGCAGAGAAGGCAGCTGAGGATTGGAATACAAATGAGCCAAAAGCCGATCACTCTCAGGAGGGTAATGCTGCAGAAGAAAAGGTCATTCCCACAGAGCTTATCCAAGTTGGTGATATTGTCATTCTACGTCCTGGTGATAAAATTCCTGCTGATGGAACCGTCACTCGAGGTGAGACCTATGTGGATGAAAGCATGGTTACTGGTGAAGCAATGCCGGTCTTAAAAAGAAAAGGAAGTCTACTTATTGGAGGTACTGTGAACGGTGCTGGTAGAGTTGACTTCCGTGTTACACGTGCTGGTCGAGATACTCAATTGAGTCAAATTGTGAAGTTGGTGCAAGACGCCCAAACTACACGGGCACCTATTCAAAGACTCGCTGATACCATTGCCGGCTACTTTGTGCCATGCATTCTTGGCCTGGGATTTCTTACCTTTTCAATATGGATGATTCTCAGTCATGTCCTCCCGCATCCACCAAAGATTTTCGTGGACGAAAAGAGTGGCGGGAAATTCATGGTTTGTGTCAAACTCTGTATCTCGGTTATTGTTTTTGCTTGCCCTTGCGCTTTAGGTCTTGCAACCCCTACTGCTGTGATGGTAGGAACTGGCGTGGGTGCAGAGAATGGAATTTTGGTCAAAGGTGGTGCTGCTCTTGAGACGGCTACTAAGATTACGCAAGTTGTACTTGACAAGACTGGCACAATTACTGAGGGCAAAATGAGCGTGGCCAAGATCAACTTGGTTTCCAACTGGAAAGACAATGATTCGCAGAAGAAACTCTGGTGGACAATCGTTGGCTTATCCGAAATGGGCAGTGAACATCCTATCGGTAAAGCTATACTCGCTGCTGCTAAAGAAGAACTTGGAGTGGGCTCTGACGGTACTATTGATGGAAGCATTGGTGATTTTGAAGCAGCTGTTGGGAGCGGTGTTAGTGCCTTGGTTGAGCCAGCTATCAGCAACGAACGTACTCGTCATAGAATCCTGGTTGGTAATGTTCGCTTTCTCAAACAGAATAATGTATCTGTACCCCAAGACGCCATCGAGTCTTCCGAAGAAGCAAACGTCAAAGCTGCCGGATTGTCTAAAGCTTCGTCAGCCGGCACAACCAACATCTTCATTGCCATTGATGGCTCTTACTCTGGTCACCTGTGTCTTGCCGATACTGTAAAAGATAGCGCCGTCGCAGCCATTGCAGCCCTCCATCGCATGGGCATCAAAACAGCCATTGTCACTGGTGATCAACGACCAACAGCTCTGGCAGTCGCACGCATAGTTGGTATACCTTCTAGAAATGTTCACGCAGGAGTGACCCCTGACCAAAAACAAGATATCATTCGCAAGTTTCAATCTCGCGGAGAATGTGTTGCAATGGTAGGAGATGGAATCAATGATTCTCCTGCCCTCGCCACCGCAGATGTTGGTATTGCCATGGCTGGTGGTACTGATGTCGCTATGGAAGCAGCAGATATTGTTCTCATGCGACCAAATGATCTCATGGACGTTCCCGCGTCTATTCAACTTGCCCGTTCCATTTTCAATCGCATCAAGCTCAATCTAGGCTGGGCATGTGGTTATAATATCATTGGTCTTCCTTTCGCCATGGGTATCTTCTTACCTTTCGGATTCCATCTACATCCTATGGCAGCAGGTGCAGCGATGGCATTTAGTAGTGTAAGTGTAGTAGGCAGTAGTCTGTTGTTGAAGTTCTGGAAGAGACCAAGATGGATGGATGATGCATTATTAGAAGAAAAGGGACAATTAAGAAGGAAGGGTCACGGATGGGGCTTTGGGGGATGGAGTGGAAAAATTACAGATGCGTATAGAGCTGTTGTTGGAAGAAATAGAAGAGATGAAGGAGGTTACGTACCTTTGAATACTCTCGAACCTGTTTAGGTTCGAGTTGGATATTGAATTGAAGTGTATTGGTTTTCTTTTTCGATATTTCCAGTTTTTTGTTGGAACTTTTTTATGAGTTTACCATGTAGATGTACTCGTTTGTGTACAGACGATGGTTGAAGCTATTTGTGCATTGTATGATTCTATCTAGAATTCATAGAGAGATATAGGAATATATAAGATTGAGAACTCTACTTAGGTACTTTATGAAAAGAAGATGGAGTTGAAGTTGCACAAGTGCACGTTGTTAGGAATACTTTAATGTCCTTGGTACTTCAAGACTTTTTCTATCGATACAGATTCATATCTCATGATTATATTGGAGATCAGAGATTGAAATGGCAGTGATTTACGAGTACATCCATCCTATTGAATCTTTTGAACATCTAAAGGAAAAAGTCTTGCACATTTTTTTCTCTACTTTAAACTCCAGATAAATGAAGACACAATTTCCCATTTAAAATTACCTTGTTTCTTTATTTCGTATCATGATTCTCCCCATTTTGGTATCTGTTACGTCGTGATCTTCTGGATGTGTAAATAATTATATATGTCTGGAGAATAGAATAGATTTATTCTCTGCCTCGTGTCATCTGCCTACCAGGTGATATGCCTAGGTAATATAGGTAATTGTTAAAGTGAATGGTTCCTGCGTAGCACGTGCACAGGGCACTAGTCCCATTAGGACTAGATTGAGAAGCTCTCTGTAGGAGAGCTTCGCACTTCCGTAGAACTTAGATAATGTGTGATTTATATACAAGACCAATATAGCCTCAGTTCTGCCCTATCAGCTTCCCACTATTCTCTGTGTAAGGTCATTCTTTTTAACAGTAATAGACATATTCCATATCCGCGGGACCCAGCATTAGCGAACGCGGCACAGCAGATCCAAGGCAGTAGTGCAACGATCAGGCTGATACGGAAAAGCTTAAAGTTTGAAAATGGATTACCTCGTCGTCGCACTGGAACGCCTCTTCACGAAAATTGATTTGTGATAATTTACGAGATAGATGGTTGGATGGCTGGATGGCTGGATGTTATGCTACGAGTACGGGTTTCCGTGACGGGAATAAGAATAAGAGTAAGCATAAGGATGGTGGGTCTTATTTGATGTTAATATCGATATGGATATGGATATCGGTGCTCGGGATTGGATTTGGGGTTTTCGCCTGATGGTGAGATTTGGTGAGATTTGTATTGCGTAGAATGGAGTTGGGGATGCATGGATGGGATGCATGAGGATGATGGATGAGACCCCTTTTGAAGCGAACCTGTTATTTTGTTAGGTGCATTAACCTACATGTCTTGAATGGTAGGTGAGATATCGTAAATCGGTGTTTGGTAAGAGCGAAGTTCCGAGTAGTTTTTTTCTTTTGTGCGTGGGTTTAGTTTTACTTTTACTTTTAATATTGCTTATACTGAGAAGTATATGAAACGGTACGTTGTATGGATGTGGTGGGATTTGCGGCTGGATTGGATGGAGTTGAGTCCGGGAAGTGAAGTCGGGGTTGTCGTTGAGTATGCGATCTGAGATTAGATTCTTTTCTGGGGACGGGGAGTTTTGAGGTATGTGTTTGTAATCTCTTCGGGGTTTGTTTCTTTTTACCCCTTCATGGGTGATTATTGGTAAGGTTAAGATTATGGACGAGAATAGGGTGGAGAAATGGATAGGAATTATTGAATGTTGTGTATCGTGCAAGGTGAGGTGACTCGATCCGATATTTGAGAATGAATAGGAATAGGAATAAGTTTTTATAGATGTGGGAGTTTCTCTTCATGGTTTTTTTCTTGTATTGTACTACTTCCATTCTCTGTGACTGAAGGGTTTGTTGACGACTTTACGTTTATCTTATGCTGTTTGTTATTGTCATTGTCATTTTTCTCCATGGTGAACTTTGATATAAGTGCTCGGGTTATAATATATCTCGTTTTCATTGTTGTACAAGGGTTGGTTAAGTGATAAAGTTGTGTCGTTTGTGTTGCCGGACGATAGGACTTGATAGTTTTAAAACTTCTTGGGAAAATATTTTCAAGGACGAGATATATATTTGTGCTTTTACAATATAAAATCTTTTCGTTCCTTCTTGTGTGGGAGGTAAAATGTCTTTGAATGCTACAAATGTAAGTTCTCTTTCTCTTCTTACCATCGCAACATCACTCTCCTTCTTATGTCTTCCTTTCACCAAACTTTTAGTCTGCTCTACACAGTCTGCTCACCTGAATCGAGTCTACTTACTAACACCTCCTACCCAGATGTCACCGCCCTATCCACAAAGAAATGCCATCGTAGGCCTCACACCCACTCGCATCATCGACATCCCAGTCAGCACAATCTTCATGCTCCTCTTTCTCCTCGCCGCAATAATCCACATGACACTCCTCCAAATAAACTTTCGACGTGGCCAAAAATTCCTCATGTCAGGCATGGCATTTGGATTCTCCTTTTCCCGAGTCATCACCTGCATTTTACGTATAGTCTGGGCCTCCTATCCTGACAACATCAAACTCGCGCTCGCTGCTCAAGTATTTGTTGCCGCGGGCACCACATTACTATTCCTCATCAATATCATCTTCACCGGTCGTTTGTTGAGAGCTTATCACGCGTGGGCTTGGAATGTATGGATCCGGAATACTTTTCGAGCGGCGTATGTGAGTTTATTTGTGGGATTGATTGCGAATATTTCTGTTTTAGTGGAGAATTTCTTCACGCTCGATCCGCATGTTTGGTGGATTGATCGTGTGGTGTCGTTGGTTGTTAGTACTTATTTTGCCGTTTATGCTTTTATGCCTATTCCGCTTTTGGCTTTGCGATTCCTACTTCCACGTGGGAAACGGGTGGAGAAATTCGGAACAGGGAGATTTTGTACAAAGATTAGATTGGTAGTCTTCGTATCTGGTTTACTTACTCTAGGAGCAGCTTTTAGAGCAGGGACGGCTTATAAGCCGAGGGAAATTGACGATCCGGCTTGGTATCATAGTAAAGCTTGTTTTTATATTTTTGACTTTGGCATCGAGATTGTGGTTCTTTATGTATATGCGGCGATGAGGGTGGATAGGAGATTTATTGTACCGAATGCGACGAAGGTGGAGGGGGATTTTAGAAAAGGGGGTGAGGGGGGAATGCCGGTTAAGGGAGAAGAAGGTGAGAGGAGTGTTAGGTGGGAGTGGATGAGGGGATGGAAGGGGGAATGGAGGGAGTGGAAGGTTGAAGGAGAAAAGGATGAGGGTATTTTTTCAGACACGGTTAGGGAGCAAAAGGGAAGAAATGATGTGGAGGAGGGAGAGACGGAGACGGCGGTTGGTAGTAATGCTAGTGGAGGAGTTACACCGGAGGTTACAGGAAGCAGAGAGGATGTTAATGTTGATGCTGATATTGAGAAGGGTAACAAGTGAGATGGACTATCAGAGATTGCCAAAAAGTCGCTAGATTGTATATAAGCAATAGCTATAGATAGATAGAGGCAGTGATCAAGATTTCGATGTGACGATACACCAATGACAAAGAGACAGAAGATGCAAATAAGTGAGATTACGTAGCATTTATCAAGTAGCTATGAAGTTTCCACACCTCGTATACTTAACCCTACTCCAAACTTTTGAACTTCCGATTGTGAAAATAGCAATGGTGGAGGCTATAGATGAGGTATCGGTAATTATGGTCATAGTGTGTAGTACTTGATATGTGGATGTGTCTACCTTCTCTTTCTGGATGGGTAGATGAGTAGGAGAGAGCTTAATCGAGTTTGAGTCACAGTTCGTGTTCGGATGTCCGTGGTTTTTGGGGGAATTGTTGGTGGTATCGGGGTGCACTTTAAACTGGGAATTTCTAAGGGATAAAGGTGGACGGGGAGGGAAGGAGATTTCTGAATTTCTGGAAGTAAGAGTTGTTTATCTAGATTCTATCTAGATGGAAGTTAAACACCTGGATGCGAAGAAGGATAATTGTTCGTAGCTTGAACTAACTTGCTTTCGGACGGATAGTAACCTTAAATATTGTAACGCAGATAAAGCCTATACTTGTTATATGTAACTAGGTAGGTTCTGGATAATTATGCTGGAGACAGAACGGTGTTATTGGAACAGCAACACTTGTTTTTTCCCTGATTATCTTGTGAAGAGCGGGTGTAGATAATATATTGATTTCCAAAATATTCGGGTAACTAACTGCGATTGAGTATGTCCAAACTACCAAGCAAATTTTCCACGTTCGCATATGATCAAGCTTTCATATTCAGATCTCCCTACCTCTCAGACTGGGGTAACGGTTTTTGAGAGCCTGAGATCCCCAACTGAATGGGAAAAGGTCATATTGGACTCGTCGCTTGTAGATTATTTGCACAAGCTAATTTTCGATCAGGGAAAACTTTCGTCAGTTACGAGCTTACTCGCTGGTGTACGGTGTACATGCAATGGCTCATCTAGCAGTGTGCGAGAGCTTGATCTTCGTGCGGTACATTGGTTGCTTTTGAGTATCTCGAAGAGCGATGAGATAGAGAGGAAGCTGTTGTAAGGAGAAGTGAGTGGGGCAGACAGTACCATAAGAAGCGAGTATAAGTTCTTGGCGATCTCTCCCCTTAATCTGGTAGAATGAGTTTACCGATGGATATGGAACCTCTGGATTAGATCTGTACTCGCCATAACCTTTGTGAGATAAGAACCTAATAATAACCTCTGTAGGGAAGTGATATATGTCTGTTGTCAATCAGACTTATTGCTAGCACTAGAAGTACGACTGTTGGTTGTTTCCACATCTACCTGGTAGATGAACAGTATGTTGTGAATATCAATAGGGCATTCACTTCTCCGAGGGAATGATGTAAAATCCTGTAACGATGACATTGATGTGCTTCGAGGGCAACAACAACAACAACAACCACAAGGACGAAGATGTACAATCCTGCAGGAGCTGGAATATGCTGTACGACTTTGGGTTGTCGGTATTTCTTACTCCTTTAATTGCCCGTTGGTGGTGGCTGTCACGTGCAGCAAACAATGTAAATGGAAGTTGCCGCTTAGATTATGACGTTTTTAGCCATACATCCTTGCATTGTGTTATGCATCTAAGATCCTTGCATTATTTTATGCACCCAAGATCCAGCCCAGATGTGCGACAAAGCTTCATTTACAACCTTATGTTTACTACAAACATTCAAACATTCAAACATACATACACACATACATACGATTATATTAATATATGATTATACTTTGAATATAACTTCATTCCTGCTGAATTCCTCTATTGATCTATCTACACTCTTCCAAAATAATGACAAGTCCTGCTGGAAAACGCGGACCATCAGTCCTGGTATGAGCGAAGCCAAACATTAAATTCCGATTGACAATTAGTTACATTTTTTCTGATTCTGTCTTAGGTTACTGATTCACGGGAACGCCAACGCCCTTCCATAGCTCGAAACAATTCCCAGCGACCAAATGTTAATGGCTCGAATGCGCCTAGACCAACAAGATTCATTTCCGTAGATAATGTTTTACAATATGCCTCTCAAATCCCATCAGGTCAAGCTCGAGGACCACCAGGACGCAGACCTCAGGCTTCAGATCAACGTCGTGCAAGTGGTCCAATATCGGCACGGATCGCACAACAAAATGTTCCAGGTCGGAGCACAAAGACTAGCGAAAAATTGGTTCTAATTCCAGACACGTTAGATGAAAAGGATGATTCTGATACGGACGATATTCTTGGTGCTGAAAGCGAACCGCGAGTTGATGGTGATGCGGGACCTCCGACAGATACCGAAAGGGACATACTAAAAAAGAGGGGTGGTATACGAGGAAAGAGTTATGCGGAGCGATTACCCAAGGCGAGGAGAGCAAATGAGTTGGCTAGGGTTACTGCATATTGCACGGCGCAAGCATACAAAACGAAGGATACGGCTACGTTTGTTAAGGAAAGACACGGGGCTAAGACAAAGTTATACGATGATTGTCTCTACACAGTTTACCATTTACCTTTATTACCGGGTACCGAGGGATTCAGAGTAAGGAGTAGTCCGGTTCTAAAAAGTCCAGGTGGAAAAGCGGTATTGGATGAAGAGATAGAGAGGAGTGAGAACAGAGACTATCATGAAGGATATTTCGAGGATACGGATACATACGGTGTAAGGGGAGGGGAGGATAGTCCACGAAATGAATCCGACGAAGACAGAATTAGAAGAGAAGAAGAGGCCCGAAGAGGTAGAGAGGAAACTCATATTTTTGAACAAGGCAAGAGAGCAGACAGTCCAAATAGAGTCGCACCGGATGCGACAACTTTTGCAGAGATGTTTGTCTTTTCATATGGGGTGGTGGTGTTTTGGAATTTTACTGAGCATCAGGAAAAAGATATCCTTGCCGATTTTGCATTTGCAGCACACAACACAGATGTGTCACTTGTTGTTCGACCTCAAGAAGAAGAAGATCTCGAAACAGAAGAGCTTCATTTTGAGTATAATTCTTTCGTTGACAGACCTCGAATTTTCAATGATATGATTACCTTGAGGAGTGGTGATCATATGATAAAGTTGGCAATGAGTCATGCTATTGCCCAAAGTACGAAGTTGAGCTTCTTTGAGGAGCGGATGTCACAGACTATGCTGAGTGCAGAGCATGTTCCTAAGCACTTGGCCTTAACGGGTCAACTTGGTATGTCTCGTACAGAAATCCTTAAGATCCTTGGTCGTCTCTTCAAGAGTAGGGTTGATGTCAATCTTTGTAAGTTATTTCAACCCTGTGCATAACTCCATACTGATATCCTGGCAGCATCAAATATTCTCGATGTTCCCAGCTTCTTTTGGGATTCAGAACCCACGTTACATCCACTCTATGAAGCTATTCGAGAGTATTTAGAGATCGGTCCACGTATCACGACGCTCAATGAACGTTGTAGAGTTTTCTTGGACTTGGCAGAAGTTTTAAGTGATAACATTGCCGATACAAAGATGAGCACAATCACATGGATTGTCATCATTTTGATCATCATTAGTATAGCTGTTACGGTCACAGAAGTAGGCATAAGATTTATAATATTGGAAAAGGCAGGTGGAGGAAACCCTGCGATGGCATCTATGGACAGGAATTGGTCGCGATTCGATTTTAGTGCTCCACAATTGGAAGCAATATGTGGAACTGGAAGGATTGCCGAGCTTTAAACTGAGTGTTGGCTGTACTTATTGCGACTTGGTGAGACTTACTTTTTTCTGTATACTTTTCGGCTTAGGGCATGGAGAGCGTATAGAATGGGGCTTTATAATGTGCTTGTAGATATCGCACAATTATAATGAGCGTTCATATTAATTAGATGGTTAGTTTAGAGCTGTTCCCAAAGCTTCATTATAAATTTTTTAATAGATTATTTAATACACTCTTGCTACTAGAAAATCATATTATACCAGATTTCTTCTCCGTCGTTCTCGACAAGCGATTCGTTTCTGCTCGTTTAAGGAGACTTCTCTTAGCGGAGCACTACCCGCGACTTGAAGAATTTCTCGCCTTTATGGGGTATCGTGATGGCGAAGTGTCTATCTTACCTGTGATTAGTTGCTCTGTTCACTTAGCTTTTGTTGTTCACTTGCTATACTAGTCTCGGTGCATATCGTGAATTTCTACAGTTTCATGCAATTAGATTAGTCCTTGTTGCTCTCATAGACAACTCACTAGTCGTTTATTGTTTATTATCTCTTTATAATTTTTTTTACCTAGGTATGTAAGGTTATGAGTTTTGCTCTTTGAGAGGATATGGGTTTTGTTTTATGAGGGTAAGGGAATATTGTATGGGAGGGAGGGAATATTGTATAAGGAAAAAAGACCAATGTTTAAATAGATCGATGATGAAAGATCTAGTTTGAGCCCTTGGAAGATGGACCGAGAGTGAGACTTCTCTCTTTTAACAAGCACCACTGTGCCACATAATTTCCATGGTCGTTTCGCTGTAGCTGCCTTTTGTGAATGATTTTAGCTATCTTTTGCTTTAGTTTCATATCAATTAGACAAATCATACTATACCAGAAGATAAAAGAAATGGGAGTTCCCAGTTTTCAGCTCTTCAAGACTAGTTTTTTCTTCCCGTTTCGGCTTTGATTGTTCATAACCTTGACAATACTTTAAATACTTGGACTTACCCAACCATAGTGTCGGTATAGGATGAGGAAATAGTAGGTTGATTTGCTCAAGTGTCTTTTTGATATATTCAGCTGTATACCATATATTCTCTTACATAATGAAATTACTCCTCATCATGCCCACACATATTACCGATAAGACCATGTCTATGAATCATCAGCTATTATAACCTTGTGAAGAAGTGTTTCCGTGCACATTGATGTGGTGGATGGCCTTGAGCATAGTACATATCACTCTCATCTTTCGACCAGTTTTTCTGCGTCCTAATAACCGAAAGAGAATATATACAGAATGGAGGTTGAACAAGAAAGTCATCTTATGATTTAGATGAGGCGCGTGGATGAGATGACCAACGACACCGACTGTGAATACGTGGATGCTACCCATCAAATTATATGCAAAAGGCAACGACTAACAAAACCCCGCTCCGCCCCGCACTGTTGGGCCTTCTTCTCCTCTTTTTTGCGACAAGCTTATTTTCCACCCCTGAGCATCTTTCCGTATTAGCAGCTGCTTCCTTTTTAGTCTTCTTGGATTTCTTATTATGACCTTCCTTTGTAGCAGGCTCGTCATTCTTGTCTGGGGTATCATTAGCATCTTCATCACTAATAGAACCCTCATAATCTAGATGCGTATCGCCGCAAAGTTTGCAATGATCGTTGACCTTGAGGAAGGCTTCCTTACCATGAAATGTTTCACGAATGGCCTTGCAGTGTTTCAACATTCCCGTGTTGCATCCTTTGTGAACTCCGCCTAGAACAACGATGAATGGTTAGCTTGTAGCTAGATGTAATAAAGTAGTGAAAGGTGATGTGCCTTGTGATCGAGCGCGCGAGTGTTCGGGTATTCTGTTGTGATGAAGGTTGATGGAAAGATTTGTTGCGATAGAAGACTCGCTAAATGTGTTCTTTAGGGAGAAATTGCGCTACGATAAACTCAATAGTACAAAAATCTCGTCTTATCTTATAATCGTTTATAGTTTTGCAACCACAAACATTAGCACTAGAGATTGATCATCTTAATAAGGTTAAAAATGATGGTTGATGGAACAAACACATCGCACTCATGATCAGTCCCGTACCCAATGATGAAAATGATGGTGTAATTGATATATGTATAGCCTAAATGAATTTGTAAAGTAAGTAAAAAATCCAGATAGTCGTATTGATTTAATTAGACTGGAAAGTCATGAAGGTTTACAGCCTTGGATGCATAGGCTAGCCTCGAAAAGGGGTTTTAGCGAAAAGCTCCCACAATGACCAGATTCACATAAGACTGTAAAGCAATTTAACCTTCCATGCAATCTTAGATGTGATAGACTTAGTTTTTTTACACTGACGGAATAGCTGGAAGATCTTTGCAGTTCATAACTCAACTTGGTCTAGCTGCAGCCCCTGGGTAACAGAAGCTCTGGCCTTTCGGTCACGCAGACGGAGATTGTCTATTGGGTATCGCGAGACCTCGAGGCTATGAGTGCCTAGTTTCTCTCAAGTTAGGAGGGTTGTGGTTTAGGCAATGGGCGGTTGTATTGCTTGATTAGGAATTTGATAGCTTATCATTGGTAAGTTGTAACTGAGAAATTGTAATCTCGAAGTTGCTCTAGTGACTTATCGAACACTTGCTGAGTGGAATATGCGTTGGATAATTCGACTGCAAACGTTGCAAAGCTAAGGTACATAAATTCGTTAAAATATTTAAAAAAAGATTCAAGAAATAATCTATTTTCATTAATCCCTCGTATAAGAACAAGACCATTATACACCTGAACTCTAAACATATAAAAGTATCAAACCTACCCTAACTGTTGGTACGAGAAGGATACGGAAGACGTAGCACCCACGGATTACGTAGGTCCTGTATGTCTAATTGTATTCTGTCTAAAGAGCTAGCTACATATTGAAAGTAGTAAGTCTTATATAGACTTACTAAAAGAGCTAGTCTCTTTCGCGTTCGCTTAGTTCTTTATTACAGTAGTAATTGAATTGAAGTCATTCACTTCGTTCACACACTAACCCTACCCTTAACCAAAACACCTAGGAAGGAACCACACAAGCAAACCAACAACAATAAACCAAAAAACTAACTATACCAAAAACCTACAATCCTATACTCTACTCTACCCTTATCTACACCCTCTACAGCCTCCAAATACAATAAAAAGCTACCACAATAAACTAAGTTCAAACATACACCACCACTCACAACTCACCACTCACTAACCCATAATATAAATTCTAAACCCAGAAAAACAGAATTCACATCTCCTACTATCTGCCAAAGGATATATCTCTCAACAATGTTCAAGGATGATTAAACGACTCTGTAGATATAAAGCTGGGTAAAGCATAATCCCTTTTCCCTTGTCTTGACCTCTGCAAGTTCATATCCCGAGTCTATTAAGATAGATTTTGAATTGAGCGCGCTAACGAAATTATAATATATAAACAAGGTTAAAGAGTGAAATGTGATGGTGAGGTGCACTAGTAGTTCTCTTCATCTTCTCCACTGCTTTTTCAAACACATAGCAAATAAGTCTTTTCAGTATACAATCATATCACTTCAATCCATATATTTTTATTATTTGGTGAAAATAGCATAAGACATTACTCCTTAACACCCGATATAAAGCGCTTAGATCATTGAAGCCATTAAATCCTCGTGATTGCTTGAAAGCGAATATGAAGGCTCTCCATAAAATCCTGATATAAACATTGCCCCCTGCAAAAACAGCACAACAAAGATCTAGCTGAGTAATTGCTCGATGGCACCCTGTACACTTCCTCCACTCCTTCTTAAGGCTTCCACGTTTCTGTCAAAATCAAAAAATCCCATGTCGTTCAATTGTCTAAGTTGATCGGCATATCTCTCCTCAGGTGGCCTAGTGTCTGCTGGAGCTGCTGGAGCACCCGGAGCTGCACCACCCATTCCACCCATACCCCCAAATCCACCAGCGCCGAACATATCCCCAAACGATCCGTTTCGCATCATTTCCATTGCTTGTTGTATTTGTTCTGGTGTTGGTTGTGGCATTCCTGGAAATGGATTAAATCCCGGTCCACCTGCACCTGCACCTGCGCCGGCACCCGCTCCTCCGAATAATGAAGCGAAAGGATTTGGTGCATTGGCATCGGCACCAGTTGACGGTGTTCCTCCAGCAGAAGCCGCGGTTGGGGGAGTTTGAGCAGGAGTATGACCAGCGGCAGTTGCTCCCGGTCCACCGAAAAGTGATGCGAATGGATTGCCAGCGCCTCCAGCAGGCATCGCAAAAGGGTTGAAAGGTGGTATGTTTGCCTGAACACTTCCTGGTGTGCTCCCTGCAGCTCCAGCTGGTGTCGTATCCGTAACTCCCGGCGCAGGAAAACCACCTGCTCCGCCTCCTGCCATTTGCCTTCTCATCGCAGCAGCTTGACGAAGAGCGTTTGGATCTGTAAGCATGTTTCGGAACATTGGCGATTGTAACATTTCTCGCGCATTTGGCATATTTCTAAGCATTGGAGTATTTTGAATCATCATATTGACAAGGTCTGGGTTGTTGAGAGCTTCGTTCATCGTTTGGCGAATGTTGGGATCATCCATCATTTGAGCGATCGCATCTTCACTCGGAGGTGCACCCATCTGCGAAAATGTTAGTATCAGTAGATTGTTGATCGCAAAAAGGTATACGTACTCCACCATCTGCGCCAAACATCTCAGCACCTGGAAGACCCATCTGGCCTGCATATCGAGCACCTGTTAAACCAGCCAGAGGATTGTTCGCAGTTCCGGCTGCCATATTTGTCGGTACTGCTGCAGCACCAGCTGTGGTATTGGCAGCATTCTGGGCCATGTTGCTTTGCGCGCTCTTAACCATATGTATTGTATTGCCGGCCTTGATCTTGTAAGTGCTTAAAGGTTCCTCATTCTTCATAACACGACCCGAATAAATTAAACGTTGACGGTCGACTGGAATCTTTTCGTAATCATCTCCTGCCAGCTTGGTCTTTAGGTCGAGAACTGATGCAGTTTCTGCCATGGTGATTGTGTGATTTCCATCGCTGGATGTCTTGACCTTGAAGGTGATTTGAGAATCGGTCTCGGGCGCAGTTGACGTCTCCTCTGACATGGTGATAGATTTATGAGTGTATAATTTCAATGGTTTATTGGAGGGAGATATTTGAAAGAGGGATGTGGAAGTGGGAATTTGTTATGTTGTGTTAATTGTGAAGGTGGTTTGATCAGGGAGATAGGTAGATGGTTGATCGATAATTGTAACTATCATAAGCCAAATTATCGAAGTGAGGGGCTCGGCTGGTGGGCTTGGGGCTTAGATGACGTTCGATGGTTCGAGAATGCTTTGGCGTGCTCTTGCTGTGACTCTCGCCACTAGAAGCACGAAAGGGGGGGGAGGGAGGTAAGGGTAGAGGTAGAAAGCGAAGAAATGAGAATGAATTGCTATTATTGAGGAAATTTGGTTCTTTTCAAAAGTGTTAAAGTGTTGAAGGTTGCGTGTGTGTGTATTAACAAATGGTTTGCTTTCTTAGTCGGGTTTTTTGGGACCATGATCTACCTACATGACTCTGTAGTATATGTTGTGTGACTACTGGTAATATTTAGTATAGGGTTCCTACTCAGCACCTTCCATCGAAGTCTTTTGCTTTCCGATTACCTACTTTAACCTTTTTTTAAGGGGCAAAGCATTGTCGGGACACCAGAGCAAACTGGATTATTAGCTCATCAAGTACTCGAGTAGAAAGGATAAGATAGATAATAAAACATAAGAATACCCACGCTACAACCTTTACATAGCGTACCTAACTTTACATCTGTTTGTAGATGATACGCAGATACCTACCTATGTAAGTCTTACATATACATCCGACGTAGTATCTCTTCGATCTCCCCGCATCACCTATCAAATATAATCTTTGGCGAGACAGCTTTCGCAGTTCAGTCCAGAGAGGTCGAGTAAAGATGGTGAAGGTTCCACATGACAAAACATAGGTGAAGTCAAGTCGCAATATTCATGAATAGCATCATAGCATTACATACTACCCATCTATGTGTTTCTTATTTAAATGGCAATCCATCTTCTTAGGTAGGTCAGTTTCGACAACTATACAGGACATTTGGACCTCGGCTCGGTCCCCGCGTTTAAAGAATCCGGGGTTCATCAGTCTCTCCATACCACTCCTTTCTCAATCATTTCTCTCTGTTGCATCCATTCATTCAATCAAATAAACAAATTGATTCTTTTCAATTGATCTCATCTGTCATATATAATCAAGTCTTTCACAATATGCGGGGAATTCAAATCACAGAATATGTCAAGGTAAGCTTTAGACAGAGCTCCGAAGCTCTTGTTCCCTTCGACATCTATCTATCAATCATTATCCTAACATACCCTCACCCATTATAGGGACCTCAAGATCTCAAAATCACAGATCTACCAGATCCAGTGCCAAATCCTGATCAATATTTAATCGAAATCCATGCCACTGCTACCAATTTCTTTGATCTCCTTCAAATCCAGGGAAAATATCAGCATCAACCTCCTTTACCTTGTAAGTAGTTTCCTTGATCTGCCATTCTCGCAAGCCAGTCAGCTCATGTCGTACTACGAGTCTTTTCCAATCCCATATCCCAAAAGTATCATGACCATCTGCTAACCACCCACGTCCAGGGATATCCGGCTCAGAATTCAGCGGAGTCGTCCTATCGACTCCTAAATCTTCCTCTTCACCCAAATACAAACCAGGAGATCGCGTGTTTGGAGCTTCTCAAGGCGGCTACGCAACCCACGTTTGCGCCCAGGAAGCCTCACTCTATCCCGTACCAGAATCCTGGTCCTTCTTCGAAGCCGCTGGTCTTTTCGTCACAGCACCCACCTCCTACAGCGCCCTAGTAACTCGCGCCAACATTAGATCCGGCGACTATGTCCTCGTCCATGCAGCAGCTGGTGGAGTAGGTCTCGCCGCCGTTCAAATCGCCAAAGCGTTCGGCGCAACCGTCATAGCTACAGCTGGAACAAAGCGAAAACTCGAAGTAGCCCGCGAATTTGGCGCAGATCATGCTATCGATTACACAGAAGCCTCCTGGCCTGATCAAGTGAAAAAATTAACTCCAAATAATAGAGGTGTAGATATTGTGTTCGATCCCGTAGGTTTAATCGATAAATCTACAAAATGCATACGATGGAATGGACGAATTCTCGTAATAGGATTCGCGGCGGGAAATATCGAGAAGGTGCCAATGAATAAGGTGTTATTGAAAAATATTAGTATTGTGGGATTACACTGGGGAGCATATGTGCAGAATGAACCTGAGAGAATCCAGGAGGTCTGGGATGGTATTTTCAAATTGATCAAGGAGGGTAAGTTCAAAGGAACGGTTTTCAAGGATAGAGAGTTTCAGGGACTGGAGGATGTACCACAGGCATTGGAGAGTCTAGGAAGCAGAGGAACCTGGGGAAAGGTGGTTGTTAAAGTGGATCAGAAGGAGAAGGCGGGGAGGAGTAAGATTTAGGAGAGGAAAAGTTGATGGTTTGTTGTTTCATGCAGATGGTTGTATGGGATGCGTTTTGGATTGAGCTGTGCAGTTGTATATACATGGATATGATATTTTAAATTGATTACAATATCCATCCCATATGGAGTTATATAGTAAGAATTATATAAGGAGTGCAGATAATGTGGAATTGAGAGCTTATTGTTATATATCCTAAACAGCAATTGTATCAATTTAGACGAGGGGTAGAGGAGGCGAGGAGTAGATATTCGGAGTAGATAGTTCTCATCAACACTAGACACGCAACAAAGATGTACGATGAAATTCTCCATCTTATATCAAATGAAAAACCTCTTATATTATATCTATCCTGACTTGTCGTTGATGGCACTTGACTATTTCATTCATTTCAATTCAATTCAATTCAATCCGCTATCTGTATGTTATTTCATTGTCCCTCCCGGCCTCCCCGCCATGCCAAAATAAAATTTAAAAAAAAAATCCCCCCCAACCCCTTCCCCTCCAATCCCTTTTTCTCAAAAAGTATAATTTTCCAACCCAACCCCTCCTCCTTTCAATCATAAGGGGGGTGGATTTCCCCCCCCCCCCCCCCCCCCCAATGTTAAGTAAGTTCAATCATGAATCTGCCCTCCTATCCTACATCTACATCTACATCTAAAAATGTTCTTTCCAAAACGAGAAATTGACATCGCGAGTCGTGGCTTGCTTGCATGCTTTTTTAATGGAGCGCGCTGCTACGTTTGGTCCTATTTTTTCTGCTTTAGTATATACCTCTGCAAGCGAGGAGGGGTGGCAAAGGATATAACGCAAAAGGGGAAAAGAACAAGATAGATAAGCATACCACAAAAGTAAACTCCAATGTTAGTTTTAAAATCACCCTCCAAACCTGATAGATAAGTCTTATCCATTATTCCATCTCTCATGCCTTCAAACAATTTTAAGAAATCTGGTCTTCCAAAATTGGTTCGGGATTTAAGTTCAGTCAAGGGATCGACATCGGCTCCTACACTGTTCAAAACGATATTTTGCGCCGTGTCGATGTCTAATTTTTGAGTTAGGTAAGTGTGAATCCGTAAGAACTCTTGACTATCACCACCCTGTTGTGCAGCCGCCTCTTGGGATTGCGCTTCGAGGGATGAGAGGAGTACTTGGAACCATTCGAAAGAAGTCGTGTCTTTACAGACCCAGATGAATTCCACGCGACGAAGACGTTCTGGAGGATTGGTTCCATGGCGAAGATGCCAGATGTTTTTAAGGATGGATGCCCATGGTGTTACACCGATACCAGTACCGATAAGGACCGCAACTTCGTTTTCAAAGACGTCTTCGGCGGGTGCACCGTAGGGGCCGTCGATGCGAATGTCGGGCATTTTTTGGCCGTTTTCGAGTGCCACTTCGTACATCCCGTTCGGGTCTACACCGTCGTAGAGTTTGGCTTGAGCGGCTCCGGCTCCGAGGGCGTCTCCGAGAGTACGGGTAAAGTCACCGACTTGCCGGATATGGATTGAGATGTAGGGGTCAAATGGGCATGATGTGATGGTAAATGGATGCCATTGTTCGCGGGAAACGGATGGAACATTGATGAAAAGCCATTGGCCTGCCTTGTACTTCATCGATGGCTTTCGGAATTGAATTTCCATGGCATCTATAAAGTTTTAGTACTCCATTGGTGATAAGTGGTTGGAGAGAACCATACCATATGGATGACGGACGACTCGAACAATTTGAGTTTCTCTTCTGCTTCGGATTTCACGATACACACGCTCAATAAAGTAGAGCCCGCCACCCCAAAGTTCCCAACGCCATCCTTCATATCCTAAGCAATGTCCCCAGAAGTTCTTGCCATCAAATGGGGAGAAGGGTTCTGCGGTATCACGGACGAAGCATCCAGTAGCATGAGTATACATTGCAAGTAAAAATGGAATGAACAAATGATGCGTGTACCAAAATGTCTCGAAAGATTGTTGTCTAATCTTGGCATGAGCAGTCGTATACATCAACATCATGCATAGCAGCATAATATGACCAGTGATACCACCAGCTTCAGTATAGTGAATCTGGATTGCGCTCACAGGTCTAATCTGAGTCTTTTCAACATTGAAGAAACTATGCGATGTTAGCGGCTAAAAGGTAGTGCAATGACGTAATACCTACTTGACATAGTGAGCAGCTACGTGAAATATTGTCCAGAATAACAATGAGTATGCTACCTGTCGATGAAACCATTGAGATTCATCCAGTGGTAGGAACTTGATCTTTGGTCTAACATATCTCAAGATATTGCGACACATAGGTAATAAGATCATTGCAATATCAACGGATAACGCTAGACCGGCACCTCTTGATATCCATACTGAGAATGTGAGGGTATTCAAACCGGCTAGTCTGGGGTCACTAGCTTGCTTCCACCTGGATGAGTTGTTAGTGAATGAAAGACGGATAGGTCAAGAGCTTACTCACCACCCCAAAGCAAATAGACCAATGTGAAAGCCGTGGAAGAGGAAATTAAATAGTAATTTCGTTCCACGGAGCTGTCCCTTCAAGAACTGTAGAAGCCCCATCTTCTCTATACCCAAATATCCCAAATATTAAAGGTCGTCCAGCGACAAGATTGATGAAGATAATAGAGTGAGATCGTTGACCGTTTGAGGGAGAGAATCAATCAAAGTTTCCGACCTCACTTAAAAATATTAAATGCTGTACTATTTGAAAATAATGTGTAAAAAATTAATGTTCATCAAAAGAAAAGAATGACTTGAGCCAGCAGCTTGTGTGGGAACTTTGACGGGGAAAGTCTTGTTCTTCTGTAACGCCGAGGAAAGAGGAGAAGATGAGAAGCTAAGGTATGTAGGTGAGTCTTGAATAATAAAGGTTGTTCGATCGGTGAGCCACACTAATCATTTGATACTTTCGATGATGGGATATGCGGAGAGAAGTACTCTCTTGGAGCCGTATCCAACGCTCGTACAGCCGTTTGTTGCGGAGTCAAGCTAAAATTTCGGACGACAGGTTTCCTAAACGAATCCCAGTACGGGTGTACAATGATATCTGATTTTCCTTTCTATTCCCTAAACGATATAAATTTCAGGGAGATAACCTGTTGATAGAGACGAAGATTACCGTCCTTTCAGAAATGCCATCCGAACTCTTAGATCAAGTAGGTGTAGATCGGATGTAACAGTGCGTTTCGCAAGGGAGAAGGCTGTATCAGATTTTTCCAATATTTGGATTATCAGAAGCAGTTTATGGTTTCGTGACGTTAAAGGATGTTGGAGATGCTCAATTAAGCTCGTAAAACTCTGTCGATAATAAATTGAGACGAACGTTGTTGCAAATAACCGCAGTAGCATTGAGAAGCAATGAAGTCTGTTGCAAAAATGTCCAATTCTATCTACGAAGTAGACGTTTGAACAGGGGGGTGAATTTGTCCACCACAGTCCTTATTGAAAAATCGAGCGATTTGAAGGGACCTCGGGAATGAATATAAATTTCAGTATGGCTGAATTATCTGGCCGCTTTCCTTCAAATGATTAAATTTGAAAATTTAGATGTCGAGTGAATAGAACTGGTGAAAGAAATAGAGAATCAATCTTGAGAAAGTTGAGGTTTTCTATAATAGGAATGGCTGCAACCCCGTGTCTAAGTAACAGGGTATCGAGGTACCCCAGGCGCTTGAAAATGATATTTGATTGGACAAAATTATTGACAGAAGTGGCACTTATGCACGACTTGCATCAATCCATCTGGTACCTCGTTCCACAGAAGGCCTATACCTGGGCTTTTACCATAATAGTTTATATGGCTCCACCGTCCCATGATTCTATTTATGGCCAGTAGAGTCTCTTAACGGAGAACTTTTGCTGTATTGAAGATTTTCTCCCCTGTTTGAAGATAAGATGGATGGCAGGGTATAACCATTTTTGGATATTTTAGGAAGTATACGGATTGATAAGGAGAACAGACCATAGGATATGATTTCTATGGTGACATCGTAGTTCTTGGACCAACTGCAGAGTTTGCGCGCAGAGGCACAATGCTGTCTGTCGACCTCGTAATCATTTGTTTTTATGATAAGTAATCTTCGCATCATTCATTAAAATCACCATGAAACCTCGTTGTGATCGAGTACTGTTGTGCGAAGCTGTCATATCTAGTTAGTTGGAGCTAATAAACGTTGGGTTCCGAATTGGCAGGCGTTAAATCCATATTTGGAGGCTGGACCAGTATCTGACCATGGCGAAGCGTATTCTATGTTAGTCAGAAATACGACTCAATTCTTAAATCCAAGATTATGCTGGTGTTAAGTATGATTAGTACATACCGTCCGACCTTTCTGGAGGTCCCAAAATTGCCGAACCCGATTCTGTTAATGTTATGTTCACGTGACATTACAGTTTCACGCTGGAGGCACAGTCCACGCCCCAACTCCAGCGGCGCAAATGGATTGTGTGCCTCATGAGCAGTGCTTAACTGGCGCAAAAGCTCGGAAATTCCGGGTCGCGAATATAAAGGCTTCACCGATGGATGTACTAATTCGAGTGTGAATCCGTACAGATAACCGGAGCTTGTGAAATCATTTCACTACTTTAGAGGTTGGAGATGGCAGATCGTGTTGTTTCAGAACTGGTTTAGAATGAGGTTTTAGTCACGTCCATTTGAAGGCCGTCCGTAACAGTGCAATCCCTATGACATATTCAACCATAGCTTGAAGGGTTGATGTCTTGGTTCCTGGGCAATCGGTGCATATGGTGTGGATAGAAGATACGCAGACGGAGATTCTGTCTACCGATGCGAATTCGAGACCCGGGATGAATCAAAATCTTCTCTTTCCAATTCCGTACTGGCGAAAGTTCATAGACACATCATGTCTGCCGGAGCGTGGCGAAAACAACAGTAGCGCTTTCAACCAGTGATTGCTATGTATCTAGTGGTTGTAAGTTCGAACGACAGTGCCAAACACACATCATTGTCGCTAGGAGAGACCGAATATCATAAGACATGCACTTTCGCCATAAACATTAATGCATGCTCCAACCGTTATCCGAAGAATTCTATGCTTTACATCCACTCCGTGTGTCGACGAACTTATGACTCCATGAGTTTTGATCATACTTGGCCTGAGTGTCGAAACATCTCTGCACCTTTTCTCCAATCCTTGTTCTGGAGCATCATTATTTCAAGATAATGTTGTGCCTGTTGCGGTTGAGAGGATCATCTATCTTTATTCATCATTAATGCCAAAAATATGTCATGAGTGGGAGTAACGCTGGCATGATTGGAAAATGCGAGCTTTCGTCGTGTGGATTCCGTTCCTAAGAATTTGATCCGACTCTCGGAGAGGCAGAAACCCAATCTTCAAAAGCAAAGAACACTTGTATCTGCTTGACGAATGGGCCGCTAGATTGTATAGAGAGGTTGTCGGTTGGCTTTAATCAAAGAGCAAATGAGCAATCAGGCATAGCAATGCACAAGCTTTGATTCGACCAAATTAGCAAAAAAAGTTTTTGTGTGCATGTAACAATCCAAATACAAAGACAGTAGTAAGGACATGGAGTAGAAGACTTTTGTGATATCGTTAAAATAGACATTTGGCCTAAAGTATGGAAGTGTATTTTTCGTGGTCTATCAATCATTTTGAAGGATATATCAATATTCCAAACTGGTAGCAACACTTCTCCGTAGATAGGTTCTCAAAGGGTGGATCAGATCGATTTAGCCAATGTCATAACAAATGCCACGATCCTTGTGGACTCCAGATATGCTCCATCACAACACATGATGACATGTATAACTTGAGATTGGTGAAATAGTGAAGCTCCACGACACAAAATGCAAGTCTTTGTTCATGCCGTGAATTCGTAACCTTATGATAAGCCTTCAATGCGGCGAAAAGAAAAGAAAAGAAAGAATGCGTGGTCAAGAAGGCTGAGTCCACTAATTTAGAAACTTTAAAGCCTTGGAGTTTACCGTTGAGAATTAGCGCTTGTTGATTGGAACGGCGTTTCGTAGCGAAGCCGATCATCTATCTACCAGTGACGCTTTCTAAGGAATTATCGACTCTTGAACATACACCATCCGCCCAAAATTCGTGTTTTGAATCTGTGAATCTAGAATCTTTAATCACAGGTTCTTGCATGCCGTTTCTTTTACATTCATTGTGTTAATCTTCACTTCACTCCTTAAGAACTGCTATCATTGCGCCGAGCTTTTGCGCCAGTAAGGGGGGTTGACAACCAGGCATCGGGCCAACTTCAATATGGTATGGAACAACAAAGGTCTTCTTACTTCCCACAGAAGTTGCCATAACTAACAATCATTGTTGAATTAGGGTATCAGTCGTCGTCCGAAGGCTGATAAAAATGCCTCTGCCGCAGACAGTGCACCGGGGGGAAAGCCGAATATCCAGAAAGCCCAGTTCGATACAACCAAAAAGAAGGAAGTTGGTGTGTCGGATCTTACTTTAATCAGCAAGGTCTCGAATGAAGCAATCAATGAAAACCTTAAGAAGAGGTTCGATAATAGGGAAATTTATGTATGGTCTACATCCTTGCGCCAGGCGAACCCATCGACGGGAAGGTCTTCGAGAAGGTTACGTACTGACAGTTTTCGGTAGACATACATTGGCCATGTGCTTGTCTCTGTGAATCCTTTCCGAGATTGTAAGTACAAGGTGCATATTTCGAGCTACACACATCTCTAATAATTCACAGTGGGAATTTACACAGATGCGGTCTTGGAAAGTTACAAAGGCAAGAATCGACTGGAGGTCAGTTACAATAAGACCCAAACATTATATACCTGCATTTCTAACAGTTTTTTAAGATGCCACCTCATGTCTTCGCTGTTGCCGAATCTGCCTACTATAATATGAATGCATACAAAGATAATCAATGTGTTATCATCTCAGGAGAATCTGGAGCGGGAAAGACCGAGGCGGCGAAGCGAATCATGCAATATATAGCCAATGTTTCTGGAGGCAGCAACTCATCGATTCAAGAAACCAAAGAGATGGTTTTGGCGACAAATCCTTTGCTAGAGTCTTTCGGTAATGCGAAAACACTACGGAACAATAACTCCTCTCGTTTCGGCAAATACCTCCAACTGCAATTCAATGCGCAAGGAGAGCCGGTGGGCGCGGATATAACAAATTATCTTCTGGAGAAGACGAGAGTAGTCACTCAAATCAAGGACGAGCGAAATTTCCATATTTTCTACCAATTTACGAAAGGGGCCTCACAAGCATACAGGGAAAGTTATGGAATCCAACAGCCGTCGCAGTATCTGTACACGAGTAAAGCCGGGTGCTTCGACGTTGATGGGATCGATGATCTCGCCGAATATCAGGATACTTTGCAGGCCATGAAGGTTATTGGTTTGTCGCAAGCTGAACAAGACGAGATATTCCGCATGCTGGCTGCTATCCTGTGGACAGGAAATATTCAATTCCGCGAAGGTGATGATGGATATGCTACAGTCGTTGATCAATCAGTGGTTGACTTCTTAGCCTACCTTCTGGATGTTGATGCAGCCCATGTTATTCAAGCCATCACTATTAGAATTCTTACTCCTCGAAATGGGGAAGTCATCGAGTCACCTGCGAATGTCCCTCAAGCAATGGCCACAAGGGACGCTCTAGCTAAGGCAATATACAACAACCTCTTTGATTGGATTGTTGAGCGTGTCAACAAATCTCTCACTGCGCGGGCAGAAACATCGAACTCGATAGGTATTCTCGATATCTATGGTTTCGAGATCTTTGAGCAGAATAGTTTCGAGCAATTGTGCATCAACTACGTCAATGAGAAGTTGCAACAAATCTTCATTCAGTTGACTCTAAAAACCGAACAGGAAGAATATGCCCGGGAGCAGATTAAATGGACGCCGATCAAATACTTTGACAACAAAATTGTTTGTGATTTGATCGAAGCTATTCGACCTCCAGGTGTATTCTCCGCTATGAAAGATGCAACTAAGACAGCTCATGCTGATCCAGCTGCATGTGATCGCACCTTTATGCAAGCAATTAGTGGAATGTCAAATCCTCATCTTACCCCTCGCCAAGGCAACTTTATCATCAAGCATTATGCAGGTGATGTGAGCTACACTGTTGAAGGAATTACAGACAAGAACAAGGATCAACTCCTCAAGGGCTTGCTTAACTTATTTGGGCAAAGTAGAAACCATTTTATTCACGAGTTGTTCCCTCATCAAGTCGATCAGGATAATAGAAAACAGCCTCCATCTGCCGGTGATAAAATCAAGGCCTCCGCGAATGACCTAGTGACAACATTGATGAAGGCAACCCCATCATACATCCGAACAATTAAGCCTAACGAGAATAAATCACCTACTGAGTACAATGAGAAGAACGTCCTGCATCAAGTTAAGTATCTTGGTCTTCAAGAGAACGTTCGTATTCGTCGTGCCGGATTTGCATACCGTCAAACTTTTGACAAGTTTGTTGAACGATTTTACTTACTCTCCCCGAAAACTTCTTATGCTGGCGACTACATATGGACAGGAGATTCCAAGACTGGAGCCATGCAAATATTGAAAGATACGAATATACCCGTCGAAGAATACCAAATGGGTGTGACCAAGGCATTTATCAAAGCCCCTGAAACCTTGTTCGCCCTAGAACATATGCGAGATCGTTACTGGCATAACATGGCCGCTCGTATTCAGCGTGTGTGGAGGGCATTCTTACAAATTCGAATCGAAGCTGCAACTCGAATTCAGAGGATGTTCAGAAAGAAGAGAGAAGGCAAGGAGTTCTTGGAGTTGAGAGAAAAAGGACACCAAATTTTACAAGGACGTAAAGAGAGAAGAAGATACAGTCTCCTGGGATCGAGACGTTTCATGGGTGATTACCTTGGAATCGCAGCAACGACAGGCCCTGGATCAAAAATTCGTGGGTCAATTAATTTGCCAGCCAGCGAAGTCACCCTTTTCTCCTGCCGTGGCGAGATTCTTGAGACGAAATTCGGCCGATCAAGTAAGCTGAGCCCCCGTATCTTCATAATGACGCGGACAAAGTTCTACATCGTCAGTCAGCTGCTTGTCAATAAGCAGGTTCAAATTGCCGTGGAGAAAGCAATTCCTCTTGGAGCCATCAAATTTGTGAGCATATCGACATGCCGCGATGATTGGTTTTCCTTGGGCGTGGGCTCACCACAGGAAGCTGATCCACTCCTGACTTGCGTATTTAAAACCGAACTATTTACGCATATGCAAGCAGCAATGCCTGGGGGCGGGTTCAACCTGAAAATAGGAGATTCAATTGAGTATGCCAAGAAACCTAATAAGATGCAGTTAATCAAGGTGGTGAAAGACTCTCAACAGGCGCAAGATCACTACAAGAGTGCTACTATCCACACCCAAGCAGGCGAGCCACCAAATTCTCGATCAAAGCCACTGCCGAAAGGCAAGCCTGTCGCGGCAAAACCATTCACTTCAGGTCGTCTCATCAAGCCTGGAGGACCAGGAGGACGACCATCAAGATTGACGAACGGAAATCGACCAACTCCCAAGCCAGTTCCTACACCTGCACCTGCCGCAGCAAGACCTGTGCCTGCCGTCAATCCTGTCGCGGCCTCTATTCCGGTGCACACAAGAAATACTTCAGTACAATCGACACAATCTACTAGAGCTGTACCGCCTCCTCCACCACCGGCTCCACCAGCTCCTCCTCCAGCTCCTGTATCGAAGGAACCTCAGTACCGCGTTCTCTACGAGTTCGCTGGACAGAGTGCTAATGAATTTTCCTTGAAGCAGGGTGAGATAGTGACTGTCCTCCAAAAGGAAACAAATGGTAAGCTTACTTTAAGGATTGCATAAGTACGATCATACTAACCATGAACAGGCTGGTGGCTCACTAAGAACGTCCGTGGCCAAGGTTGGGCACCCACTGCTTACCTCGAAGAAGTGACACCACCACCACCTCCTCCTGTAGCCACACGTCCAGCACCACCACCGGCTCCTGGACCTCCGAAGATGAATGGTACAAACGGTGCTGCCATTCGCTCTAAACCTACTCCTCCTGCACCGCCGGCCAAACGCCCAGCAGCAGGTAGAAAACCAGCTCCTCCGCCTGCGCCTCGCGATTCTGGAATGAGTATATCTAGTAATGGAAGTGGTAATAACAGTGGCCGAAGCACTCCAACTCCAAGCTTAGCCGGTGGTCTAGCGGAAGCTTTACGAGCGAGACAAAGCGCGATGCAAGGGAATGCTAAGAGAGAAGATGAAGACGATTGGTAGACAAGGTATTGAAATCGTAATGTGAAAATTTCTCAAACAGCCGAGTCGAGAGATAAGAAAAGAGAGAAGAGAGATTTGAAGCAGGTTGCTATAATGCAAATACGATGAAGCTATGAAGCAATAGATAGATGACGAGTGTAGCGACACCATTGTTCATGTTTTTAGGGGGTTTTCTACAGACAATCTGACGGTTTAGGATTGATGGCACTTTTCTGCAATACAAATCCTTGTCCTGAGATATGAAATAGCATGGTTTACAGAAGATGTTGATGCGTTGCATTGCATGGAGCGGAGAGCGACAGAGAATGCGAATTTTAGAGTTTTGAGTTTGAGTTTGAGTTTGGCTGCAGATAAATGGGATGCAATAGTGCAATAGTGCAGTGGATTTGGATGGGTCTCAAATAGATAGATAGATAGATAAATAGGGAGAGGGAAAGGGAAAGGGAAATACTTTATTTGTATACAAAGAGTTTATTTTTTGATTATATCTTATTTTGATTTAATGTGATTTTGGTTTTGAAATGTTGGTACAGAAGTGGAGGTAGAAGTAGAAGTAGAAGTACATTTATCCCTTTCCATGGGGGTTTTTTCCTTTCCATGGGGGTGGGGTGGAAGGAGATTTCAAGTGGTTGTGGTTGAATGGACAGAGTATAGTGAGTGAGTGGTAGACGGAGGGAGTAGGAAATGACAGCCATGTTTCTTTCTATCAAAGAACCGCTTATAGAGAGGCCATAAGATATATAAGATGCTATTTGCAAGATATTGATGGATCACTAGCTACCGAGGTACTCACTAATTTCATCTCATATTATCTCATCTCATTTCATTTCATCTGGTCTTGTACCATTGTTCAAAGTTCAAACCCACCTTTCCCACCCCTAAAGAGATTAAGGAAAACCCATAACCCTGATATGCACGCATGTATTCCTCAAAATGCCCCAAAAATATCAGAAGGAACCGTGAGCCCTAAAGAGACTATAAGAAATGATTCCATTGTGATCATGATCTCCATTTCCAAATACAGAAAAAACTAATTACGATCTAATCTTCGTCTCAAATTCCTCGTCCGGCGCATGAGCTTCTTGTACTTGTGTTTCTTCATCTTTAATTTCCGCTGTCTCTTCACACTAATAGCCCACATAGTTGCTCGCTCTCTGCGACGGATTCTCGAGCGCTCGAGATAACTTCTAGGTGGGTCTTCTGATACTATTGGGCCGCTTTCCGCTGTGTATGTAACCTCGCCGTTTGCGTCAGTGGATTCGTTGATCGTAAGGAGGGTATGGTATGTGCGTTGTTGGGGGAGATGCGCTTCCTCGTGTTCGGCAGCGGCTTCTGCGCCGGCAGCAAGCGATTCCTCTGTGCTCATAGGGACAGGTGCAGGTGGAGGGGAGAATGGTGTGTATTTGCGGGCGAACATTGAGCGGGGTACTTCGCTGGCATTGTCGAGGTGTTGGACTCTGTAGGAATCAGCGGTGATCCCGGCGCGGAGCTCATCCGTTTCTTCGTTCCATTGATCTTGAATATTAAGTTGTTTGAGTGACCCTGTGGCAGTGTCGAGAGATTGAAGTGTATTCGATAGTGTAGCTATGACTTCTTGCGGTTTCTTTGATCGTGTTCTTGGTGCGAAGATAGCGGCGAATGCTTCGTCTGTTACGGCTTTAGGGAAGTTCATGGTGAGCGATATGGGCCTATGAAGGGAGAAGAACGCGGACGCGGCGATTTCTGCAACATGTAAGTTAGAACCTTTTCTGCGAATGTCTGAAGTCTGCCGACTCACGGTTTGGCGCAATATGACTGGTACTAGGCACGCTAGGTAAATTGTGCACGGTATCGTCTTTCTTTGCAGAACTGGTTGAAGCATCCTTTGCCTTTTTTCTCCCCGCTTTAGAAGCCTTCTTCTCACTATCAGGTCTGGCTTGTGATGGAGATGCAGGAACAGCTTGCCCTTCCGCTACTCTCTTTGATCCATCTGCTGGGCTTGAGGGTTTCGACGAAGAAGAGGAGGATAATCGACGCTGATGGCAACGGATCGAAAGGGCTTGGTAGGTGGCAGCTCGTGGTGCGACATTGTGAATAGGAAGTATTATCGGTACTGGTGGTGCTGTCAGAGCAGCTCTTCGAACGGACGAGGAAAACATCCTTTCAGAATAGGTGTCTAGGGGGAGTTTCGTCGATCTCCAGAAGATATTTGACTCTGAAGCCCTTATCTTAGTTTCCTTGTTCCATGGAACCAGACCGCTAAGAATTAGACGCCCGCGCCAAGTTAGTGTTCACGTGATCGGACTTTGCCACAGAGCTGATTCGTCGTCTTCGTAAAACAATTTGCCGTGTGATTGCAATTTCCGCACTTGTTGTAGGAGGTTTTGAAATGAGTTTATTCAGATATAGAGATAACACTTAATTAGGTATAATCACACTTCATAATCGTCCAAAAAGCAACCGATCCCGGGCTCGCAATCTCCAATAGGAGTTACTCAATTTACGTTTGCGGTATGGATGGACTCAGAGCAAGGAGTTATAATCTTACAACCTGCTAGCAGTTTCCGCCCCGTGATGCATCCAGAACTGATAACGCTTCTTACCGCCAGCGTGATCAAGACAGTTAGTACATTCGTCCCATGTACACTGTTGATCGGGCTCTATAGATCTTTACAAGGTCACCTTATTTATCTTGTATCTATTAAATCAACAAGGCGGAATCATTTGATTGGTCGTCGCTAAACTTGTAGATGAAGGCTGAGTTTGAGAGCTTGAGACTTTTAACCTTATGACCGTTTAGTGATTCCTATCTAACTTGAATAGTCAGATACTCAGCTGGCTGTTTTGATCCAAGTCACTGAACTTTGGTCAGGAGTATCAAAATCCTTTCATGTGAGAGAACGGAAAGTTGTTGTGTATTTGTATTCGAGGAATTATGGTGATGGTGATTGTTGCCGAATATCAGAGTGACTTTATTCCCTTGATAATGATTTACACATGAACCCAGAAACATTCAAAGATTCTCTCCATAACAGCCACAAGCCATAAGTAAAAAATCAACGTTGTCAATTCGCTTTAGCTACTAGGTATTTCGTTGCTTCATAAAAACTGTAAGATCATAAATCATCCTCCCACCTAGCACCGGATATTTTCCCCATCCATCCATTCATCCATGCATCGATACACAGCCAGGAATCCTTTACATGAATTTACTAGCCAATCCCATCAATCCACTCATACCGCCCGAGCTTCCACTCGAGCTTCCACCTCCCTGACTCTTCATGTACATCTTGAGAGCCATTTCACCTGCTTGTTGAACAACACTTTCCTTGGAAGAACCGGAGGAAACATTTCCTTGGCTGCTTTGCTGATCGAATAATTTACTGGCTTGTGCCATTGCCATCCCAACAAATGCATTTTGAGAGTTTCCAGACGAGGAATTTCCGGATGAGCCACCGCTAAACATCTTGAGTGCTTGCATTGCTGCGGCACTACCCATGCTGGATGAAGATGCGGAGCCACCAGAAGAACTACCACCACCCCCATAGAATTGTTTGTGGGAGTTTACGGCTTCTGATTTGATGTTAGCGTGTTCTCTGGGTGATATCAGATTATAATAATTGTCGTACCTTGCTCGTCAACATCCTGGGAACTGATGTTGCTCTTGTTCTTGCCCAAATAACCCAAGACGCTAGAAAAGATGCTCGAATCGCCAGAGTCACCAGAGTGTTGTGCAGCATGATGAGCTGCACCATTCAAATCCTCATCATCTGCACCATATCCTCCACCACCACCGTATGAGTTATGTCCACTTCCTCCATATCTCTCATCGCGACCACCGTGGCGAAATTCCTCTTGTCCTCCTTGTCCTCCTTGTCCGCCACCTGAGTAATAGCTTTGAGCTTCACCACCTCCTTGACGACGATCTTCGTTGAAGTTTCCACCGCCAAATGCTGCGCCAGGTCCACTAGCACCACCGTGGTGACCTTCTCTTCTCTCTATAGATATGTGTGAGCTTGAGCTTGTTGTAGGAAGGAGTAGATTGATATTGTAAATTACCTTCACCACCATATCCGCCGCCCTGTTGACCACCATATCCGCCACTTTGTTGACCACCATATCCACCACTTTGTTGACCATCATATCCACCACCATGTCTTCCCTCTCCACTATATCCTCCGCCTTGCTGACCACCATATCCACCGCCTTGTCTTCCCTCACCACCATATCCTCCACCTTGCTGGCCACCGTAACCCTCGTTTCCGTATCCTGACATGATTGCTGTTGTTTTGTTTTATTTAATTTGGGTTGATTTGAGTTGAATTGATGCTATGCTATGCTGTAGTGAATGCTGTCAGTCAAGAACAGAGAAACGGGCTATGTATATATTTTGTTGAGGTGGCTTGTGCGGGGTACAGCTAAAAGCTCTTACCAAGCCAAGTAACAACATGATATTGTTTTTTTTTCTAGGAACAACTTACTAGGTTATGAAAGTTTGCAGTATAGATGAGTTCTCATAAAGTTGTTGTTTGAGTTGTTTAGATACAAGAATAGAAAATAAATGTTCAAGGTCAAACAGGAATAGAAACTTGATATATTCTTAAGACGGGACAACTGAGCTGGATTCCAAGGAGGGGAATCATGCAGATGATGACGTTTTCGTGGTGGGGTAGCTGAAACCCCTATTTGTGTGGGGCGAATGTGCTCGGTTGATTGGTTGATTGTTGTTTGCTGTGTAATATTTTCAGCTTCTCTGTTTAGAGTAGAATAATAAATATCTAAAATATGACATCTCTCTATTAGATATCATTATGGTGTGGATTGAGTTTGAATTCTAAAGAAGAGTATTCGGACGGAAAGCGATGGCTTGGAAGTTCTTGAGGGTTAATTGATATTCTTTGATCTAAATGATATCGATGTCATTTTCTATATGCATGCTTGATGCAACATCGACGCAAGACTAACATCCATTAGGTAGTTAGAAATGACAAAACAACTTCAAGTGCCCTTTCAGCGAGATGACAAGTAATGGCATCTACACAAAAATTACAAAAAATACTAACCATTCATTCTAGATGCCTACTTACCACTTCAGCCATCTTACACTCTCTAGCGCGGTTGAGAAGATGCAGTCCTGCCATCTATTAACCTCCTTATTTTTATTAATCGATACGGGCGTTTAATCCGTGTAGAATCACATAAAATCAATCCCGAAGAACAAGTAGCATATACAGGTGGAGTGCAAAGTGTCAAAGAAGTGAACATACCAGTCCTGCTAGAAAAGTAACGAATACTCCGATAACCATTTTGAAGCACATCCCGCCACTACTAACAATTTTTACCTTTACCCGCAGCCATTTTCCCGCTCTCGAGAGGATTGCCAACAGCTGGAAGATGGATATCTACAGACTACTAAATATAATTCTTTTTCAGTAGAAAAGGAGTTGGAAAATGCACTGTGTAAACCAAACTGCATCTACCCGAAGCTACCGAGAATTCTCACATTCAAGCTTGATATGACTTTACTCCCGAATGACTCTCAAATTTGCGTTGTAGAGATATGTTTGGTAACTCTATAGAGTATTTGTTAACTAATCCCAATAGTCTGCAAAGGAATCTTGCAAATTGATGAACATGAGTATCTTAACATTTTAGGGTGATTGAGATTAATATTAATAGTATTATTTATTACCGGTAATGAGGTAGACACTCCTACACCGGGTGCATCTAACCTTCCATACTTCCAACAAAGTCAGTAACCATGAGTTCCACAACTCCACTGATGTCATACAGAAGCGGAAAAAAAGAAAACCCCATTCATACCACATGCCGTCATCAAATCATAAGACACCACCCACTGCCCAGCCCTCAATTCTTCTCCGCGGACTCCACACCACCCCTCTTTCCCTCCTCCTGCAACCCCTGCAACGACTTATGTTCCACCTCCAACGAGTACCCCTTCACAAAAAGACTCGACACCAAAGCCGCTCCACACAACGCACACATAACCAACCAAACCATTTTCAACGAATCAGCATACGCCTCCTTCAACTGACTTTTTTCCAATCCCTCCTCCATATCTTTGATCAATTTCACCAACGCCGTAGCATCTTTACTATATTCCGTAGCCATATCCTTCAATAACGGATAAGAGAGAAGATTTTCCCTAATCCGATTTTGGAACACTACGCCCCCGATAGCAACACCAATAGCTTGACCAAATACACGATCAAAAGCATAGAAAGCAGCTGCGTGAGCGGCATCTTGAGGCCGGGAAGCCGCTTGGTTTCCTAGTGCCATGGCGGGGAATAACATACCTGTACCGATTGAGATGGGAACGTTGAGGAATATCCATTGGACGATTGAAGTAGAGGGTTTGAGGAGATAGAGAAGACCTGCTCCGAAGGTTGCGAGGGTCCAGCCTGTCCAGAGGGCCCAGCGATATCGACCAGTTTTGGCTACTAGCACGCCGACTATTACTGACATTGGCTAGTGGATGTTAGTTGAGTCCTGATCATGTGAAGTATAATAATGATATGAGGAACTTACAGCAACGAAACTAGTCTCGGGTAAAACTGCTACACCCGAAATGATCGGTGTGTACCCCTGAACAGCTTCATAGTATAAAGGAAGATAGTACAATAAAGACCAAAGAACCATTCCATGAACCATAGTTTCGAAATATATAAATATCGTCGACCATGTACTGAAAATGCTGAAGCGAATAATAGGTTCTACATTATCAGATGATAAGAGATCACCTTCAGAATCAAATGCTCGATCCGAGAGACGTTTTTCGTAGAATGAGAATCCGACGAGTCCTGCGACTCCTGTGAAGAGAGGAAAAAGCACTCGCCATGAATCCCATGCGTACATAACACCACCTACTTTTGGGTTAGCAATATGCGATACGGAACTCAGGGAAATTCATACCCCATGTAATAGGAATTAAAAAAGAAATTGTCGAAGAGATAAAGATGACAGAGCCAAACCAATCAAACCTCTTAACTTTTGCTAATAGGTTTCCGGGCGTACGTCTAATTTTGAGGAAAAGAATGATAGCTATTGCGCCTGATACGATGATAGGGAGATTAATCCAGAAAATCCATCTCCAAGAGACATCTTCCGCAAAAGCTGTAGTTCATTAGACTAACTGCACTCTCGAAAGTATGAGTAGAAACTTACCACCACCCATCAATGGACCTCCCACACTCCCAAAAGCCCAAATACTACCTATGTATATAATTAGTTGATGTACTTCATTGCCTATAAGACGAAAACATACCCATATAACCAAAATAAGCACCCCTCACAGTAAGCGGCACCAAATCCGTAACCAGAATCTCGCCCAAAGATAGAATTCCTCCCCCTCCAATTCCCTGAACACTCCTACCTACAAGCCTATCACCGCATCAGCAAGTACACACCCAAGATACCAAATATCTACAAACATCAAGGTAAAACTATCCGCAACAGCCGCCAAAATCGATCCAATACCGAAAAACAGTGCCGAGCCGAGAAGTAATTCTTTTCTCCCGAAAACATGACTTAAACCCGCAATAACAGGTTGAGAAACTGCACTTGTGAGAAGGAAACTCGTTCCAGACCAAAAGGCTTCGATGGCTGTTCCTCCAAGCTTGGAAGTTATGATAGGAAGAGCGATACTAAGGGATGTAGCGTCGAGGGCAGCGGCAAGTGTAATGAGACATATGGAGGAAAAAGCGAGGATGAAAGCGGTTGTGGGTTTGAATTCGATTTTGGGCTCTGGTGTTTCGGTATCTGTGGATGGTTTTTCGTGAATACTGATGGGAATTTTCGAATTATCTATATTTGAAGGATTTTGATGTGTGGTTGTGGAAGTTTCCATTGATTCGACCATGGTAAGAAGTTATAGAATGTGTGATATAGAGTCTGATATGAGATATGAAAGGTTTGATAGATAGGAAAGAATTGCCGCTTGATCAGAAGATAGAATTGACTTTATCCATAGAGATTGGAAGTAAATAAAAGCATACAAACTTGGGCATCCTATTCTTATATACCATAATAGAAGCTCCAGCCAAGCCATTCATGAAAAAGAAGATATATTCCAGCTAGATCCCTAGCCATCATCAAAATATTCGTATGAAGATTCATCATCGCAGGAGGCAGAACCAAAAACTACGAGCCTACCAACCAAATCTCACCACACCAGACCCACTCCAGGGTTCCATGGAGTTTGATCCTCCAACCCAACGATCTTAAAGCCTTTTTCAGCAGCCACAACCCGGCAAATAAATATATAAAACAATAAGTATAACGAGTACAACGGGTTCATTATTGTTTTCAGCCCCGAAAAAATAAGAAATTAAAGCTTATATAAACAAAAGATAACAATAAAATCCCACATCCATCAAAACATCGATAGACTTTTGAAAACAAAAGAAATCTATCGTATGGAAAGTGGCTGAATATTCAACAGAAAACGACGGATTTGGTGGCCGGAAGAGCCGCAAGAGCCATCTCCATCAACGACCGATGCACTCGCACCTTGTCAAAGACTCTTCCAGACGTAAACCTACGCTGTATACCATTTCTTCCACTCTCTGATGATTAAATCTATATCTCCACCAGACTTCCCCTTCTAACCCTTCAGTTGTACGCGAGATGGAGAATCCGATGAGACGAACGGAGGAACATTGCTCCGTTTCGCTCGTTCGTGAAAACATCCTTGCTGCACGTGATTATCTGCAAGTAAGCTTAGCCAGCTATTAAGTCCGGTCGTATTTCCCGGGAAGCCCATTCGGATGATTCGGATCTGATCTGATCTAATACATACCCGAGCCGAGCAAGGTTGATTAATCACCCATCTCCCTCCCCTATCCTCTCAACACCTACCTAGTAGGCTATCAATCAACCATCTAAGTATTAATGTAAAGACCAACCGCAACATGACGCAACCGCGTCTTCCTCTATCACGATGTCGAATCAAATCAATTTCCGATCTCGCACAACCATTCTGTTATTTCCACATGTCATTTTTGACATATGGATCTCAGATATTGTTTCATTACTTGGAGCCTGGCCCCTTGGGTAGGAAGGAGATGGTGGTTTTTAATATGTGTGCGGGGGCGATGATGTGGTGTTATTTTCGGACTTGTCATGTTGATCCCGGGGAGAAGGGTTGGGTTGATCGGGTGATGATTGATGGGGTTGAGAAGGAGAATCTTGGGAAGGTCGTTCGGGAGGGCCAAGGTGAAGAGATTGAGGAAAAGAATGTGAGGTGGTGTAAGAAGTGTGATGCAGTGAAGCCGCCTAGGGCTCATCATTGTAAAAGATGTAAACGGTTTGTTTCTCGCCTGTAAAACTTTCTTAATGCGGAATTATACTAACTCCTCAAAGTTGCATCCCGAAAATGGATCATCATTGCCCATGGACTAACAATTGCGTCTCTCACACTACATTCCCTCACTTTGTCCGCTTCCTCTTCTATTCCGTCGTCTCCATCATAGTCCTCAGCACCTTCCTCTTCACGCGTCTCTCCTACGTCATCTCCGAAAGCACTCTCCCATCCTACCTGGGACCCTCTACTACATCCCTCACTATGCTCTTCATAATCTTCTGTTCCAACGGACTCTCCCTCTTCGCCATGTCCCTCCTCCTTATGCGCACCATCTACTCCCTCGCTACAAACACATACATGATCGAAGCCTGGGAGATCGAACGCCACGATGCGATTATCGAACGCTCAAAGACGCGCAATATGCGGGGTTATGTATATGCGAACGGGGGACGGAAAGTGCGAGTCGAGAAGGTAGAATTTCCATTCGATATAGGGATTTGGGAGAACATTGTACAAGCGATGGGAACGGCGAATATCTTGATGTGGTTTAATCCCTTTGCGGGAGGACCAAGTGTACAGAGTGCGGGAAAATGGGAAGAAAATGGTTTCAATGATAAAGAAGGCATGTGGCCACCTCCAGATCCGGATAAGTTGGGAAGGAGAGCAGGATGTCATGGAGTGGAAACATATCCGCTGGAGGAGAAAGTATACGGGAGTGTAGAAGAAGAAAGAGATGCTTTTAGAAAGAGACAAGAAGCCGATTTGAAACGATGGAAGAAAGATCATCTAAATACCGCGAGTAACGGTGGAGATGGATTCTATGAAGAAGACGACGATGAGGATGAGGATGAGGATGAGGATGAGAAATACGTGAGTGAGTACGAAGAGGGACTTGATGGAAAAGAAGGATGGACAAATTCCGAGGGTGATAGATTGAGGGATTACGGGGTAGATGAAGAAGTAGATATTATGGATGAGGATGATATACCATTAGGAGAATTATTACGACGACGTAAAGCAAGGAATTTTGAATCGGCTTAGATGGAATAAATAGATATAATGAAATAGAATAGGATAGAATAGAAATGATAGAACCATAGATAGGTTAAATACCGTTCTTCCAAGTGGATTATGAGATCCCCATGCTCGACATTCGTTCCGCGTCAGAATATCCAACTCAAGTTTAAGCATCCAAAGAAAGTCAACCATCAAAGTGATTACGCATCAATCGTTCAATCACTCAACCATCCATCCATAAGTCAAGATTGATATAAATATCAAAAATAAAACTAGTCATTCATTCAACTAACTAATTAACCACAAACCAACCCAAGTCAACTCAACGATTGATTATTCCCCCAGCATTGCTGCTCCAGCCTCAGGTATTCTACCTATTCTATTTGAGGGTATATCCATCCATCCATCCATCATGCATGATCCAATCCCCATTTTCTCATACTAGTAATACATCGTCAAGGATCATAACATCATTCCAATTTTGATTCCAATTTCCGTGGCTTTTGAAACGCCGGAGCAGAAGAAAGAAAAGAAAAATAAAAGAAATGAAACGAATAATAAGAATGGGAGTGATAGTGATAACCCCCTTACTCATGCTGAAAATATGCAATGAAAAATCGAGTCTTCTCCATACCCGAATACGCATGAGCATCGCGTGGAAAATAATCCAAGGATATTGACTCATCCCTCGATCTGCCTTTTCGAAAAAAATTAAATAGCAAAACACGTAGCAAAAACCATGGCGATCATAACCCACCAACCCATACCCTCAGCAACTGTTCTTCCAGCAGCAGAATCCGATCCACCACTCGCAGTCGTCCCATTGGGTAATGTCCCATTAATAAGAATCGTTGTCGTTCCATTAACATCCGCGACATTAACTAATGTTTTGTTCAACGCTGCATAACTTCCATTTCCGATCAATTCATCCAGGAACGAAGCATCTCCATTATCATCACATCCACATTCTGAATATGCAGCGCAGAGGCAAGTGACAGGTCGTGTTTCGGTAACTCCTGTTGTGTCGGAATTTTGACGAGTGTCTAGTGATGTGGATGCAGTATTTGTGGAATTGCGAATGGCAGATTGGTTGCGGAATGTATATGGATTGTGGAATGGATAGCTGTAGGCGCCAAAGAGCCAGAGACCGGGAAAGATGGATAGAACGCCCAGGCCGAGGAAGAGAGGAGCTATTCCTAATGGTGACGGACGTCCGGCTGAATACGGCGTTGCTGCTCCACCGCCATACTAATGTGTTTGTTTGGTTAGTCTTTGATGTGTACAATGTTTTGGGGATGGGCACATACATATCTTCCACCGCCATAAGCAGGTCGTGGTCCGGATCCGCCTTTTGTGACGCCACCTGCGGAAGAAGAAGAGGAAGTTACTCCTCCTCCTGATCCTCCTCTGCCGGAAGATGAGGAACTGCTTTGTCGAGAGTTAGAGCTTGATTCTTTTGAGATTGATGCATTCGCTGCCATGAGAGATTCTGTCCTCTTAACATGTGAAACGCCACCAAATCCCCCAGAAAATTCCTGCACTCCATCTTTCTCCTCTTTATCTCGTCCCATCTCCAAAAATGAAAAAATCTCCATAAACGTACCTCGAAGAACTTCCTCCGCCACCTCCCTTCCCACTACTCGAACTACCACTGCCACCACCTCTTCCGCCTCCACCTCCACCTCCTTTCCGTTTAAACAAATCGCCATCTTCTTTTTCTCTCGAATACCAGGTGAAATCTTCTGTTTCCGTATACGCATGCTCATTCGCATTTGCGTCGCGCACGAAAAGTTCGTTTGAGGGTATATATTGTGGGTGCGAAAATGAAGGGGTCGAGGAGAGAAGTAGCAATGCTACTGTCCAGATATGCGACCTCATGATGAGGATAGTGTTTTTTATTTGCGGAGGTCTGATAGAAGGAGGGTTTGGATGTGTTATATCTATCGTATGGTAATGCGAATGCGCGAAGAGATAACCTTATAGTTTCGCAGAAGGAATATAATGTAATGTAAAAGTAACTATGAATATGAATGTGCCTGTCAAACACCAATTCAAATATAAAATCGTGAAGAACGATAAGTTAGATAAGTAGGAATCCAAATACAACTTTCCAAAAAGTTTCAAAATCTGTCTGCGCTTTGTCTCACCACCGGCAGTTTAGGTAGATCGTCCTTGCTAATTCAGTGAATAATATAATATGAGATGAAGTGAAGTTTACCAAAACACAAAAACCTCCTCAGGGAAATCCGGGGAGGGAGGCAAAGAATATATACAAACCCAGGAACGGTGTAGTAGTACAGTAGTGTAATAGATGTTTAACTCTCCAACCTCTTGCCGTCATTGCATGTCAGTCATGTCGTAGCACAGCCGCCAAGATTCGCCTTCATGGATCGCCTCACCGTAGTATTTGGTCCGATTGCCAGAGCGCAGAGACTTACTCCGGGAATTCCTTTCATTAGGTAGGTATCTAGGTACCTAGGTAGGTAAAATGAATTCAAATAGTTTATTAGAGACTTTACCCGTGTGACCCATTGATGTGATTTCTCGTTTGTCTCTGGTGAAAGAATCAGATCAATGCTAATTAGCACTGCCACCGCCTTTGCAAATATTTCTTTACCGCTTGTATATGTATTTGTGTTTGAATTGGTATTTACAATTAAACATTCGATTTATATATTGCCATCATATTATATTATATCAAATGAAATGAACTGCACTAAAAAAAAGAAGAAATATACGAGACTGCAGCTCAACTACAATTCCAAATCTACTCGATTAAATCATCATACATACAGAGACATCACAATACATACTACCCCCCAGCCCAACCCATAAATCACCCCACAAACACAAATCCCTGTGATCAGATTAGATAAGGTTAGGCAGAAGAAAAGTGGATCATCATGATGACTAAGCTATCCGCTGTATTGAGTCACACCCCTAAGAGGATGAAAATCCATTTAATTATTAATTATTAATTAAAAAACAGACTAAAATATAGAGCCCTTTGTTAATAATTTTAATAGTATTTTATTTTGTTTACAACATAAGATAGTTTGAACCAAGGTTTCCCCAAAGCTATAAGCCCTAGAGTAGATTCTAAAGGGATTCATGATTTGAAGAATGAATTGAAAGACTAAAAGAAGTTCGGAATAGCTTTATTATTGAGCTTGTTTGGTTGCTTCACCAAGTGTTAGATGCAACTATAATGATATAATGGGTCTTATATAAACAGTTCCCCCTCTACGATAATGATAAATCAACCCTCTCCAACCCTACAATATATATGAACCCCATCACCACCTAATTTCCCTAGTCATCATTCCTCAACACGCAGCAATATCACACTTATATGCCACCGTAACCTGACAAGCTAGTGAAATAATATCCCCCGATTGTCCCAAACAACTTTTTCCATTCGCAAAATCCGGAGGACCAACGCTCGAGCATGTCCCCGTCTTCCCACCTCCGCTAATAGCAAAACCTACACCTGTAGTAGCAACCGTATACTTGGAACCGCAAACAGTAAAAGTATCGCCCTGGGTAATACCACCTTCATTACTGAGAAACGAACTTTGACTCGCGCAGTATGTGAGTGCGGATGCGGCGGCAGCCCCTAGTTTGGTGATTTGCTGCTTTCCCTCACACTCCCATTCGTAAACCTTGAAAGTGTTGGTTGCTGCGGAAGTTGAGGCAGTGGTGGTGCTAGTTGTCGTTGATGTGCTGGTTGTTGAGGTTGCACAGGTGTCGGTGCCGTCCTGACCATTTGCGTCGGCGGGACAGGTGAGATCGACTTCTGACCATTCAACACCGTTGTAGATTGTTTCGATGGCACTTTTATCTCTCGACCATGCCAACTTTACAATGTAAGCTTTCAGCTGCAGTGAATTTTGTTAGTTGATACCTGACGTGCATGAAGCAATACGATGGAATGAGTCGCATTGTAGCAGCTGGAGTTGATCCCTTCCTGAGAAGACATGAGAGTTACAGGAATACGAAAGAAGAAAAGCTACTTACTGCTGCTACTTTTAACGCTGGCTTTGACTCAGCTTCGAATTTCTCCCTTAGAGAAGATAGACCTAAAAAGTAGGCCGCAAGCCCTGATACCAAGGGAGCCGCTGGATGTCATTAGCTTGAATTGCTAAAACTTCACCTTCGTAGAAATATTTTGAACTTACAGAAAGATGTGCCGTACTGATACTGAGTACCACCTAGTCCGTTTGGGCAAAAAGTTGCACCGAATACATGTACGCTTACAAAGGTGTCTATATTAGAATATTCCGTCTGAAATCCATTGTTAGCGCTAGTGTCTAAAAGCCTGATATAAGAACCAAATGTGCATATTACTTTGGACCCGTCTAGATCTACCGCCCCTACAACAAGCATCTCGGGTATATCGCTAGCAGCGAACATGACGGGATATTTCCTGACCGAGTCCAATCCTTCATTACCAGACGACACAACAGGCAGCACGCCCAAATTAACAAACTCTCGCAACAAATTGCGCACGTCATCGATCCAAGCATCGGTGACCTGTGTCTCCCTGAAATTTAGAGAGAGATTGACAATCGCCATTCCTGCTTCTGCAGAACCGCCTAAAAGTCTATAGTGTTGAACGGCTACATTGAGGGCAATTAGAAATGTCTCTTGCGATACTTCCGTATGCTGAGCGTCTACATTATCCAAGCCAATCAAGACAGGGGAAATGTTTTTTGAAACTCTAAATCTTTTGGAAGCAATCAGGCTCAGAACATAAGTGCCGTGTGCCATTGGGTCCTCATCCTCGTCGGAGGGTTCGGGGGGTTCACCAGGGCTCATATCAGTTATTTGAGATCTGAACTTGTCAAATTGCTGAGGTGATTTATCAGCTTTGGGTCAAGGGCAGTGCAGATGTGCAAAGCGACTTACGCTATCGGTTGTATTGATATACGAGTCAATTACATAAACCAAGGTTTGGGGCATTTCCTCTTTGTCGTAGATATAGTTACCGTCGTAATCATCTAAATCGTGACCTATACAAAACATGTTAGTTGCATGCGTCATTAATCTTATCACAACCAGAAGGACAGCCCACCTTCCTCCTGTGAGATCATTACAAGCCCAGTCAACGCATCGTCCTGGCGAATCAGTCCGAGTTCTCGAGAGTTGAGTCGAGAAAAATCATCCTGCAGGGTGACATTTCGGGGTGTCCTCTGCAAAACTCTTTCATAAATCCTGTAAAAGTGTAAGTAACTCGAAACTAAGTGCAAAGGAAGGCATTCTAACTTTGGACAAGAAGTAGTGCATTGTGGAGTGCAAGAAGCAACTAGTTCATGATTTGTTACTTCTGTGAGTTGGTCTGGTGTGAGATGCAAGGACCAGAACATGATGCCGATAATTGTAGATGCCTGAGTTGTCAAACCAGTCACTGATTGTGTTCCATAAGATTTGAGTAGTGATATAATAGGATCTGTTCCAGTGGAAGTTGTACCATCCAGTGGGTACACAATATAGAGGTGACTGAATCCATCACCCTCTTCGCCTGTTTCCGGATCAATATTGCATCCGACGGTCTCTTTGGGAGCTTCACAGGAAGTTTTAGTCGCACACTATAATTAGTTAGTTGGCTATGTTAAGTAATCACGAACATTGTAGCTAGAATAGTTAATCTCTCAGTCGTATTGAGATATTGGCCGTAAGCATGATATGGAATATCTTACCACAGCGGCAGGAGCAGGTACGCGACCCTTCAACTTCTGTGGGTACAGTGGTTGTAGCACAAGGTGTATAAGTTACAGTGCTAGGCTCGCAACTTGAAGCTGATGTCGGATCTGGGTCTCCATCACCATCACCAGTACCTGATCCAGGACACCTGCCTCCCTCACAACCAGGATTAGAACATTTCGGATTTGTCAGGGGACAATTCGTCGACATGCAGCCACCCGGTGTATCGCAACCTCCGCCGCATCCAAGAAGTCCGCAACCACCTCCACAACCAAATATACCACAGCCTCCACCACAGCCAAGGATTCCACAAGCTCCACCGCATCCGAAAAGCTAACACTCGTTGCTTCCGCAACCAGTGGTACAGGTAGATTGTGAGGCAGAAGATGAGCTCGAATACGTCAAGACTGATTTTCTTGTTGTCGTACCCCTGGGTGTGGGGGTTAAAATACTGATGGTAGGCATGGGTAGAATAGTGACACCGTGAGAAGTGGAGAAGAAAGTGGGAATTGGTGTTGCTGATGTGGTTGTGGGTAAGGGCAGGGGATTTGAGTATGAGGGGTATGCCGATGGCGGAAACGTCAATTCACTTCCAGGCAGGTTCAAGATGAACGCAGGAGGCATAAAACTTTGTTCCGGAATGAAAGTAGCATGGTTTGCATCACCAGCTGTGATTGTGACTGACCAGAAATTGGTTTCCGTAATGGTGAACGGCTCAACGCTGAGCACCGTTGTCTTGGTGTAAACTGACCCAGCAGAAGATGCCAGCAGCGTGGTTGTGAGTGATGGCCAATTGATTGTTTCAGGACCTGGGAGAGAGGAAGGTGGAATGATCAATGTGCATATACTGTTCCCGTTGCAGCCAAATGGGTCAGAGGAAGGGTCCCAGACAGATGGCGGCAGATAGATGACACCTCCATCACCTGCAGGGGGGCTTCGTGAACAAGCTGTTGGAGGGCAATAATTATGTGTACATGCAAAGTCACATAGCACGTCGTAAGAATCGTCCTCGCTAGCTGTAGGTTAGCCTGTTCCTGGGACAGTGGAAGGCAAAGGCGCTTGAGTACCCCAAGCAAGACAAGTACATGGAGGAGGACAGAAGCCAAGCGCACTGCAAAGATTAATATTTATTCTCCCACGGAAAGACATGAGTCTAAGGCTATATCTCTAAGAGAAAATGCTCATGGTCCTCAACTAGCAACGAAAACAGGGAGAGAATAGTAACTTACCAGCTGAAATCACACAAGCCGATGACATTATCTGGACCTGTACCGCCAACACATGCCGTTGTGCTACCGCCAGAAGAAGAGGTGGAACTGATGCATACATCGGTTGGAGGTGGGTCGTAGCCATACTGGTACACGAATCTGCATAGATCGCTATAAACTGCTTCATCCAGACCAGCCACGGGCACCCCGGAATCGTCGCAAGTATAGGCAGGCAAAGTACCCAGCGCACCTTTAGAGTCACAAGAGCAAGCTATGATTGGGCAGAAACCGTAGCCACAGGCAAAGCCACATAGTCCACCCAAATTTCCTGAGCCTGAACCTGCTGTGCACGCTTCAGGTAAAAATGGAGAAATAGTTGGAATAGACTCTGGTTCTTTGGTAGTTCCACAAGTAGTCGCAGGACAATATCCGTAGTTACTTTAGTATTGTCAATATTTGAAGAACTGTCAAAGGAAGTATAGTCTTACCACGCAAATGCGCAAACACCCTCATAACTGGCGCTCAACCCGGCGGCCGGGTATCCGTTCTATAACCGTGTTAGCACCATCACTATAACAACCATTGCAACTTGCACAATGTCTTACCACGTCCAAGGACTTCGGTAGAGTTCTTTGCGTGCTCATTTGAGTGCAGACGCATGATCCCTGAAGCAGTTAGTGTATATGCATATATATATTGTAGATCAACCTGGGAATATGCAACTCCTCCAAGAAGATAACAACGAGAATAGGAAGACGTTACGCACTACAGGACAATAACCATACGAGCAAGTAAACTGACACAGTCCAAGGAAGTTTCCTGCTCCAGTGCCAGCAATGCATACTTGTTTAGAGAGTGAAGTGGGTGTAGCTGTGACCGTTTCGCCGTAAGCATAGCCTACCCATGCGTTCCAATTTTGGATATCATGTGTGCAAGTAGTGCTGATATCCTTTCCGGTTATCACAGCGTCACCTCGAGATAGGGTGATTGTCACTGCTCCGGTGTAGCCATTCATTGATACATTCCCGTGGTAGATACCAACACCATCGAAAGGAGTTTTTGCCCATCCTCCAAGCTGTCCGCCATGAACACCACCATCAGCTTCTTCTCGTTGTAATTGAAAATTTAATCTAATGGGATGGGTACTTACAACCGTGTTCCCACCAATCGTGACAGTTACTGTTGCACCGGGACCAGAAAGAAGCGCTGAATAGAATATGTTGTCCTGCGCAAGGTCAGGATCAGTTTTGAAGAGGATTATAAGTGTTTTTTTTTTTTTTTTTTTTTTTTTTTTTGCATCGTACCTTGAACAATGTCCCGGTTGGAACTCGACCTGGAATTGACTGTGGGTGTTTCCAGATGTGTCGCCAGTTGCGCAAGAGCTTCCGACAACCGGGTTCGGTCGATACCATCCCACGAGAATTTCCTGGGTAATTGTGGAAATATTGTTTTTGTAGGTATCGATGAGATAAGGTAGAAGTACTCGCCAGCCATCGTGCGGCATATCTAACACGTAGTTGTAAGGGGCCTTGCCGATATCAAATGCATCGTATTGTCGATCATCCAGAGGACCAATGTAATGAGGCTCGCCATAGTCATTCTAAGTAAGGATTTCGACAAACTCGGGCTGAAGATAATTGGCCTGGATCCAACGATCATACCATAGGCTATCACCTCTCCATAGCCAGTTTTTATCGTACCCAGGAAGGTTTGTGAAGAACCAAGGTGAAATTGCCATCATGTAGCTGGACAGGGTCAGCCACATCCACTCATACTGATTTAAAAGAGGGAAAATCCAAAGAACTTACTGAGAAAAGTCACTGCCACTGCCACCGAATTCATCATCAAGATATTGGGCGTAACTGGCATCAACGTATGGACCCATGTCAGTATTTCCCCAGGGCCAAGCTGCCCAGCCTAGAAGAACATCAGTATGTTAAAGCACGGTAGACAGATTGAAGAATTACTAAACAGTCCATTGATTTCAGCACCACCACCCGCCGATAGGGCAGCCTTAGCACCCAGAGAAGAAGAATATGGATAGAACAGACAATTTGTAATAGCCCGGATTTATATCCAATCTATAGCATTAACTGGTCCTTCAAAAGTAGACACAAACGGCTTGTCGCCTACATAGTAATATGCTGAGCTCGAGATATACTTATTGAGAAAAGACAGAACAGTCGATTGAGGCCAAGCTCCGTTGCCAGCATAATCAAAAGAGAAGAATAATGAGAAGCCACTAGCCTCTGCAGCTGCAAATGCGAGGGGCACTTGAGCATCGTTTGTGCTGTCTCCCTGAGCCATGTTGAGTGCAAATGCGTCAATATGTGCACTTTGCGCGAGTGCGATGTTGGTTGCCCAGTCGGCTTGAGTAAAATTGGGAGTATTACCCACCTTGTAGAGGTAATATTATATCCATGATACCATTCTAGCAGATGCACATACTTAGGCACGACGCACAAAATCTTGCAGGTCGAGACGTCAACACCATTTTCATCGATAACACTATATAACCTATACACTACTTACGATGTCTCAACCACCAACATTACTCACCCTTCCCCCCGAGATCCGCCGAAAGATCCTCCATTATGCCATTTACTTCCCCAGGATCATACCTTACCTGCCAAACGCTATACTTGTGTCCAGGCTGCCCCGTGTCTCAAAGAGCCCGTACGCGGACATGATCCCCTCCGACAAGCATACGAGGTTCTACGGCACCAACAAAATGAGCTCAATCTTTGTCGTTTGCCGCCTCTTCCACGCTGAGCTCGAAGAAATATTCTTCACCCGCTTCATCTTCTCATTCCCGCACCACATGAGGCTGGCCACCGTACAAGAGTTCACGACCACGATTAGTCCCCGAGCATGTACATTGCTACGGGAGATAATGGCGATCATCCATTTTGATCTTAGGAGGGATGAATATCCATTGCAGCAACAGGAAGCCTTGATATATTTGAAGAAAAAGCTGCCGGGGTTGAAGAAGGTGCATCTGGGAGTTGGGTTTGTTGCAGAACCGCTCGATGGTGTGCTGGTAAAGAGGAGACGAGATGGGTTTGCGAATATAATTTTTGAGTTTGTAATCAGTTTTGCGTCGGGGATTGAAGTTGTGGTTACTAATAGCGATTCTTGGCAGTGTAGAAAGGATATTATGCAAACTTTTAATGAGAAGGTGGAAGAGCCGATGGGGAGCTCAAAAATGAAGACAGTGGACTATGACATAAAAGTTTTGAGCGAGCAGTGATAACCTCTGCCGTTCCTGCTCCTCTCTCTTCGGAATGTTTGATTAGTGAATGCTGAACGGTGTGGACCATCGGCTATAAAAACTCATTTCATTATTAACTATATATCAATTCTGCACTAGTCTTTAATCTTATTTCTATAAATACCTAGGTAGATAAATCAACAATACAAAAAATCTAGAGGTAACCTCATACGCTCAAAATCTAAAATACAACCACATGCTCCCAATCAGCTCCTCAAATCCCCGCCAGATTCCCATTTCGACATGCTGCACGTGATGCGGGGTAAGCTAAATGACTAGGCAGCACAGCATAGATCCGATCTCTTGAGGCACAACCACAACCTGTACATACCTCCTGGGTATTTTATAATGAAGGAATTTTTGATTGATCATTAAGACACACTACATAAAGATCTACCGTCGATACTCGCAAATTAGAAAAATTTCCTACTTCGTAGAAAGAATTAAAATGTGCATGTGGAGGCGAATATCTCGTCGAGCAAGGCTTATTGTATTCTAGTTCCGCACTAAGCTGAGGATTCACACTAGAAGTATTTCTTTGTTCTAGAGTCATTAGCTGAGTTTCCCCTATGCTCCTCGAGTTCACGATCTTCGTGATTAAGGAAGCATTGGAAAAACACCAGAATTACAATTGGTAACCCAGAATATTGGTTTTTTTATTAGTGCTTTTACTCCTACTGTATTGCATAGTAACATTGCTACCAGGGCTCATAGCCAAACCTAAAACTATCAAAATGTCCATCTGACTTTTCCTACAATATCTCCTTCTCCAGGACAGCTGGGGCCGTAATGGTCCGGCCCTTTAGCTTATCCAATTCCTCTCCACCCTAGAGATAGGTTAGCTTGATCAAATTTAGAGGTGACTAGAATCAACTTACATAGCTGATTAATGGAGAAACTTCGATACCATCATCAGTATTCTCCCCAATAACAGTAGCACCCGCGGCTTGTACCCATCGTTTCCCTTGGTCCATGATATCTTTCTTACTAGTATCTGGATCATCCTCCCCGGTTCCTTTTGCATTCTTCAGTGGTGAGAATTCATCCTCACGTTTGACTTCCATACAAGCAAATTTGTCAAGTTCCAACATTGGAAAGACATCAAAAACAAATTGCTCAAGCTTGATACCGTTTGGCTTCTCAGGTTTGACGGTTGTACCATTCTCAGTATCCACATAAGGAATCTTCTTTCGTGCAACATGATGAGGTAATTTGTGGGCCCACACGGGGATCGATTCCAGAAATCGGAAAGAGTAGTAGTGATTAACGATATTTGCTGCTCTGAACTTCAAAACATCTGGTTGCTTAGCATCCTTGGCCTCAGCAGTCTCCTTATCGATTTCGGAATATTCAACAACATCTGGCTTGCCATTCTTGAGGAGGATCAGACCAACAGATTCGGTAGCATTTCTCTTTCGTACAACCTTGGTAGCAATATCGACATCTTTAGATGCCGAGAATCCAATAAATACTGGATCTGCCACCTTTACAAGACAATTGTCTACACAGTAAGCGTGAATGTGTTGAATGCCTCGCTTTTTCATGTCAGATAAAACATTAGATGTGACAATGGCTTGGTAAATACCACCATTTCCATCCGGTGCCACAGCGACCTTACCCTTACTCTCCAAAAGGATCTTACCATCATTCGAGATACATGGAAGAACACCTTGTTCGAAGATAATAACGTTTTCTTTTTCTAAACCAAAGTAACCATTTTCCTCAAAGTATTTTTCGGTAGGTCCTCGTGTTGGCCCACTGGTCATAACATACCAAGGAACCACCACCTTCTTATCTGCTGCATGACCAGCCTTCTTATGTGCCAATCTTTGAACTCTGCGAATACGTTCTGCCTGTATTTGAAAAAGAGATTTTTCGGAAGGTAGACCAATATTGAAGCAACCCTTAGGAGCTGAACTGCCTAAACGGGTTCCTTGGCCACCAGCCATCAGCACGACTGCGACCTTATTCTCTGCCATTAAATCCAAGCCCATCCCATACCACTTCTCAATGTCTTCAGCTTTTGAATCGAGGATACTGGCAGTTGCAGATTCAGGGAGTGGTTCAAGACCCGTTCCTTCGTCGACATCTTGAGCTTTGGGTGGATTAAGTGCTTTATCGGTGATTTCATTAATGTATTCTGGATCGAAATTGGAGAGTTGTTCGTAAAGAGCAGCTTTTTCTGCGATGTCGAGGGTATCGTAAAATGCGAAAACTTGGTCTTGTTTTGCTTTGGTGTACTTCTCCTTGAGCTGTTCAAGCTCGGTGGAGCTGGGCTCTTTAGGAGGGGCAGCTTCTGCTTTGCCCCCAATGTGGAAAGTATCAAGTACTTTCTGAACGGATGCCATGATTTTGTATTATACGAAGGGGTGTTTTGTATTCTGTATGGTACGAAGTGTATGATGAAGTATATGGTAATTGAAAGGATAAAATAATCAAGAATAATCAGGGGGATTGGAATTTATATGATTTTTTGTTTTTTAGCTGTCTTGTTGAAAGAAGGCACGCAGAGCACAGCCCCACCATTCACTCACCGTTACGAGAAGATGAGGGTCGCTAGAACAACAGCATACCTGGCACTACCGTATTCTATTTATATTAATTGGGCAATCTGCCAATTCTTTTCTGCTTTATTTGACACGACAACATTCGTATTTTTTCTCTATCCGTTGGCTAATGTATGTGTGAGGACAGACAACAGTCACACATACACACATCTTAGTTCTTGAGTCTCTTCGTGTTACTTCTGTTCGTATCGCAATTATGCTGATCATTAATACGGAAAATTCATCGTATAGCTCTACGTCATTGCTACTCCCAACTTAAAAGATTGCTGACCCTGGAGATCTACATCGCAGATCTTTTGTATACTCAGCACCCTAACATTACTCTATGTCGTGCAGCAACATGGATAAACAACAAAATTCCAAATACTTCAAGCGTGAAGAGGTAGAGATACACACTACAACTAACTTATCAGCACCAAGCTTTGGAAGCCGTTTAAACCTCTCATCATTCACATACTCTGCAGATTCACCTTCACACTCTACACGACAGAGTTCCCGTCGGCTATCATCGAATCCATCAACCCCGCAACTATCTCCCTCTCCCCTCAAACGCAAAATCGATATAGAATCCTCTGTATCTGCGAACGCTTCGACCTCCCCGGTCAAAAAATCCCGAACTCGACGCTCCACAGGCTATGCGCCGCCATCCCTCTACGCGCATCTTCCATTCCTCCCAGATGTCGTAGCCCCAAACCTCCTCTGCTTATTTGTAGGCCTCAACCCCGGTCTAGAAACCGCTAGAGTGGGACATGCCTATGCACACCCTTCCAATCGTTTCTGGAAAACGCTATATTCTTCTGGCTGTACCACTCGTCTTCTGAAAGCGGAAGATGATGTGCGGTTACCTGAGTTGTATTCTTTAGGGAATACGAATATTGTGGAAAGGCCGACCAGAAATGGGGGTGAGTTGTCCAAAAAGGAGATGGATAATGGTGTAAGCGTATTGGAAGAGAAAATTAGGATGTATAGACCAGAGGTGGTGGCGTTGGTGGGGAAAAGCATTTGGGAGAGTGTATGGAGGGTGAAGAAGGGGAAGGCGATGATGAAAGACCAATTTAAATATGGGTGGCAGTCGGAAGAAGAGAATATGGGGATTGTGAGCGGTGCAGAGTCTTGGATGGGAGCAAGAATTTTTGTTACATCTAGTACATCTGGATTGGCTGCATCACTGTCACCAGCGGAAAAAGAAAAGATATGGAGGGAGTTAGGATCTTGGATCGAGCAAAGGAGAAAAGAAAAAGATGGTATACATAGAGTGAAAGAAGAGCTTGAAGACAGTGGTTGAATATTTTGCCGCAAGGTTGAACATGCGTTGTTCTATCAGCTCTTGGACATTGCATCGATTAGATCATGATGCTTAGTTTTTGCTGTGATAGAGTGGCATTTTCCTGTTCTATGAATAGGATAGATGCCCTCTTTTCCTACTTTAATGCAGGAACAAACCCCTAGTCCAAGCATGATGGATAGATAAAATCGAGACTTCAAATTTGCGTTTCGAAATTTTTTTTAAATCAAGCACTCTAGGGATTTTCACCTACGAAAGACTTAATGAATAGTTCAAACAATTAGTTATAATTTTAATAAATGTAAGTAAAAGTAAGATCTTACATATATCCACAGTCTTTGATATTGTTACCAGCTTAATTAGAAGGCGGTCACGTGTGGCAGAATCATCAACGAAACCACTTCGATTCAATCTAGTTTGGAATAAAATGCGCACTTCATCATGTTGTATCCATTCCAACATGTTCACTGGTTTAATCATCGGCCGAAAATATAGATGGTCAAAACTGCAGTGCTTGACTTAACGACCAAATTCGGTCACTTTCGGTCGTGTTCCCCTTTCGCAGATGCTTTCCCCGCCGATTCGACCGAATTTTTGGTTGCTCCCATCGTGATATTGAATATTGCATCTTATGATTTCTATCAAGAGAAAATTGATTATACTTTTGGGCCTCTAACTCGGAAATTCTAATTTGACAATGCAGAACACCTTTCGGACCCCGATACGAGCACCCTTAATTCACCTTCCTTTCCCATAAGATGATGCTCTATATAAATACCCGTTCTTACCATTACAATTCTCATCCTCACCCAAGTTACTTTACGAGAACAAAAATCGTCAAAGGCGCAGCAACATCAATAATATATCAAACTCTCAACCATGACAACTCTTCCATCGACCTTCAAAGCGCTGCACTTTAGCACCCGTGCAGGACCTCTAACTGTCGAGGAACTAAATGTCTCTTCTGTCCACACCCCCAAAACCATTCTGATCAAAGTTCATTTTGCGTCTATCAACCCAGTTGATACACAACTATGGCGTGCAGGCATGGTTGCTCTTGTTTCCAGTCCCAAAGGTATGGGACGTGATTTCTCTGGCACAATTGTGGATATTGGGAAACAGGTGGAGGGAAATTGGTCTATTGGAGATGAAGTATTCGGATTTTTGTTCGAGATGGTATGTTTATCAATTTACTAGGGTTTTGGGACTTGAAAATGGTTCAAATCAGTTACTTAGAAGAGGATAGTACGGCCAGGGAACATTCAGCGAATACATTGCTCTTGATCCACTTTCACACCCAATGGTCAAGAGACCGGATTGTTTATCACGTGAAGCTGCAGCAGCTATTCCACTCGTTACACTGACGATGTTTGCTTCTTTCAGTTGGATTCCACCGGCTAGAGGTACGTCGCAGAGAAGAGTAATTGTGCGAGGGGCATCAGGAGGATGTGGATCAATGGCTGTTCAAAGTGAGTCCCTTCCGCCCTTTCCCACAGAAATCTTATCAATTTTGTGAAATGATTCTAACAAACCTAAAAGTGGCAAAACATATATACGATTGTCACGTCACAGCCATATGTTCCAGCAAAAACGTAGACTATGTCAAAAGTTTAGGAGCCGATGAAGTAATAGATTACACTTCCCAACCAGTCCTACAAACATTGCTCGACATCAAATCTGCATCAACTGATTTCGATCTTTTGGTAGATTGCGTGGGTGGGACAGAGCTTATTCCTTACTACGTACGTCTCCTCGCAGCCTTAGATCCTATTACCATTCCTATTCTTATTACTATTCCTAACAATTACTCACAGCATGAACTTCTCCATACCAAGGGAGCATACGTTACAATAGTAGGCGATAAGACCGACTTACATGTCATGGGAGGTCCCATGGCATTCTTGTCTCATCCCAAAATGATATGGAGATTTATAGCAGGTTGGATTTGGGGTCCCCGCTATGCAGTTAGTGCTATGAATAGAGATCCCAAATGTTTAGAGCAGATTGTGAAATTAGCAGAAAGGGGGGAAGCAAAGGTTGAGATTCAGGAAGTTATCAAAGATGCATTGAATGAGGAGAAACAGGAATGGCTTAGAGCTATTGAGACTATTGAGAGTGGGAGGGTAAAGGGGAAAATTGTTCTTGAGATCTTGTAATTAATGTGGATGACTATCCGGTAATAATAATATAATTTTGAATTGCGAGTGGCCCCAGATCTATGGATTCAAAATTCACTAGTTGAGAGAAAAATACCCGTCTAGCCATTCGTCTTCAAAATTCGATTATCCTCTGATATCTACGTATTTTCCGTACTGTGCAGCAGGGTCGATTCATGAAAAGGCTCTTAAACGTTATTTTATTACTTTTACCCTAGCGCACATCACATCACATCGCATCTCATGGGAGCAGAAGAGCTCTACTAGAAAACTCTCAGTTATTATTAGTATGCTCATATTTTCACTTGAAATTCTTTCCGCCGTCTTTTTGTACTCTTGTAAGGTTATATAATTCTATAGCTTGTGTTTAATTAGCGTGTTCTCATATAATCTTACATCTCAGGGAGATTATGTATAGGTATAGATGTAGGTATAGGTACAGATCTTCCCATCTTTCGCACGCATCAACTGTATCCCTTAACAGAACACAAACGGGCAATTCCAAGAAGGAAGAAATGGATATGGATATAAATATAAATTCAAAAAGTTGAGTAATTAAGAGCTAAGTAATAGGTATATATGCCAGTGCATTTTCAATACACGGTTTTGAAATGATGGAGATAGTAGCATGCTTGAGCTTGGGGTAAGAGTTAGAGATTAGAAATATTGTAATTAAGTCTTAAGATTAAGTATAGGTATAGGTGGTTTTGGATGTGAATGGAATGGAATGGGGGATGTATAGACTCGTGAGTTGTATTCTTATCCTAAAGGCTAAAAGATTGGCTTTCTTTTTTTGTGCTTGGGAATTAGATATTGAGATTTTGTGAAGATGATTCACTATTTACTTCGAGGAGAGCGACAGTGAGAGTGATAGTAATAGTAATAGATAAATGGAAATGTAGAATATCTGAGCATTAAATAGCTATACGTTTTTCAACTAAAAATAATCGGAAAAGAAGATAGGCCCCGATCATCTATACATGGAAGGGAAATTACATTTAAGTCTTACCTTCGGCCATCTGATGGAATTGGCTTTCTGTGGAATTTATCTGTAGTCGTTGCACTTTGGTATTGTTTTGTGTTTGGATGTAGTGGAGAACTGCATGCTTTCTTATTCTATATCGGGACTTCCTGATCTTCAATAACCTAATCTTGAATGGAAGTATATAAGGCGAATAAGATTTTGAAAGAAGGGAAACCTCTTACAAGTTGCTCCCGTCACGATTGATTGTATTTCAATACTAGATCCTACACTAGTATGTTTTCTTAATGATATGTACCTAGTCAAGGCCTGGGTGACGCGCAAATTCAGCTCTACTTCGATTGTAAATTAGTAGGTAAGAAATAGACTTGATCTATTTTCTCCAATATGGACTTTCACGTTTTAGGCGTAGAAGAAAGCTTGTGAGGAAAATCTCACCAATCAGTTGCAAGTATCAGTATCTAGAACGTTTCGGTCGATTTTGCAACTCCCTCTACGCTTTCATGAATAGGAATAATTTAGAAAATACATAAGACTGTACGCCTTTTACCGAAATTCCTTTGTAAAATTACCTACTAATAGACTTCTAAAGTAATTGAGCTGTAAATAGACCCGCAGGATCCCATTCCTTCTTCAAAGCCTTCAGACGAGCAAGCCTCTCCTCCCCTCTATACCTCCGCTCAATAGGATCAACCCTAGTACCGTTCTGAAAGTCCGCGAAATTCGCCACGTCGTCGCCGCGCACAACAGTAATAGATCTGGCATTATATTCGTCAACCTTGGCGCGATTCTTAGCATCGGTGTGCCAGATTAAGTTATTCCTATATCAATTAGCTTATGGATCATCAAAAAGGAGTCCCGGAATGTTTTGCTTACTGCCAGTAGCGGATGTCATGAAGACACATGGCCGATTCGAAATCAGGCGTCTTGACGGGTCTAGCGTCCCACTGGAAGTTAAACGCGGTGTTGATTGCATCTGGACACTCGGCAATCATCTCTGTCCATATATCAATAGTTTTGAGAAAAGCTTCTTCGTCGAATCGGTGGAGACCGACAACACCAAAGCGTTTGAAACCTCCCTTAGCACCAAGTGCCTCGCGTCCATCACTTGCATTTTGAATGGGTACCGCAGCACCAGTGCCAACAATTGGTTTAAGGTCATGTAGAACTTTATACGCTTTTGGCGCGTCATCGGGATTACCGGTGTAGCGAGCCGCGATAACTAGACATGGGTTTCGTGCTGGCGGTGGCGCCATGATCATCATGAGACCAGCTGTTGCATAGCGACTATCATTCATTAAATCCTTCATAACAGAAGTCACTTCTCGGGCACGAGCCAGCGGAAAGACGAAGCTACCAGCCCATATAACACCTTTATCGTTTCCGAGGGCTTTTAAGGAATGAAGCTTGATGGTAAGCTGCGTGACGAGGCCGAAAAACTGTCCGGCACCACGTATAGCGTAGAGAAGACCTGGATGTGTTTTTTCGTTCACATCAAGTAGTTCTCCCTTTGCGGTTATCATATGCGCCGAGAGAATTTGGTCCGACCCGAAACCTGTGATAGAAGAAGTGATCGAGGCTCCTCCGCCAAGAAAATAAGGGATGGCGCCCACTGTGTTGCCATTTCCAAGAGCTAGATGCAATAAATTAGCCTCGCTCAATAAGAAAAAAAATTTGACAATATATACCAGTGAAAAATCCAGCATCTGCAAGAGCTACGGCTACATCTTTAGAGAGGATGCTTCCTTTGAGAGTCGCTGTGTTAGAATTTGTGTCCACTTCTACTCCTTTGTACAGGCTTAAATCAATAATGATGCCGTCGCCGCCAATGGTAGACCATTCACTATGACCCCCGCTTTTGGTAACGAAAGGAATCGAGTACTTGGAAGCCCATTGCACCTAAATAGCCTATTAGCAAGGACCCAAGGTAGAGGACTAAATGCAATAGCTCCTTACAATCTTTTGACAGTCACCTTCCGAGCTTGGCAGCACTATAGCGCCAGGAACTTTCAGATCAATATCTGTCCATCGCTTCAGATGTTCCACAAACTTGGCATCCTTAGGATCCGTTAGGATCTCGCTGGTCGGAGATAACGTTGCCTTTAGTTCTGGGAGTTGTGTGAGAGAACTCATCTTGAGGAGGATGATCACGTTTTTGATTTGGATACAGTCGTTGAAATTATGAAGAGAAGAGAGCTGGGGCCATATTCACATTCACAATAATGTTATATTGCTGGACTAACAGTTGGTGGTTTGTTTGTATGTGGCTGTGCCTCTCTCAAGCATTACTGGCAGATGCTTATTTCTTCGGAATAGTGTTTTCCATATTGTCCGGGAGAAGAGGGGTGTACTGTCACGCCATAGACCTGTACTAATACCACGTGTTTCAACACAGTCACATCTGCAAGCTCGATCAATTTAGGAAAATTAACATCCAATACGGATTTTAGAACGTGAAAGCCATGTGGAATTATCTCGGAGCTTATTGAGTCGTCTTACGGTAGTATGCGTCAGCACGTTTTACCTTGAACGATTACTGCATCATGATTATATAAGACATAAATAGCTGGGCGAAATTTGATGGATTTTGGAGAAAAGGGTGTTAGTCAAGTGGGTACTAGTTAGTGCTGACATTGTGTAGTATTATCGATAAAAATATTTTACTTTGAGAGCTACTTGTCGCAATCACAAACCAAATTAGGAAGCTAGCCAGGTTTTATAAGAATGCAGTGTAGTACCGGTGGTGTCTGCGCCGTAGATATGCATTGAGCCTATTGAGCATTCTCACTGCATATACGGAGTGGTATGCTGAGTCCCACTTTTATCGTTTGGTGAGATATATTGGAGAATTATCAATATAGATAGAGTAGAGAGCAAGAGAAAAAAAAAAGAGGAGATAATAATCCTTTGCAATCCCCCTCCTTAAAAGTGCTTGCATAGTGTGACAGGATGCATAATCTTACCTGTTTTCCATCGATCGTTCGATCGTATATTGGGTAGGAGCCGGTTATGAACGGTACTTTCAAGGTTACGGGTTAGGGTTGCATCATGTTAAAGTTAAAGCGATCGTCCACGCAATGGAATCCTATCGGCTAAGAACATGAAGATATAAGTGGAATCAGAATATTAGCTGTGGTTTTATCAAAAGAGTTGAACATCTGATCGGGCTTATATACTGCTTGCTTACTCAGCATAGATCCCTGATACATCAGCTAACCAAGCCCAGCCAAGAGAGAATGCAATTGGGGGGTGCTTACGAACTAATTCCTGATGCCGTGAATAGAAGGTGGCTTGGGGTATCCTAGATTCATTATTGAGTCAGTCCATCAAATTAATTTTCAATTTTCAGCTGTTGTTCATCAAGTTTTTCAAAGAGTCCAAGGGCCAAGGTTTAAAATTCTAGAATTCGAAAGTCTGGAGTGAAGAAGGTAAAGTTGCGAAAGTTGCGAAAAGTTACGAATAGCTTCATCACTTTGGCAACTTGGTATTCTGCCACTTTTGCACACGTTCGTTAGTTCTACGCGCGCGGCTTTTTGGCTTACTGTGCAGCTAACAAACCTGAATTCTTAATGCCACAAATATAGATTTCAAGTTAAGCTTAATCTTTACTAAGGCGTACTATACGTTTTTTTCTTCTGGAGCTAATTGTGTAATGTTACAGTAAGATGTCACCGGAGCTCCCTTCTCATCTTCCTTTTCTATAGTTCATTCATGACCCCTGAAGTACTGTCTGCGACGCCTCAGTCTCGATCCAGGCTGCTCCGCACACTTTCTACCAAATTACAATCCTGCAAATGTGAAATGTCTTCCTTCTATACAGACGCTCTCGGTCTCAATATTTAGGTATTAGTTCTCCTCATCGTAGAGCTCGCAACCCGCGATATTACTTGTCCAACTCGTCCTAACCCCACACCACGCTCTAACCCCACATACACGAGCCACTATCAAAACTCAATATGGCGTATGGAGGTGATGTCAATCGAGGGCCATTCTTGACCACCATCAATTGGGTTTTCAACGGGATCGCATTAGGTATAGTTTCCACCTCACCGTGTTCTCTAAAAGCAAAATCTAACGCCATTTTTTACTCGGGACAGTTGCTGTGCTTCTTAGACTCGCTTCACACCATTGGAGAGAGTCTCAGGGATGGAAAAAAGATGATGCGTTTATCATTCTTGCCATGGTCAGTTGCAAGACCCTGTCTAATCGAGCACCCGTTGCTTGTACTCATACTAAGTACTTTTGATACACAATAGGCAGCAAACCTTGCAAGAGCAATCTATGTCGATGTTACTATCTCCCACGGCCTTGGGCGTCATCTCGAAGTTTTACTCGAAGAGAACCCCTCTGGTGCCGTTGCACTCCTTCGTTTGATGGTAATTCTCCAGGCCATTGGACTGTGGACTTTTACCCTGCCAAAGCTTCCTGTGGTAGCGTTACTTGTCAACATCTTTGGCCGTAATTCAAAGAGACTTGCAATTATCCTATACACCGCAGTTGGTGCTTTAATCGTGCTTGTCTTTATTATCACCATCACAACTTTTGTACAGTGCACACCAGTATCAGCCAATTGGACCCAGAAGGGCAAATGTTGGAACAAAAACATCAATGTAGACCTTGGCTATCTTGCCGGATGTTAGACTCCCTTTTCATCTTCACGTTATTCCTCACTGACATTAACTTTAGCATATTCGGCATTTCTGGACTTTGCGTTTGCATTATACCCCGTATTGCAAGTCTCTAAATTGCAGATGGAGCGATCGAGAAAGATTCTCTTAGCTGGGTCATTGAGTCTTGGATTTCTGTACGTGTGAACGATTTCAGAGCGAGCTTCTAGATGTACTAATCATCCCTATTTCTATGTAGGGCCGGCATCATAACAGCGTACAAGCTCTCTACGATTTCTTCAATAACTAATGTAGCAGATCCGACTTGTAAGTTGACTGGACTCAAAGCAAGTACTTCTGATACTAATAGTTACTTTTAGGGGCCACGGTACCACTGGAAGTCTGGAACAGGTAAGTTCTAAATTCGAACTTTGAACATTTCAATAGTAATAATTCGTCAATTTAGTGTCGAAGGAACAGCTCTCATTTTGGCTGCCTCGATTCCTCTCACCCGACCACTTATACTGTCTTTCTTTCAAGGCATTCAAGCTCTCACTTCCCGAATGGGTGGCAGTAGCGCTAGCGGCACTGCTAAATCCAGCAAGAATTCCCATGGAAGGTCGATCAACAGGTCTAGCAACCACCAGCGTCTCGACAGCAATGGAGTATCAAACAGCACAGATGATATCTTGCTTCACGAAGGTTCCGTCTTTGAAAACTGTAGTAATATCGAAGCTGGCAAACATCGTCAAAGTGGTCCGGGGATATACAAGACGGTCGATATTTTAGTTAAGACTAAAACATTGTCTACCTGAATATATGACAATGTGAATATCAAGAGTGTAATGATAACGTTTTTGGGTAATTTATTCTAGAAATTTTGGATGTTATTATTCTTCGATGGTCGAGGAGCGAAGGATATACACGTACATACTATTCATGCTTCCTTCAGTTGAACATACAATAAAGTCCTTATACTCATAGATATATGCATTGATGACTTGAAATCTCAGTAAAGGATTGCAAGATTGCATTTGAAAGTATTGCATTGAAGATAATTGAGACTAAAAGACTAGCACTAAAGATTATCGATACGAAAATTTTGAAAAGCAAAACTGCTCTTTAATCAACATTTAAGGCCCATACCTTCCAAAGCCTGACCGAAGCTGCCTCTCCAAGTATCAATGCCCATTTGGCCAAACGCAACACCGACTTCTTTCTTCAATTTTCCTTCTTTATCAACCTCATTCAAGCTCTCAAAAGCCTTCCCTATATACTCATCCAGTGGCATAGGCTTGAATGCTTTTTCAGCACCGCCTTGCAGTTGATTTACCAAGTCTCGATGCTCGCTGTCCAATCCAGTGTCTGTATACGGTGGCACGATTTCAACGACGCTGAAATGTTTCTGTGTGGTTTCAGGTGTAAAACTGATTTGTTGGCGGAGAATCACCAGGAAAGAGTGAATAGCTGCTTTGGTCGGGCAGTAGACTGGATAAAATGCCATAGGGAAGAAGGCGAGGGATGAACTCGTGACCAGAAGATTTGCGTACTTGCCTGCGGAGGCGAGGGAGAGAAGGTGGGGAACGAAAAGCTGCGTCAAGAGTATTGGGGCTGTGAGGTTCGAGTTGATCTCGGTGGTGACGTCTTCGGTGATGCTAGTGGATGGGTCTAGGAGAGACGATGACTTTTGGATGCCTGCATTGATGAAGACTGTGTCTAGGGTAGGGTGTGATTTTAGAATCTTTGCGACTTGGCCAGACAATCCTTTAAAATCCGTGATATCCCACTGTGTAGTGTCATATCAGCCACGTAATTATTTTTTGGGTTAACTAAAGAATGTGGCGAAAATAGAAAGAGCGGGACTTTTTGGTGGAGGGCATTTATACCTGAACGGTCTCGATCCCCGCGAGCTCCTCTTTTAAAAGAGAGAGTCTGTCGGCTCTGCGACCCGTGACGATCACTTTCTTTCCCGAGGCATGAAAGCGCCTAGCAAACTGTTCACCTATGCCGGATGTCGCTCCGACGATTAGAATCGTATTGATGTTAGCAGCCATTTTACTAGGCGGGGTATGATAGTGGATCAGGTTTGAAACAGAATGAACAGAAGTGAAGGATTGAAGGAAATTGGGGCGAATGTGCAAGATCTTTTTGCCCTGCATCATTATTATAATGCTGATTTCTCACTTGCTTACTGAGCTCCTACTACTACGGTAATTTTACAAGTGAATATGTAAAATGCAACATAATGGCTGATTACAAAGATATGGTAATATTCTTGCCTATTTGTGTTACCATCATCTCCAGCACTTGAGCGGCGTAGAAAGCAAGCTTATTTTATATCACATCAGCATAAGTCTCGTCCGGGACTCCTTTAGAAATATGATCGCTTAGCCACCATAACATATCAAAAATACAAACACCTGGAAGATTCCAATTCGTTAAATCGTACGAGAGATACTCAATCGAGGAGTGTCAGATTTTGATTGAAAATGCGGGCATTATTGCTGACTGCATCTTCCAGGCGACAGCGGTTGCCCGAGGGTGGATTTGCTAGGCATTGTGAGTCTTAGCTTCGGCAGCGGTATATGGTGGTGAATTGATTGATCATTAACATCCTCATAATGTAGTAGTGGTAGCTAATGTTTATAGTTATTTTGGACCATATAATCCTGATGCAAGTAAAGCCATAGGTATACAATCTCGAAAATGAGGCTTAACTTTGGCAATCTGAATTCAACCATTAAACCAATAAAATCAACCAAAAACCTCAAAAGTTCTTATGCCCTGCAGGAACTTACTATTTAGAGTTGTTTATCCGGCTTTTGTCTCCACTCACACCAAAAAAAAAACCGGAGAGAAAGTCCCATGGCTAAGATATAGATACAGTAGCATGCATTCTGCACGCACGCGGCTAAGTTTATGCATAATACTCGTCACACTTTCATTTATAAAATGGCAACTCAAAAACAGCTTATATTTCGAACTGCAAATAAATAATTCCTACTAGTAAACGATGAATTTAAGATACCGTTTGAGAAAGATACGAACATCTTTCCTTATATATAGCTGCTATCGTTGAGAGGTAGAAATAAGACCAAACTACTCGCCAACGACAATATATAACCGCTAAGATGCGACTCAATCACGTGTCTTTAATATGTCATGTGCTTGCCCTGCTTTTCCCCACCTTCGCTAACTCGTCTCCTGACCCTGTACCATCTTTTACTTTCGGCACACTTGGTGTGGATGCTACATTCGATTATGTCGTGATTGGCGGGGGAACTGCCGGTCTGGTAGTTGCAACGCGGCTCTCTCAGCAACCGAATGTGTCTGTTGCGGTAATCGAAGCGGGAGGGTTTTACGAGATCGACAACGGGAATCTGAGCGTGATACCCTCTGACGATATCTTCTTCACGGGATATAGTCCAGCCGATACCAATCCTCTGGTGGATTGGAGCTTTGTGACTGTTCCTCAAGCTGTAAGTGCCTCCTAGCTATCGACTCATCGGGCATAGGCACGCCCTTGGAACACAAATTCTTATAAGCTTCTCTCCTAGGGCATGAATGATAGAACACTGCATTATGCGAGAGGAAAGTGTTTGGGTGGAAGGTATGCTTGTATCTTTTTGTCCTTCCTCTGATTTGTGTGATCTCTTCTTACAAAGTTATCTCGCACAGCTCTGGCCGAAATTATTTTACATACCAGCGCGGAACCAAACAATCATACCAGAGATGGGCCTCTGAAGTAGGCGATAGCTCCTATGAATTCGATTCATTATTACCATACTTCAAGAAGGGTGTTGAATTCACCCCTCCAAACAATGCCCTTAGACCATCAAATGCTTCGTTGAGCTATAATGCTAGTGCCTTCGACCCTAATGAAGGTCCACTTCAGGTCTCCATTCCAATTTGGGCCAATCCATTCTCTTCATTTGCAAAACTCGCCTTTGAGGTACTTGGCTTTCGATCGGAACTGGACTTTGTTAGCGGAACACTTTCTGGTGTACAATATAACATGAATACCATAGACCCGAAGCAACAAACCCGCAGCTCATCCGAATCATCCTACTTGACTACAGCAGCAACTTCATCACTAAGAGTTTTCAATGGAACATTGGCGAAGAAGATTTTGTTCAATGGTACAACTGCTTCCGGAGTGTTAGTTAACACTAGTGGTGAAGAGTATCGCCTGTTCGCAAAGAACGAAGTTATTTTGTCTGCGGGAGCAGTAAGTAACTATTCTTTACAAGAACCGTTACCACATCTAACAATTGCTCAGTTCCAATCACCACAATTACTTATGATATCAGGAGTGGGACCTAAGTCCACATTAAACCAATACAACATCCCGATAATCTCAGAACTGCCGGGGGTAGGCCAGAATATGTGGGATCATGTAGTCTTTGGTCCGAGCTATCAAGTCAGCGTTATCACTCATTCTGCGGTATCAAATGCATCTTATCTTGAATTAGCTACGGAACAGTTTTACAAAAATGGTTCCGGCATGTTAGGCAATCCGGGTGGCGATCTTATCGCCTGGGAGAAACTTCCCAACTCATACCGCAAGTCGCTAAGCAAAGCAACTCTCAATGAACTTGCCACTTTCCCAAAAGATTGGCCGGAGATCGAATACCTCATTCTGGATGCGTATGCCGGTAACCGTTCTAACCCCATTGCTTATGCACCTAAAACTCCATACATGTATGCCGCTCCTGCGGCAGCACTTGTCGCTCCACTAAGCCGGGGAAATGTCACTATCTCCAGTACCGATACGGCCGATCCCCCTCTCATAAATCCCAACTGGCTTTCGCATCCAGCAGACCAAGAGCTCGCTGTTGCAGCATTCAAACGCGTCAGGGAGCTTATGAATACTGATGAGATGAAAAGCATCACCATCGGAAGTGAAATTTTCCCGGGACTGGATGTAAGTAGTGATGCGCAGATTTTGGAATCTATAAAAAATTATAGCACGATGGTATTTCATGCCTCCGCAACTTGTAAGCAAATTTTTTCTCTCATTTGCCCCATGTTCAAGCAAAATCGTGAAGTTCAGAATGCTGATGAAGGAAACGTATAGGCAAAATGGGCATTGCGAGCGATCCGATGGCCGTAGTAGATTCAAAAGCCAGAGTCTTTGGAACCAGTAAACTACGTGTTGTAGATGCGGCAGCTTTTCCTTTCCTTCCCCCGGGTCATCCACAATCAACCATATGTGAGTTCTCCCATAAAGTCTAGCCTTATGATGCGCATCTATCCCGCTTCGCATAATCCAACGAAGAATAAAAACTGACAAGACTCAGATGCATTGGCGGAGAAAATTGCACATGATATAATTACTGGAATGTGATATGATCCAACTCGATTATAGAGTGAATATACTTCTAGAAATAGATAAATTAGAAAATATAGCTCGAGATATAATTAGAATAGAAAAAAGTCTCTTAATATAATATTGCCTGCCATGGAACCATGATATAATATAATGTAAAAGTGTGTGCGGATTGTTTCGGTCATACATCTCCGGCTATTGCTTCAATCAATTTTTTTGTTCCCACATCACAACGCTGGGGGCGTCTTTTTTCCCGGCAGATTAGTTCATGAGATGATTGACCACAGATGCGATTAAGCATAAGTCAGATGTTTGAGATCAAACGAGGTGTTTACATGAGGATTTGAGGAGCACAGTAAAGTCTAATAAATATAAGCTTCTTTTATGAGCTCGCTACGACGACCCTTTGATCTGAGTATGTGAAGATCCACTTGATTGAGATCTCTTCTCCATCCAGTTTATGTAGTACTCTCCACTCTACTCTCCACTCGAATACACATCACGATTCGTTTTGAGACTCAAGCTTCGGCGTGACATGATCTCAATCCATAACTTAATTGTGAATCTTTCCACAGGAAATCTCATAACTTTATCTCTAGCTTTATGACTGCAGTCCCTTTATCCCTTTCGTAACGTTCAAAATCTATTCATCTCTCACAACAACCATAATACTCATCACACTTCCCTGAGGTTTCTTCCACTCCCTCAACTTCAACCTCGGCGTCGAACTCTCAAACAACTCCACCCACTCACTCAATTCCCTCTCCCCACTATTAAAACTCTGCGCCATCGTTAAATCCCTCACTCGAAGAGCCCCCTCCTCCGAAGCCGGTACACTCCCCGGCTCCGGAAGTATTGTATCCATAATAACGATACGAGCCCCAGGCTTTTGCAGGGCTTGAGAGAGATGTGAGAGAATGATCCGAGCATCTCCTGCAGGCCAATCGTGAATAATTTTGCGGAGGAAAAAGATGTCTGTATTTTGTGCTACGGAGTCGGGTTGCGGAGTCCGGAAATCATGAGCGGAGAAATTGATGCGTGATTTTATGTTGGTGTCGAGGCTGGATATGACGCCGGGGGCGTTGGCGATAGTCTCTGTGAGGTCTTGGACTAGGAATGAAAATTCTGGGAAGTGTGTTGCGAGGAGGATGCTAGCTTGTCCTGTTGAGCCGCCGACCTAATCGAGTCAATTATGAGTTTAAGAAAACTAGACGGAGAATAACTAACATCTACAATGTTTGCTTTTCCAAGGGAACCCCAGTCAAAGCCGCCCAAGATATGCTTCAAAGCGATTCCCTGGCTATTGTTCAAACTACGCATATAAGCTGCAAAAGTAGCCGACATATCTTGAGACTGAGCCAGATGCGCAAAGAAAGGTAAATCTGTACCAAACGCTACATTATAAGCTGTTTGATTCTTCTCAGAAGTGTCACCCCAGCGAGCAGTCGCTTCTGTAAACTTTTCTGCTGTAGGTGCAGAGTACTGTGTCATGAACTTGGCCCAATCAATAAAATTACTGTTTGTTACGAATTGTGCTGAAATACGGCTATGGGCAAGGTAATTTGGTTGAGGCTCCGAGAGCATGCCGCCCGTGATGGCCATGCGGGCGACACTTTTAAGTCTGCTAAGGGGAACATTTGCGGACTCGGCGACAGTGCTGAAGAGTACGGGCTCGTCGAGTGGTATGTGGTTGAGTATATTGAAGTGCAAGAGCCATTTGAGACAAGAGAGTTGCTGATACTGCACGTGGTGTGTTAGATCAGGTGTTTTATATCACTCTAAGATATATAACGATAAGTACGGAGGTATTTAGAGTAGTAGGATAAGATTTGAGCCAGATAACAAGCTATCGCAGGAGGATAATGAAAATGAAGCTTACATTTACTTGATGCTGTTCAAGATAGTCATTGGGCTCGCTGACTAAAAGTAAGATCTCCCGAGCAGCATATGAGATATCCTGTCTCGCCTTTTGAGCCAGCTCATTTTGTGAATCATCAACTGGATCATTAGTGCTTAAATGAGCTTTAGAGGCTGGAGTGGATGAGCTGAGAACTTTTGCACTGGTAGCAATACGGGCTACAAGATTATCGAGAGAACCCTCCATGTTGTAGGCTTTTTGTTAGGGTTTGTTTCTTCAATATGTTCTCGTTCTTTTCCTACTTTTGGACCACGATAATACCTGATAATCCTTCCACGTAGCTTTTCTCTAAACCTCCAAACAGATCACCACATGAAAAGTAGTACTACATTCTCGGATTATGGGGTGAGTTCCGTTTATTGAGCACCGTGTAGAGTTAGCACTAAAATAGCTAGGATCTAGAAGTTTGATATTACATAGCAATGAATAATCGATAGAGATCGTGGTCGTTTTATTCACAGACTAGCCAAGGTATACACATTACTAAGCGCTATAACTCATCAAGTCTGTGCATTAGTGCTTATCGGGTAGCAGTGCGCAACGGATAATAATCAATTAGAGTTAGGTTTGCGTGATCTTAAAGCTTTAAAGCTCGGCCCGCTCGTCGGCCATGCATGGGTCGAGTGCACGCTACAAAATCTACCCGGCGGAATACTGCTCGAATGCGTGTAAGCGGGGCAAATTTACAATCAAAAAATTGTCATGACCCCGCTGCCATAAAGTGCGGTACCATCCACTTAAATATGGGTTACTACCCCTCTCTTGTCATTACCATCTTGTGGAATGTGCTTTAACTAATTCCTAGTCTCGGGGTCTAAGGGATCACTAGATCACTACAACGTTTCAACCTTTTTGTACAGGGTATCAATTCCTCCTAGATTAATATCTGACAGGTTGCAGCTTTTAGCTTCTCGGTTAGCTGGAGCTGGTGACATACTGTTACATTTCTATTCCTTCTAACGCCACTACATAGTTGATATGCTGTAAGGAGGGCAATCTTGTATGCCCTGTAAGCACTGAAATTATCTCAGGAACTATTCGTGCACACTAAAGATTTTAAAGAGGACCAACATTAGCCTCAAATTCGGAGTTTTTGGAAGTCCGGTACGATGTCTCGCGCAAAACTTGTAAATATACTGGTAAGATTGCGAACAAAAGCCTAAAGGTCCTACCGGCGCCTTAATTATGCTATTATAGAACCCAAACTGGGTAGAAAGTAATCTTTATGTAAGATTACTTCAGGACTTTGTCACGAGATATACAAAAAAGAGTTTGGTATTACAGAAAGAAGTGGCACAATAAAATTTAGCTCAATAAATCAGATGTTATTTGTTCAACCTCCATTGCCCTTCCGGCCTCTTGTCCTAGATAAGTGGATACCAGTGGCAAAATTTACAAAGAGGGTCATGCCGTTTCTTGATTGCCTGAAGTTTACTCAGATTGTCACCATATACTGTATCTAAGCTTTCGTCGCCAAAGCCATTGTTAATATACCTAAGTAAACAAAATATTAGCCTGCACTTTTATGAATGGCCTCCTGGGACCAAAGTTGATTAGAAAATATTAAAACTCACGTGCTGTTATCACAAAGGCCAGATGTAGACCGTAGTAAGTCGCGAACGTTCGAACCAAAGACTTCCGCGGCTGCGTCTAGGGCAGGGTCTGAGTACCATGCTGTAGCGATAGCATTGAAAGTTATGGTTGACCGAAAAGGGTAAGCAGATGAAAAGTCCGAAAACTTTCTAGCTGTCCCTAGAGAATACATATCCAATATCATTGCACTGTTGTTTGCCCCTGGCATTTGCGCGAACGTGAGCCACTCGTTCCATACGGACGTCCATGTGGGAACATCCAACTCTGCGAGCCCAACACCCCAAGAAGGTTTGAAGTCACCCTTTGCACAGAAAGCATCGCCGCCAGAATTCCATTCGTTATAGGGTGAAATAGCTGTTTCGTCCACAATGGGCCCGACGGAATAGAGTGGAGCAAACGCTGCTTTTCCGGCCGCTTCTGTACCGTAGTAGAATACTGTCACCAATATGATAGGCGAGTTGTCAGACATCAGGAAAAACATTTCTATGCTCATCTCCGATTTTAAGTCCAGCTGGCTCAGTGCTTCTACGAGAGCCTCGAGTTGGGCACCAGTGAAGATCAAAGGGCCCGTCCATGCGTCTAACAGACTGGGAGTGACGGGGTACGATTTCATCACCGCGGATGTAACAATTCCAAAATTAGGACCAGCGCCACGCATAGCCCACCATAGGTCAGTGTTGCTCGTTGGGGATACAGTGATTGCGGTTCCAGAAGCCGTAACAACATTCATAGAGATTAGATTGTCAACTCCAAATCCATAGACACCTATTAAGTTGCCGAAGCCTCCGCCTAGGACAGCTCCAATTGTGCCAACGCAGTTACAAGTACCTGTCGGAACGAGAACACTGTTTTGATACGCGGCATCAACCACATCGGATATCAAGGCACCACCTTGAAATGTGATTTCTGTTTTGGCAGAGTTGAAAGAGATAGCTTTGATGCCGGCCAAGTTTATGAGTATACCGTTTTGATGTAAATCAAGCGTCGTAGACCAGCCGTGGCCACCATTCTGGGCAAGAAATGTAATGTTCTGAGCTATGCAGTATTGAACCTATGAAGAGTTCTAGTAAGCGGGTGTTTCTAGAAATTCTTGCGAAGCGTCGGTAAGCTTACAGTAACTAATACATCATTTTCGGTGGCTACATTGACCACAGCGCCAGGAGTTGGGGCATCAAAGTCACTCCACCGTGGGGCTCCAGAAGTATTGTTGACAATTGTTGCTTGAGATGAGAGTAGGGACTTAAGGCCGGAGGTATTGACGGTAGCTGTCGATACATCGGTAAAAAGACCGAAAAATATGCTGGCGATAAGAACTCTCCAAACTGATGGACCCATGATTGAAGATGAAGGAGGAAGTGATGGACGGTTTTGTGATAGATACCCGGGTACTGGTAGATTAGTATATATACACTTTCAGTGTACCCGGTAACAGGGACATTGCGATCCTTCTTACTTCGCGTGGGATCTATTAATATACACCACATGTATTTGTTCCTGTGTATCCACGAGCTAAGCCTAATAACAACGAACTAATCTGTGCCGCAAATACCGACACTTGGGCAAGAACGGCTTGGATAAAAGATAAATACGACGTTAACTTTTGGCTTATAGTTATTCCACATCGGATCAGCTCTTATTAGTAGTTAGCTACTATTGTTCGTTACCAGTATAAATCTTCCGGTTGCATTAAATGAAGTTTTGTATCGGGACCTAAGCTATATAGGCTTACTAAACTACTGTCTTACAATTCTCAGCCAAGGGTGCTTTTATAAGCTTTTCCCCTGCCATAAAGCTCCTCTTTAGGCAAACCGCTGCAAATTTTCTCATTTCTTCTTCAAATTCGCCAATTGATGTCTGAGTGATTCCATCTTCGCTAATTATTCGAGCTAGAGTGGCGGCATCGTGTAGCGTCGCCACAGCACCCACCCCTCCTGCTGGCGACATAACATGTATCGCATCTCCCATTACAGTAACTTTCGAGGACGGCGTCCAGCTTGGCAAATTCGGACTGGAGGAGAGTACTCGCATTCCCATCGTCAGAGAAGGGTCTTGGAGCTCCAGCAAACTTCGGAGAGAAGGATCCCATTCACTTGTCAAGCGTAGCGACATTTTAAATGCTTCAGATCGCAATGATTTCTCCAGCGCCTCCCCCTTCAAACCAGATGTAGTACTCTGGAAAAGCAATCCCCAGTGTATGTAGTCCTCTGGCAAAGCGTTATTTTCGCTTCGCTTCAGGAAGCGAACTTGCTCGCTGACAAGTGTAATGGGTGCTTCGCCGGAGATGATCGTCTGCAACACTGGGGTCTGATCAAGTACCACCGTCATCCATCTTCGATGTTTCTCTGGGAAGCGTGAGAGAAACTCTGGCGTCAGAAATGTCTTACCATAAATGCAGCATCCCTCAGTGTCAAGAAGTTTGATCTCTGGAAGCAATTGCCGACGGACCGCCGAGCGAGCTCCATCAGCACCGACGAGCAATGTACCTTCCTCAACGCTACCATCTTCAAAGGCAACGCGGACACCTGTGTCGGTGAGCTCATACCCAACGAACCGCTTTCCAAAATGCACCGAGTCTTCAATTCCTCGTATCATTGACTGGCGCAGCATTCCACGGTCGATCGTATAAGGCAGAGGTACTCCATCAGGGAGATGCCCTTTACGACTCGCAATAATATGCGCATCCGTTGAGTTTAAAGTTGTTTCGCCGAGGTTAGTTTCGGCACAAGAAGCCTCGAACTCTGACCATGCTTCATCAGACAGAAGATCTCGCAATTTCTTTTGAAATTCGCCAAATATCTTGAGTCGGTAGCCTTGAAGTCGCGAATCTAGTAAGGTATCACGTTCAAAGACGGCAACATCAATTTGACTCTGTTTAAGGCCTTGAGCAAGCGCCAAGCCGCCTACTCCAGCACCAATAACCAAAACTCGAGGCGCTGACATAATGAGGGAGCCGAACTAGCCAAGGTTTAATCTGATATGTAACTGTAGACAGTATACTGCAAATTAAATGAGTGTGATCATATATTCTCAAGATTAATCTTTCTACTACTCAGGAGGATGCCAACGGAATTCCAAAAGAAGATAATTTCATAAAAATGAATCTGGTATCGGATAATCGACCAGGCAAAATCACCGCTTACTTCCTTCTAGATAGACACAAAGAATGGGTTTAGTTTTCACCAGGCTGCTTTCCAGATGATACATACATATGCCAAAGGCTTTTGTGGTATTTACCAAGGATAACGGAAAGAATCCCGATCAGTGATGGGCTATGATTTTTGTAGAGCTACGAAATGGATAGCTAGATACACTTTTACTCCTAAATGCCATCTTTCTTGTAATACAATCAAAGAGAGTATAGTTCCATATAACCCAGTTGGATTAGAATTAACCCAATATCAGCAGGACGAGTTAGGCAAAATGAGGCTTACGTAGACAACCATCAAGGACAGCATCGAGACTCAAGAGACTGGGAATGAGATTAACACACCCCGCTGCAAGATTTGTGTTATAAAGTAGAAGTATGCAGTTGGTTCCCAAAGTGGACAACGGGAATACCCACTTCGCTGCATTCATGCAGTCAGCTACCCCCCACTTAAAATTTTTGATTTCAGTCGATAAAAACTGGAGTTGCTACTGCAGTCAGCATGCCATTTGGTCGCTTTTGCTAAATGAATAATAAGCCAGTGGCGCAGGGCGCGGAGGATTCCAACGATTCTGGGCAACATCCGAATGATTATCAGCTGAGGTTATCGTTGGTACCACCGAGGAGATTATTCGTGCGAAAAGAATTACCAGTCGCAATGGAAATTTTTGGGCATTCGAGTCCATCTGTTTTTATATAATGGATTTTTTTTCAGTAGATTAGTTTGCGTAGTAGTGCCCAGCAAAATAAAATCGTAAAATCCCAAAATGAGGTCTGCAAGCTCAGATTCAGAGTGTCTAATACTTTTACTATCGAGTTATTCAATGATTCCGGTGCTTGGCCCACAAATCTTTTTTATTTAGTGTCTATACCTCCAAATAACCATACAAATACTAGAAATTCCTAATATTCCAAGGATATATCTGGGTTGGAATCGAGTTTTCAGTTCCTCCTCAATTGGAAGTCCAAAATGTTTGATATCTGTCTTTGAGCAACCCTTAGGCCAAGTTCCCGAAATTTCATAATCGTTCCAATCTAAAACCATCAGCATCTGCTGATATTTCGCTGCTCTTTCAGGCCAGTTATTAGTGACAATGTTTTCTTTCGTTTTGTACCAGCTGGTACAGCCCGGATGCGCAAAAACAGTCTCGTGAAGTCGTTGCTGCAGCTCCTGATTGAAAGCTTCCACTCTCTCCTTTTTCACTGTAAAGACGATATTTTCAGAACTTGAGACGGTAGACTGAACGACTTCGATCATCGCGCTAATATACCGAGCCTGTGACTCGATCATTAGAAGCACGGAAGAATGGCTAAGGTTTGTGTTGGGCCCATAAAGCATGGCAAAATTCGGAAGGGATTCCACTGTCATTCCAAGGTAGGCGCGACCACCTTGACGCCATATCTCTCTGATATCTCGCCCATCAGCGCCTGTGATATTGATGCCGTGCATGAATTCTGTTGTGCGGAATCCTGTGGCTAGAATCAAGAGATCAAAATCAGTTTCTTCGCCATCGATGATGATGCCTCCTTCAGTAACGCGATCCACTGGCCTAGTCTCCAATTCAATATGTGCTTGATTCATGGCTGGAAAAAATTCATCGCTCAATATGACCCTTTTGCATCCATAGGGATAGTTAGGTGTTAGCTTTTCGCGCAGAACTTCATTGTCCGGAATTTGACGTTTCATCATATCCAGGCTTAAACTCTTCACAAATTCGCCAACTTCTGGCTTGATAATCATATCATGTACCTGGTCTTGAGATACCATCAATCTTTGTCGATAGCGCTCGCGGAAATGAGGAAAGAATTTATATACCAACCTTTGAGCGAGGGACATATTTTGGTTGTTTCTTGGTAAGACCCAGTTTGGTGTACGCTGGAAGACTGTTAGGTGCGATGCGAGTTTCGCAATCTCTGGAATCATCTGAATGCCTGTTGCTCCGTTCCCAAAGATTGCAATTCTTTTGCCTTTGAGTTCCTGACTTTCGTCCCATCTTGAAGAATGCATGACTTTTCCTTTGAAATCGTCAAGCCCAGCTATATCGGGGATGGATGGTATGCTGAGCTGCCCCACGGCTGACACGAGAAATGGAGTAATGATCGTGTCTTGATGGCACTCCTCTTTCTCACCATTGCCTGTAGACGTAACTACAACCCGCCATGCCTTCTCGGTATCACTCCATTCCGCACTTTCAACAGTAGTATTGAAAACGATGTGCTTGAAAAGATCCCATCGCCGAACCGTGCTGATCAGATACGCGTGGATCTCTCTTTGTGTGGGGTAAGTGCACATCCAATCTGGATTCGGATTAAATGAATATGAATATAGATGACTCCACGCTGTCAAAATTTCAGAAAACGATGAATGGTGACGCTATCGGCATTTGAGTTGTGAACTAACCATCAGCGCAACATCCAGGATAACGATTGTCATTCCAGGTACCTCCAGCATCACCTGACTTTTCAAGTATTATGAAGTTTCGACTTCCATTACGGCGTATTAGGTCGACTGCCATACATATACCTGGGTATTATCGGTCAGCCCTTGTTAACGAATCTTGTGTTATGAGATCACCTGAAATTCCGGCTCCAATAATCACAACTGGTAGCCCTTTGCTGTTGCTGGCCATTTTCTCACATACACTCTAGTCCCTGGAAAACCTCAATCAAAATTGAAACTTTGAACTTCGGGAGCAACGCGCTGCAATTCTACATTCATATCTGTGAGGTCAGGAAACAATGTGCGATAAGTTAGCGGATTGGAGTATCAAATCCTAGACAAGTTAAACAAACTTAAATGCCACAATCTCAAACCTCTATGCCACAGCCCCAAATATCTTCCCGTGCCATATCTCAAGTTCTCGTGCCTTCACAAAAATTAGTGGAGATAAATGCAAACATCATTTGAGGCCAGTATACCAATATCAATCCCTGTCAGGATTGGGGACTTTTAAACTTTTCTGTTTTTCTTGTAGTCTTATCATATCATTTTATAGACTACTAACTCCGTACCTGTTACTGGTTTGATATATACTACCATTTAGGTTCAACACCTAACGCCGGTTCCTGATGGAGTGGTAGTATTACCGTTTCCCGTTTTGTGTAGTTTTACTGGCCTTTAACTACTGAATTATAGTGCCTTCAGAGCCTTGAAAATTCCAATAGAACCAATTACTAATTACGATATTTCATCATTTTTATTACACAACCAATTATAAATATTGAATAATGTAATATTTATTATTAATTGAAAATAATCTACTTTGATGCTTTTTTTTTTTTAGCTATATATTTCATGACTGTATAAATCGTAATATCTTAATAGCTTAGGTAAAATTTCTAAGCCAGTTAAAATAGGAAAAAGATTCAAGCGTTTAATCTTATTTAAGGTACCCAAATAATAAGTTTAGCTCGTGAATTTTTCTGCCACTTCAATCGTTCCACCGCGGTTCGCTTAAGACGGACTTAACGGGCGTTACTTGATTGCCGAACGATCCAATGGGAGTCTCTGTGATGTTATTAAAGGGTGCAGTAATCCGACACATACAATCTATGCAGCTAGGTAGTATAATACCTTGTCTTCACTTCCACTCATAAATGGTTACCCAAACTCCGCACCTCAACTTTCATCTTCAACCACAACTTCCCAAACTGCCCGAATCACAAGCCAGAGCTTGCAGTCAAAATGCCCAAATTGGGACGCTCCATTCTGGCTATCGTTGCCGTGATAAACGGTATCGGTGGTTTTATCGCTGACTGGAATCACACCCATGTCTACAACCCACGCTGGCCGCCACACGCCAAGTTCCACAACGGGCAAACATTATCAACGGGTGTGCTTCTCGGCATTGGCGCTCTTTATTACCTCTATCGCCCAAGTACCTCACGTGTTATCGAGAAAGAATCACTCTACACAGCTGCATTGCTGACGAGTCTGAACTGGGTTGCACAAGTTAGCGCGGCATTTTACCCTGGGTCACTACCTGTAGATCCCGAGTTTGGCGACGGATTCCCGCAGGCGTACATAGCTGGTGCTCTGTTGAGTATGGTTGCTATTGGGACAGCTTTGGAGAATTCGAGGCTCAAAAAGGAAGGGAAATCAGAATGAGAAGTGACTTGAAGCTTAGATGTCGTTTTTATGGCGATATCGGGATTTTTGAGAATGGCATAGGAGCTCTATTAATCACCCACCAATAGTAACGCAAGCTTACTTCGCATGAGGTTTCGACCCACTTTGATAATGATTCCAACCTATGATCTTTCTGCCTTCGTGTGCGTACCCTCACTTGCCTTACATGCACTATAAAGAGTGCCAATATTGCCATAACAATCGCGCAACAGGGCTTTCATACAATAACCTATAGGCCAAATATTCATGTGCTATATTAGAAACATGAAACTTCCAAAGTCACTCATTGATATTCTTACCTTTACAAACCACTACGAAATAAACTAACTTAGTAGCCATGGATTCAGGTATCGAACTCTATATCTTTGGAGACCAATCACAAAAAGTCGATGAAGGACTAAGAACTATCATCTGTTCTGATCGTGATCCTATCCAGGATTCATTCTTAGCCAAAGCATATGAAGCAATTCGCTCTGAAATTCACGCTTTAAAGCCTAGAGTCTCCATCAAATTTGCAGGCTTATTAGACCTGTTAGCCTTACGCGAAGATGGCTTCAAAAGTGTTCCTCTAGATCACGCCCTTACTGTTATCTATCAGATTAGTCTCTTCATACGGTACGATTCATATATACAATATATGAATCCCAATTGATACTGTAACAACTGCTAATTTCTATATAGATTGTGCCATAAAACTGGGCGCTACCCACAGCCATCAGACTCTTACTTAGCAGGGATTTGCACCGGCACGCTCGCTGCAGCTGCAATCAGCTATAGCCGGTCTCTTTCCGAGCTTGTACCAGTAGCGGTACAGACTGTCATCATCTCATTTCGCGCTGGTTTATTAGCTGCAGAAATCGGGACACAAGTGGCGTTAAATGACAAGACCGGAGCTTCATGGGCAGTAATCTACCCGGGATTATCGGTAGAGAAGGCAAATTCTGTTATCAAAGACTTCTCAGAATCGCATGTATGCTTGAAAATATAGTCCTAGAATCAATTTTTACTGATCGAACTCGCAGCGTATTCCTCTGATCTCACAACCGTACGTCAGTAGCAGTTCGAGCCGTGGTGTCACAATCAGTAGCCCGCCCAGGATACTGAATGCCTTCCGAAATCATCAAGATTTAAGTACCTATAAAGGTATTGAATTGTGTGTGAATGCCCCTTACCATGCACCACATCTCTATACACAACAGGATATCGAGAGTATTCTAGACCGAAAGACAGGATACTGCTGGCCCGAGAGTTCCAGAAGCAGCATTCCGGTCCTATCAATAGCGACGGGAGAGATCATTCTTGCCCGCAATCTGAGAGAATTGCTACGAAATGCCCTCGTAGACATCTTTCTAAAACCTATGCAGTGGGATTTGCTAGCAAATACTCTAAGTTCCGTTTTGCAGTCTCCAAAAGACACCAAAACCTTGTTGATTCCAATCGCTACTGATGCAGGACCGGGCATCAAAGCAGTGTTGAAGATGAAGGGGAACACAAACATTGAAGTAGCAGGCCATCCACTTGGGCCCGCAAATTATGATCGATTTGATGCCGGAAAACACCAAACATATTCAAGCGCCGCTGGAAATTTGCCAAGATCCAAGATTGCTATCATTGGTATGTCAGGCAGATTTCCTAGTGCAAACGATACCGCAAAATTCTGGGATCTCCTCTACAAAGGCCTAGATGTGCATGAGGTCGTACCTCCACTTCGATGGGATCAAAAGACGCATGTGGACAGTTCAGGTACCAGAAAAAACACCAGTGCTACACCTTACGGTTGCTGGCTTGAGGAACCCGGATTGTTTGACGCCAGATTTTTCGGTATGTCTCCAAGAGAAGCTCAGCAGGTTGATCCTGCGCAGCGTCTTGCCCTAATGACAGCCTATGAAGCACTAGAGCAAGCAGGCGTTGTCCCTGACAATACGCCTTCGACTAAAAGAGACCGAGTTGGGGTTTTCTATGGTGTAACAAGCAACGATTGGATGGAGACAAATAGCGCGCAGGATATAGACACATACTTTATCCCTGGAGGAAATCGTGCGTTCATCCCAGGTCGTATAAACTACTGCTTTAAGTTTAGTGGGCCGAGTTATAGTGTGGATACCGCATGCTCATCCAGCTTGGCAGCAATTCATATTGCATGTAACTCCCTCTGGCAGGGCGACGTCGACACTGCAATCGCCGGCGGTACGAACGTGATAACAAACCCAGATTTCACGAGTGGACTTGACAGAGGACATTTCTTATCACGTACAGGAAACTGCAAAACATTCGATGATTCGGCCGATGGCTATTGTCGAGGGGAAGGTGTCGCTACGGTGGTTTTAAAACGTCTTGAAGATGCTTTGGCAGACAATGACCCTATTCAGGGCGTAATACTAAACGTATCTACTAATCATTCAGCCGAATCAAATTCCATCACTCGACCGAATGTGGGAGCACAGAAAGATATGTTCCAAAAGGTTCTTAGCGGTGCAGAGCGCCAAGGTGTCAGTTATGTCGAGATGCAGTAAGTCTAAATCTAGATGTTTCCATTCTTACTGAAAGACACAGGCTAACTCGAGGTTCTAGTGGAACCGGGACACAAACTGGTGACTTTGCTGAGATGTCAAGCGTTTTGGAATGCTTTGCACCCAAGGTTGGTCAGCGTTCCGCGGACCAACCTCTTTATCTTGGATCTGCCAAAGCAAATGTGGGCCACGGTGAAGCTGCAGCAGGAGTGACAAGTCTCATCAAAGTCTTATTAATGATGCGGAATAACACAATACCTCCTCATTGTGGTATTAAGACTAAAATAAATCACAGATTTCCGGAAGATTTGTTTTCTCGGGGTGTTCGTATTACCGACAAGCCGATCAAGTGGGAGAAAGCCCACGGCCGTCCTCGTCAAGTACTAGTAAATAATTTTAGTGCTGCCGGCGGTAACACTGCCCTGCTTTTGGCGGATCCTCCTTGGAGACTTGCCGACTCAAAGAACGATGCTCGAATCATACATTTAGTTACCATCTCTGCTAAAACGGCTTCGGCGTTGAAAGCAAATGCTCAATCCCTGTTGTCATTCCTGACGGGTACTCCTGCTTCTTCCATTTCCCTGTCTTCTCTTGCTTATACCACAACTGCAAGACGTATTCACCATCCCCATCGCATTGCCATAACTGGAATTGGTATAGAAGACATAGCAGTCAAACTGTCTAAGGCGATAAATTCCGAGGTTGGAAAAACAAGGTCCATTTCAAGCCCTTCGATTGCCTTCGCATTCACCGGGCAGGGATCTAGCTATATTGGAATGGGGAAGGGGATATTTGACAGAATCTCTTCTTTTCGGGCTGATATTTGTCTCTATGATAAATTGGCACAAAAACAAGGATTCCCCTCGATCCTACCCATTATCAGCGAAGATGGAGATAAAACCCAGATACCCGATCAATCTCCAACGGCAGTGCAACTGGCTATCACTTGCTTGCAGATGGCGTTGGTCAGGCTCTGGGCTTCATGGGGTGTCAACCCCAGTTGTGTGGTCGGCCATAGTCTTGGCCATTACGCTGCATTAAATGCTGCAGGGGTTCTTTCGGCGGCGGAGACAATCTACTTAGTCGGAATGCGCGGTCAAGAGCTTGAAAGAGCTTGCTTGCCTCACACACATCTGATGCTGGCTGTCAAATCTTCGATCGAGATACTCACCCCCTTTTTGAAAGAGAAGGAAGTTGAGATTGCTTGTATAAATGGCCCAAGTGATATTGTCCTTAGTGGAACTCGAGAAAATATCGAAAGTCTGTCTAAGCTTTTAGTATCACAAAAGATCATGGGGACAATCCTCAAAACCCCTTATGCTTTTCACTCCTCTCAAATGAATAGTATACTCGAGGAATTCAAGCAGAATGCCCAAGGTGTGGCCTTTCACCCACCAGATATTCCTATCATCTGCCCGCTCTCAGCAACCGTGGTTCGTCTCCCCGGAGTTTTTGGAACGGAACACCTGACAGACCATTGCCGCAAACCTGTTGATCTGGTTGGAGCACTATCTTCTGCAACTACAGACGGTACGATTACAGACAATACAATTTTCATTGAGATTGGTCCTCATCCTACAGTTTCGCGAATGGTGAAATCAATTCTTGGAAGTCGTTCAACGGTGTTAACGTCGCTCGCGCGTAGCACTTGGACTTGGAAAACTCTGACGGACACAATGTCATCATTGTATATGGCAGGCGCCGAAATTCAGTGGAAAGAATTCCATAGCAATTTTCCGTCATGTCAGACGGTTATGGAGTTGCCGGCATATCAATGGGATCTCAAAGACTACTGGATACAATATGTCAACAATTGGTCACTTCGAAAGGGGGATCTGATTCCTGAGCTTCAAGCGGCACAGGATGAACACTTGAAAATTTTAAGTACGACGATACACGAGGTCATTTCCGAAGATATAGGAGATCAGCACGGTTCAATAATTGTAGAGTCTGACATCCATCGTTCTGATCTCCATCCATTGGTTCAAGGACACAAAGTGAATGGCATTCCACTTTGCACACCGGTAAGATTTTGCTCGTCTTTAAATTCTCTTGGCCTCTAGCTTTCACATCTAACACAGAAAACAGTCCGTGTACGCCGACATTGGACTTTCTATAGGCCGGTATCTTCTTAAAAAATATCGACCAGTCATGAAAGACCAACAAATTGATATTTCAAACATGGTGGTCGAGAAGGCGCTTATCGCCCAAGAGAAGGGGCCACAGCTACTTCGTACATCAGTAGACATTGACTGGCACCAGAAGAGCGCCAGTTGCCAGTTTTCCTCGGTAGATGTGAGATAATTCCTACTATTTTATTTTTCGTATGTTGCTAACCTCTAATAACTCTAGGAAAACAAAAAGACTATTGTTGTGCATGCCAAGTGTAACATCTTATTCGCCTGTCGTCCTGATCCCCAATGGCTGGAAGATTCCGGAGTAGAATTCGAATCTCGAATTAAGCAACTCGAAGCAGGCCTCGCTACAGATCAATGTTATAAATTTAACAAAACAATGATATATAGGATGGTAGATACGCTGGCAGAGTTTGACCCAGCATACCGTGCATTGAGTGAGGTCGTTCTGAACAGCTCGTCGTTGGAAGCAGGTAGCAAAGTCGATCTAAATGCTGTAAACAATACTGACAGTACCACTTTTCACACACACCCCGCCTATATTGATGCGTTTTCTCAAGCCGCTGGCTTTGTTATGAATGCCAATGATAGCTCAGATCCCACAACTGAAGTCTTCGTCAACCACGGCTGGGGCTCTTTCCGACTTTTTGAGCCGCTTCTTCCCGACAGAGTCTATCGAACATATGTCAAAATGGTGAAAGCGCAAGGTTCTATTTGGGAAGGCGACGTAACGATACTTGACGGTAACCGACCCGTTGGAAGATTTGAACAGATTCAGGTAAGCCCGGAACATCATTTAAATGAAATTCCCACTCGTGAGAAACAAAATTATGCTAAACTCGACTTTAGCTTCAAGGTGTTCCTAAACGGCTTTTGCATAGCATTCTACTGTCAGCAAGTAGGCAGCAGTCGCAAAAGGAAACTTCCAAATATTCCAGATTTGAGCCCTCTGAATTAGATCTGGACACGCCATTGACACCACCCTCTTCTGCAAATGGCATTGTAGTCACCAATAATAATATAGACAGTAACCCCAAACAAATCGAGGCAAAATTGGATGTGATGAACAAGGTTCTACATGAAAAGTACGGCAAAACCATGGAAATCGTTGCCGAGGAGACTGGTATCGATATTCAAGAGTTGAATGATAAAACTGACTTTGTATCAATTGGGGTTGACTCGCTCTTGTCATTGATCATCACAAGTCGCCTCAGCGAAGAGGTGGGCTTTGATACGAGTTCTGGATTCTCCCTTTTTGACCAGTTCTTTACCGTGGGTGAGTTGAAAAGTGGATTAGCGCGGTCCATGGGGCTATTGCCTGAAAAGGAAAGCCCGTGTCTCTCTTCCACTGGTGATGCTCAATCAACTGCTCATTCCCCGAGGATGACGGGAACACATCTAACAACACCATTATCCTTTCAAGAAACTTCACCACAACCTTTTCTAGCGTCAGATGATCTAAGCGCGATGCACAAATCACAAATCCGCCAGCCTAGCTCCGTCATCCTTCAAAAGGCACACACGAGCATTAATGTTAGGTCACTATTTTTGTTCCCAGACGGATCCGGCTCTGCGTATTCCTACGCCAACATTCCACGAGTGAATGATGACCTGACGATTGTTGCCCTAGTATCGGCATATATGCGTGACCCAGAGGAAATGAAATGTTCATTCGACGAGCTCGTCACTGGCTTTCTCAATGAAATCAAAAAGCGACAGCCGACTGGACCGTACATCCTTGGTGGTTGGTCGTCCGGTGGTGTTTTTGCATATCGTGCTGCGCAGAGGTTAATTGCGGAGGGCCAGAGGGTTGAAAATTTGGTGATAATCGATTCTCCCGAGCCAAAGGGTATGGATCGGTTGCCCCAACGCTTCTATGATCATTGTAGTGCCATTGGTATATTTGGACAGATTAAAACAGGCGGTGGTCCCATTCCTCAACCACCAAAGTGGCTGATCCCGCATTTTAATGCAACTATCGATGTGCTGCATGAATACTGGGCCGAACCTTTACCACTAGGTCTCACACCCAGAACCTCGATCATTTGGGCAGGAAAATGCACTCTTGACGGTATCAAAAATCCAAAGCTTCCACCGAGTGCTGATGACACAGAGGGTATGAAGTTTTTGACCGACCAGCGGACTGACTTTAGCGCCGGCGGTTGGGCTTCTCTTTTCCCAGGTACCAAGGTAGAGGTTCACGTAATCGAAGAAGCAAATCACTTTTCAATGATGGTAATAAGACCCTCTAAATCTACTGTGAGATCCTTACTGACATTCTCTTTTTTAGAATGGCGAGCATGCCGCATCCTTGGCTAAAATCATTCGTTCAGCTACATCCAAACCAGAGCTATTCGCAAATTCTTAGGAAACTAACATATTTAATTATTTCGTTGGTGTGAATATCTGTGTAGAGAAGCATACAATGTCAGATAAGCAGGAGTTTAGATAGCGGGAGTCGCGAGATAAAGGAGAAGAGGTAAAGAATGAGGATATCATGCTAAAGATGCAAAGCGCTACAAAGTATTTTATTCCACATTTACCGACAGGATAATTAGCCAAACATATTGACGCGGAACTAAAGCAAATTATGACAAATTAATTGGAATAGAGGAGAAAATTAATACTCGATACATATTTGACATAGATGAAAGAGAAATTGCTCCTCGATTAAATGCCGTGGAAGATATAGCGAACCACATATCATTTTCGAGGAGGAACGATATTCCCTAGAACAATTCCAAAACATAAAAACAAAACTAGAAAATATCTTGACTCTTGAGAATCTTTATGGATCAAGAAGAATCAAAAAAAAAATTCTATTTCAATTTAAAGTTAGAATCAATCTTGTTGTTTTAGAATGGGAATGAAACGCTTTATTCTAAGTAGACAATATAATGAAATCGATGAAGAGATTTGAAAGGGCACGAGACAAACTTAGCCAAGACAGTAACTTGACAGAAGATGTCTATGGAAAAGAAATAAGGGATCTTCGTTGAAAAGAGGAAAGATTATATGGCCAAAGCAAGATTAGAAAGCTAAATTAGAATATCCAGGGAAAACTTTGTTTGAAGTAAGGACACCCTCGAGGGTCCCAAGTCCTCGAGTGTATGGAGCATCTAGTAATAATACTCGAAACTCGCAAGTATGTAGACACTTAGCTTTTGCAGGCTATCACAACGATATGAGGATATCTTTTGTGTGGTAGATTTGAATATAAAAGAATCGTACAACAAGACAGCCAGTGTGTGCTTTCCTCAATCTCATCACCTCCTTGGATTCTTCATAGACAACTATATCATTAATGATATTGAAGTTCAAATTGATAAGTCACTTGAGTATACTTATCAGCCAAGATATCTCCAATGCTTCCTCCATACAGCATGTCCCGTTGAGAAGCTTGGATTGAACGCAATCTCTAATTATGTACGTCTAGTACTTGACTAGCCTTTGGTATGCGATTAATCCTCATTCAATTTACCATAATCCTTTCGTGCTGCTCTGTATGTTCCGAAGAACTTTCTACGTTAAATCACACCACCGTCAAAGTCTTGTATCTGGAGTGAAAATTGCTCTCCTACCACACTCTGAAAGCCATAAGTATGCTCATGCTGCTCTGATTAACATAGCAAATGATCACCACTTGAGATCTGTATGGCAAAATAAGAAAACATTTTAATTCGACATATCAATCAAACAAGCGAAAAAGAAATGTATGAACAGCCTACAAAATTCTAGGTACTTTCGAAACCTCAATACTATTGGATTGAAAAAGTACAGAGCTTTCGAGCATTGCTTCAAAGAGCATATTGTTTTGACTATACACATATCTGTTGTGAGACAAAAGTCTGATGTTAAGTATGTCCCAAATAGAACCAAGGAGCAAGCCTTACTTATTAAACCGTTCGTCGCTTGTTTCCAGATGGCCAAGATGCATTTGTGATGATTTTCTACCATCTTATATATATAGGTATTCGAATAACCTTATTAATACTTCAACTCTCTTACTCTAATAACCTTATATTTAAAGTTCTTGCTATTCCGGATTTGATCAAGGTCAACCTCATCGATCTTTTGGTGGATTCTCAAAGTCGGTGGTGCACTGACAAGGCTGAAAATGAAGTGAAGTGTCACAAGCTCAAACAAAAAGTTAAAGACCTCAGCAAAAACAGCTCGCATGGTGGGGCGAAGTGTCAATAATACACCACAACTTTCTTTCGCGTCTTGAAGATAATTACATTCTTTGATCTGCTGTCGAGATTTCAAAGCTTCCATCATGGCTTTTTCAATCGAAGTTCCTGGTGAAGCAGCCCCTCTTAATCCTCAGCAGGTGTTTCTAGCCTTGCAGTCGGCGGGGTCCTCTCAACAGCTAGCTATCCAAACTGGAACACAACAGCTAGAAGCTTGGAAGACACAGAGAGGATACTATACTTTACTGCAGGTATTTTCTCCATGGATATTGAGATCTGCCTACTTGACTAATGCTTTTGCTCAGGCAGTTTATCTCGATAAGTCCCTACCCTCCGAAATAAGATATCTTGCGATCATACAATTGAAGAATGGCATCGACAAATACTGGCGAAAGACAGCTCCGAGTGCTATCACTACAGAAGAGAAAGAGCATATTCGATCCCATCTATTGGAGAGTGGATTCGAAGAGACCGATCCTCAACTTGCTTTGCAAAATGCCTTGGTGATTTCGAAAGTAGTCCGAGTGGATTATCCCATGGATTGGCCCGATGTCCTTACAAATTTAATTAGAATGCTTCGAACGGCGAATGAAACAAACCAGCTTCATCTGCGAAGAGGAATGTTGATATTATTACAGGTTGTGAAGGAACTAGCTACTGCACGATTAAGGAGATCTCAAACAAGTTTACAATCAGTCACGCCTGAGATGATATTCTTGTTAAGCAGTATTTATACACAAAAGGTCTCGCAATGGCTAAGCTTCCTTACCCAGACACCTTCTGAAGATCACGGCGGGGCTATGGATGCCATGGAAAATAGTTTGATTGCGATCAAAATTCTTCGACGACTACTTATCGTGGGTTATGAGCATCCAAATCATGACAAAGACGTTCAACAAATATGGCAACAATCACAGCAACAGTTTGGTCAGCTGCTGACAATGGTAAATGGAGAATCGGCAATCTTGGCTTCTCCCGCAAAAGAACTAGCTGAGAAACATCTCGTGCAATTCGCTAAACTACATGTTCAAATGTCAAACACACATCCTGCCGCATTCGCACTATTACCTAATTCCATAGATTTGGTAAGAGCATATTGGGGATTTGTTGCGAAATTTGGAAACTCTTATGGATCAGCAACACAGGATTTCAGTGCCAAGGCGTTAGCAACTGATGATGGATCAAAGCAAGATAGACCAATCATGGAAAAACTATGTCTAAAAGGTCTTACACTCTTGCGAGCTTGTATGAAGATGGTATTTAGTCCAGCACAATCATTCAAATACAGGACTCCAGAAGTCAAAGAGGAACAGCGACAAGCTGTTGAATTCCTCAAATCCGAATTGCTTACCGAACAATTAATCGCCGAGATGGCAAGTGTTATTGTGACTAAGTTTTTCGTCTTCCGTCAAGTTGATCTAGAGTCTTGGGAAGAAGATGAGGATGAATGGGAGATCCGTGAAGAAGGTGGTGGAGACACCTGGGAATTTGAAGTTCGACCTTGCGCGGAGAAGCTATTCATGGACCTTGTTATCAATTTTAAAGATCTTCTGGTGGCACCGTTGCTACAATACTTCCACTCGGTTACAGGTAGTAATGGGGAATCTGTAGTAACTAAGGATGCTGTGTACACTGCTATGGGGTTGTCTGCTGCCGTTATACATCAAAGCTTTGACTTCGATACATTTCTTACATCAACTCTAGTTAATGATGTTCAACAAACTGGCCAGAGCTGGAAGGTACTTCGTCGACGAATTGCTATTCTACTTGGCCAATGGATCCCTGTCAGAGTATCACAAGCTAATAGACCATTGGTATATCAAATCTTTCAACATTTACTCAAAGCAGAAGATGAGACAAATGATCACGTCGTTCGCATTACTGCAGCTCGTCAATTCAAGACGATTGTTGATGATTTCGAATTTCATGTTGAACCTTTTCTACCATATGCTCCAGATATACTTGGTCGCACTATGGCTTTGATTCAAGAGGTCGAAAATACGGAGACAAAATTGGTAATCCTGGAAACGATCAGAATGATTGCTGTCAGGTTAGAAACTCATATCGCTCCGTATGCAGATCAAATTGTTTCTATTCTGCCAGGTCTTTGGGAAGCTTCTGGAGAAGAACATCTCCTTAAGCAAGCCATTTTAACAATTATGTCTACCCTTGTATCTTCCATGCAAGGCCAATCTGAACGTTACCACTCACTAATCTTACCTCTAATTCAACGTGCTGTGGAACCCGGTTCTGAGATGCAGGTATATCTTATGGACGAAGCTCTTGATTTGTGGTTACAAATTCTCGCTCAGACATCGTCACCTGCATCTCCTGAAGTCATAGCTCTTCTTGACTGCGCCTTTCCTCTACTAGAACTCGGTTCCGATAATCTTCGAATCATTCTCAATATCGTGAATGAATACATTCTATTAGCACCAGAAGTTATGCTCGGTGATGCGAACCGACTTCGAATTCTTTCATACATGGCAAATCTTCTAGGAGTCACAAAACGCGACCTTGCAGGTCTAGTCACTACAACGGTTGAAGATCTAATTCGTGCCGCTGAAAAACTTGGAGGTTCAAATGGTGTAACACAAATTACAAAAGATCTTCACGAATCGGGCTACACGGAAAAAATCTTTTCGGGACTACTTGACGCATGGGAAGCTCATCAAACCACCGGTCCTGATCGCAGATATCCAAAATTAGACGATGTAGTTGAAACGGACTACTTCACAATTCTCGCCCGCATCGCTCTGGCAGATCCAACCGTTTTTGCTAATCTCCTTGGTAGCATTGATAACAATTTTGAAAATATTTGGAAGTGGTTGAGCGAAGAATGGTTTCGTCATTTTGACAGTATGGCAAACATCGACAGACAAAAACTTTCTTGTTTAGCCTTAACACGTCTTCTTGAATTGCAGCCTCCAATGACACCAGTTATACTTTCAAAACTTCAAGATTTTTTTTCAATGTGGACGAGTGTTATTAGTGAGATGATGGCGGGTAGAGATGATGTTGGGGGAGATAATTTAATTTGGGGGGAGCAGCAACCTTATGAGGGAGAGACTCAAGAGGATAAGAGAAAGAGAGAGTGGAAGATGATTGATCCAGTTCATCAAGTCAATGCGTGGGAGTTTGTTAAGGTGAGGTTGGGAGAGGCGGTGAGGATTTGTGGAGGAGAAGACAGTTTTCAGACGGAGTGGGCGATTAATGTTGATAGGGATGTGCTAGAAGGATGGGCAAAGCTAGGGGAGAAAAGAGAATTTGAGTAGAGGATTGGAAGTGAGAGAGCCAAAGGATTTATACTGTGGGATGAAATGATCATCAAAATAAAGATCTGAAATTATATGGTTCGAGGTAAAACATCCAAATACAAGCACTAAGTAAAGGCTTACGATTTGAGAGCTTTGGTTTATGATAATATCGTCTGTTGATAATAGGGGCAGGAAAAATAACATTGGCATAAAGATTGAAGTAATATTCACTATAAATTAAGAGAATAGATACCCATTAGAACACATCTGATTCTAGAGACTTGAATATCATTCCATCGTCTTGATGGTATAGAACTGGGTTTATGTATCTGTGTAATGATATGAATGATTTAATCTGTTTGTAAAGTATATCAAGAGCTATTTATTGCTTACATTACTTTTATGAGAGTAGAATGATGATGAAGCGACGATAAAATGATGATAAAATGATGATAAAATGATGATAAAATGATGATAAAATGATGATAAAATGATGATAAAATGAGATGGGATGAGATGGGATGAGATGGGATGAGGTGAAACGAGATAAATAGATATGATTGTTACGAGGGTTGCCGTCTAGATCACGTGGAAGTGCTCTAGGCTCTCGAGGTGGTTTATAACTAGGCGTCAGGCAGGGACTTAAAGTAATGACAATGATGATATGCAATTCGTAACTAATAGTAGAGTATACTAAATGATTGATCTTGAGCACGAAGCTCTATACAAAGGAAACCATCCTGATTATATAGACCTTCGTCCTTCATTGGATCTCTTGGATCTTGAGAGTTTATGGACCTACGATTCGTATAGACCTACGATTTGCATCCTTGAATATGCAGGGTCCATCACGTGACTTGGATCAGACTATATGTCTGTGCTTGCTGAAGGTGGGGAGACTCTACGAACCGATTACCATACAATTTTGTATGTGAATCGGTTTGCTTTTCCACGGGGTCTGAGCTCATATGGACAGGTTGACTGTTACTACGTAACACTATCCCCTTTCTAGTCTAGCGCTTGTCCCAAGCTCTTATAGTCACGTTTCCTGCTGTATTATGATTTTTCGGAAGATAACTTTTTCTTCTTTTCTTCCATCATGCCACCTGTACGATCAAAGAAATATAAAGAACGAGTCGAACTTGCTTTAATAATTGAATCTGAAGGGTTCGAGATGCCTCCATGTACTTATTGTGAAAAACATTCATATCGTTGTATTGTTGCTAAGGAAAATTTCAATCGTTGTAGTGAATGCGTTCGTCGGGGCCAGCGATGTGATATATCGGGTCCTACTTCCAGAGATATGACGAGCATTATTCAGGAGCAGGAGCGTTTGGATCGCGAGCGCGAAGAGACTTTGTCGAAATTGCTTCGTCTAGATAAGCAACAACGCTTCCTTCGTGGGCGGGCTTCTGAAATGATTCGTCGTGGTCTAAAAACAATGGATGAGTTGGATGATGCAGAGGAGAAGGAAAGATTGGATAAAGAGCGTATAGGGAAGGGGCAGTCAAATTCCGGGTTGTCAATGCCTGCTGAAGCTAGTTCTAATGTGCTGGATAACTTCGATCCTTCTTCTTTCCTGAGTCCTTCGGACCCCTTTTCCTTTCAGAATTCTTCGGGTCCTTTTTGGGGAGATCCGGATAGCGTTGGTGAAATGCCTCCAACTTCTCAGGACAGCTGAGATCTTTCTTGAGCTCCCAAGTGTTTTCTGAATGTGGGTAATCCAACCATTTGATCAGATATTTGATCTTGCCTCTGACATATTTACAATCTAGTATGGTTTCAACATCGTATATGACGTCTGGATTGACTGGTTCGATTTCCGTTATTGGCGCATCGGGCGCTCCTGATGGTGCTGGTTCAAGCAAGGATATATGGAATATTGGGTGAATATTCATAGTGTATAGTAATTTTATCCTGTAGTTGACTGGTCCAACTACCTTGTCGATTTTGAATGGTCCTAGTTTCTTGTGATCTAGTTTATCGCTTGGTCGTTTTGTCTGTATGTTTCTTCGAATGAGATAAACTTTATCCCCCTCTTTAAGCGTAGGTCCTATACTACATAATTCGTTGTAGTACGACGCTATTCTTAAAGCGATGAACTATAAATCCAAGGAAAGTTGTTCTTGTAGTTCCTTGATTTCCGTGATATCTTTTATGGCTTCGTCTGCATTCGCGTCTTGTGGCAATAGTGATTTATATGCTAGTGGATTGAACCCAAAGTTAGCATAAGCTGGCGTCACTTTTGTTGTTTCCGTTTCCGATGTATTATATGCGAATTGTGCCAAGGGTAATAATTTAACCCAATTGTCTTGTATGTAATTGATGTAGCAGCGAAGATAGGCTTCCATTGTTTGGTTTAATCGTTCTGTTTGGCCATCTGTTTGTGGGTGAAAAGCTGTCGAGAGCTTTCTTTTGATTCCAAGCAATGCCATAAGGGTAGACCAAAATTTCGATATGAATAGCTTGTCCCTATCTGAGATGATTTCATCTGGTACACCGTGTATACTAATTATATTCTGCATGAATATATAAGCAAGATCATCTGCCGTCCAAGTTTCACAAAATGGTATCATGTGAGCGAACTTGGTTAACCTGTCTGTTACCACCAGGATGGAGTCGTACTCCTTCTGGGTAACCGGGTCCTTGGATAATGGTAGTTTTACTACAAAATCCCAAGCAATAGACTTCCATGGTTGAGTAGGTAGTTCGGGGGTTTTGAGCTGACTATAAAATGCATGCCGAACGGCTTTATTTCTTATGCAGATGTCGCAGTTCCCAACTACGTTTTCAACTATAGTCCTTATCTTTGGAAAGTACACTTCTCTCCTTACTCTAGCAAAGGTTCTTGCAATACCTTGATGCCCATGAGTTGGAAGCTCATATTGTTCTGTAACATAATCCTTAGCTAGATTGGAGGGTATGTAAAGCTTGCCGTGAAAATGAATGAATCCATCTTTGATGGTGAATCCTCTTTCTGGGTTGTCGGGGATAGCTAGGATTCTCTTTGCTGTAGCGTCCGTTGAGTATTCTGTCTTTATGATATCTTTGATAGTATCATAATTTACTGTTGACCTCCTGGGATCTTGGCAGCATATGCATATATATTGCATGATGCATATAAGGAGCAAACAAAACTCAACTTTTAATTCATTCTTTCCTTTTTGGTATACTGTTTGTTTGCTTTCAATATTTTGATTTCAAAGCACTTTAATTCCGAAGGCCGAATACCTAACCCTATTCCTTCATTTTTTGAATATATACTCGCAGCTTAACTGCTTAGCTAGAGAATCAATCAATTCAATCTGATGCTCTTTCTGGTCTCAAGAAACCCAATAAGTTCTGAATGCTGTTTTCCATTCTTCACCTTCCTTCATTCTGATGAGGTGAAATCCGTTTCGTAGATCAAACTTGGAGAAAATCTTAGCTTTTCTCAATCGATCCCTCAGTTCCGTAGCTAATGGAAGTGGGTACCGATCTTTGATCGTTATATCATTGAGTTTGCGATAATCTACACACAGTCTATCTGTACCATCCTTCTTTGGTATAAATAGCACAGGGCTAGCTGCCTGTGAGGTGGATTCTCTGATCCATCCTTTTTCTAGCGCGTCGCCAATGTAATCCCTAAGCGTCCCTAGGTCAGAGGCTGACATTGGATTGATTGGTCCAAATGGAGGCGTCTTGCCTTCCTCCAATACTATCTCGTGATCCCATGGCTTGTGTTCTGGTAAAGCTTCATAGCCTTTTCTTTCTTCGAATAGTTTCTTGTACTTCTAGTACTGTACCGGTATTGGCGTCTCGTCCTGTTTCTCTACAGAGGTGGTTTCAAGCAGCTTCTTCTGCTTATTCTTCATTTGTACAGAAGGTTCACCTTCCTTCGCTGTTAATGGAGGACCCCGGACTGGGCGTCCTATGTCAGTAGTGCTGTTCGCCTTCAGTTCTCCACCGCGTGTGTTCAGCCTCGCAGGCTCCAACGCATCTCGTTGATTGCTTCTCTTCGGAAATGATATAGTTTCCGATGACCAGTCAATCTGGAGGTTGTGTGCTTTCAACCATGGCATCCCCAGAATGATCTGTTGATTCCCTAGTGGAACAACATCGAACTGGATAACTTCCTTGTACTAGATTATACTCATCCGCAAAGGGCGAGTCTCCTGCAAAATCTTTCCATCCAATCCGATTAGTTGTCCATCAACTAGCTGCAATTGATATAGGGTTCGTTTCGCCTGAAGCTGTACTCCCAAATGCCTCACAGTTCCTAATGCAATAAAATTTCCCGTAGCCCCTGAGTCAATCATGGCCTGGATTACTCGTCCATTTATCTTTGGATTGCAGTAAATCTGTCCTGCCTGTCCTGCGATATTTAACTGTCCCTGACCTAAAACCTTGTTGTGATCAATTTGGTCAATTTGGTCGATTTGGTCAATTTCGTGTAACTGACCATTTAAATGATCATGTGACGATAATTTTTCTGACCTTCCCTTCTCGTAGGGTCTTTTTGCTTTTCTTTGGGGAAACCATCCTGTGGCTTCCTTATCTGATAGGTGAATTCTGCAGGATTCATAATCCATCGCGTTCAAGCCTTCTTTGTTTCTGGGTAATTCATCCAGTAGTTTTTTGAACTCTTCGTGGCTTATACAACGGACTTCCTCAGATCCGATAGAACTTGTTGCACATAGCTGAGGAGTGAAGGTCGCATTAAGTTGACCCTTGCCGAACTTCTTATGATAACCTCCTCCTGATTATTTCTTGCTTCGACAGTCTTTAGCTCGATATCCTGGTTTGCCACATTCGAAGCATAGCTTATCCTTGCGTCTGCTTTCTACCTCTTCCTTGAATAGTTTGTTCTTAAACACTGCATCCAGTTGCATTGGTTCTCCATAGGATTGTTTGTTTTCTCGAGGTCTTCCTTCATTTTTGTGGTACTTACCACGATCTCGGTTTCTATGAATATTGGAAGATCAGCGTTCCTTCTGATACTCGTAAAGTATCTCATCCGCTTTAATAGATTCCTCGATTAACTCATTTAGGTCTTCCCAAATGCAATTGCAATCCAATTCTAGCCTAATTTCAAGCTTAAGCCTTTTCCAATAATAACTCATCGTTGTATTCTCTTCCCATCCAATAATACCTATATACCTCCTGAATTCCACAATATACTTAATTGCTAACCTTGTTTGCTTGAGGCTATAGATCTTGGACTCAGCGTCATGTAATTCATTGATGTTTCCGAATACTCATCATATCTCTCTTTTAAACCCTTCGAATCTCTCAAAGATGGCTTGGGTTGGATGTATTCGTTTTTTAGGCTCGCTCAAGTTGGTGAAGTAATCCTTGAGGTATGATTGGATCCACTTAACGGCTTCTCCTCTGAGGTAGGAGGCAGCCCAGACGCTTTTGTCGGCGTCATTATTGAACTTATCCTGATTGAATTGGAAGTAGATCTCAAGTTGGAGCAAGAAGGTTTCTAGTTCTTGTCGGTTGCCTGTGAATCGGTCTGATAGGGCGATTTTAAGAGTCTTGAAGACGGTAATCTCCTTGGGGTCTTCGATGCCTTCTATAGCGATGTCTCCATCCTTGTCAGTACTTTCGGGAGTGGCCTGGCTGGTCGTAGCGGGGTCGCTAAGCTGTGGTGTTTTGGAAGACATGATGTCGTTACTTATCGAGTCGGTACTTGAAGCAATAATGATGCTCAAAGTGTTACGAGGTTTGCCGTCTAGATCACATAGAAGTGCTCTAGGCTCTCGAGGTGATTTATAACTAGGCGTCAAGCAGGGACTTAAGTAATGACAAATAATGATATACAATTCGTAACTAATAGTAGAGTATACTAAATGATTGATCTTGAACATGAAGCTCTATACAAAGGAAATCCGTTTTGATTATATAGATCTTCATACTTCGTGGCTCGAAAAAAGCAAAGGGATCGAGCTTCGATCCTTTCGCTCTCCTCGATCGAAGGGCTCGAGAGGCCAAGCCTTCGAGCTCTTCGAGTTCTCGCATCACGTGTTATTACTAATCCTGTGACCTAATTGTTACCCGTCGTAACATGTACTATGTTTTTTTAATCTATCCTATTGGTTATTTGTGATGTTAAATAGGTAAGGGTTGTCTAGGTAGGTAGGTAAGTAAGGTTAAGGTTGCTTCTTCGGCTAATCATTCAAAGGTCCGACTTTAAACTTTGGACCAAGTGACTTGACTTGAATTGACTTCCGAACGTCATAGTTCTTTCTTTCTTTCTTTCTGTCTTACTCAAGTATAATAAAATAGATTTCGACGTGAACCAAGTTAAGATAAAGATAAAGATGCTTACTACCTACCTAGTACTCATACTTATATAGAGATAGAATATTTGAGGAGTGGAAATGATAACTTTTGAGGTTTAATTAGATCTTGTTTATGTAAGATCTTAGGTTTTGATTTAATGCTGAAGTTTCGAGGTGATTGATTAAGTAACAGGATATAATGGTTGAAACCAAAGGAATTGTAAGTGTTTGGGTTATTCGAGATTTAAGCTTCAATCTCAAATATATATGGATGGATATAACTAGTTAGTCTTCATGGAAGAAAAAGAAAATAGTCTCCTGAGAAAAGAGTCCAGCCCAAAAAATGATTCTGATGATTCTAGATCATTCATTCATTCACTAACCTACTTACCTTACCCTTTGGGGTAACAAGTTACAACAAATCTTCTCATCCATGGTCTCCCCCCTCATTCGTATTATTACCAATGTTACCCGGCTTCTCGATCGAGTCTCCTCGAAACTCATTAGCTACATAAAAGCACTGCGTAATATAAAATATAAGAGCGGTCAAGAAATCTGTTTCGAAGCGCGACATATACCATACCTACCTACCTACTGGTGCTTCGTGGTTTGTACGACTCTAGGCTTACTTATCGATAAGATATGTGGTGTTGTGGGAGGGAATTCATGCATGGAAGTAAAGTAACGTCGTTGATGATTTTCTTAGGTACCCCGTACCTACGTGGATATCATGTGTGGAGAGTAAGATTACTTAGGATTTGGTGTATCATTCATGGGTGTACACTGTACAGAGGAGAGAGAAGTTTGTTTGTTTGTTGTGTTTCATGATGGTTTACAGCGTGAGTGTTGTGAGTTGTGGTTAATGCGGGGACTGAATCACACCAAATATATCAGAGAAAAGAGAAGAAAAGAATGAATACATGAATAGAATACATGAATGCTATTATCTTATGGACTACCTAGCACTAATACAGACAGAGTAGCAGATAAGTCTCATCCGTCTTGTTTTCCAATATATGGATGAAAATCATCTTAATTGGTCTTGTTTCAATAATAAACATGTGAAAAATGTCGATATTAACTTGTTTAGTCCATAATACTCGTATTGTTTTATACCTTCTTCAGCCACAAACGTGGGGCAATATTGGGGATGGCCGCAAGTTGAGAAAGTGTGCATCCATCTCTATCTCTTTGGGGTTGTGATTGGGTTTCAATATCACCTCATCAAGGTTTGGTTTTGTTGATGGAAGCCCAATACTTTCTTTTACTCCACTCAATCTTTCAATCTTTTACATACAAACTCAACCATCATTTGGAGAATACGGACTTTTGGGAACGGAGATAAATTTATTGGTGGAGTAGGGTGATGAATCCGATTTTGATGAACCTTGATGGAGGAGACAATAAAGTGATAGAGAGTCCGGTCAATATAATGAGACAAGGTGAAGATAAAAATAGGAACATTCAGCTTGACAGACAGACACCGATACAGAGATTGTTGGTATGGTTTAATTTATGTTGGTGTGGTTTAATTCATGTTGGTGATGGCAGTCAAGGTGATATTTGATCTAACAGAGGAGAAAAGAAATCCCAACAAGATCTCGATGGAGTTGCATACGAGTGTAATAAATGCAACAAATGCAACATTGAAAGCGTGGGGAAACGAATTTTGTTGTGAAGTTTTAATGGTCGGTCCATGGTCCATGACTCTTTTATCCGTGGAATAATACATGCTCAGACCTGCAAGTAAGTACTTGGAAATGCCAATAATGATAATTTTCTGTATGTAAAAGGTGCGTTGTCATTGTTGATAGTAAATGAATGACAAGGTAGCCACGACCTCGATCTCGACCTCGACTTGGACCTCGACCTCAACCTCGACAGATGAAATGTAGGAAGTACCTAGTATGTGGGTGTGTGAGTAGGTAGGTAGATATGGTATTATTGAATCGTGGTACGAGGTGGTACTTGAGAAATCAACCAATCGGAGACATGATATGAACTCTCCGCTTAGAAGCAAGGCAAGGCAAGTATTAATTTCTACCCCACCTTGAAAAACATTTAGAAACCAACATGGGAGAATTACAATTACCCCTCCATCATTATAAGAGATTATCGAGTAGTTCGTTGACCGTGGACCATGGACTGTATAGAGTAGACCGTAGACCGACCGTAGACTGGATAGCTGTGCATAGGCAGGTAATGATTAGTCTTACATCTTTTGGAAGTAAGTCCTACTAGGTATCTACTAATCAATCAAATCGAGGTAATATTTCATATAGTGATAGCTGCTAACCTTGTGCGAAATACAAAAATACACAACAGCAACGAGTTACAACAGCTACTTACATACCTATCTAGCTAACCAAGCTATCCGACTTTTACCAAAGACTTGATCATATATCAAAAGGTTGAATAACTAGATATCGATTCTACTCGTGTCATTTATAGATTAGGCACTAGAACGCCTTTCATCCCCCCTAAAGACATCCACCATTTACCCGGACTACCACAGTTAGCATCCCGTGAATCATCATCAAAGCCACCAAAGAAAGAGACAAACTAAGCAACAACCTTTAACCCCATCCCCGTAAATACAACATACACTGTAGTATTCTGTACAATATTCCGTACATCACAATAAAGTACTGTACATGAAATTACTGTACATACATGAGGATTCAGTAATTTGAGTCTAGGCAAAGCGTGGCAAAGGAAACTTGTAGCCTTTTCTAAGCCAAATCACCTACCTTTTAGTTAGTGTACCACTCCTCACACTCTTCACACTCCTCACTCACATTTAACCCCCCTTTTCCATCCAATAACGCTTCTCCCACCCACCGCTTAATCGAATACAAGCATAACTAGACAACCTTTTTGCAGTAGACATACATACACAACACGATTCAGAATACCAACCAGGTCATCTTCTGCCGCATTGCATCGGATTGGGGAGTTGTCTATCACCTATCACTTAGCATAATTGCATGATTCCTTCCCTAGTCCCTGCAACAGGCCCTAGCACGCACACCGAACAACCTTACCCCTCCAACTCACTCTAACCAGTAGTTTTCCGAGGGTCGCCGCATTTCGCATATTCCCATTAAGATTTTTTTTTATCTGATATACCAACCAATACACCGAGAATATTTTTAAAGTCTTCCTTTCTCTCTTCTCTCTTCACGATGTCGACTTCCCCACAAACCCCAGACGTAACTCAATCAGTCCATAATCATTCCGAAAATGCCTCCCAGAGACGAGAGTCCGAGTCCACCTCCAGTTCCGCCGAACTCACCAGCGTCACCTTAAAGTTGCGCAAGGCTCTACGAAATTTCCCCGACTTTCCCATCCCCGGTATCGATTTCGTTGACATCCTTCCCCTCTTTGCTTCTCACGATCTTCACGAATCTTTGATCCGCGCTTTGGAGTTGCAAGTTCTTCTTGTGAACGGTGGAAAGAAACCCGATGTTGTTGTTGGTTTGGATGCTCGAGGATTTCTTTTCGGACCTTCCCTTGCTCTGAGATTAGGAGCGGGATTTGCTCCGGTCAGAAAGAGAGGAAAGCTTCCTGGTCCTACCGAGGAAGCTTCTTTCGAGAAGGAATATGGTCAGGATTATTTTCAAATCCAAAAGGATGCGATTAAACCTGGGCAATCAGTACTTGTTGTAGACGATATAATTGCTACTGGTAAGATGACACTTTCCGATTCACTATCTGCGGAACATTCACTCCGTCACACATAATCTTGATGAACATTTCACTGACATTTCATTCTAGGAGGAAGTGCCCAAGCAGCCGGAAAGCTTGTCCAACAACTCGGAGGAATTTGCATGGGATATTTATTTATTTTGGAATTGGATTTCTTGAAAGGACGTGATAAACTCTCCGCTCCGGTCGCAACATTATTACGCGATTAAATGGGTATGGATTGAAAGAGTTAAAAAGTCACGATGCCCATTTGTTGGATTTCGTTGGCGTTGGTGTCGGGCATTCATCATAGACAGCATTCATTCGCATTACAGAGCTTCTTCGATGTTGAGGTGACGATGGCCTTGTTATGAGGGAATGGGTGGGCTTTTGTATAAGTTATACTCGTTGAGGGTAGAGTATGTTGGTTTATGGTTTGGATAAAATAATATCTTGATACCGATTTATATTGGATTTATCTTGGATGATATGGATTTGGATGTTGGATTCTGGATTGTGGATTTGATTTGAGATGACAGCAGAAACATTATCGCAAAACAAATGCGTAAGAAGTTCATGTTTTTCAATCCAGACTTAAATACCTTCATCTTTCCATACCTACCTAGGTATCATATATATCATGCCAACAGATTCATTATCACACATTCAGAACTTTGAAGGATTCTATCCATCTATCTATCTACCTATCTACCTCTATACCTACTATATGATAAAGGCAGATGAGTGAATCATTCATGTGTGTTTATGTATTTATGTATTTTATTCCAAGATTAATACTCTCCCACTTCTCTTCTCTTCCCATCCCATTCTTGCTTCCCCCCTCCTTTTTCCCTACTTCCATCTTCCTCTTCCCCTCCTTTTCCCCTCCTTTTCTCTTCTCCGTGAGACATCATCATCATCATCCCATCAACCATCTACCCACCAAAGCTTATAACAGTACAACTCATCAATCCAAAAAAGCTTTCCCTCGAAATTTTCTCTTATCGTCAAATCATCAGCCCACTCGTTCTAATTTCCAACCCACTTATGCAACAAGCCTTTCACCGATAAGGAAATTAATCAGCTTGATAATCTTGATTGCACTAAATTAGTAGATTCTCTACATGACATCCCGGCTGCGGCGCCAGCCTTGTGAATAATTATTGTCACGAGAAATATCATCTCACCTTAATGTCTTAATATCACATCCACACCCCCATTCTCTCCCTCACCCTCATTTGTAAAGTTCCTTTTGACGGGTTTCTTCTATTTTGCATTTTGCGTACCTACCTATCTGTTTTCTTTCCTATCGTACACGAAATTTTCTGTTAGATACGTACGGAGTTATAGATCTAAGATTGCATGCAATACAAAACAATAAACACACAACGCGGACTTCGAATTCACAACCCAGTCACGAATAATTACTTGAATTAGCACACGGAGTACATACATACATAGTCTAGCATAACATAGCATGGAATGATAAAAGAAATAAATGCCTTCCTTCTTCACCTTCGACCAAGGAACCGAACGTTTTTCCTTCTCTTCCCCAAACGAATCTTCACCGCTTCTGGGTCGTTTCCGCGCAGTACCGCCTTCTCCTACTTCTCCTACTCATGCAGCGCAATTAGCATATCCGCAACGGAGTAGGAGGAAAAGTCTGCTAGGGTTTCATATAGATGGGTTTGGAGGCACGTTTGGAGGTAGGGATGAGGGGGATGAGGGGGAGGTCGAGGGTTATGATGAGGATGAGGGAGTGGCTGGGTTGGGGATCGCGGGCATAGGGGGATTGCAGAGGAAGCTTAAGGTGTGTGGGAGGGAGATGTGGGATCTTTGGATTGAACCGAAGCAGGGGAAGGTGGCGAGAGTGGTGGATAAATGGTGGATGAGATGCGCGGTTTTGGTTGTGCTGCCGGCTTTGTTGGTGAGTTTGAGATGTTTCTGTTTTACTGTTTTTTTTTCTTGGGAATGCGGATGGGGGGAGTGAGATTTATTGTTGATTAAGGACTTTCATGATGGGACTATTGTTAAACAGGGAGCGGGAGTCCGGAGGTGTGGGGGATGATACGGGGGCAAGCCCCCAAACACCCTTTACTCGCTGCGCTCGAGGATCTCGTAGATGATACTAGTCGGCCTCCACGGCAGTGGCCCCCGGAGGGCCAGCGGAGCGTCTTTCAATTGGGTGTCCAAAGCAAAATATTCGTATTTATACGAGGGCAAGCTATCACATCTCGAAAAACTGATATCGAAATTGCAGACGAGCAAACATATTAGAAAGCCATATACTAACAATTGGAAATACTAGGCTGTTGCATGGTGTGCACTACCATTCCCGCAATACGAGCTTCCCGATGATGACGATGTGGAAGGTTTACCATCGAGGATTTTTGGACATAAGATACCAGGTCACGGAGAAGCTAGAGTTGAAATCAACTTTTGGTTCTTCCTATTCGTATACTATGGCTTTTACAATATAACAGCATTGATGTGGATAACAAAAGTCTTCAACATCTATTCACTGAATTGGTATATTTGAATCTCATGTCTCGACAATTACATACACTAACTTGTTTTAGGTGGCCTAAAAGTCTTGGTTTTCCTCTCACAGTCTCTATTATTGCAGCAATGTCTATAGCAGCTCCAATTCCTTTTTATTGTATACCGAAACTTCGATATATCACATCACATAATACAGCGTGGATATGCTGGACATTCTTCGCTATGGCAATGCCTTTACTAGTTGCATTTGCTATCCTCCTCAATCATGAACGGCATCTTGGCTTGCGTATTCCTCTCTCCGAAACTCAACGACTTTTTACATCTTCATGGTGGACAGGAGATCCTGACACGATAAATGCAAGAGATCGACCACGAAGACCAAATGTCATTCGAAATCAAAGTGCTTTTGATCCAAATGCTTCTTTGGAAGTAGCTTTAGCATCAGATAGTATATATCGATCGAGAGATTCTCAACGTATGTTGAGGAAGCGATGGCTTCCAGCAAGTTTCGTTAGATTCATGTGGTTTTGTGCTGCTTTACTAATAGCTATATTGACTTACCTATTGGGAGAAACTTATGCCGAGATATATTTGCGAACATTGCCACACAGTACCATTGAAACTCTCGTATACGTTTACAGTTGGGTTGTAACGGTACATTTATTAGATGGCTTATGTGGTTGGATCTTAGGGGGTAACGATGGAGAAAGAGTAGGTAGTTACCCCCTTGGTTGGATTTTTAAGCTGTAAGATAACACTATCATTTGTACCGTTGTGAAATACTGATATGGATTTCTAGATATTTTGCTTTAACCTACCAAACCTACGTCCGCGCATTATATGCACGCCTTCGCTCACCACAACAATTCATCTACCTTCAAATAATGTCCTCTTCCTTTTTAATTCTTCTCGCTCCTCTCACCATGTCCGCTCAATTTCATTCTCTTCTCACTTTTCTCTACCTAAATGGCCAATCCTACACCGCATATCAAAAATTCTGCACACGAAATATTTTCCTCAGAGGTTTGAGCGAAAATGTCTCCATGCTCACCTTTTTGGGGAGTATCCTTGTCCTTCATTACGGAGCTAATAAGGACGTCTACCCTTACTTTGCCTTCGACATACCTATCGCACCTTCAAACCAAACACTATCAAACTCTCCCTTCTCTCTCATTGATAAAATCCAATTCTTCCCCAATATTCCTCGTATCCCACATGGACCTGTTCACCTACCTCCTTCTCGACCCGGCCCACAATACGATTTCAGACTCACATTTTACGCTTCGGTCGTTACGTGGGCGTGTGAAATTGTAGCAGGGTGGATCACGAGGAGGATACTTTGGTTCGGATGGAAAATGGATGTTACGGGGGAGGGAAAGAGAGATTTGGGTAGTTGGCCGGAATTACTTCCTACTGGTGTCGTGGTTATGGTGCATGTTTTGCAGAATATGCTTTTTAGTATTGTTAGGTTGGCTTTCCATTAGGGATGGATGGTGATGGTGATGGAGGGTGGGGAGTGGGGCGTGAATAGAGAAGGAGAAGAGAAGAAGAGAAGATGGTTGGGAGGAATTTAAAAGGATTTTGTGCGCGAGTGAGGAGTTGTATGGGGGCATTCTGGATAGCATAGGATTGGATTGGGTGGGATAGGTGATGATAGGGTAGGATCAAAAAATGCGTTTGTATTGCGTTTGAGCATGGTGTTGGGAGTTGGAAGTTGGATCGGTTAGGGTGGTCTGTTCTGTTGTACATGGTTTACATACATGATTTATATTTGTTTGTTTATAATTTTTACATATCCCTCTTTACGTCATGTCTCTTTTTTTCATAATAAGGTTGTGTTTTTTTATGGATAATTGATGATGGATGGATGGATGAATGAATGAATGGATGATATTGGCTTCTTTTTTGTTTGTGAGGAGATTAGGCAGGTTTGTAACGATACTATACTGGAGGCAGCGGCTGCCTAAGGTTTCGTCTGGTTGGTAGTTGTGGGTTAAGGCTTTATCACTGGTCTTCACTTGGAAGTGAAGTCGTTACTAGATCAAGTAGAATGTAGGTAAACTAATTGATAACTAAGTTGAGCACTAAGCTCCTTAACTACGAGACTAAATGAATGTTTATATACCCTATATCATCTTTTGAGGACCTTTGGGACCCTAAGGTCCAAAAGGTCCTCGAGGTCACGTGAATTAATGAATCGTGACAAGGTTATAGAATGAAGGGGATGGATGAATTGTTTTGATTTTGGATAAAAAGAAAGAGGAGAGGAGAGGAGAGGAGAGGAGAGGAGAGGAGAGGAGAGGAGAGGAGAGGAGAAGTGGGGGTGGACAAGGGGGGAATATGTTACGAGGTTTGCCGTTTAGATCACGTGGAAGTGCTCTAGGCTCTCGAAGTAATTGATAATTAAACATCAAACAGGGACTTAAGTAATGACAATGATGATATGCAATTCGTAACTAATAGTAGAGTATACTAAATGATTGATCTTGAGCACGAAGCTCTATACAAAGGGAATCCATCTTGATTATATAGACCTTCGTGCCTCGTTAAAAACCGATGGCTATAAACCCGACAATTCGATCACCGCAAAGCCGATCTCGATTTGTCGGTTTCTTGATCATGTGATCAAGAACGTGACCTATGTTACTGTCCGACGTAACACAAAGTTAATCTTAATCAAACGATTAATTAGTTAAAGAAAGACTGAGAGAATAAGAATTCTGAAATTTACTCACCGTACACCATTTAAATTCGTGACAAAATCCCTGCAAAAACTATAATTTTCTATACTAGAGTAAAATATTAAATAACTTGTTACGACGGGTAACAATTAGGTCACAGGATTAGTAATAACACGTGATGCGAGAACTCGAAGAGCTCGAAGGCTTGGCCTCTCGAGCCCTTCGATCGAGGAGAGCGAAAGGATCGAAGCTCGATCCCTTCGTGTTACGAAGTAACAGCTGATCTGTCCATACGAGCTTGGACCATGTGGAAAAGCAAGTAGATTCACATACAAAACTATATGGCAATTGACTTATATGGTCTCCCCACCCTAAGCAAGCATAGACATCGAATCTGATCGAAAGCACGTGATCAAGGATTCCCACCGAGTCTAGGAATCCCACTATGGTGGGAAATATTCCCACCTTGATGGGACGATAGAAGGGCAGTGGGATGCATAGTACGAAGGTCTATATAACTGGAAAGAGTTTCCTTATTGTAGAGCTTCGTGCTCAAGATCAATCATTGAGTATACTCTACTATTAGTTACGAATTGCATTATTGTCATTACTTTAAGTCCCTGCTTGACGCCTAGTTATAAACCACCTCGAGAGCCTAGAGCACTTCCACGTGATCTAGACGGCAAACCTCGTAACATGTAAATACAAATCTTTATAATGATAATAAAAATACGAAAGAGATGAAAATTATTAATCTTGACGTGATCTTAATATATTTTAACTTTCTCAAATAAAATGAAAATTAGAAATATAATATACACTTTCAATTATAAAAATCCATATAAGAGACATAAATTATCATTTTGAAATTGCATTCGCATACTCATACATATATTTCATATATACACATAACAAAAATCCCTTTCATTGACACCACTTAAGCAGTAGAAGCATGACCACCCTTAATAGGCGCACCATTAGTCTCATTATGACTCAACGTAACCCCCTTCATCATATTTGCTGTACGATTTGCCTTATCTCTAGCCATCCCATTATGTGTACCGCTGAAATTCAAATCAGCGATCCCAGGATATCCCTTGATGCCAGTAGCTTTTTCAAGACGACTGGCGAGATCCTCAGATACTTCACGGAAAATAGCAATTTGACGCTTGATGGCCTCTTCTTTCTTACAGTTGGCCATGTGGCCAGAAATGTTTTTGATAAAGCGATCTTTGGCACCATCATCGAAGACTTTTTCCCAAAGGGCCCGCGGAGCCTTGAAATCTTCCTCTCGGATTTCGGAAAGGAATGTCACGGCATTGCCGGTGAAATGACCGTGCACCTTATCGGCATTGACTGTTCGGCCCTTGAAGTGGATTGGTTCAATGGAGGAAATATAATTGGGGCGAGAGCCTTGGTTGTAGAAGGCCATGCCGCCATCGCGTTGGAAATTGCCCATGCGGTAACTTGTGCGTGGGGCATTGACAGGAAGTTGTTGGTAGTTCACACCAACACGATGGCGATGGGCATCTGGATAAGAAAATAGACGAGATTGCAGCACTGGATCAGCCGAGGGCTCGAGTCCTGGTACTAAATGAGCGGGGTTGAAAGCGACTTGTTCGATTTCGGCAAAGTAGTTAACGGCGTTTTCGTTAAGAGTCAACTCTCCGACCTTACGGAGAGGAAACTGCTTGTGTGGCCAAACGTGTGTAAGATCAAAGACGTTGATCTTTTCCTTCTCCCACAAGTCCTCTGCCTCTTTAGCAGTCATTGTCTGAACTTCGAGTGACCATTTAGGGAAGTCTCCTTTATCAATAGCCTCATATAGATCCTTTTGAGCGTAATCGGGCGACTTCTCAGCAGACTCTTCTTGTGTGAAGAACTTCGTTCCTTGTTGAGAGATCATGTGGAATTGACAGTATACCCATTCGCCTGCCTTGTTAACAAGCTTGATAGTATGTCCAAAGTATCCATGCATGTGACGCCATCCATCTGGAATACCACGATCACCCATAAGGATCATGACTTGATGAACAGATTCAGGATTTTGAGAAAGGTAATCCCAGAACATTGTCGAATCATCAGCATGTGTAAGATGCGTTGATGGATCACGCTTCTGAGTGTGAATGAAATGTGGAAACTTGGCTGGATCTCTCAAGAAGAAAACAGGTGTATTATTAGCAACTAAATCCCAATTGCCTTCATCCGTCTTGAACTTGACGGAGAATCCTCGTGGATCACGAGCACAATCGTGCGAACCAGATTCACCACCAACCGTAGAGAATCTAACGGTGATTGGGCACTCTTTGCCTTCTTGGAACATGTCTGCAAGACATAGATCATCTAACCCATTTGTAGTTTTGTATGTTCCATGAGCTCCACCACCCTTAGCATGCACCACACGCTCTGGGATTCTCTCGCGGTCGAAATGTGAAAGGAGGTCTATCAAGTGGAAATCCTGGAGAAGTAAAGGTCCATTCTCGCCAACGCGTTGAGTCTCATACGGGTGTGGCATTGGTACGCCATTGGCAGTTGTATAAACAACATCCTGAGACTTTGCATTTCTATCATCTTGATAGTCGCGATACTGATCACCCGAAGTTTTTTGGGAAGACATAATGAATTATTGTAATGATAAAGTTTTAAATGAATTAAAGTAAACGATATTTAATGTAAACAGAATAAGGGGAAATCGTCAAATGAAATTTATCAGATCAACAAATAGAGGATCAACCATATATGGGGAGTGACCGCCACACATTTTGTACCATAGTCAATGACTTCATGAGTGCCCAGCTGCGCGATGTTCAATTGAAATTCCTTGATTGGTTGAACAATGCGCATTGAGTTCAACTCCATAAAGATCTTGGTTTTGGTGTTGACGCTTGCCTTCGGGTCCTGTAGTGGAGAGGAACTAGCCAGCCGCTAGGTACGGTACCACCGTGATGCTAACGATCGAGAGCTTGTCAATTTGGAAGCTCAGATTACGTACTAGGTAATCTATCGTTCTTCGAACATTCTTGATGCCAATTCTATCTCCTGGAACGGAGTGTCATTTTCCAGAAAGCAAGAGAGGAGTTACATGATCTATGATCAACTGTAAAATTCATCAGCAATTGTATCCCCAAACCGGGCAATTGTAAGCTTCATCCTCGGGTTCCAGCAGGAGATAGATGGCGTTCATGCAAACGGGGAATGTACAGTAGAGCAGGTACAATACGTCTTTGTGAAACCAACTCACTCATTTTTTGTCCTCAGTACAAATGACAAAGAATGATAAGGGACCCCCTGAAAAAACCACGATGATCGGAATCCAACTTTCATCCATGGATGGCATTGTAGATTCTCGATAGCACGATTCAGGTAAGAAAGACCATGATGATCGAGATGGGAAAAATAAACCCAGTAAATCGATAAATCAATACGAGTACGAAACAATGGGGCTTCAGAATGACATCGCATTTACGCGCATTGTGACTGCAAGAGTGGATTTATATAAAATTCAGTGGTGGCGAGCTTCCCCGCAGTAACCTTAACCTTACTCATCAATTAGTCATCATCTAGTCCTTGAACCCCTCGGGCTAGAAGATGCGTCGATGTTTCCCTGATCCGTACATGTACTTGTCAATCCAGTCTTCCAAGGTCAAAGTACGCATCAAAGTTCTATCACGTGTGTGTCATCATATAGCGACCATGCTGAAAAGAATCGAAATCTCTTGGTAGTATTTCCCATTTCGATCCTACCGGTGATGCGCAAAAGTCCCTTGGTATACAGAAAGCGACCCACGAGTACATTCCCATATCCATTAGGAATGGGGCAAAACATCTAGTGGCCTTCCCCAAAATCATGGTATACATAGTGTATAATATCAAATTATAAGCATCTCTCCTCAATCAAACTCCAATTCCATAACGCCTCTTGTACTTCTCTTTCTCTATATTAATCCTTCGCAGTATCAACAGCCTCTACTAATCCCCTATATTTAGCCCAAGCAACTTCTTCCGGAATTTCTTTCAAAACCCCTCTCAACCTGTGCCTATCAAACGGTAGATTATCGCAGGAAATCGCTTTCAATATATGATTTGCTATACGTTGTGTCCCGGTAGCTGCTGTTCGAGCTCCTGGCTTAGTGAATAGGTTGAAGATCTCTGAAATAGAAAGGTTGTCGTTATGGTACCAAATGAAATAGTCCTTGAGGATTGGGCGCGTGAGTTTCGATTCTGGATTCGCCCCGAGATGGAGGACGATAAGTACATCGGCTGCTAGGGCGATGCAGGATGCTTCGGAATCGTCAGGGGTAAGGGCTGGTTGTGCTTGACTTGTTTTCTCAGGAACTATAATACTAGGTTTAGAAGCTTGTGAACAATGGATTCTCCATGGGGGACGATGTGAGGTGGAGATTTTTTCTTCGATGTCCGGATCAATTTCTATTTCTGTTGCGGCTTTAAATGGGACTTCAAGGGCGGGTTTAAGATCTTTAAGCGAGGGTTTCGGGTCAAGCAGGGGATAATCTTGCGTAGCCCGACTTCGAGTGGGTTTTTTCGTAGAAGTTGGCGTGGGTGTTGGTACGGAAATAGGCTTGTTCTGGTCGGCATGAAAGGGTCGTGGAGGCATCGGATTCAGAGCTTGGCGCTTACTCTCTAGTATATTGTACAGATGGTAACCGGCGTAAGAATCTGAAGCTGCATATGAAATTTGTTGAATTGATAATCCTCGAGTCCAATCACTAGACCTAACACTCCCTCCTTTAAACAGTGGTAGATGTAAATGATCTTCCACTTGTTTTGCTAGGGAGACCAATCTCTTATTGATCAAACCATATTCCTGAGAAGCGCTGTACTTGACTAACCGATACAGGTGACTAAGTTCGAATATAGAGACTGAATGAATGTCAAGGTATTTTCTAAGACGTGTGCAATCGGCACTGATTGCCACGCCTACTTTAGTCACTTCTGGATCCTCCATAATCTTCTTCATAGTCGGAGCCACCAATTGTGAGACTTTATCCTGGGGGAACAATGCAATGTGAAATAGCCCGACTCGCTCTTCAGTTGCCAGCTGGATCAACGACACATTCTTTTTCGCGCCATCATAAACGCGAGCGTCCGCCTTCCATTCTATATCGAATCCGATGAGCTTTTGGCCCAAAAAATAACGTTTTAACGTTTCTTCCGTAGTTTGTAGACTCCGACAATAGTGTATCTTAACCTTCTTAGGAACGCCGTCTTCCTCTGGCCCCCGATATAAAGTATGCGACCAGTAGGATTCTGGTGTCTCTGGTGCGGCCTCTTTCGCCTGTGTAAACAATTCCTCAGTCATTTGGTATGCCAATTCAGATTTGGGAAGTTCCTTCCTAGCAGGATCTTCCTCAATCTCGTCTGCTAATTCTTGAACATCTGCGGTTATTTCAGGCTCCAATATCTCTTCCTTGGCCACTTTTGCCCTTCGAGTCTTCGAGTTTTCAACATGCGCGTTTGCCAGAACATAGTTATCTTCGACATATGAATGATATGCCAAATTCTGTTCATGATTTGCTACCGTCGTCGTACTCAAAAGTCTCGGTGATCCTGGTGCAGAAGCGTCTTTGAAGATAATACCATGACTAGGTTGCCATGTTTTCGAGGAATTCGACGAGATTGATCGAGCAATGGAGGGACTTCAGTACACGCGTTAGCCTTGTAAATGCAAATATTCTTGAATATAATTCCAATTCCCATACTTAGCTCTCTTCCCGCTCATGCCCGCAATTGCTGAACCCATACCTTCTATTGACGCCAAACTTGATTTCCCAACAAAGGAACTTATATTCTTCATAATGGAACGCCGGAGTGATTTTCCCACCGTATATGCTCCATGATTACTAGGGAGCATGACACGAGCATATGCATAGAGAACTCTGGCCCTATGAAGGAATGAAGGGGTAGGGAAGTAAACACCAATCGTTGATCTTGGAAGGAGATGTTATGAAACTTTTTGGTATCTGTGCCTGAGGCTTGAAAATGAATTTGCTTGTTTGGTGGTTTTGGAGATTGAGAATCACGAGCTACACTCTTTGATTTTGAGGTGAACAGGAAAGATACAAACGAACGACGACCATTTTCCCATCAAAGAGCACGAATTCGGTCATACGCTTTTTCCCGTATCACATGTGAGTCAACATCATCTCAACCTGCTATGTCAAACTCACGTGCTCCGACCTTGATTGCCTTCACATATGAGGGTCACAATTACAATATCAGGCACAGGCAATCAATGAGATTTTGCTATTGCTATATCGAGCCTATTCTCATATAATCATTTCGATTCATACAACAAACTAACAATACCACAAGCAAACATCCCAGTTTCCATACTCCAAACCAGTCATCCAAAATGGCCAGTCAGCTTCTCCCTCTCGGTCAGTCACCTTATCCAGACACACAAACACATCTCTCTCTAACACATCATCAGAACTCATCGATAAATGTGTCGGTTCCAAAATCTGGGTTGTAATGAAAGGCGACAAAGGTACAACCTCCATCATCACCCCTCTCTTCTATCACTCATCCTTGCTCACACCACTAGAATTCACTGGCACCCTTACCGGTTTCGATGACTATGTCAATATGGTTTTAGAAGATGTTATTGAATTGTACGTAACATATTGCACTTCCATGAATATTTTCAATTATACTGAAGATTCATAGTGATCACCAATCTGGAAATCAAACAAAGCTTCCCAAAATTTTACTGAATGGTAACGGTATTGCTATGGTACGTATTTATACCGTGATCTACATCATATAGCAGGAAACTAATTATAGAGCAGTTGGTACCAGGTGGAGAAGGACCAATTGGGGGATCATGAGGATCAAGTGCGTGGTAAATAAGTACGATTTGATCCAGATTCAATGATGGAACATGCCGATTCCACTGAAGAAAGGCATGCACCTCTTACTCTTTCTGGTGCTGAGACGGGCTTGGGAGAAAGCAAAGCAGCCCAGGAAGCAGCTGGTGGTCAAGTTCATGAAGCAAAGACAAGGAAAATAGTGTTGATGCTACCAAAAGTTAAGGAATTGATCATTTTGTGAAGAGCAGTGCAAAGTTTTGCGCCCACATTAATACTGTCTTATTCTGAGGCCTTGATACCGTTTCCCGTTACTCCACGGCATTTCAAGTGAGACCCCTGGTACCTTGTCATTAAGAGTTACGTCACATCACTCGAAATCCGCAAGTGCGATACCCAAATGGTTCTTCCCAATAAACAAAATCATCCCAAAGTATTGGAGAAGCATTATTTCCATACAAGAATATACACATTATCGATTATAACCACAAAAACTATTCCCTCGTCCTTCTATCGTCCAACTTCGGCGTGTCAGGCTTCCCATCCCCCTTCAAGATATCCCCCCAAAAATCATAAAAAATGCTATCCCTCGGCATAACACGTTCCTCCTCATCCTCTCTAACATCACTTCCCTCGCCCGCCTCCTCCGCTTCAACCCTATAAGTCTCCGACCACCTCCTAAACATCTGTTCCGTCTTCTTCCCCTCTATCTCCAACGAATGAGTCTGCCACTCCAGAAACCCTATTTCGATATCCCGGGGACTATCGCCCATACCTCCATGTACAAGTCTTTGACTCTCCTGTCTGACGGGTGACGGATTTACGATTTGCGGTCGACTATTTTCAACTTTAGAGACCTGGATTAAATCCTTTGCAGGGGCTTGGTAATCTTTAGCCGAAAGTGGAGGCCGATAATTAGTATTGTTATAGGGAGGAGGCGTAGTAGCAAGCATATCGCGCATGTGGGCAATATGTTGGTGATCTTTAAGTGGTGGCGTGGGACGAATATCACCAACATCCCTAAAATGAGGAGTATGTTCCTCCCATGCTGTGGTATTCAAGACATTCCCTTCGCATGCATGGCAAAGACCGCTATGACCGCTCGCTCCGCGTTTGCGACAGAGTTTACAGCTATTTTCCCAACTTTTATTCCATACTTCGTCTCCACTGCTTCCTTTCCTCGCAGTTTCTGGTCCTACTCCACGTGCTAAAAGATTTTCTTCGACTCTCTCCCCCGGATGAGGCGCGCTTAAATTCCCACTCTCATGATTTTCATCGCCTATGCACCCCCAAAATTCCTCATCACTATCTTCCTCCTCTTTACCCCTATCCTTCGCCTTTGATTTCTTCCTCGACCCCGCACTACTTCTATCGCCTCTCTTCCCTTCATAACTCGGATACAACAAATATTCAAATGGACTCGGTAACTTCGTTTTCGAATTCGTTTTCTTCTCAAAAGAATCATGTACAACCTCTACCCCATGTCCCATATACCCTTTCAATTTCTGAATCGGGCTCGCTCCTCTTTCTACCATTTTTCCCTTTCCTTTTCCCTTACTACTCCTGCTTTTGCCGCTGGAAGTGGATGTCGGAGTCGGAGTCGAAGGATGTAGAACGTCGGTGTGTTTGGGTACTTCTTTGCTGGGCGGTACAACTCTCTCCAACTTTCCGTTCCACATCGCCCTTCTCATAATTTCTAGTTGTTGCATTGTTGTCACTTCCTCTTGACTTTCTCTTTGTACCTCCTTTTCTCTTCTCTCGTGGGCACTTACAACCTCGTCTTTACCGGTAGTCTGCGAGCGAGAACTAGCAGGCGTAATCGCAGGGCTCTGATCTCTTTCCTCAAACTTGGCCTTTCTTCTCAATCTCCTCTGTCCAGGCGCAGCCTTATGTTTTCCCATTTCCAACCCTGCACTTCTTTCCCTCGAAGTTTCCGCATGAATTCCACTATCCGTCGTCCCCGTCGTCCCGGTTGCGCTACCCCCGCTTCCAACACTACTCCACTGCACATTCGAAAACCTCACACCCTCCCCTTGACTCATATTTCTAGCCTCCATCTCCTTAGTATGCCCAACGGGCACTCGAAATTGGCGTTGACGAATAATTCGGTCTCGTACGCGGCGAAGTTGTACGCGAAGAATCAGCTCGTGGATACGCACGTGGCGGACTAGGACTATTCCCCCGCATATTTATATCCCTTCGCGAAGTCTCTCTCGAGCCCCCGTTGCTGTATCAAATAATTCTCAAAATCCAACTGCGTCATACCATGAGCAAAAGTCTGACCCTCTCTCATTTTTCGCGAATCTCCTGCATCTTCCCTCGCCACAAATTTCGGCGGACTAATATCTCTCGGCGGACTATTACTTTTCTGGGGACTATCCGGCGGACTTGGGGAATTATTTCCCCCATTATATCCCTTTCCGAAATCTCTCTCCAACCCCTGTTGCTGTTTCATATACGCCTCGAAATCCAATCCTCCAAGCCCCTGTTCACCACTCCAATGCCCACCACTTATCCTTCCACCCACTTCCTCCCTCGGCTTCAAATAACTCGATCTCTTCTTCCCCTTAGCATGCTTATACCTCTGTTCCAAACCCCTCTCATGCCCCTGACTTCCCACCACAGCAAACACATCTTCTATTTCCTCGCGCGAAGCAAAACTCCCCCTCACACTCCCCGAGTGGTATTTCCCAACCTGTGTCGGAACAGTCGGTGGATGCATTTTTCCCGGTGGATAGCGAACACTAGTTCCATATCTCGAGCGGGAAAAACGTTGACTAGAAGGTCGTGTCCGAGATCTTACGTGGAGTTTGAAATATCTTTTTATGCGGCGGGTAGTACTGCATAGAGGATTGGTTTTGGTGGAAATGGGAGAGCTAGGTCTTTGAGGCGCGGTGGCTCTGAAGCCGGATGCGGGTGCGGTGGTCAGGAATTCCGGGTCGTTGCGAGATATAGGACGAGGCGTGGAATGAGGTGGTGTGGATATCCCGCCGCGCACTTCGTTATACGTTGTGTGGATGATCTTCATGATGGGTAGGCAAATCTTTTGTTCCTTTTCCCTGGGATTTAAAATGACGCTTATTTGAGATATTGTTGCAGAGGAATAACCGTGGCCTCGAATAATATTGTTCTTTAGTTTACTTAACACTTCTATCCTTCAAATTAAGCTCAGCTCAAGGTAACATATCTTTAAGAGATAAAACCGTATCTCCAAAGTCGACCGTTTTCGCCGAAAGCAATATAATACGTATGTATGAGCTGGTGATCAACTCAGAATGAATAATACACTAAATAAAAACTGTGTGTTTGGAAGAATAGAAAAATCCTAGAAAGCAAACATTTCTTCCTTGGCCATTGTTTTGTATACTCGTACCTGCACATGGCGGTGGTGACTAAGTCTTCTTTATGAATGCGTTTCCTTTATGTATTTGTTACATTTGTCGCCACCTGTATCTATCGCACCTTTGAATGTAGCTATTTATAATTCTTTCTTTCCACGGAAAGTTATTTATTCTCCCATTTTTCCATTCTCCGTCCTCGAACCAGATTTCTTATTCATTGCTCAGTTATCTCATGTTCTTTGTAGACAATAGCTCGAAATATCTTCCTCCTTTGTTAAATGGACGAGAGCGTAGCTTCATCTTGGCTTTTTCTGTTCTAGTGTCTCTTTGTTCGGTGCACAAATGACGCGCTGTTGGGAATATTAAGAAGAAAGAACGTATAGCGCTTAGGCAATTGTCAAGGTTGGAATTCGAATACAAAGAAGGATATCACATAGGTATTTATGAACTCTCTCTCTGGACCTCTCAATCCGTCCTCGGCTCTTGGCTCTGGTATTTTGTATGATAGACGCCTTAATACCAATGATGCCAAAGAATGTGGCATAAGGACGTGGTAGGCGGGGAGAGAATTGTATATCTAAAGTAATACTTTCACAAGTTGACAAATCTATAGTTGAAGAAACTCATCCGTGACATTGCGCTCATCACAAAAAACTCAAGAACGTAACTAAACTGCCTGCCCTTCCCAATCTCGCATCTCCGAACCCAAGGAATTCTCTACGCACCGAACCTACAGACAGAAGATATTGAACACCAAATCTGCCAGTCATGATATAACACCAATGTGATACACACACACACACATAAACCTCTCAATTCCCCAATAAATCCACAAAAACCCATCTTTTCATTTCGTGAACCTTCTTCCAGAATCCATAGTACCAAAACCCAAGACAAGAATCTTTCAAGCAAACTATAATATTAATCTCTAGCATCAAACAAAGGTCCTGTACTCTCCTTCTCAATCCTCAAGTTCCCAAAAGCCCAAATCTACACCTTCGCCGCCAAAAGAATATTAACTCACACAACCTATGTCATTAGCTCTCCCCTCTAGATCCCAATATTTTCCCATCCAGCCAGGTATTCGATACGATTATACAACTCCATCCATGTAATCCATACGGACATTCTCTAGATTCCAATTGACCATGAGAGGCCGACCAAAGTTTCCTCGTTCAGAAGAAGTAAAAACCTACCTAGGAAGATTACTTCACTACTTATATCAAAGCACAAGCACATTCCCATTCAGTCATACACATTATTACTTCGTACATCGCATCAAATCACGAGCAGCGCGCAGATCAAAAGTTTTCTTAGGTGGTTCATTGTATCCTATACAAATTACTCAATCCAGCCTTTTAGGCTATTCCATTCCGTGTTCATTCCACCCTTGAAACTCATCCTTGCTTCCTTCCTGTAAAGACAACGCTTATAAATTCAAATCATTCCCATCTCGTTTTCTCATGGTATTTCTCTACTACCTTGCTTGTACTGCTCATGCAACGCTTAACACACCAAATGCTTCATGCTGAGAACTAATCCATACTCCACGCTCCATGCTATGCCCAGTACCCATTCCTGAAAGTCAAACTCCTTGGCAACGCTGTGCTAAAGTGGACCAAAAGACCAAGACTAAAACAGCATGGATGTAACCTTTTGAGAGACAAAATCCCACGGTCCACTGCGTCCAGCAAACCATGAGACTCCCTCAAATGAAATCAACCATGCCGATTCCCAACTCCAATGCAAAAATGCGGTGACAAGACTTTCTCTTTTAACAGACACATAGTCTTCTTCAACAAGCACGATTCAACCTCTCAGGTCCACAATATTTTTTCCAATCCGCCGCCCGCTACATGTACCTGGATTTCCCAAGCATTGCGTCATACATGACTATCTCAGACCAAACAAAACCCCGCAAAATCAAAAAAATCAGTCTCGTCACGGGGGGACGTCCCCATAACGGAAACACCAAAGAACTCCAAGAGGACAAACAAAACCCCGCAAAATCAAAAAACCAATCTCGTCGTGAGGGGACGTCCCCACGCGGAAACACCAAACACCAAGACAAAAGAAACATCATGAGGTGACGTCCCCATGATGGAAGTGCTTCGGCACTTCAGCGTAAAATCAGACTCGTCATGAGGGGACGTCCCCATGACGGAAACGCCAAAAGACCTTTAAAAGAAAAACAAAATCAGACTCATCATGGGGGGACGTTCCCACAATGGTATACAGAAAGAACAGAAATGGGTGCACAGAACGCACGACCATCTTATCTTCAAAACTTATGCGATCATCCATACATACAATGAACAATCAGCACCATCATCCATCCATCAATATAATCAACAAACTCCACCGCGATAATCCCTTCTTATAGCCAACAGTCACCACTGTCATCCATCCATATAGACACTCGCTGACCAATAGTCTTGATATGTAGCTTCCATAGCGAAAATAATGGAAGAAGCATAGAAAGCTAGCTAAGCAGCAGCAATCAGGTAATAGGATCTCATCATCCTGTCTTAGTTCAGGTTCTAGGGTCCTATCCCAGAGAAATCAATGTCTCTCGTCCTCAATTCTTCAAGGAACTTCGCCGTATGTATTTATGGCGTGCTGATAATAAGGTAGATATGTTCAATCTTGTAATTGTAAAAGGTGAGAAACCGAATTCACCACAACAATGTGGGTAGAAGTAGCGACCTTCCACACCCGACATTGTTAGATAGTATCCGTGGTACTTAGAAAATCTCGCCGTAAGTATGTACGTGATGTAAAATTTATGTGCCGATGTAAAGTTCATCTGGCTGGTAGTGTCGGAAAAAGACGACAGATTTTTGCGTGGAGAAACTGCATTTTGCTAGAGTATGCACGTGTCACTCATTCCAGAGATGGAATTTGTGTTTAGCTAATTTTTATGCGGGGAAAAGGAAACTACCGATCGTGTTCAGAATTCGCCGCTACCGGGTATGCCATGAAGTCGTACGCTGGAAATTCAGACATGAAGGAGGTACCACCACGCACCCAATAGCATAAAATAGATCAAGAAAGCCAACAGTGTGACCCAGATGGAGAGAGAAGAATGTGACCAGTCAGGAACCAGATCAATAATTTCAAGGCGACTCACATGCCTGATGGATATAAACCATCAAGGGAGAGCCCCGCAACCAGAGTAGGAGCGTTTTCAATTATTGAGTGTATGATTCAATTGCAAGTCGAGTGCCTCAAGGAATACAAGACCCTCGACCTTGTGACTGGTTCAACTCAGCTCAATCTTACCATAATTTGAGGGCGGGTCGATTGGTTGGACTTTCCGAAGTAAATTCAATAGCCATATTGGGTTGCTCTGGAACCTTGATCCCGTTATGCATAGAACCAAACAGTCTGGGATCAATTCCCTCGAACAATTTAGCAACGGCTCTTTCTACCTCGCCTAGCTGAAGATCATCATGTTCATGCCAGATGTGATCGGGAATGGGTGTGATAGGAACGTAACCTTCGCCAAGGCGTTCTAGAACACATTCTTTGACAAGAGGGTCAACGTGAAAACCAAGGGATTCATCGCTAAAGTCGAAATTGAACATAGGCTTAGACTCTTTCACCGCTTCCATGACCCTGTCTTGCTCGGCTTGGAGAGGGCTCATGTTGGAAACCTGTCGAAGGCCACTGCCCTTTGCTGGTAAATATTTATTGGCTCTACTCATGGCGTGTTTTACAGCCTCAGAGATTGGAGCTGGTGTTTGCTCGACGGCACCGGGAAGCTTGGCGTTACCAGGCTTGGGTTTTGGTGGAGGTGTTTGACTCCATTGCTTTGGCTCAAGGATTCTGCCTGCTTTCATTTCAACAGCATCCTTGTAGTAGTATTTCTTGTCCCAATCATGAAGTTGTTGGAAAACGTTGGTTGTCGTCTGCTCACGCGATGGTCTTGTGCTATCAAAAGCAGGTGTCTTGATAGCGATTCCGTATTCGTCACGAGGGTTGAGAAGAGGAAGTCCTTCCTTGATGTTTTCAATGTGATCCCTGGTGAGTCTTTTGCCTGGAATTTGAAACATATTGTAAGGACTTCTTGGGTAAAAGAGCAATCTCTTCTGTTGCTCATCAATGACGTATGTGTAATCATTTTCGCTCTCGTCTGGTATACCAGCAACGCCCCGGGCACGTAGATGGGCTTGCTCAAGGAGCTGTGCGGAGTTGAGAGGATTTTGGACGCCTGCTGGCTTGAAAACATCTTGCTTTGGGAAGGCGTCAATATCGCGGTAATGATCTTCCCAGCAAGGATCATTATCAGTCACAATGTGGTTAAATTCAAATTGTCTGTCAGTGCAATTCTCTCTAATGTAAAGACCATTTCGGCATCGAATCCATCTAGGACCGAAATCTGAATCAGAACGAGTTTCTTTGCGCAGGAAATCATTCCAGCGTTGGGTGGGCACCTTTGGTGCACCGTCGGCATCACGCTTCTCGCCTACTTTAGCCTGTGTAAATGCTGAGGTTTCTCCCTCGACAGGAGTAGTGACGGCAGCTCTTTGGGACGCTCGTGCGTTCTTATGTATGTCTTGATTAGCTTCGATGGAAGGACCCTTTCCACGATGCTTTGCGGCATATTCATCCTGCGCTCTGTGAATTTCTCTTACCTCCGCAGCAGTGAGCAAACCACTCACGTGGACTGGTGTTTTTTCAACATCCCGGTGTCTTGGATGGAGTTCGGTTTGAAAGCCTGCAAGACGGCCTTGAACGTTGTTGCGAGTATTGCGTTTGCGATCTGAATGGGACATACGTTTGAGGGGAACTGCTGCAGGAGTGGTTGGTGGCTGGTTGAAGATAAATGGTGGGACAAGTTTGTTGCCAGAAAGCGGAGCCGGAACATCAGTGGACTGTTTGCGGAAGGGGCTTGTAATCAGCGAGGTAAAAGTAGAGATGGGAGTCCACCAGCTGTTTTTAGGGCTTGCATCTTGCGAAGGGGAAATTTGTGCTTCGGGCGTTTTTGGTTCATCGACGACTTGTGCTTCTTCCTCATCTGACATATCGGTGTCATCACTATCAGTATCGGGAACAGCATAACCTGAGCGTTTAGGTTTTTTCGGTTGTGGAGGACGCGTAGGCTTTTGAGTAACCATTTGCGCCTTTGGATTGTACAGAGGTTGTTGTGCATCGAAGGTAGTAAGAAATGCCGTAACCTGTTCGATAGATGGCAATGCCCTTGACTTATCCTTATGATTAGTGAAGACTTTGGCCACAGCTACTAAATAAGGATCCGTTAATCTCAGCCCATCCCTAGGAGATTGATTCGCTGAATGGGGAACATCGGGCTTGGAAAGATTCTCACTAGAAGAAGCCACAGCGGTCGTCTTGCGCTCACTCTGATGAGCCACCTTGAATATATTAGCATCATGGAACAAATTATCAGGTGAACTATTGATACATACATCATTGGCGCCTTGTGCAACTTCCTTGACAACCTCTTTTCCTTTGTTTGGTGATGGAATCCCATACATTAAACGAAGTCTGTCGGTCTTCGACATGCCAGGTGTAAGTTTATAATTTGACAACGGAAATCCTCTAGGAACAGATAGATTGGGACGGGATTTTGATGGAGTAGGGCCAGTCTCAGTGAGGGATGGCGCTGTCTGTTTAACTTCGGTTTGGGGAACAGCTCGTAAATCAGGAGGAGGGAGTGTGAGCGTAGAAGTAGGGTAAGAAATGGTGGATGGGCCAACTTGAGGCTCGTCTTCAGCTGAGGAAGTTTCTTGCTGATGTGGAGTATGGGGAGAAGGGGTAACAGCTTGTTTTGGTGTAGAAGTTGATCGAGATTGAAGAGGCGATACCGTTGTTTCAGCTTCATCATCTGAGCCGCTGTCGTCGTTAAGGACAATTGGATCTTGCTTGCGACCTCGAGTCTTAGTCGGTGGCTTCTTGGGAGATGCCTTTGCGCGATTGCTGGGTCGACCTCTTGACTTCTTCTTGGGTTCAAGTTCGGGTTCGGTTGATTTCTCAGCTTCAGCTGCGACATCTTCGACACCACTACTTTGCTGCCTTCGTGTACGCTTGCTGGACCTCTGCTCAACGTCTTCTTCCGTGTTTGTAATGCCAGCACTTTGGTGGGTAGAAGCCTCGTCCTCCCGAGATCTCTTTTTGGATTCTAGCGGAGCAATGCGCGGAGCGGCTTGTTCGTGATTGATGACATCGTTATCGGAAGACGCGTCGTTAAATGCGATGTTGTTTTTAGGTGGAGGGGAGGTAGAGCGTGAATCGCCTGCTGTAGGTGAAGGTGATTGAGAATCGGGAGAATTTGTCCTGGATGCATTTGTAGGAGATGATTGAGTCTTTTGCGACTCGGTATTATTGTTGGCTTCGGCTGGAATGATGAATGGGTCACTGGACTCGGACTCGATTGAAGGCTCGATGGGTTCGGTCTTAATCCTCCTTCCTTTTCCACGTGTGGTCTTCTTTGGGATATCATCAAGTGATTTAAAACCACCTGGACTTGCACCTGCGGCGCGCGTGCGGCGAGCTCCAACCATCTTGAGACGATTATCGGGCGATGGCGCGACTCGCAATTTATATGAAAGTAGTGACTTGCGACAATGCGAATTGAATTTATGTAAAGAAGTTGGTATGATTAAAGTGAATCATTAACAGTATGCGATTCGAGATTCGTTGAAAGTAAGATGGATCTTGAAGTTGTACCTTGTATGCCGTACTTTGAAAAGTTGATGAATCAAGTTGTTTTCTCGGGAAGAAAGCGCGGATGGTGAAAAGACTCAAGGTGAAGTTACTGGGCCAAGCTAGCTTTAAAGTATTCGCTTAAGGAAAAATTATTATGACCTCCGTATTAAAATAGGTGCAATGATCAAAGGATGGACCGTGCCAGTGACGCACACGTGATATTTGACCGTAAAAGCGTAAATGCAAGATATTCTTCAACATTCTATTAATCGATCACTTTATACTTCTACTGTACAAAATATCATGCGATATCAACTGCAAGTACCTAGTATTAGTATTGTAGGGTATAAATACTGCCATATATGTCATGTTGAAGAGTCATTCAATATCGTTACACTAACAAAATCAACAGTATTCATACTGCAATCATAACTATCAGACTCAAGTGAGAAAGCAAAGTAAACATCAAGATATATCTTCATACTCTTTCTCTCTACTCTACAAACCCTAGTGGTCATTACATAAGCCTTCTTTTTTTTCGGGAACATCACCAGGACATCCATGAATCATGATATTTCCCCACATTCAGGAATCAGCCTATCAGAATTATTCCGTGAAGAAACATAGGTTAGAGAACTTCAACAGATTCTATTATTGGATTAGCTACTACGAACTCCGATATAATCAGCCATCACATCAATTCTTTCTACAAATCAATAATAAAATACAAGAGATTTCATTAACTAATATCAATCTACTCGAGTAGCTTCATCCCACTGAAATAACTCCTCTTCAATTCCATTCTAAATAAATATTAATCATTCATTTATTTACTCATAATCAATCCCAAGTAAGTTCTAATGTTCCAACCCCTCAATGTTACGACGACTTCGGATCTCGTATCATGTGACCAATTATGTAATCACACGGTCCCTTAGATCCCCTCGGTCTCTTGATCGAAGGGACCGAGGGGACCAAGGGGACGATTAGCATGAAGGTCTATATAACCAAGATGGATTTCCTTTGTATAGAGCTTCGTGCTCAAGATCAATCATTTAGTATACTCTACTATTAGTTACGAATTGCATTATTGTCATTACTTTAAGTCCCTGCTTGACGCCTAGTGTTACGAGGTTTGCCGTCTAGATCACGTGGAAGTGCTCCAGGCTCTCGAGGTGGTTTATAACTAGGCGTCAAGCAGGGACTTAAGTAATGACAATAATGATATGCAATTCGTAACTAATAGTAGAGTATACTAAATGATTGATCTTGAGCACGAAGCTCTATACAAAGGGAATCCATCTTGATTATATAGACCTTCATGCCTATGGCTAGTCTGGACAGCCAGCGTTCCTCAGCGGTCCATAACGTGACTTTAATCACGTTACCTTGGTTTAGTCATGTGACGCGGCATAGAAGATAGCCGTTGTAACACCTAGTTATAAACCACCTCGAGAGCCTAGAGCACTTCTACGTGATCTAGACGGCAAACCTCGTAACAAAAAGCCCTTTATTAACAATCTATTAATTCAATAATAAATTAATATTAATTTATCAAAAATTATATTATGTTTTTTTATAAATCTAAATCTATTTATAAAATCAAATTTTATTTCAAAAACGTGTATATAATTTTATATAAATCTAAATCTACAAATCAATTATATTTCTCATACTCAAACACATAGTATACAAATACTATACTACGAGTAATATCATCAATATCACCATTAACATGTTACGAGGTTTGCCGTCTAGATCACGTGGAAGTGCTCTAGGCTCTCGAGGTAGTTTATAACTAGGCGTCAA